TGGAAGACGTTGCATCTGTCATCTGTCATATATTATATCGACTTGGGGCTGCGTATATTGACTGTAGTCTTCAATTCTATGCAGAATGTGCGTCTATTTTCCGCGTCCTGGAGCTCAATGTATTGGGTGTTGGACTAGTCGAGTCGAACGTGTCAGGCCTCTGCAGGTGAAGAGTTTTCTGTTTCTTTGATGTATCCATATCTTGATATGATGACCTCAGTACAACTTGAAGACATACATACGAACTAGTACCTAGTACCTAGGTAGGTACTCCGTAGTTGTTCGTTGTCCAGATACCGTCTTTAGATACTGTACCGTTTTCCAGTGACATGGACGGGTTGCTGGATCCACCGTCCACCATCCACCGGCTTCAAGGCGTCTTTAAGTCATCGATTTTCAGAGGTAGTGTACATGGTGATGTCGATGAGCAAGAGATGTCGCAACAGTATTCGGCGACTGAGTCGGATGATCAGTCAATCAAACTCTTCTGTCCTAACATTGCCCATGCGAGATCGAATAATATAGAATATAGACAATTCCATTGGTCTCTATCACCGTAGTAATCGATTCCACCAAGATAGACATGATCGCGTCGTTCCGGCTAATTTCGACCTGGGTCAGGTTTCCAGCGAATGAAGCTGCCGATAGTCTACACCGTAACGAGTAAGCCAACGCGAAAAGTTGGACCGACTGGACCCGAGGCAATATCACCCTTTCTGGAAAGGTCGTGTCGGAAGGTCGATGTGTGGCTGAGCCGCAGAGAGCCTCAGCCTTGTCCTTTGAACAATCATATGTAATGGCCTATTTCGAGGATGGCTTCTACCTTTCGGACAGCCGGTGGAATCATCAAGACCAAGACGATTTGCACATCCACGTTTGCCACTCTCTTGGGTGATGGTAACGGTCCTAGTACTCTGTAAGTGTACGGAGTATGACTCTGGAGCGGACGAAACTGAACAATACGGTACACTAGATCGGACGGGTGATAGTCTGAAAGATACCTATTTATTATGTACTTTGGACTTCGACCGGTGGATCCGATAGTAGCGTAAATAAACGACTCCACCGTGGGTGGCTCAACCCCAAAGGAGGCATCCAGATTATTCATCGGCGGATCCAATCAGTCGACCAGTTTACCGACTGCACTCGTAACATCGTGCAGCAGATGCCAATAACTGGATCCTACAGAGTGTCGCATCGTCCGGATTGTCACACTAGCGGTGCAGGAACATGATGTGAGCCGCGTGGAGCAGGACAGCCCATTCACCCTCTCTGGGCGGCCAACTTCGGATCTTCCAACGGAAATTAACCCCCCAGCGATTGACTTTGGATGGATTCTTGATCGGTTTAGGCATCCGTTTGGCCCAGATGCTACCTAGGCCCCTGACTTCCCCTGAACAGCCTTACGTACCTACGGAGTACTCTGTAAGGGACTATTGGGATTCTCTTGACAGTTGACAGTTGACAGTTGACGGTTGACAATTGACTGTCTGTCAGCCCACGTTGTCCTCCGATTCCACCACCACTCTACTCCGTCCGGAGTAACCATTTAGGCAAGCATCGCGGGGGTTCAACCTCTAGGTTCAACCAGGTCGACTTAACAGCCCCAGAATGACATAAATCTCACGCGAGACGCTTGGCACGGGAACCGAAGAGCCCCTCTACGCGTGATGATTCGACGATCGCGTCCGGAGCCCATCCGCGCTTATTGCCAATCTGGCGCGTTTCTGCTCCCAGCTTGTTGTTCTCCGGATGATCCTGGTCTAGAAGGTCGCAGAAGCCGGCCCTCTGCCCGGAGTAAGCCCAAGCCGGTGCCAGACGCTCATTTCCTGCGATTCAGGGCGAAACCTGGAACTCTCGCCACGCAATGCAATTTCCATTCAGGCCGTCCAGCAGGATTCGCACTATGGGCGTACCTGTATGTAGTCAGCTTCAGCTGGGCCACAACATCAGCCACCTCCTGACCCAAGATCACATGTCTACTTAAGTGTCTTGGGGTTGCGGGCGTACGGAGGAGGGTTTGATGGTGAGTTTTATCGTCGTTCCAAATCAAACGCTCCGAGGCGCTTGGATCCTATCATTGATTCTCTTCTACCTCATCTCCGTTCTAATTATATCGGCGAACGATCAGACCCGTTGTACCTGTACTGTACTTGGCTGCAGGGATCAGTAGCAGCCGTCTCAAACGCAAGCCGTAGTTTCAAGATAGACCGATAAACCGGTTCTGCCTGCTGACTACAGGTAGCTATGCTCTTCCTTAGCCGTAGTAATTAATTACTTCGGAGTAAAGCTCCACCGTCCATGTGCGCGTTGATAGTCTGGGAGTCACACTACTCTCCAGACTGAGCCGTCGACATCCAGATATCCGTACAATAGACGTCGGCTTGAATTTCCTCTGCCCACTTGATGCTTATCTCCAGCGATCGGCTTTGATCAGAAACAGTGGCGTTGGCGTGCGCGCGCGACCCCAACCCGAGAATGAATGCCAGCCAGCGACATGGATCGTGGCCATCAAGGACTAAATCTAAATCTCCCCGCAAAGCCTGGTATCGAATCAGACCTGCCAATGTGCAGCAAGGAGCCACGATCCATGCGGGCTCAGCTGGGTCGTTGGAAGTTAATTCCACCCGGAGAAACTCCTGGAGGAACAATGGTGCAGGGAAGAGGCCTCTATACGAGATCCGTCGGTAACAATCCTTTTCTCACATGGCGCCTTTTCTCCCTCGTTGCATCTATCTAGGTATCCCTCCACGAGAGCCTCCCCAATTCCCCACCTACAGACAAGCTCTAAATAATACGGTGATATCGCACCCTTTCGGTGGATACACCACATACCCAGTCTCCCCCTGCCATGACGAATCCTTACACCCGGCAGCCTGCGATCCCGCACAGTGGACCGGGGCCTGCTCTGACGTGGCAGTCCCTCGAGCTTGGCTTACCCGGTCGACCTCCAAGACATGCAGATGTTTGGCAGAAGACGTGAGACGGCCATCTCCACTGAATCCCACACGGCCGACTTGTTTGACTAGTCTATCTGGTGTCGGATTTCTCATCCTCGAATCAGGGGCCGGGGGTTGATTGCGACTCGCGTGCACGTCCTGCATGCACATAACTTTATACCGTGGACAATCCATTGTGTACCTGTAGTTTAGATCTTGGCGTCCATGCATGAATTGCACAACTTCAGTCATACCTGCCTAGTAGGTACATTGATCAAGGTTGTTTGTTACTAGGTACTATACACTGGTATCCTTCAGGTGCTGGTTTGTATCTTCGTCAGGAACGTTGTATTGAACCTGTCGTTCTGATGTTAATATCAAGTTCTGTGTAAACATAGGTATGGAAGATAAGTAATTTCACATGGGGAAGGATGTATACCTCTTATATACTATTGAGGATATATCCCTGCACCCCCAACTTACAGTATACCTGAGCCAGAGTACGAGCAAGGAAGAGGAATAGAGCATGGATCGGTGCTGAACCGAATGATAAAACAGTAGTATACATACATATACATGAACTCATTGAAAAGACATCTTGATTAAAAGTGTAAATATCTGGATTCATGGCTGGACAGATTTCATAACACATCGATTCTCAGATTCTATGCGTACTACTGTTGCATATAGGCATCTAGTTCCTACCACAGGCAGGTAATGATGCGCTCTCCGGGTTTACACCTCCACAGTCCTTGATCAAGATGGATGTCATCAAGTACTGTAGCGCTCATACTCCAAAGCCAACAGGTGCCATCACATAATGTCTTGTGCGCCACCGGTGCAAAACACATACACCGGTCTTCCCTTCAGGAGACTTTAACATGAGACAGAATGACTCACAGTATCCTTTCTGTAGGCTCTGTTCCCTCGTGCCATGTCTCGGATGCTTCTGACACTACGCAACAAATTCATAGCTTCCTTTTGTAGATGGCACGCCGTCCAGCTTGAGAACTCGTGCAGCATTTCCACCGAAGAAGTCGGGCCTTGACACTCTCCCGCAGTCTGATATCCTTATGGACCGACTCGATGCATTTAGCCCAGCTCAGCTGGGGGAAGTTTGTCCCGAACATGACCTTCTTTTTCCCAACGTATTTGCAAACTGAACCAGTTCCTGAGCTACGCAGAATTAGCCGAAGGGCTGTCAATGGGGTGTTACTTTTGGGAGATATGCTGAAATATCAATGTAGACATTTGGATGTTCCATGCTACTCCAATATCTCTTGTGTCCATGAAACTAGATATGTCCGCAGATAATCGACAGCGAGGGAAAGGTGAGGGCGACCTCGTCGGTATACTACACTCGTCAGCTATGCTCTGAGAAGTACGGGGAGATAGGATACTGTACAGGAACGGGTCGGCCGACTTCGCTGGGGCATAGGGGTCCAGTATGGCCAACCTGCGTAAACTGTGCCCAGTGTTAGCAGTAGCTTTGCTTTACCGAGGAGGCTCTATAGACGCTCCCGACACTTATACTGTACAAATGTACCAGGAGCGGCGAGATCAAGTGTATACAAGACTGAGCTGAATAGTGACACACATTCTATGACTAGAGTTAATCTGATATTGATCATCCTGGCTGACACGTGAGTTGGGCGCGGCAAACGGACGAGAGAGCGGATGGAGAGGTGTCATTACCTCATGTGTTGAATGGAGTACCTAGCAGTATTGATGTCTTTCGTTCCGCTGAAAGTGCCTAAAACGTAGTTAAGTCATGGGCGTGACACTTCCTATGGAATCTACAGACTACCGACTAATTTTTTATACACGACTATCGAGGGTGGTTTCGCTCATAAACATTTCACAATATACACAGAAAGATAGTAGGGTATAAAAAATCCGGAATATGGCCCTAATGACAGCGCCATATGAAGTTTGATGTATCCTGAAAATGTCTCCCAAGAAAGCAAGCCGTGTTTGGATGATGTGAATGGGTCTCCGGATGGAAACAAGACATCGCAGTGGTCTGCTCTTCCTGTCGCATCATGCTCGACCTATGCAAAGCTAAAAAATCACCTTCTCAAACGCTTCTTGCAACCCTCGGCTGCGTAGCCAGCCCTCCAAAGCTTGCATATCGCCCCGGTTAGCCCGCTGCCCACTCCGATCCCCGAGAGAATCGGTAATCTCCGACATGTCCGGGAACGCCCTCTGCACAGCTTCGGTCTCCCGGTATCGCTCGCTGACTTTTTTCTGGTGGCTGGGGATATCGCCCCATGAGTGCGTTTTGATGAATCGCATGTATTCATCGATGTCTGTTGAGCTCCCCTCCAGACAAAGGAGACCCGGCTTCCCGGCCAACACAAAGCCCGTAAGCCCATACCCCGGCGCATAGTTGACCAAGTCATTGCGCTTTTCACGGGTCGATAGCGATGGGAAATAAAACCAGACTCGGACTATTGGGCCGCGGGGATTGGTGCTGGCGCTGGAAGTCTGGGCAGGCTGAGCCTTGAGGAATTCAACAGCCTCCGTTTGGATATATTTGAATGCCTCGAATACATCATCGGAAGGAATTGCGGCGGTCAGCTGGGCCACCTCAGCCCTCGACAGCCATTCAGGCTGTCGCAGCGAATAGCTGAACGGAGGCGGCTGGTCCATCTCTGGGTTGTCACTGTGCAACGGAACAGAAACGTTGACCTGGATCGTTTTCTCTCCATCTGCAATGGGTAGATGCACAGCGAGGAGGATGCTGGAGGGAATCCCCACGGGTGTGACAGTGGGATCCTGGCACCAGTCCCGGAGTCTTTCCATGCACTCGGTCGTCGATGGGGGGATGTCGAGCTCTCCTGGAGAGGGGAACATGGAGACGAGGAGGTCTATGGTGGCCAGTTGAAGCTCCATCATGTCGACCGGTAGGAGAGATTCTTTTGATGCCATGTTGGAGGCTCAATGTGGAGTGAAATTTTCCCCACAGAAAGGATACCGGTGTTGCTAATTGGATCAAGGCCTCAACCTGTTTGCCAAGCGATTGGTTTTAGACAGACAGCAGATGTCTGATTTCATATCATCATAGCGAATAAAGCAGAGTCCCAACAGTGGACATCTTGGACCCCGGATGGGTGCAATAGAGAGTTGTGGGTCTCGGAACATTCATCGTCCTTAAGAGGCGCGCCCACGTGACATAGACCATCACATACCCTAGGTCTTTTCTTTCCTCACTCCCTCGAAAATATACGTAGTTCTTCGATGGTGTGCAATAGTCCATGTATGCTGTTGGAAGTATTGGAACGTTTCGTCTCTACCACCCGAGGTTGCTGTCTACGAAACCTTGATGAGTCTCCTGGTCTCGATACTGGGGACGTCTTAGGCCTCACTGCATCGCTTACCTGCAACCTGTCCTGCTCCTGCATTGACTATGGGTATAATCAAAGATAGTAAAGCGGTGGTAGACGTATCCGGGAATCTCGTGAAGGAGAAGCAGGCGATTGAGAAGGAAGAGCCATATCCCTCTCAAACATCTCCTGGAGATATATACATCTTTTCTACAGAGTGTATACATGGGAAACACGAAGCTTCCTCCATTCAGTGAACATCAGACGGGTTTATCTCAAGCCAATCTACATTCCTGCTGGACGAACCTCCCCACAGCTAAAGGATGACACGAACTAGACAAAGCTTACAGATAAGTAGGTCCAATTTGACCCAGCAATGGCCCCTCGCATTCCAAGGCTAGGTCAATGATACACTGCACCACCAAGGGATAATAGCCTCCTTACTGAACTATGCAGCCCTTACCAATATTATTTGGTGTATTGATCCATCACTGGAGCTGCGTAGGTAAAGTCATGCAGCAATGCATACTGGTGGAGCAAGGGGTTGCGGATTTAACCACGGGCAATTATATACAATACCTTTGGGTGACCAAACATGAACCGAACAGTTCTACTGTAGGATAAATACCATATATCTCCGCGACAAGTTTATGGATACTAAATATCTGCTTGTAATATCGTTGCATCTGTAGTGTTTCTATCACGACCTGTGCCGTCTCCCAGCACACGATGACGGTCATGGAGGAGTCTGCTACTGCGAAACCAACCGCGCGAACCTCGATCCAAAGACAAAGATTGAGTCTGAAGTGACGAAATGTCTGCTCAACGCACCGTATAAGTGTCTATCGTTGAAGCAGCTGAGTGGTGGAATAGGAAACTTCACCTATCGGGGGGTTTGCCATTCACAGCTCCCAAACAATCCAAAGAGCGTTATTGTTAAGCATGATAGGCGATATGATATAACAGGGACTCTTGTGATGCCAGTAACTCGATGCTTACGTCCAATATACTGTTTTCAATGCGCTGAAAATTGACCACTGCCATAGGTTGCCGAGACAGCTTCTCTCCAACTCATGCATCACTTGTCTCTACATCCAATGGCACCTTGAGGATACTCCATCCGCTGAGCCGATTCTGCGTGAATTCATCCGGGAATACGTCGGTGGACATAGGCCATTAAGCGAAGAGTTGGTCTTTCGGACTGCGGGTCCTAATGGGATTGTACTCTTGATGTGGGATCGTTTAGGACTAATTAAGGGAAAAGAGACCGACACACGAGCACAAGGACATTAAGGCATGCACGAAGTAGTTCATTGTCAAGGGCTCTCAGAAAGATCTAAATTGGCTGTCAAATAGCTTCTTAAGCGAGTTGCTGAGAGACTGATAAGTAGTCAGACTGCCACTTGCCGAAATATATAATTGAGATCATTCCTACCGCATAGCGCTGTTTGTTGTAAGCTCAAGTCTCTCCAGGTAGTTCTATACCTACTATTTAGTACTGTGTACCTGGGATATTTCGTAAATGGACATTGATATGGGAGGTACATAGTAGTCACCTGATTGGCGGGAGATGGGCTTACCCACTCCCGCCCAAGGCTCCACCGGGAATCCCTCCGCTCAGGTTGACACCACATCATCTCTCTCTCCTCCAGCTTCCTGCGCCCTCCACGTTCCTCTCTTCCCCCTTCACTTCCGCCAAACTGCCATTGCAACAGGTTGAGTCTGTGGTGTGACGGTTGATCCGGCAATTCCGCTTTCTCAATCCCACGGTTCCGTCCGCAAATCGCCTAATCATCCCGGTTCCTGGAAACACTGTGTCGCCCGTTCCCACCCAGCATGGACTGAACCATCATGAATTCTCTGGAAGTCGATGTCAACGGATCGATAGGGGCATTATAATAGTCTTACATATTCTTCTTATTCCAACACCTACACATTTGCGCCGACCAGGGTGGCGCGTACTCCGCCGACGATTCCCGTGCGGCCCAATTGCACTGCCTGATCTGCTTTGACAATGTCTAGCAACTTTGAAAAGTCCGTGAAGGGGGCGACGAAAATCAAGGTCGGTATACCATTTGTCCATTGTTAACCCCGTCATCGCGTGATAGAAGCTCATTGTGATACGTTCCCCAGCTCGCGCCCCCCAAATCGAAATACATCGAACACATCCTCGTCGCGACCCATACCGGAGAGGCTGGCGTCGCAGAAATCTTTCGCACACTACATCTTCGTCTCCGTGATTCGACATGGACCGTCGTATTCAAGGCGCTCATTGTCCTGCATTTCATGATTCGGGAAGGCCAATTGGATGCCACCTTACAGTATATGGCCGAAAACCCAAGAAAGATCGCAATCAGTGGATACTCCGAGGGTGGGGCGAACATGCGCGACCTGCAGAAAGACATGTGCTGACAGATCTGCAGTGCAAACGCAGGGCCATAACATCAGGAGATACTCGGATTACCTCGTCGCACGCGCAAAAGCATTCGAGGCCACCAAGACCGATTACGTGCGGAGCGGACAAGGGCGGATGAAGAGGTTGACCGTGGAAAAGGGCCTCCTTCGAGAAACAGAAATCGTCCAGAAACAGATTCGTGCGCTCCTCCGATGTGACGTAGGTCTTCCCGACTGTACGCGCAAGAGTTCGGACTGACCGTTTTCAGTTTTTGACCGACGAGGTGGAAAATGAAATCACCTTGACTGCATTTCGACTGCTCACCTTGGACCTTCTCACCCTGTACTCCGTCATGAATGAGGGGACAATCAATGTTCTTGGTAGGTCTACCACCGGATGTACTGCGACGTGTATTGATAATGTTAGAACACTATTTCGAAATGTCGCGCCCCGATAGCGAAAGAGCCCTGGAGATCTACAAGACATTTACAGCGCAGACGGAGGAGGTCGTTAAGTTCTTGGGCGTTGCAAGACATTTCCAAGCCGCCACTCGATTAGAGATCCCAAAACTGAAGCATGCCTCTACGGACCTGACGCGGCTGCTTGAGGATGATCTGAATGACCCAGACTTCGACCTCCGCCGACGAGAGTATCTGTACCGCAAAGGAATCAAGCCCACAGGCTTTGATACCGCCCTGTCATCCGGGAGCCGAGCAGAAAAGACGAGTCCTGCCACCAATCCCAACCCCCCGACGCAGTCTCAGGCCAGTTCTATACCGCAGAAGAAGGATAACCCCTCGGATCTGATTGATTTCTTCGACTCAATCGACCCCACCCCGGCGCCCGTGCCTCAGCAGAATTACATGCAACAGCCCCAGCTTCAACAGCAACAAGCAATGCAGTATCAACAGGCTGGGTTCCTACCACAACAAACGGGGGTGTACCCACAGCAGACAGGCTTTCAAACACAGCAGCCCCAGCTACCCCAGCAACCCCAGCAGAATGGATTTGGTCAGAATCCCTTCGGACAGCCCCAAGCCCCGCAGCCTCTTCAATCCACTCCCACTGGAGCTGGGTTTGGCGGCTACACTCCGCAGCCCCAGGCGTATGGGTTCCAAAACAATCTTCCTCCCATTCCGCAGAACAACACGGCTCAATTCGCCCAAACACAGATGCAGCAACAGCCCACCCTGGGGGTGCCCCAGCAGCAGCCGCAACAAACAACCAACCCATTCCGGCAGTCTATGTTGTTGAGTACGCCAACGGGATCAGGCAGGCCAATTTCTCCGCTGAGCCGTCAAAACACCAATCCCTTTGCCCGACGGCTGTCCATGGTGAATCCGGATTATCAGACGGGAGCGTCGCAGAGCCAGCAACAGCCTCCAGCGGCGGCACCATTACAGCCTCAACGCACCGGAACCAATCCTTTCGCGCGCAGTTCTTCTGTACCCCCACAACAGACCCAGGGCCTACAACCCCCGCCGGCTGCGCCCCTTCGACCCAACCCGACTGGAAGTACGAACCCGTTCCGGCAGAGCGCTTTCGTGAACCAACAGACTGGCCAGGGATGGCAGGTCAGCGGCCAACAAGGCACGATGGGTGGATACGAGCAATTGAGTACAACACCTGTCTTCCCTCGGCCGGGGATGTAACATTGTCCGTTGGTGACTCTCATTACCGCTTTACTGTATTAATTATCGTGCTTGTTACCCAGTTTCAACTGATAGTAGCTTCTTCACATTCAGCGTGGGGTTGGTTAGCTGTGCTTTTACCCCTTTAGTATATAGCCAAACAAGGTTTCTTATCAATGTAAGGAAGTCTTATTCTTTTCTATTTGATCTTAGAATAACTGCCGTGTGGGTTCTCTGCCAGACAAGGGGATAACACCCCAGTGGTGGTAGGGGCTGGGTGTGATTCTGTCGGGTGTTCAGCTGGTAGTTGCGGTGCTTTTCCTGCCGGAAACCCAATATGACCGCTTGCTCTCCTCGTATCAAGAGACCTGAGGTCGTCGACACCTGACGATGTCCACGGCGATCCGAGCTCTGCCAGCACGGTGCTGTTCCAACCATCTGCACTGAGCGGCCCCCATTCGACTATGTCCACAATGTCCACTATGCGCCGCGCACGTGGACATCAGATATGAGGCTGTGGATTGGCACGCCCCTTGGGAAGGCAGTATGGATGGTATTCCAGGTACCTCTCCCGGACGTTTTGCAACTCCGTGTAATGTATGTGGTTAGCAAACATTCGAGCTCCTCGCCTCCTGAGCCCGGTATATCGGATGGTTTCAAGAGGTGATTGACAAGGTGCCTCTGATCGAGAAAGCGTCCATTGGCCAAACACTGTTGCTCCACGGTCTGTGGGATAACCTTGGGCATACAGGATAACCCTAGTTAGGGTCTTAATAGTTAAATGGCGATCTACAAGTGGCGCCTGTGCATCGAAGCTAACGAAAGACCTCGTATTCCGACACCAATCGTCTTCCAGCTCAGAACCGCCTTTACCAAATCTGTGGATAGGTGATACCGCAGTCTGCCCTATATGAGCAGATCTGTCTCAACTCGATAGCCTCACAATGAGATGGACCCATTAAACATGCGGCGGTATGTTCCGACCTCCAGGGTCGATGGCCAGCCAGACTCTATCAGTCTCAGCCGAGACCAATACGAGAGTAACGTGTCGTGCGACTGCAAGCGGTCCGAACTCTTTTCTTTCTTAGTTACACAGGTAACCAATCTTTTATATGTCGAGATATACCCCCCAGGAGCAGGAATTTCTCTTTGCATAATGCAAACGGGTCGCTCTCGCCGGCAAAATGGTGGAAATATCAGTCGCGGATGCCTCTGGTATCATTGCTGCGGCGGTTTTTATCGGTATATGGCCTCTAATATTTTTCGTATGTCCATATTAACGAGGCTACAGTTCAACTCTTCATCCCCCTGGCGGTAGCGTTGGCCTTGGTGGGACTGGTGAGAGAACAGGAGGCGGCAGTCACTTGGTACTATTCCCCGGAGTCCTTCTGAGGGCGAATACTGATATCGGACATTCTTAGGTCTGTTCTTGGACGCACCCTGCAGTCAACATACTGGCCCATGATCCTCCGCACCGACACTGCTGCAGGGACCGGTGTCCGCCGCACAGTCAAAGCCGGCGTCTTTTTACTTCCCGGGGCGCTCGGGGTGCTCGCCGTCGCTTCTATTGTCACTCCCCTAGGTCTCTATGACGGGTTCGCCCCAGCCCCAAACAAAGCGCTCTACGACTTCCAGTATGTGAAAGACCCAACCGTGATGGGCAGTGCCACGCCGCCACGCAGTCCGCTGCCCTTCAACCGACAATGCGGGTCATTCTACGATTCTGCGTGTCCCGGCTCCAACACCATAGTATTGGACAGAACCAATGATACGCGGAGGTCTTCTGCAACGCCCTTCGGCTACAACGTTACCATCCCGCAGAACGTGACCGATGTGTTCGACAGTGGCCGTGCGGGCTTGGACAGCAGCGTGTCCAGTATCTGGGACATACAGTGGCGGTCGTATACCCATCGCAGCGAGGAGGTCTACAATAACGGCTCGCGCCGGGTCCAGGGAAGCTATCGGCCCATCCAGCAGGTGTTCCTCGAGGAAGACTACGTGGTTGTCGAGGGACTCGTGGTGGATGGGAAGCGTGGAGGGATCGGATTTCGCAACCACACCGTCCCTACAGCGCCGGGACACGGCGTTACCTGGGAGGAAGATTTGCTCTGGGTGCAGCCTGAAAGTAGCTGTGTCAATACAAACCTCACTCTGGATCTTACCCTCGGAGATGTGGGCTCGATAGAGCACCTAGCGCTGACGGATCATGGCGGCTTCATCAACGTCCCGCGGCGTCTGCCCAACAGGACGTATGCGTCGGTGCAGGAAGAGCTGGATCTAGCGTATCATGCTTTTCGGGGCGCCTACATCAACAACATGTGGACCATGTTCTACATGAACATCACCAATCCGGCAAACAAGACGACCCACACGGAGCTGTTCCAATATCTCAACTCACATATCGGAAAGAATTTCACCATACCGAGCGAGTCTGTGTCGGCGCGGGCGATTCGGACCGGCGGACTGGCGATGTTTATTAAGAGTCTGTCGCTGTCCGAGTCGAATACGACCAATGCGACGGCTGGAACTTACTCAAACCCGTTTAACCTGTCATATTCGGATTTCGATGACATAGGTATGTTCCTTCTTAAGCTTGAGTATGCTGGACCACGACTGACTATTGTAGACGCGTTATGCCAGCAGACTTCCAAAGTCAGCCCGGTGAACATAGACAGTGTCGCTGTCAACTGCGGCGTCATATACGGCGCAGCGACACCTTCCGACGGATCGAGCGCGTCCACCTGGGATCCCATGACGACCTGGTCGATCCCTCTGTATACCTGTGCATCGGCGACCAAGGCGTTGATCAAGACCGTCCATTTCTCCTACAACGGAACAGGCGGGTTGAAGGACCTGCATGTGCTGGACATTCGGGACAAACAGTACGACCGCACGGAAGACCTACCCTACTGGGGAGTCGAGCACCGCGAAGACATGATGATAGGCGACGTCAATCCTGTATGGGGGATCGTGTCCGCGGAATACAAAGACCACCCCGGTCTGACTGTGGTGCAGAAGGAGCACCTCTGGCTGCCCGACGGCCAGTCGATGCTCTCCATCGGCTACAGCAGCGACAATCTCCCCGCGGCGCAATTCTCGCACAAGGCGTTGAGGGCCGCATACGAGATCGGCTCTTCGTCCAGCGACTTTAGCACTTCAGCCAGTGAATCCATCGCGGATTACTCTGGCCAAACTAACGCGGGCATGTTCACCATGTGGCAGAACATGACGCAGACGCCGGACGGCTCCGCGACCGTCTTCAATCTCATCTGGACAGACATTGCGGCCAACGCGGTCGTCGGCACGCGCGCGTACAACTGGTCTGTCCGGCCGGAGTCGTTCGCGCGGGCCGATGACCAGGAGATCGGGAGTCCCATTCGAGTTGCGGTAGTGCCTTACGAGCGTCGACTGGGATACCAGCTCCCGTATGCGATTCCTGCGGTCTTTGTGGTGGTGATTGTTTGTCTCATTGTCCTGGCGCTGCTGGTGGTGGTCTGCATGGGACGCACCGGGTTCGGGAAGATGCGGCGCTTCCTGCATCATACGTCCGTTGGGCGTACGCTGACTACGTTTGTGTATCCCAATGATTCGTATCGGCAGGCTACGACGGAGACTTGGATCAGGAGTGTGGGCGTGAAGCCGGTTGATCTGTCGGCGGCGGTCCCCATGGGGCGGACGGACGGGCGTGGGAGCAGTGACCATGAGCCATTGATTGATCAGAAGGGGGCTACACTTCGGATGAACATGGTACATAGTTAGCCTTGATTGTATTTAGTATGCTGGATAATATGTATCTCGTGCAGGCAAGGACATACTCCGAGTACGGTGCCCACTTCTACTCCGTATGAGTCTTATCGTCCTCGGCTAACAATCGGGGTTCTCCCCGCCACCGCCGCCCCACGCACGGCTTCGACCGCAATCGGCCTGCAATCGGCCAACCCCGAAATCGCCCTCCATTTAACCTCCATGAGCGTCGCATTTCTTCTTTCTCTCGATAGCTCCTCAACTCTCCTCTCCTGCACCCTCGAACCCATCCACACCATACAACCGCCATGGGCAACGACAAGCGAATCGGGGCCTACTATGCGCCCACCGGCGGCCTCCCGCCGCAGACGCAGCTGCTCACCGACCGCGCCATGTTCACCGAGGCCTACGCCGTCATCCCCAAGGGCACCTTCAGCGACATCGTGACCAGCTTCCTGCCGTTCTGGGACCACACGCGCCTGTGGGTGATTGCGCGCCCGCTGTCGGGCTTCGCCGAGACCTTCTCGCAGTACATCATGGAGGTGCAGCCCGGCGGCGGCAGCGACCGCGCCGAGCTGGACGACGCCGCCGAGGGCGTCGTCTTTGTCGTCGAGGGCGAGGTCACCATCTCCGTGGCAGGCGCATCGCACACCCTTACCGAGGGCGGATACGCCTTCCTCCCGCCGAAATGCGGCTGGACGCTGCGCAACAACGGCGCCAGCACCGCGCGCTTCCACTGGATTCGCAAGGCGTACGAGTATGTCGACGGGCTGGATGCGCCGGATCCGCTGTTCTTGAATGAGAAGGAGATTGCGCCCTCGCCGATGCCGGATACGAACGGTGCCTGGGCCACTACCCGCTTTGTCGACCCGAGCGATCTGCGTCACGATATGCATGTTACCATTGTCACCTTCGAGCCTGGCGGTGTCATCCCCTTCGCCGAGACGCATGTCATGGAACACGGGCTGTATGTGTTGGAGGGAAAGGCGGTCTACCGGCTGAATCAGGACTGGGTGGAGGTCGAGGCTGGGGATTTCATGTGGCTGCGGGCGTTCTGTCCGCAGGCCTGTTATGCGGGTGGCCCGGGCAAGTTCCGTTATTTGCTGTACAAGGATGTGAACCGCCACATGAAGCTTTCGCGGGCGAAAATATAGCCTGTGGACGAAGATGCGGAAGGGTGCGATAAAAGCAGTCCCCGAGTATAAGGAATGTATTGATAGAAGGGGTGCTAGTTCGGCAATTGCTTGAAGATTTGTAAATATGAATAGCGAAGACTTGAATGAAGAAATAGTGATTCCAATGCAGCTACGATGACTGTCTCAGATTGCATATCTTCGATTACCGTTCACACCTGTCTACACTGTCTTGTAATGCGTTCTCTTTCCAGATTTAGACTAATAATTCAGTATATTTGCTCTCTGACGGTATACACGCTGAACATGCTACACGGTACCAACAACCCCCTCCTTCTCCTTCCCCTCTTCCAGGTGATACTCCGTCTCACTCCCTGGCCCAGTCTCGGCCGCCACAAGCGGCATCGAGATGTTGGGAATGGTTATCGGCTCTGGTTCGCGGCGACACGCCGGAGGAAGGATGGGCTCGAACAGCCGCGGCACGACAAGACCCAGGATCACAATGACAAAAATGATGTGTGCGATAGTAAAACCGAAAATATGCAGCGGGTCACTGCGCAACTTGTAGAATGCCGGGTAGGCGAAGGAGACGATGATCGCGAGGATGGGGGCAGAGATGTATCGGACGACCGGTCCCCAGTAGATGGGAATCCGCCAGTTCTTGCCCGTGACGACTACTAGATTGAGATCGCGCTGCAGTTGGTGGCCCTGGATTGCATGTCAGTACCTCCACGTTTCCGGTGGGAAGAGCGAGAGAGTCGGCTTACAGAGTAGAATGCTAGCCACCAGAACCGGTTCATCCAGACATTGCTCCCCCAGAACCGCGGCGCCGACGAGTCCGGCGTCCTGGCAAGCAGGATCGCAACGATCGTACCGGCAACGTACAGCCCAAAGCCAACTCCCGCGCCGGCTTCCGGGCTCACGGCGTGGCCGACGGCGATGCCGAAGATTGTGCCACCGAAATAGCCGGCGTTGTAGACGATAAACGACGGAGTCCCGACCTGGCCCAGGACATCGGTGCAGCGGTACATGGTGGTGCTCGCGACGCATTCGCTCCACGCGATGAACAACAGAGACAGGTTGTTGAGCCATGTGTCGACGGCGTCGAGGATATACAGGCCGAACTCGGTGCAGTATATCAGCGAGAGCAGGAACGAAACGACAACAACGACAGTGCATATGGCCGTGCGAGGGACTTTTCGACCCACAGCCGAGTCGGCCAGGAGCGTCACCAGCGACTCAACCAGCGCAAACGCGGAACTGATGCCGACCAGCATCAAGGTGATGAAGAAAAGCACGGCCCAGAAATTGGCCCCCGGCATTTCGACAATGGCCGATGGGTAGGTCAGGAACCCGACGGTGAATGTGCTCAGCTGCACGTCCTCGGGTTGGAGGCCGAGAAAACCGATGACGCCAAAGACAGCGAATGCGGCGATGATCTCGAAGAGCGAGTTGCTCACGGCAATAATGACGGCGTCTTGGACGGCGTTGGAGAATTTCGTGTTGTAGGACGCAAAGGCTGTGAAGTAGCCGAACCCAACACCGGTCGAGAAGAAGATCTGACCGGCCGCGGCCTGCCAGATGGCACCGCTCGCAAGCTTGGAACTGTCCCAATGGCCCATGTACATTCTAATCCCGTCGACGGCGTTGTTGAGCGACACGGAACGCCCCAGAAGGATGATGATGATGACGATAGGCAAGCCCATGGTGATGTACACCACGCGACCCGTGAGACCGACGCCCCTGAATATGCACAGAAAAACGACGAACCAGACAAACGCCGCCCAGCCAGCCGTCTCGCCGATGATCCCGGTGCCGGGGTATTGCGCGTAGTCAACCACGGTATTGCCATTGGTGCTGTAGTTGCCGGGGATCGGGTCCTGGTTGGCAATGACGGTCCCTAGATAAAACTCCTCCCCTCTGCCCGTCCATGGAAGCGGGTCAGTAAACGAATGGCGGAAATACTTCATCGTCCAGCTGAGAATGGGCACATAGTACGTGGCCACCATGTATCCGGTGGCAATGGTGCCCAGGCCGACTCCTTTCGCGCGCTTGTTGATGCGGTGAAATGCGACGACACCGCCGCCTCGCGCTGCTTGGCCAATACAGATCTCGAGCATGAGGATGGGCATTGCCAGAAAGATCAGGGCGATGAAGTAGGGGAGGAACCATTGAAGACCGTTATTTGGGAAAACGACGGACGGGTATCGCAGGATGTTTCCCAGGCCGACAGCACCGCCCATGGCGGCCAGGACAAAGGCCGTTCGTGAACCCCATACGTCGCGTCCGTCCTCCTTCTCAGCTTTTGGGGCAAAAATGTTCAGAATACGCTTGAGTCCGTCCATTGTGGCTTATGGGATGGAGGTCATGAAACAAGCTAGAGTCGAGAGTCGACGGAACAGAGGAGATAAACGGTAGAGGTGAGCGGCGGAGGGCTTCCATGTATATTTATCGACTCGAACAACCGCAACTCCCACTAGAACCAGGGCAATCTGTCGTGTCTAGAGACACCGACAACTTGGCCGTCACTACCCGGCAACTTATCACCGGCTGAGCGAGCCAAGGATACAATATTTGCGGTTGAGCCATCCAAGAGAAAGGATTACAACCCAAGAGAAAGAGGCGCAAGGCCAAGCGCACCTAGGGCGTTTCTGGATCGTACCCCTACTCTAGGCATTTTGAGGTTCTCAATGACTGAATGAATGCTGCGGTTAGGGCGTTTGGCTGTGAGCATGCCTCTCGTTCAGGTAAAGGGTACAGAGGGCCAATTCAACCAACATTCCAGAAGGACTACACAGCATGAACTGTCATGGATTGACAAGACCTCAGGCCTCGGATAGAGTGGGTCGTAATATGGATCACGATGGAGATTTCCCCGCAAGATACCAGCTACCATGGAGTCTTCAGTGGCAACGCAGGATTCCTATGCAATTATCTCAAGGCTTTGCCATTGCAGAGGCTGCGAGAGGTAGCATCGTACTGTATAAGTTCTGCAACCGGACCGGCCGACTATGCCCGCGCCGGTCATCTCTACGGTTGTGCCCTCGCCAAGTGCTGGCCATCGTCTTGGCCGTAGACGGATTGGAGCGCTGAAACATCAGAGTTCGAGTCGAGAGACAAAGAGCAGAGTGTCCAACCACGGGGTCTTGATTACTTGATGGAAACCTCGTAATTAATAGCTGACACGAGGTAGATGCACTTTATGTAACAGCAAAGAACACCGTGAACCTTAGTACTATTCGCGAGGTGACAGAATGAATCCACCTTAGCAGAACGAAATCTAGTTCTCCGGAATCCAGTCAACGGCTTTGCATTTGAAAGGTGTCTGACGTTCCCAATAAGTTCAGCTTACACGATGCACCCGTCGTTAGGGGGATCATACCTTGCTGCACATACACTGCCATTTGTGTTTCTATGTACTCTCCGACCCAGCGTCGCAACAGTTGATTATTATTTGCAGACATATGTGTTACGAACCGCCATAAGGCCATTGCTTATATGCGTGTTGCCCTACCATACCATGTGCGGTAGAAACTGAACCTAGGCTACTCCTCAGCCAGCTCCTTAGCAGCCTACCGGAATTCCCTTGCTTGGCGTCCCTTCCCCGCTGGAGATATCACGCGGGGTTGGCACTAGTCTCACTGGCGTAGTCGCCAAGAGGCAAACAGCGGTGCCTAGGGTCTCTTGCAACTTCTGACTTGGCTTTCGTCTGGGAACGGCAGATGTCGGTCCATGGCGAATGATCTCCGGTGTCGGCTGCCGTCTCTCGCTACGTGTGCTGGAGATTTTGAGTGCGTTGAGCTCGACTGGCCGTATCGGAACACTCCGCAGGCCGAGGACGACAGTCACAGGACCCTTTTGTTATTGCCTTTGTATGCCTAAATCAGGGCACACAGGGGGGTATTAGGACCGAAGTCTTCAGGGGCTTGCCCGGCATTCGTGAACGGTCGTAAACGGCCCACATGTCAGATCATAGGGTCTGCCCAAGCCTGACAATGTGGAGGACTGTTTGCCCTACTGCGCCATTACCGGCTTTGATTTGCTGGAGAATTTATCTCTGACGACTATTATGGGGTATAGTCCACATGTTCATCCGTTCTCGGGCTCTAGGGAAGGTTCCCTGTTCTGCCACATGAACACCAACAGTCCCGGAACATTTATCCGTAGGCCTGTCGAATATTGACAAGACCTAGTATGGTGTTCAATATAAACTCGATAGAGAATTGGACTTTGTAGAACCAGGGGCAGGGATTAAGCGTTCGAAAGTGGTCAGATGAGACTGCATTCTAGATTAATCCCCAAACGAATACGAGCTTCCGAGGCTTCGTACCTGGACGAGCCATGCTATTCTATATATTGCCCTCCCGGAGTGCTGCACTCTTCCGGTAGTTAGCATAAAGCCTCGGCACATTGACAGAATACAGTGTTTCTTCTAGTCTTCATGCAGGTATCCTGAAACATGGCTTCTGCCAACGCCATATCCGCAAGACTAGAAGACATTCCCCAGATTCCCCGCGATCACCAGGCATCTATGCCTCGGAGGGGTTGATGTCTCTCAATATCCCGGTATACATTCGTTGTCAGTAGAAGTATAAATAGGCCCAGTGGCATTCTGTAAGATCAGTCCGAGTTCTATATCCTCTCCCAAAGCCATCATTGTACAGATTCCAGACGTCCGAATCCGCTTCATTGCCCTCATCATGGTTGCACTACATACCCTTCTACTCACTGCATTTGCTGCAGTTTCTCTTGCAAACCCAATTCCCGCACCCGAACTCGAGGCGCGTCAGATTATCAATGCCAACGATCTTGAGAATGGTGTGTGCAAGCCTGTGGTATTGATTTTTGCTCGTGGTTCGACCGAGTTAGGGAATATGGTAAGTCATTGCTTGGCTGCACTGTGTATACATTGTTGTCCTTATACTCATAAAGTGTAGGGAGCCATCGCGGGTATGCCAACTTGTAACGCCCTCAAGTTGGCGCTTGGAAGCCAGAATGTTGCATGCCAGGGAGTCGGAGGCGCATATACCGCATCGTTGATCCCCAATTTCCTTCCTGCCAACACCAACCAAGCTTCGATCAGAGAGGCAACTGGTGTATTTGAGATGGCTCACACCCGATGCCCTAATTCGCAAATCGTGGCCGGGGGATACAGGTTCGCCCTCCCGAGCATGTTTCTGATATGTATGGTAGAAACGCTAACGGTGAGGTAATAGCCAAGGCTCTGCGGTCATGGATAATACAATCCAAGACCTTCCGGACGTGATCAAGAACAAGGTGAAGGGTGTTGTCCTGTTTGGCTTCACCCGCAACTTGCAGGATCTCGGCCGCATCCCCAACTACCCGAAGGAGCAGACCAAGGTTATCTGCGCTGTAGGGGACTTGGTGTGTGTTGGCACGCTTATCATCACGCCGGCTCATTTGACTTATACATTGAACGCTCCTGAGGCTGCCCAGTTCCTGGCCTCTATGGTTAGTGTCTAAATGGTTATGTGGACGTGCTGCTGCGGGAGAGGGAACTACATTGAATACCTACATATGTATGGAACATTGTCTATCGAGTGAGGTCTGGCGTGACATTGAGATGCCGGGATGGAGCCGCCATATCTCGTTCAAAAATACTTTTGTATACATCTTGATATGCTGCTCTGTATCGAGTATAGGACACCTACAAGCAGGCGCTAGGACAGGTAACTCGGTATACTTTAGGAGTCCTTCACTTGAGTCTATATATATGTGTAAGCCTTCCTGCTCCATAGTAGCTGATGGGCGGATCTTTTCGTAGACTAGAAGTACACAATCAAACCCCCGAGTCATAGGGCCCATGGATCCCCGTATACTGCACCCCGTACGGATTCCGTCGCGCATAATTCTCCCACGCCCTACACGTCCGCTCTAATGTGCCCCGATCCAGAAACTCATAAAACTCGCTCCGCCGTTCGACGATCTGCTGTGCAAACCCTTCCGTCGCATGGAAGCCCACATGACAGTGCATCAGCCACACACCGGGATTGTCCGCCGGAAACGCCAGCACCAGATATCCCCCGCCATCATTCTGCGATGGCAGCATGGCCGTGTCCTTTCGTGGAGGGTTCCTTGTCTGCAGTGTAACGTTGCGCGGGTCATAGGTTCCTAGGCCCTGGGCAAGGACGAAAAAGTCATGTCCTACTCGTCGTTAGAACTAGTTAATCCTGACTGTCCATAGACCCGTACATACCGTGGAGATGAATAGGATGCGGTGCCTGAATATACGTCTGGATGACAAAGACGACCAATTCATTGGCCTTGTCGACCTCGACCACGCCTTGTCCTGCCGTCCACTGGATTTTGCCTGGATGTTCCGTCTGCCGGAGTGTCGGGTCTCGCCAGGAGACATTGAAGGCATTCCCTCCGACCGTCCAAAGGTAGAGCTTCGGGTCGCCGACGGCGTCAACGGCTGCTGGCGAGTTAACAAGCTTGGTGTTTTTCTTTAGATCGACGTCAAGCGCCAAATGCGGCACGAGCTGTGACATCACAAAATCCTCGCATTGCACATCGTCCCCATAGTCCCATTTGGACGACACTGGCTCTGCGTGCGGAGCACCCTTATACCGCACAATTCCTTTGATATTGTCGCCGTTGGTGTTGTTGCTGCAAAAAGTCTGCGGGACTGCGCGCATCCAGTAGTTATCCCGCGTCTGATCAGCGGTGACGATGATATCGTAACGCTGCCCCATGCCGATAGGCACGACGTTGGTGGTGAACGGAACGAGCGGGACAAAGTCATTGGCGATCACCGTGAGCTCGTGCCCGTCAATCGAGAACTTGAAATGAGTGTGCATGGCGGCGTTTATGAGCCGAATGCGATATCTCTTGCCTGGTTTAAACATCGTCTCGAAACGACCACCCACCGTCGTCCCTTCCGGCTTCACCCAGACATTCATCCCGTTCAGCAATCCACCCTCCATCTGCGGTGTGCCATACGTCTCCAGCTGGCTCTGATACATCTCGTCGACTGTCTGATGCGCCCAGTCACTCAGGAAGACCACGCCCAGATCCTCGTCATACTGCGCCGTCGCGGGCCCGTGAATCACAATTGGCCCGTACACGCCCTCCCACGCCTGCAGCGAGAAATGCGAATGGTACCAACTGGAGCCGTACTGCTCCGCGCGCCACACATACGTGTAGCTATGTCCGGGTGCGACGGGACATTGCGTCAGGGACGCCACGCCGTCCATCTGGTTGTTGTGCAGTTGTCGAACGCCATGGAAATGCATGGCAGTGCCGTTGTTGCTCATCCGGTTGGTAACGTGCACCTTGACCGTGTCGCCCCAGTTCGCCTCGATGGCCGGGCCAGGGAATTGGCCGTTCACCAACAGGACGGGCCGCTCGACTCCATCCGGCGCGGCGGTCGTGTTGACAATGTCGAACCAGTACTCGCGAACGACACCGGTGTCCGGGATGTTGTCGTAGAAGTTTGTATCGATCGTGAAGGGGTGCCATGGCGCCGTGGCATTTGGCGGAACAATCGGGCCACTTAGGACCAGTGATGAACCCAGCACCCACAGGAGGATCTTCAAAAGTGCGGTGATGTGCATGGCAGATCGCATGCAGGGGTAATGTGTTGTGCTACATACATCAGCGGTCTACATCGTCGACTGCATTTAAAGGGTCAACTCGAATGCCATGAGTCGAACGAGGCACCGAGTCGTCCCCCGAGTTATTCAGCCATCTGTGTCGTTGGCTGAAGCGCAGGATTGTTGGATACGAGAAGACACAGCCCTCATTGCCACCGGTGCTGTTGCGTCCAGGCGGACATGCTCGAACGGAGCAGGCAGACTAGTAGGCCTAGCCAGTGGCTAAAATTGCCTCTCTTAGTGTCTTTTGGAGAGCCTAAATTCTTGGCAAGAACATGCGTGGGGTCTCTGCTGAACCAGAGCTAACTATAGCATGGGGATTTGTCGGCCTAGACACCGTGACATCCTCGAAGAACCGAGGCTCATGGTGGAGCACTGGTTCTTTGAGTCAAAGGAAGACCTCAGCCAGACATGAGACCTACTCCGTAAATCGCTAGACACTTCCACGAGAATAGTTCATCCTAAGAGCAAAGCACGTCCTACAGCCCAGCCCGGTTGAATCCAAGAGCCTTCCCCTTCCCTCATACGTATTTCGGTGAGTCTCTTTAGCCTCTCCGCTCCATTACGGGTATTCCTTAGACTTCATGTTAATAAGGACAGAACCTTCTACCTAGTCCGGCAGCCTAAGTAAATTAGCGGACAGATCCTCCAGATACAACCAAACAACGGCGACAAGTGCTAGCGAGCACGATGCACCCATGATTGGACATGTTTTAATGGCCCCTGGAATAAGCCTCAGCCACGTTTATGTGGGATGGAACCTGGAGCGCCTGGAGCCCGTCCGATAAGGCCAGATCGAGCAGATCTCAATCTACCAAGCGGGCAGATGGATTCGGAGGCACGGAAGGGCGGATTTAGCCGACAGATTCTTCATTCCTTCGTCGATTGACGGGTGGCCCCGTGTTTATCCGACGTCATACATCATCCTACACGGAGTATGCAATCTTACGATGACCAGGCTAATACAAATACGAACCATAACCCCTGTCGATGGCTTCCCTAAGGTGAGACCCGAGCAAATAAGTCCAGTCCAGTTAGTGCATGGGGACGGTGCGTTTCCCGCATCAAATCTCTCCTAGCCGATACGATGACAGCAACCCTGGCGCCTGCATGGAGTCAGCGATGACACCGTATGTGGTTGGCTTCTCGCTTGATGGCCTCGTTATTTGCTACCTGTTTGGTGTTCCCTGCATGTTGCAGGAAGTTGCATCGGCTGCGCCGTTTCGCCTAGGGCCCGGCACGTGTGAGACTGATAGATCGACTTGTATGTAGACCCTTAATCAGGCAGCATAAATCCGGGGACCGTGGTCTACACTTGTAGCTGTAGACAGCTCACTAGACACATCCACCTGCAGTGCTCCATCTCCTTCAATGTCGACTATGTCACGTCCCCGTCGGAGTTGGACAGCAGAAGAAGATTCGATCCTACGACGGGAGGTAGAGAAAGGTGCCACAGAATTTAGATCCACACTACCATCGGGATGAAGCTGACGGTGAAGTGTAGCACAAACACAAGGCTCTGTGAGCTGGCACGAGATCGCATCCTTCCTCCCCGGCCGGACCAACAAAGACTGTCGGAAGCGTTGGTATGGGACCACAGCTACCAAAGTGAACAAAGGACCTTGGACCGAAGAGGAGGACGAACGCCTGGGGAAAGCCGTGCAGCACCACGGCACCAAATGGGCTGTTGTGGCTTCGGTCGTTGGCACAAGGCTGCCGGATCAATGCTCCAAACGGTGGATGCACGCACTCAACCCGGAGATAGACCACAGTCCATGGACGCCGGAGGAGGTAGTGTTTGCCTGCTCATTTTCTCCGAAAGACTTTGTTTTTCTGATGCATGCTTGTTAGGATGAGCTCCTCGTCTGCGGGGTCGAACAATACGGTCATTGCTGGCAACAGATAGTTTCCCTATACTTCCCTCGAAGAAGCAGTCTTTCTGCAAAGAATCGGTATCACCTCCTCCAGCGCAGGCTGCAGAACGAGGCTATTCGATCGATCGGGAATACAGCCGACTCGGACGAGATGATCGACCTGGACAGTGAGATGGACGTGTATGTGTCCGACGGGGGATTCATAGATACGCTGCCCTCGATCACGCCGCTGCCCGCCGGTGATCTCGGGTCCGAATCCTGGGGATATCCTTTTCCATCTTCGATCAATGAATACTACAATCCGAGTCCGAGTGCGTACCCCTCGGCGCCGGTTACGCCACCTGGGTCAACCATGTCACGCAATCCGTCACGACCGGCTTCCTCTCATCGCAGGGTGACCATCCAGGCAGTGTGTTCTACAGATAACCTGGGGGACATGTTTAAGGCCGTGACCGATCTTTCTATTTCAGCTGTATTCAAGACTGATAACTAGGCATTGTTCGATATAAATAGATTGCGTCACGTAATAGGATGCATAGCATCGTCTAATTCTATGGCTCCAAGAATAGTCTATGAATCGATCTGTCCACGCTGAAACTCCACCCGCGCATTGGACTCGAACAGAATCTTCATCACCGTCAAGATAGTCTCTGGTGCGGCTCCCTCCACTGTAATAGTGATTCGAGAAGTCTCTTCATCCGGCAGGTCGGACGAGAAACCAGAATCAGACACGGCCGTGGTAGTTTCGACGTGCGCCGAAGAAGATTCTCTTTGATCGCCGTTGAATGTTGGTGGAGCCTCGTCGGTCCAGGACGGTAGGTCTGGGTTCAAGTCCGCACAGAGAACACTTGGATTCATCAGGAGATTGTCAGGGTGCAAAAAATTGCCAATTTGCTCCTGATCTACACGGACCAAATCCTCCGCGTTAAGTGCCCAGTTGCAAAACGTCTTGTCGTGAGCATCAAAAGCCTCCTCGGCTGGCAGTAGCTGCAGATACTGATCGATGCAAAGATCATGCTCGGGTGTGGCGGCGTCCATAGTACTCTGTGCCCCGGAGTGATTTACTGGCGAGGAAGCCCTTGTCGAAAAGTCGCTGGAGCTCGAGCCCCTTTGCCGCCGGCTTAGAATTGTGAATCTTGCAGGGTTAGCTCTTGATCCTTCAGGGGGGTTGTTGTTGTCTTACTGGTTCTTGATATTGTTTGCTGAACGGGTGGGAAAGTAGCCACGCTGGATGTCTTTCCAGGTAGTTCCGTGGACTTGGACTGCAGAAAGAAGCATTTCGTTCTTCTTGGTCAGCGGGATCCGTCAACAATATTATTGAAATGCCTACCTCAGTGTCTGTCCATGGCCTACGATCCAAGTCAGGATTGAGGCTGTGATGCCACCGCTTGGAGCATTCTCCATGATCATCATTAGCCCACTATCAAACACGGCACGGCCGATCACTTACGATCTGCGGTCCTCGTATCCATCCTCTGAGCAATCAAGGCCCAGTTGCAGCGGTACTTCCTCACCAGCGCTCGAAGGCGCGCGTCTTCTTCGGGGCTCCACGGGCCCTACAGCACTAGTAAGCACGACTCCAGTTGTAGAACTTGCTTTTGACTCAGCTCGCGGGTACCTTTCTCACACAGCCCGCAAACTGGTTATGATACCGTTTCCGACAGTCCTTATTGCTGCGGCCTGGAATTTTCATGGCGATTGCGTTCCAGTCAATGCGATGAGGACGCCCGGTGGGGGCTGTCAGCGTTAGTCAATCCTTCGATTCAGGGCGTACCACCACTACCCACGGGCGTACATCGTTCTTGTTGTAAGCACACCTCATGGCGGAGGAGGGCGTCCTCGGCGGGCGTCCAGCGGCGTCTTTCTGCGACCATGGCTGTCATGCGAGACTGGCTGTTGGATTTGGGTGCAATTGAGCGTGAAGAGCAACGTTAGAATTGTGTCGAAACTTTTATCAGTTCACTTCTCGCTTCGGATGGACACTTTTCGTCAGGTCCCAAGTAACGCCACGATTCCCGCGGAGTAATTTAAAGAGAAGTGTAATCCTCCTGCGAGACACCGAGTAACAGGGGTATGGTTAGCGATCCATAGTGGGCGTCATATAGCGATACGAGCTGACTGCTCAGCTGGGAGGTGGATGCCTGTGATTCAGCCCCGATGGGTACTCCGTATAGAGCGCGAAATTGGTTTGCTTGGGGCTTGGATATGAACACTGAAGAAACTAAGATGTATAAAGGGCGATGTTTCTCGTAGAAACATGTACAGTCTTGTGAATAGTACCCAAATCGAGCCTCATCTACTGCACGCCCCCGGTCACTATGCAGCTCCTGACTATTGTCTGGACGTCCCTCGCAGCAGGGATAATGGCGACGGCCACTCCGACCTCCCTCCCTCTCTGCAGCATGGTCGATCGCCCCTGCAAATGCCCACCGGGCACCACCTTCAAGAATCTCACGACCTATGGTGTGATTGGTGCGCCGGCCCGCGATGTACAGGATATCATGGGCTCCTGTGAGTATCTTCGGTCTCCGGCCTCTAGTCCGAGCTCACAGCCGCAGTCTTCGATCTCCAGTTCCAGGGTGGTCTAGTCCCTTCTAGCACCAAGGGAAAGGACAATGTTCCCGGGGCCGTGCGGAGTTTCAACTTCTCCGGTCCAGCCGGTTACTACGTGATCAGTGAGCAGGTTTGTCTCCGACTCCGAATGAACAGCGGACATGTAGCTGACGTCTACAAGCTTACTAAATGGAAGACCTCGCCGGATGGATCTTTCAACCAACAGTACCAGCAGAGTCCCAGTGAGTATAAAGTCATTGTATCCGATTCGCAATTCTAACCTCCTGGTAGAGCCGCCTGTCGTTCAAGTCCCCGGTGCAGGGGCTTACCACGGCGGTTGGACCAGTATCGTCGGCCAGCAGACAGTCGTTCGTAACGAGACTGCGATTGCCTGGAAGAACTGGCGCTGTGAGACGGGTGAGACATTCCGTAAGTCAATCCAAACCCTCCCCCCCGATTTGACACACAGGCTTATTGTCGGGTAGCGTCGGCCACCTCGCACGAAGGCGGCATTACCAACACGTCTGCGGTTCTCGAGAAACAAGGCAAGCTCACTGGGGTGAGCATTGCTGCTTTTACCATCTTTAATGAGGTTAGAGATGATTAGACGGAGGTGCATGTCTTAGTATTGGTTGTATTTTATGACTGGCGAGACCGTGTTGGTTAGGTAGTTCCATATCGAATGACCCTAGGTTTAGAGAATAAGATGACTTGGTATACCCGATGTCCTCGAGGCACCTATTATAAGCGAGGATGTGAGCTAATATATGTAACTTTTGGCTGGCAATGCAGACTCACAAGCAAACAACCCTCTGACAAGACTCTTCTGCATGCTTTGGTGGGCTGATGGTCATGCCACCCAGCTGATACAAAACTCGGATTGATGTAACCAAAAGATGCGAGTCTGCTGCCGCCTGTGGCACAAATGAAACAACCCGTGGCAAAGGACGATGTTATCTTTCCTGGCCGATATGCGAAGTAGATCACCCCGATCTAAGTCTACCCTATCTGAATATATAGGAGCGCATGTATATCGGACGTACATATGTAGAATATCTGAAAGTGAGATATAGTCTTCGTAAAGGAAACAATTATTCTCAGAATATTTACCAATTAATCGCTCGAGGACATGTAGCAAACGAGTTGAGCATTCTATAGCTGCAATATCTGACAAGCTCGCCATTCACAAAGCATCCCACAACCGAGCCAGCAAGCTCTTCTTCGTCGGTAAAGTCTCTTCGCATTCCAACAAGAAAGACGCAAAATACTTGTTCAGCTTGCCGATCTCCTCTGGCCAGACACTCACTCCAACCGCCAAGTCAGGGCGCACTACCACCAGTGCGCCCCGCGCATGGTTGACCCCATACCAGTAGTGCGCATCATCGTCGGGTGCGCGATCGTCGTAGACAGTCGTTGCATGGTCTTTGAGGGGCGCTAAATCACCCTCTAGGAGTTCCGCGGTCTGGTGTGACAGCGTCTTCACCACAAGAATGAGGTTGAACATCTCCCGGCCTCCAAATCGCTCGTAGAACCCTTCTCTCTTGCGAAGTTCACCAGCCAAAACGGCCAAACGCTGCCGCACGGGACCCTGCAGGTCTGATCCAAATAGCAGGAGATGGAATCGCCCAACGCCCATCATTTTATCGTACAAATATGCGGTGTAGTCTGTCGCCAGACAGACACGCGGATTTGGTGCGCGGACCCCATTCCGTAGAGACGAGGCACGTACCTTGGTGTCAGCCGGACAGATCGCAGAGTTCACAATGGGCCACTCCACGCCCAACAGGAACATCGCATGCCGCTTGAAGAACGTATAGAGAAATTCCCGGTCCGCCTCGGTACTCCCATCTAGAAGCGGCAGATTCTCATCGTGTGATTCGAGATGTTCGCCAAGATCTCGCAGCGCAGCGAGCGGAAGAGAGGAGTTGCAGATGAAGCGGAGGTAGGCGCCGGAGCATCGGATGACCCGGTTGGCAAACAGGCGACGCTCCTTGTCGTAAGTGGTGAGAATAGAAGGCTCCGCGTGCTTGCGGAGGACGAGGCCCAGTTTCCAGCCGAGGTTGGCGGCGTCGTAGATGGAGGAGTTGAGCCCGAAAGCGCCCAGCACACTGTGTACGTGCCTGTCCAGGTCAGTAACAGCATATACTGATAGGACGCGGAGACTTACGCGGCGTCGCCGCCGAGATGCACTCGGAGATCAGGGGAGGAGAAGTGACGTGCGACTCGTTCACTCACTGCTTGATCAGTACCACGATGTGTCTGTCGAGGTCGTGTTCATACCTCTCCAGACAGAAAACCAGCTCATTGGCGATGCAAACTCGACCTTGTGCGGCGCAATGATCTTGTTGAGCTGCTCCAGGACCTCGTCGGGCGTGATGCCATGGTCATCAATGCGTGTCTCGCCAACCGTTGAGGCATTGCGACGCGCCTGTCGGTTGGCCTGGAGCTTGCGGGCTTTCTCGCCATTGATCTGCGTGTAGAATCTGTCGCGGTTAGTACCTGCATATGCATGCCCGTCGGCTGTCCCTGAGACATACCTGGTGTACCCGTCCTCCCGCGGAATCACAATGGATCCGCCATGCTCCGCACTAATGATGATATTAAATCCAAGAATATGCGGATAGTCTGTCTTGAAGCGGCAGTCCATGATGGCCCAGTAGATATCCGTCGTAATGCCATCGAATTCCACGCCTAATTGCTCGCGGATGCTACTGGCCGCGCCGTCCGCACCGATGAGATACCGGGCGCGGACTACTTCCTCTTCGCCGGTGGCCACATTTTTCAACGTCGCTCGCACTGGATGGTCCTGCGATGTTGACTGCACGTTGAAATGTTGCACTGTCGTACCACGTTCCACGACGATCTGGTGCCGCAGGAGATCGCGGATATAGATGCGCTCCATCTGACCCTGTGTGATGATATGGATCCCCTTGTACCGGGAGTCGCACGTCGAGCTGAACCCATGGAACAGCTTAACGCCGTTGCGGAAGAGCACCGTCGAGTTCAGGATGGGCCCTTCTTCGGAAACCTCGTGGGCAAGACCCCAGGCGTGTAGTTGCTCGAGGGCTCGGGGATGAACCCCATCCGCTCGGCCTGAGAGACAGGGCGCATTTGCTTTGTCTATGGAGCTGTTAGCGCAGGAAACATAGCGGCACTGGTACGGATAGCATACCAACAATGCGGAAACTAATTCCCTGGCGGGCTAGTATCAGTCCGAGCTCCAGGCCAAACGGACCAGCTATAACCACGTTAGGGTTTGCTCATGTGTCGTCAATTGACACCCATACCTCCGCAAATCAGCACATCGACTTCTTTCGAAGGCTTGAACCATTCTGGCTTCCCCGTCGCCGTGCCATCATAGATACTCGGCCAAGTCCGAAGATGAGTTAGCCCGAGCCCATTCCCAATAGTCGAAGTAGGCGGCTCCGTGTGCACGGGCAGCATCCAATGGGCCCGCTCTCCAGATTCGGCTACATAGTTGGTCTCGGCTTCCCACGAGGCTTGATCTGCCGGACGGGCGTACCCTGCTTCCCATGTTTGGGGGGGGAGTGTACTAGCCATGGATCAGTATGCTCGGGAATAACTACAGGGAAATGGATTAGTCAGAATTCAAGCCAACTAGTTACCAGATATTAGGTGCCACCCTCTACCCAAGGGGATGCTGATGCATTTTCATCTGTCGAAATCCGGACACGAGGCCGTGGCAATACTCTGGGTTGCTGGACCCGGAGTCAAGCATTGTAACACAAAAACGGCGGCAGGGGGGTGTTCGGAGATACATTCGGAGATCGAGGTCGCTTAGTATGCGCCACGTATTTTGGTCTGCTCCAGGTACTCTGGTCTCTCACGTCACCGTCATCCGATCAAACAAAGAAAAGAGCAAATAAGCTTACAAATATGTATATCGGACATAGCGGTCTCCGGTTGGTTCACTCGTTGTAGAGATCGACAGGATCCAGCCACAAGATATATATATATCGCTACAATGCATATACGGACAGGCGGATAGACACAACAACAATCACAACCAATCTGAACGCGTCATCCAGCGCTCCCCAAAATGCCTAACGTCTTCATTCTCGGTGGCTCGGGCTATGTCGGCCTCGCCCTCGCCAAATCCCTCCTCGCCGCGGGCACCTACACCGTCTGGGGCACAGCCCGGACCCCGGAAAAGGCAAAGCTCCTCCTCCAAAATGAAATCCACCCCGTCGAGGAAGACATCACCGATGCGGCCAAGCTCGCCGCCATCATCGCCGATCACTCCATCGATGTGGTGGTGGACTGCACCTCCGCCTATGAGCAGGCCGCGTCGATCCTCAAGGGGGTCGTCGACGCTGCGACTGCGCGCCGCGACGCCCTGAAGAAGGAGGGCATCGCTAGTCCCAAGCTGGGATTCGTCTACTGCTCCGGCTCATGGGTGCATGGATCGCCTTCCTCGCGGGTCAGCGACCTGTCTCCCGTTGGCAGTGCACAGTCGAAGGACAAGCCCGCCACCGCGGTCGCCTGGCGGCCTGCCCACGAACAAGCCATCCTCGCGTCTCGCGACGTGCTCGATGTCGCAATCCTCAGACCCTGTGCGATGTACGGTCGTACCTCCTGGGTCTGGGGCACCTGGTGGGGTGGGCTCCTTGCCGCGAAGAAGTCCGGTAGCCAGGATACCATCCAGGTTCCGGCTGATATCACCGCGAGAACCGGCACGCTGCACGTGGACGATGCGGCGGCAGCGTTCCACGCAGCCATTGACCGGCTGGATGGACGACTTGGATCCTGGCCCGTGTTTGACCTGGTGACGGAGACGATTGGCGTGCAGGAGATCATGGAGGCGGCCAAGGCGGCGCTGGGAGTCACCGCGAAGCTGGAGTATGCGGGCACCCACGGCAATCCGTTCTTGGAGGCGTTGAGCCTGGTGAGCAAGTCTGATGCGTCACGGGCGAGAACAGTGCTTGGATGGGAGCCACGCCGCAAGGAGTTTATCTTGAATCTGCCGTTGTACATCCAGGCGTGGGAGGCTTCCCAGTGAATTTGGCCATGTTATATACTTACAGAGTCAATGCAAGGCTAGAAAGCCTATGAAATAAAATTGTTTACGATGCTCAATGTGCCTCGGCCGTAACAGATATAGGTGTTGATAGAGCGCGTCTTTGTGGTTGACACTTAGCAATATGATGGGACGAATTAGTCACGCTTATAGTATATGGCCTCTACCAACGGCTGAATGGATAATAGACGGATAAATAAATCAACGAATAAACGAACTTCTATACGGCCAGCACTAATTAAGTCTATATCTTCTTCCAATTCAACCCAGCCTGGATCGTTCTCGACACAAGCAACATCCCACATCCAGCCGCCATGGTCACACCACTGAAAATCTTCAAATACAAATATCCCCCATTATCCTTGGCAATCAGTGCTCCGGCAATCGGATTCCCTGTGAAGGTGGCTAAACTCATGATTCCGAAACACGTCCCCAGACGGATGCCCACGTTTTGCACCGCCGAAAGCTGCTGGATCAACGCGGGGGTGATGGACACAAAGGTCCCAGAGCTGAACCCAAAGAGAGCTGCAAAAACAATGGTCACCGCAGAATGGGTTGCGGGAATCCATAAAGCCAGGCCCAAAATGGCCGATAGTCCGGTAGTGAGAATGGCAATGTTGAAGCGGCCCATCCGGTCACCGAGCCAGCCGGGGATAATGCGGCCAAATATGCTGTTGCTTGATCAGCTGTGTTGGAATTTAAAGCGAAAATGAACCTACCTGACGGCGTTCAAGATAGCAATGAGATAGTTCGCTAGGTACAGGCTCATGCCGTGGGTCTGCGCTTCGAGGACGAGGAAATTGAATGGGATAAACATGCCCCACGAGAACAGACACAGCCCCAGCGCAGTGGTCACAAAGGGTGGCTCCTTCAATGGAAGCATGAAATCCCTGATCTTCCATGGTTTCGGCTGCGGCTGCACGCGCGGCTCCAGGAAGATCATCGCCAGCAGCAACAAACCGAGGAACATGAAGGCACAGATGCGCATGGTCCATGGAAAGCCAATTCGCGGGATGAGTCGAGTAACGATGATCCTATCTTCGTCAGTTTCGCCCAGCAGACGGATGGAATCACATACGGGACTAAACAACCGCTCAGCGACGACCCCGAAGCCACAACACCAAAAGCCAATGCTCGGTTCTTCAGAAACCACGAGCCCACGGGTCCCATTCCAGCAGAAAACAACGCCGCCGCGCCAAGGGCGCTGCAAATTGACTGCGCCAGAAAGATCTGGTAGTATTCTTTCCCCAACGAGGCCATCATCAAACCAAACACATGGGCAAAGGCACCCCCATATACTAATGGCTTGGGCCCATAGTTGTCGTATATTTTGCCATATATCGGCGAAGTAATATACATGATTCCCGTCTACTGCGATTAGAATGTGCAATGAATATAGAGTGTCCAGCATACCTCAACGGACGTGATCCAGGCCACGGAGCTCGGCGAGTAGGACGGAAACAGCTCATCTTGGTAGAATGTCTGGAACAAACCAATGGAATTCACCCAGCCAAAGCTGCAGAACAGACATGACCAAGCGCCGAGTACAACGGACCAGGCTTTCCAGCCGCCGTCGGGGAAATCCGAGGGGTCTGGGGAGTTGTCGACCTGTTTCTCCTCTGCCATGCCGATAGGATATCAATATCGCGTAGGCAAGAAGATCATTAGAACTATGAGATGGAAGCAGAGAAGATATGGTCAGGCATCGTGTCCGGCCTGAACAAAGGGGACCAGAGTATGTCCGTCCGGCTGGGATAGCGAGTCGGACATCGACACTATGTCCGAGGCCAGCTCGGCTTTATTCAACAGACTATTTTTGTGGCTGCCCAGGGTACTTGCGTCAGATTATTTATTTCGCAGCGTTCATGCACAGCAATTAATCCCAAATACCTCTTGTATCGAGCCCTAATTACTACTAAAATGTCTCTTACTGGAAAAGTTGCCATCATCACCGGTGGCTCCAAAGGCATCGGGAAGGCCGCTGCGCTACGCCTGGCCCAGGAAGGGGCCAGTGTAGCCATCGGCTATCACAGTGATGCCTCGGGGGCTCATGAGGTGGTTGAGAAAGTCGGCGCTGACCGTGCCATCGCCGTCCAACTCAATGCGGGAAAAGTGGCCGAGATCTCGCAATTCGTGGACCAGACGGTTGAAAAGTTCGGAAAGATCGATCTGGTGATTGCGGCAGCTGGAAAGATGACAATGAGCCCGGTTGAAGCCCTGACGGAAGATGTCTTTGACTCGTTGTTCGAGTTAAATGTCAAAGGGCCGATGTTCCTCGTCCAGGTATTCCCTCCTACCCCCATGACGCCCGAGCACAAGTTGACATCCCAAAGAAAGCCGTGCCTCACATGGCTCCTGGATCCCATGTCGTCCTCTTCTCTACAACTCTGTGCGCGGCCTCGATGGTGGCTCCCCCTTATGTCAGCTATGTTGCTAGCAAGGGAGCTATCGAGCAAATGACCCGAGTGCTCTCCAAGGACCTAGGAAGAAAAGGCATTGCCGTGAACTGTATTGCGCCCGGCCCTACAGCAACCGAGCTGTTCAATCGAGTGCAGACGGAACAGACCCTCGCCTTCCTGCGAAGTGCCAATCCCAATGGGAGGATTGGAGAGCCGGAGGATATTGCGGGCAGTATCGTGTTTCTGTGTAGCAGCGATAGTCGCTGGGTGATGGGACAGACCCTCCGCGTCAATGGAGGAATGGCTTGATAAACAGTATTTCGTGTATATTGAATTTGATGATATGAATGCACTTACCCCGGTCTCGGGACCAGAGTATACGGTCAAATGCAAAAACCCGACAACTTCGCATCCTCGTATTCAATCGACCACCAAGTATCGCCCGTAGATAGCAAAATGGCTCTTCTCGAGGACATAATCAACTTCGCTACGCTCAATCCGATGGTGGTGGTCGCAATTCCAGTGTTCTTGTTTGTTATCTCGCTGCTCCGTTCGTATCTTCGACTTGCTCACATCCCCGGTCCATTCGCCGCGGGCTGGACCAACCTTCCTCGCTTTTCGTGGGTATTGAGCTTCAAAGCGCACGATATCCACACGGCGCTGCATCGCAAATATGGCCCCCTGGTCCGATTCGGTCCGAATATGGTCTCTGTCGGCGACCCGAAAGAAGTTGGCCACATATATGGGTTTACGGATCCATGGATGAAGGTAGTTCTTCTTCTTAGCGCACATCGAGCTAATACTAACAGCTCAGTCTGACTTCTATCATGCGCTTCTTATGAAACCTCGCGGAAAGCCGATTCCCGGTATTTTCGCGGCGCAGGACGAAAACATCCATCGCGCTTTGAAGAAGCCCATCTCGAGCGCCTACTCGATGAGCACGCTGCTCTCCTTCGAGCCTTATGTCGACAGCACCATGCGTGTCTTCTGTGAGCAGCTAGAGTCACGTTTTATCGAGAACAAGAAACCGCTAGATTTCGGCAAGTGGCTGCAGATGTTTGCTTTCGACGTTATCGGCGAGTTGACCTTCTCGCGGCGTCTGGGGTTTCTGGAGTCTGGAGAGGATATCAATCATGTCATGGCAAACATCTGGGAGACGTTTAAAAAGACTTCGCTGGTACGTTAGTTCTGTCGCCAACAGTGCAGAACAGGACTGACGAAAGAAAGGTCACGCAAATGCCCTGGCTCGACAAGCTCTGGACCAACAACCCCATCCAGCGCTGGCGACGCGGTGGAGGAGCCAGCCCTGGGGCAGCTTTTGCCATGGCCCGCGTGGAGGAACGACGCGAGCTGCAGCGCACGACGAACAAGAACGACTGGCACTTTAATACTCGGGATTTCCTGTCCCGGTTCATGGAGGCAGAAGCAAAGGATCCCTCCATCCCACCGTAGTACGTATCTGCGTCCTTTGCTCACAATATTCTGCTCACAAATTCTAGTGCTCTAGCTGCGTGGGCCTCGTCCAATATCACAGCTGGTAGTGACACCACTGGCATCTTCCTACGAACTATTTTCTACCAGCTCCTGACGCATCCCGAAACTCTGCGCAAGCTCCGAGAGGAGCTAGACCAAGCTGCCGCCGCAGGCAATTTGGATGACCTCGCTTCATGGAAGCAAACGCGAGAGTTACCTTATCTTGATGCAGTGATTAAGGAGGGCGGCCGCATTCACCCTCCATTTGGACTCCCGTACGAGCGAGTGGTCCCCGCTCAAGGCGCGACCATCTGTGGGAAGTTCCTTCCAGGTGGCACTCTCGTGGGGATGAGTGCGTGGGTTGTGCACCGGAACAAGGAGTTGTATGGAGAGGACTGTGACGAGTGGAATCCGGACAGATGGCTGAAATGCGATACAGAAAAGCGCAGAAAGATGGAGAACGCTTTGCTAACGGTACGTTACCCTGCAGCACTGGAACCGATGTGCCCTGACGATGTATAGTTTGGTGCGGGTCATCGGACTTGCATGGGAAAGCACATTGCCTATCTGGAGATGTACAAGGTGGTTCCCACTTTGCTGAGGAAGTATGATGTAAGTCGTCTTCTTTGTTTTCTTGTAAGCCGGACTGGCTAACGTGAACAGTTTGATCTGGTAGGACAAGACGAAGGTGGAGGCTGGACAGTGTTGAATCGTTGGTTTGTCATGCAGGAGGGCTTCTTGGTCAGATTGAAGAAGAGAGCCAAATAGGTGGACTGAATTGAGAGTAGGAACGGTTGATGGAATTAATCTGCTTGATTTAGAGTCTAGATTGGGCAAACCAAGCACAAGTAAGCCCTAATACCGATTACTCTGGACACATAGACCATCATACGCGAGCATCCATACTCCGGTCCATGATAGTATACATGCAACCAATCAGTCGGGGACCCGGCTGACATCAGCTTTGTAGATGAGACACAGTCCTATCCAGTATGGAGCCTTATAGATGCCTGCTACGTCTTTGTTTCGATTGCTGGAAGACCCAGAGAAACCACAAACCGGAAACGCCACAATGTCGCCCATCGCCATCGATACAGCGCCTTTCCAGAGGGCCAGGGTCAACTTGCTGCATCCCGAGGACCCGAAAGCAGTCAAAAGTATTGTCCAGCTTCTTCAGTTCAACGCCGAGCACAATCCAGACCATGTGTTTTGTCTCCAGCTTCCTTCGAAACAAGACGACGCCATCGGCAATCCAATAAGGATCACGCATCTGCAATTCTATCGCGCTGTCTCCTACTGCACCCAGCGGCTGCAGGAAGAAATAGACGGTCTTCACGGTCCAAGAGTCAACGAGGACGGAACAGTGACCAAATGCAGCCCCGTGGTACTTTTCATGGAAAGCAACGTCGGACTCCTGATTCACCTCTTGGCCTTGATGAGTCTAGGCGTGCCCGTGGCCGTCCTCTCTGCTCGCCTCAGTCCAACGGCTGTCCAACACCTCATGTCGAGTATCAGGGCACAATCGGTTATTGCATCGCCCCGGCTGAAAGGTACAATTGAGGAGGCAATCGCATCTGATAACAACACCCCGGCAATTGGAGTGAGGATGTATACACAACGACCGTTCGAAGACGATCTCGAGAATAGTCGAACACTGGACCTTCCTGCTACGAACGAGGAAAGCCATTTCATCAGCGAGAATGATCGAAATGTATTGATCCTCCACTCTTCGGGAACAACCGGACTCCCCAAACCGATATATCAACCGCATAGATATCTCCTCAACTACTCCGAGTGCCATGAGCTGGGGCCAGACGACGCGCTCGGAACTGTACTCTCTGCTCTACCGTTATTTCACGTAGGTCCAGGCGCAGGAACAAACGCACGCAAGACACTGACTGATGTAACAGGGATTCGGGTTGGTCGCACCATGTCTCGCCATGACAGTTGGGAAGCCCTTTATGCTGCCTCCCTCCAACACCATACCCACCGGCTCGTTGATCATCGAATTGATCCAGTCTTTTCAGCCCACGGCGCTGATGACGGTTCCCCACATTCTCGAGGAAATCACCACACTACCCCCCGAGCAAAGTATCAGTGCTTTGCAGCCCTTGGAATTTGTTCTTTGTGGTGGAGGGCCACTCAAGATTTCTGTCGCCGAGGCATTGGCCGCCAGCGGTGTCAATCTACTCGCTCATTTTGGCACGACCGAGACCGGCCCTCTAGGCGTCGTTTTTGTTCCGACCCCAGACTACGACTGGCACTACTGGAAGCTTCGTCAAGACATCAACTACCGGCTCGATGAGGTGGACGCCAACTCCGCCGATGGAAATCAGTACAAACTCACTGTTCATCCATTTGGCTGGGACTCAGCTTTCGAGATCCAGGACATCCTCCTCAGTCGCGGTGCAGAGTATAAGCATCATCTTCGCGCCGTGGGACGCAAAGATGATTTGATTGTGCTCGCGAACGGAGAGAAGCTTGTTCCGCGGGTTCTGGAGACTCTCCTTATGCAAGACGAGCGGGTCAAGTCCGCCGTAGCATTCGGAGAAGGCAAGTTCGAAATTGGTGTAATCGTCGAACCTACACACAAAGTTAGCGATGAGGAGGATTTTAAAGCAGCTTTGTGGGCCATCGTCTTGGAAGCTGGAGCGCAGATGGATTCTCATGCGCAGGTATCCAGCCCGTCCAGCATTATACTTGCGACACCCGAAAAGCCTGTTCCCAGGTCCGATAAGGGCTCGATTCTCAGGAGAGAGACATACCGTGTCTATGACGAGGAGATATCAAGGGTCTACGAAGTACTAGACAGAGCTTCTGAAGAGACGACCGCATTGAATCTCCAGTCTGATAGCCTTGAGGAGGACTTGAAGGATCTCATCCAGCGCGAGATAGGCTGGAAGATTTCCCCTTCAGAATGGCTTCAAGATAGCGACCTGTTTGAACTCGGTATGAATTCTCTGCAGGCAATCCGCCTGCATCGACTTCTACTTTCTTCCTTACCTGTGGATTCGAGAGAGCGGGTTGGGGCCGATTTCGTCTATAGAAGTCCATCTGTGTCCAAGCTTGGGGCGTCTCTACGGCATCTGGCTGCAAACGAGAACGGACATAGGAATGACCCCGAGACTGAGATTGATGAGCTGATTTGTCTAAACTCCTTTATTGCCCGACAGGATGCCACAGTTCTCTTGACTGGTAGCACAGGCAATCTCGGGTCGAATCTGTTGGCTCATCTCACCACCTTACCCAGAGTCAAGAAGGTTATCTGCCTCAATCGACGAGGCTCTGACACCTCGACGGCGCATACCGACCTCGTTGAACGACAACTAGCCATCGCCAAAAGCAAAGGAGTTGTGATTGACCCGGAATCAGCTTCGAAAATTGAAGTCATCCCATGCGATCCCAGCGCCGACTTCTTCGGGCTTCCTGCCGAGGTATACACGCACCTAACAGCACAAACAACACACATTCTTCACAATGCGTGGCCAATGGATTTTAAACGCAACGTGGCCTCCTTCCAATCTCAATTTCAATACCTTAACAATCTCCTCCGTGTCGCCCATGACACCCGTCTCTGTCGACCGTCCATCAAGCCACGATTCTTGTTTGTCTCTTCGATCGCGGTTGTGGGACAGTATCCACGTACCCATGGGACCCGGCTCATTCCTGAAGTCCCCTCTGATAAATCCAGCATCATTGAAGACTTTGGATACGGGAAGGCCAAGTATGTATGCGAAGAGATTATGCGCGCCGCAGCAGACAGGTATCCGGAGATGCAGTTGGGAATTGTACGCGTGGGACAGATGTCGGGATCGTCCAGGACGGGTTACTGGAACCCCAAGGAACATTTTCCAACCCTGATCAAGTTTGCAAGCATGGTTGGTCAACTGCCAGCTATTAAACAGGTACGTATTTATTTTTCAATTACTGAGCCGAGAAAAGGTTAACGATATAGACTCTCTCCTGGATCGCTGTTGACAATGCGGCTACTGTGCTGAGCGATATTCTGTTTGCGCCATCGCTAAGCGGCATATATCACCTGGAAAACCCAATCCGCCAGGCATGGCAGGATGTCCTTGATATATTTGCTTCCTCCCTTTATATAAACACGGTGAACGTGCCATTTGACCAGTGGCTGCGCAATGTACAGGCGGCAGTGCAGGAGCTAGGAACCGAGGATGAGCGGATGGAATACGACTTGTTGGCCGAGTTCCTCGAGAAGGACTTCCAGCGGATGGCGACTGGTAAAGTCATCCTGGATACGAGTAGATCGAGAGCCGTATCCGAAACCCTGAGGGAAGTGGGTGAGATATCGGAAGAGGTGGTGTGGAAGTACGTGAGAGAATGGAGGAGAGCCGGAACACTGAGGGCACCACTAGAATGATTATCCAAATCTAAGCACCTCTAGTTACATATGCCATGCTCAGTTTATCCATAATAATTGCAGGTTGCAGATTCAGTTCAGGGGCTAAGTATGACGAAGTAGTACGTCGTCTTGTCAACTCCCCCAACCCTATAGTTTGCATACTGGAATCTGAAACACTACGGAGCTGATCGGGATTCAACATTCAGCTTCGGGGTTGCCGAAATTGTGATTTAATTTTATCTGCCAGGTCTTTCGTCAGATCGGAAGTACCTGTTAGAACTTCGTAGTGCGGAAATGGCAACTATGTACCGGCCATGTCCGTGAGCAAATCAGACCATTAACTTCTTCAGACATTAGGCCCTCCGTCTTACTTGCATGGGGCCTAATATATTAGGCGAGCCTTATCAGTTCAGGGACCAGAGTACATATAAGCATGCATTGCAGAAGTCCCGAAACTCTTGACTCGGGGTTTGGGTCTCCCGGGTCCTGAGGCTCCAGTCTACAGAGACTGTTGAGTATAACACGCGAAGACGAGGAAGCTGAGAACGCTCTGTAAACATAAACAGATGACAGTGTAACTACTACTTGTCAGTGATACGGTTAAGCATCTTCAACAGTCCAGTGGCCGTCATCACTTCCCCCCGACTCAACTCCTCTACAATGACTCCAACCCTGCTGCTGTGTGGCTCGCAAGCCATACAATGGTCAGAGGATTATTTGTCCTCACTTCGAGAGATGCTTCTTGCAGATTCAGCTCTTCAGCCTCTTGTCCACGCCATCCGTGACCTCCCGCAGTTATGGGCCACCCTCCTTGAAGCAGACACGGCTCTACATAAAATGCCCGGAAAGCAAACCCTTGACCGATTTACCAGATGGCTCGATGGAGAACGGCTGTTGGAGAAGGATTCACCTTCAGATTTGAATATGATTATGTCGCCACTCACCGTCATCATGCAACTGGTTGAATATATCAGCCATCTTCACCAGAGCAATCTCACCCATCTCCAGATTCTGGACGGAGCAAAACATGGGGGTATCCAAGGGTTCTGCACTGGGTTCCTCGCTGCCATTACATTGTCAATTTCTCGGGATGAGAGTGATGTCGCAGAACTGGGGACTGTGGCTTTACGTCTCGCTACCTGCATTGGAGCCTACGTTGACCTAGACCAGTGCAACTCCTCTGGATTTGCTTGTCTAGCTGTTCGATGGCCTACTGCGGCAGATGAACGAAAAGTCAAAGATATCTTGGAGACATACAATGGTGTAAGTGGTGACACACGTTCGTGGAATAATTCTCTAACGATGCTTGCAGGCATATTTATCTGTGCGGTCCGATGTGGCATCGGCGACACTCACGGTTCCCCGAGCAGCCAAATCCAGCATAATCGACGAGCTGAGCAATATCGGCGCCCACGTCAAGGATATCCCTCTGTCTGGCCGCTTCCATAACCAGGTCAACCGTGAATTATTTGCGAAGCTTGCTGCACTGTGCAAGAGTACAATTGGACTGCAATTCCCGGGCCATTGTCGCCCCCTCGTCCCTTTGCGCAGCAACGCTGATGGAGAATTACTCTCTGGGAATGAAGCCCTACATGTTGCAGCTCTGAACAGCTTGCTGCTTCATGTATCTGACTGGCACAAAACTGTCAGCAAAGCAATGGACAGTCTCAGCCAGACAACGGCGGAGCCTGAAGTCTCTGTCCTGGGCCTCGGGGATTGTATTCCTCGCACAATTCGGCAATCCAGAGCTCTTCATGTGAGCCATATCAAGACGGGCTCAACGCAAAGTCATGATGATCCATACCAGTACCCTGGAGATTCTATTGCTATCGTTGGCATGGGCTGTCGATTCCCCGGAGCGGACTCGTTAGAGGAGTACTGGAAAGTTATTGAATCCGCGACATCCATGCTGGGGGACCTACCAGAGGGCAGATTTCCCAAAACCAACCTACGCCGGGATCCTAATGGCAAGATACCTCTCAACGGAAATTTCTTACGACACCCAGACCTTTGGGATCATCGGTTCTTCAAAAGATCATCTCGCGAAGCAGCCTCCATGGACCCGCAGCATCGCCTGGCCCTGGAAGTTGCCTACGAAGCTCTCGAGTCAGCGGGTTACTTTGCCCAGCGCTCTCCGGCAAAGGATATAGGGTGTTATATGGGGGTTGCGGCATCTGACTATGAGGATAATGTCGCCTCGCATGCTCCCACTGCGTTCTCGGTCTTGGGCATGGTTCGCGCCTTTACCAGCGGAAAGATCAGTCACTTCTTCGGATTAAGTGGGCCGTCGTTAGTGTTTGATACCGCCTGCTCTTCTTCTCTTGTGGCAATCCACACTGCGTGTCGCGCCTTACAGGCAAACGAATGTTCCATGGCCTTGGCTGGTGGAGTGAATGTCATTACCAGCCCTACTTTGCACCAGAATCTCGGTGCTGCAAACTTCCTCAGTCCTACCGGCGGATCCAAATCATTTGATGATCGCGCAGATGGGTACTGTCGTGGCGAGGGTGCTGGAATCGTTCTATTGAAACGGCTTGATCGTGCCATTGCCGAGAAAGACCGCATCCTGGGGGTCATCGCTGGTTCCGCTGTAAACCAGAACGACAACGCATATCCCGTTACGGTTCCCGTCTCCATGTCACAAACCGCCCTCTATCGGCGTGTACTGGATATGTCTGGTCTCTCCCCCCGTCCTGTATCCTACGTCGAAGCACATGGCACCGGTACACCGAAGGGCGACCCAATCGAATGCGCTAGTATCCGCGAGGTATTTGGGGGCCAAGTAAATCGAAAGCTTTACTTTGGTTCTGTGAAGGCCAACATCGGACACGCTGAAGCTGCGTCCGGTGTGGCTGGCCTCATTAAGGTGCTCTTGATGATGCAGAAGCGGTCCATCCCGCCTCAGGCACTCTTCGCCTCTCTCAACAAGAGTATCCCACCATTGGAGCCCGACAACATGGCCATAGCGCAACGGGTCACTCCATGGAGTGAGGAGTTTTATGCGGCTTGTGTGAACAACTATGGGGCGGCTGGAAGCAATGCGGCCTTGATTGTCACACAACCCCCAAACATACGCCGTGGGAGCCATGCAGGCGTGGCGTTGAAGAATTGTCCCATACTATTGTCTGCCAACACTGCTGGCAGCCTCCGACAGACCACGGTTGTCCTGAGAGAGTTCCTGGCCCACAATCGTGCCATTTCGGAAAACGATCTCTTAAAGAGCACAGCGTTCCATCTGGCTAAAAGATTCAATCCTTCTTTCAAATACAGGCACTCATTCTCTGTGGCATCACTCAACCAGTTGGATGAGAAGCTTCAGATATGCTCCCAGTTGCCGGATTCGGAATTCCTATTGCCGCCAAACCATCGCCCTGTCGTCCTTGCTTTTGGTGGTCAAACAGGGAATGTCGTCCACTTGAGTGAGGGGGTATATCGCGGATCATCCATTTTGCGGAAGTATCTAGACAAATGTGATATGCAGTTGCGACAACTCGGCCTGACCAGCATATTCCCTACTATCTTTGAGCAAAAGTCTATTGAGGATACCATTCAACTTCACTGCACGATGTTCTCGCTGCAGTACGCCAGTGCGATGGCTTGGATTGCAGCCGGTCTCCAAGTGCAAACAGTCATCGGACACAGCTTCGGACAGCTCACAGCCATGTGCGTTGCTGGGGTTTTGAGCCTGGTTGACGCAATCCGGCTAATTGCAGGACGGGCAACAATAATTCAGGAGAAATGGGGTGCTGAGAGAGGCTGCATGCTGCTGGTACAGGGTGAATTGGCTCTTGTACAGAAACTCATTTCGCAAGCCCGCGAGGCTACCAGCCACGTCGTGGAGATTGCCTGCTTCAACGGACCCAACAGCTTTGTTCTTGTGGGATCAGAAGCGGATATTGATGCTTTTGATGGACTGGCTGCTTCATCGCTGAAGACCCGCAAAATGGCTGTTACCCACGGATTCCATTCACGGTTTGTCGACACCATTATGGATGATTACCAGAAACTGGCCGATTCTTTGGAGTACAAATCCCCCACCATCGCGATCGAGACATGTTCCTCTGGTGAGACCTGGGACATGTTCACGGCAGACAAGGTAGCCAAGCAGTCACGACAGCCGGTTTACTTTGCCGAAGCCGTGGAGCGCATTGCCCAGCGCCTAGGTTCATGCACTTGGATTGAGGCTGGGTCTGGGTCAGGAATCACCAGCATGGCTCGACGAGCCCTGAACGACACGACCAACCATGATTTCCATGCGGTCAACCTTGGAGGCCCCGAACCATGGGCTGCTTTCGCTGATACGACAGTGAGCCTGTGGCAGGCGGGCGTGCAAGTCGACTACTGGCCGTTCCATAAAGAGCAACAATTGGAGTATCTGCCTCTCAATCTGCCTCCATATCAGTTTGAACGATCCCGCCACTGGCTCGCGTACGTCGACCGGCCGGGGGCAGATGGCTTGATCCAGTCCAAAGAAACGCAGTCGGTCGAGACAAAGCCGAAACTGGTTTCCTTCGTCAAATACCTCGATTCCAATCGCCAGACAGCCGAGTTTAGCATCGGACAAGACTGTGAGCAATATCAGGCGCTGGTTCGCGGCCACGCCGTCCTCGCTAACACTTTGTGCCCTGCCGCCTTGTACGTCGAGATGGCCGCCTATGCTGCTAGTCTACTCGTTCCGGACTTTTCCCCATCGACATACACATCACGGGTAGAGGATCTGCACATGCAATCTCCATTGGCCATCGATCTCAAGCGTGGGCTTCGTCTGGTCCTCTCCTCTAGCGGCTCTGGGACATGGCAGTTCATTATGCAGAGCTTCTCCCTTAGCGACAGTGACAACGCAACCCAACACGCCAGTGGCACGGTCAACATCAGCTCATTGACAAGTGAAAAGTTGCAATCCCGGTTCTCTCGGTATAAGCGGATTGTCAACTATGAGCGCTGTGAGAGTCTTCTTTCTGATTCCGGTACTTCGGCCATACAGGGCTCCCTGGTATACAAAATGTTTGACAAGGTGGTTGTGTACTCGGATATCTTCCGCGGTGTCAGCAAGATTGCTTCGAGGGGACATGAAGTGACTGGACAGGTCTCACTTCCATCTGCTGGTTTAGAGCTGGTCAAGGATTCTGTTTGCAACCCACTCGTTGTTGACAACTTCACCCAGGTCGCAGGTCTGCATGTAAACAGTTTGGACGACTGCGGGTCTAACGAGGTGTACCTGTGCAATGGCATAGAGCAAATTGATGCATGCAAACCCCTAGACGCGTCTGGGTCATGGTTGGTTCACTCGTCATTCGACCGTGTCGGTACACGGGAGCTCGTGAATGACATCTTCGTCTTTGATGCTTCTACGAAGGAACTGGTGATGACCCTGTTTGGATTGCGGTTTGCTAAGGTGCCCACTGCATCTCTGAAGAGAGCACTGGAGCGCGCCAATACTGTCCAAAATCCTGTGCAGACCCCTTCTCTCAAGGTCACCGAGCCCTCGGCCAACGTTCCAAAGGCACAACCGGTCAGCACATACCCAAAGCCAATGAAACCAGCCCCAGCTGCTGATGCGCAGATTCGCACGGCAACAATGGCCTTGCTCAACGAGGTCGCTGACGTTCCCTTGTCTGATATCGCCGATGGTGCTCAGTTGGAGGACTTGGGCATTGATTCCCTCATGGCAGCAGAGCTTCTAAGCGCCATCAGAGAAAGGTTCAACCTCGATATCCCGACTTCCACGTTTGCCAGTATTGTCGACTTCAAGGGCCTTTATCAGCACATTGCCTCTGGTACTGACGCTGGGATTCTCACGCCGTCCTCTTCCGGTATGGAGTCCGACGATAGTATTCTCGAAGTCCAGTATACAGACACCAGCACTCCGTTTTCCGAGATTGCCTACCCACTAGAGGACAAGGACGCGGGAGACAGCGCCCAGGCAGGTCAGATTGCTCAACTATCCCAGCTGTTCGCTGAACATCTGGAATGCCCTCTTCCCATCCCTTCCGGCGAGACACTCCGTGATATCGGTCTGGACTCGTTGGTTGGCATGGAATTGGCTGCAGATATCCAACAGGCATTCGGTCGGAAGGTTGACCTCGCAACTCTGGACCCGGAGTGTACCTTTGGTCAGTTCTGCGACATGGTCATCCCCAAGCCTACATTATCGGTCCCCACAGTCTCTGAGAAGGTGGACAAAACAGTGCGCTGGGCATCTACTGAGATTGCTTACACCGCCAAGCGCGAGAACAAAATGCAAGACCCAGTTGAAATGCAATCAGACGGCGGCAATGTCAACTACCTCGCCCACTGTGCGGAGGACTTTGCCCAGATTCGCAAGAATTACACCACCTTCGCGAAGCAGACTGGGTTTGCTGACTTCCGCGCCAACGTCTACCCCCAGCAGAAAGAGTTGGTGTGCGCATATGTAACTGAGGCCTTCGCCGCTTTGGGATCGGATCTTAAGACGATCCCATCTGGGTCACCTCTGCCTCCTATTCAACACATCGCGAGACACGCCAAGGTCATGAAGCAGTATTACAAGGTGCTGGAGGACTCTGGCCTGATTACCATCACGGACAATGGACCGATACGCACTGCAAAGCCTGTCAGCCCGGTCAAGTCAGAAGATCTCTACCAGATGATTTACTCCGCCTTCCCACAGCATCGGGGCGAACACAAGCTCCTGAACTCAACCGGATCTAAGCTAGCGTCCTGTCTGAAAGGAGAGACAGATCCTTTGCAAATCCTCTTTGGCAGCAAGGCAAGCAAGGACTTGATGGAAGATGTTTACACAAACTCACCCATGTTCGCTACGGGAACCCGCATCTTGGGTGACTTCTTCGTCAAGACTTTTTCCAAATATAAAGGGCCTGAAAAGCTGCGGATCCTGGAGCTTGGAGCCGGCACGGGAGGAACGACGAAGTATATCGTCGAGAAGCTCCTGGAGCACAATATCCCGTTCACGTATACCTTTACCGATCTCTCCCCGTCGTTGGTCGCACTGGCAAAGCGCAAATTCAGCCACTACGGGTGCCTCGAGTTCCTCGTGCTGGATATCGAAAAGACCCCTCCAGAGCACTTGACAAACTCATACCATGCCATCCTCTCGTCCAACTGCGTGCACGCTACCAAGAACCTCCTCAACTCCACCACTAATACGCGCAAGCTACTTCGTGCAGACGGCTTCCTGTGTCTGCTGGAACTTACCCGCAACCTCTTCTGGCTGGATTGTGTTTTCGGGCTGCTGGAGGGGTGGTGGCTGTTTGAGGACGGCCGGAAGCATGTGCTCGCCGACGAGTATCTCTGGAAAGAGACGCTCCTGGAGGCCGGGTTCCGGCATGTAGACTGGAGCGACGATGATACTGAAGAGTCGGATCAGTTCCGGGTCATCACTGGCTTCGTGGCTGACATTGGACACAACGCTCTGGACCAAGCGAAGCCTGTCACTACGAAGCTACCGACCATGGAAACAACATCGTTCGCCACGGTGGACGGAATTCCTCTCCTTGCAGATATCTATTATCCTACGAAGCCCGACGCACCAGGCGTCAAGCGCCCCATTGGTAAGTGTTATCCGCATGTCCCCTCAAAGCCATCCTGACTAATGACGCAGCGCTCATGATCCATGGCGGAGGCCACATCATGCTCTCTCGCAGAGACATCCGCCCGAAGCAGACCCGCCTTCTCCTCGAGCGTGGTCTCCTTCCTGTCAGTATCGAGTACCGTCTCTGTCCCGAAGTCAGTCTCACAGAGGGCCCTATCCCCGATGCGTGCGCCGCGCTCAACTGGGTGCGCACCGTTCTCCCGACCCTCCGCCTGCAGCGACCGGATATCCACCCTAATGGCGACAAAGTAGCCGTCGTCGGCTGGTCGACCGGAGGGACGCTGTCGATGATGCTCGCCTTCAGTGCCCCGCAACGCGGTATCCGGCCACCAGACGCAATTCTTGCATTCTACTGCCCCACAGACTACGAGGCTGAATTTTTCCGCACACCAAACTATCCCGAAGACACTTCGGAGGTTGTTCCTGAAATCTATGACATCCTAGAAGGCGTGCAAGAGCGTCCTATTACAGCGTATAATGTGCCGGCGCACCAGGGCGCCACCGGCGGATGGATGTCTCTGTCTGATCCGCGCTCGCGCATCGCGTTGCATATGAATTGGAGAGGACAGATGATGCCTGTGCTGCTGGACGGGCTTCCATCTAAGAAGACACTACTGGAGGCCGGTGGCGACGCATCCCCGTCGAAGTGGATGGATCTGCCTCAGCCCAGCGTGGACCGGCTGCGAGCTGTTAGTCCGTATGCGCAGATCGTCCAGGGGAATTACCGCGTGCCTACGTTCTTGGTCCACGGAACGCGAGATGACCTCATTCCGTGGGAGCAGTCGGTACGGACGAAGGATGCACTGACTTCTCAGGGTGTTGCAGCTGGAGTGGCTGTGGTGGACGATGCGGTGCACTTGTTTGATCTCTACAGGGACCCGGAGGGGCGGTATTGGAACGCTGTCTTGGAGGGATATGAGTTTTTGTTGAGGCACCTTTAGCGTCTGTACCAGAGTTGATGGGACTGTGTAGTTTCAGATAGAAAACATTGTTGATAGAAGGCCGGCCTGTCAAGGCCATTACAATTCATAAGTAGCGAAACGTTGATACATATTGTAATCTCATGATTCTATTCACTCCATTACATATCGAAGAGAAGACCGAATGCTAATTTCTCAGTCTGATGGGCCAACTGCATCATGAATATGGGCTCATCCACTTGAAAGCTATTTCGCCCGTAGAGGATAGATCTGGAAGGAGACAACGTTGGGATTGGCCAAGAATGCACCACAGGAATCATAGACGGCTGAAGGTTTTCCGCGCTGCTTCATAAACAGTGTCAATATCCTCTGCCCAGATCCATTGCATGCGATTTTTCAACAGACGCTCCACAACAGGAAGAGCGTCATCGTAGCTTAGCTTGGCGAGCTCCGGGGCTTTCAGCTCGTACAAATCCCCGGCCTGCCGTGATGTTGTCTGCACCTTTTCGGAGCGCGGGTAACGGATGGAGTTATAGAGCGAGAGTGCATCATGAATGCTGCACGTTGTAACTCCGTGTTCTGCGGCGTCGAAGTAGTCTCTCAGGGCTCGGCCGAGGATATATCCATCTTCGAGAGCTTGTCCAGCTCCCGCACCTGGCAGTGGCGGAGTAGAAATAATCAGCATCTCGAAATGCACAGACATGTTGAGTACAAAAGAAGATTCACCAACCTTGGTGAGGACACATGGCGTGCGCCGCATCTCCCAGGAGCACCACCTTGCCACCAGAATATACCCACTGCGACGGGGTTTGTCGGTCGAACAGGATCCATTTGAGCGGGTTAGCATCCATCTTCTCAATCACGTTCCTGACGGCCGGGGAAAAGTCCCTGTACTCGTGCCTGATGTCGTCCTTGTCGCCGACAAGAGTCCAGCTCTCTTTGACATTTCCCTGGTCGATCTTCTCCCACGGCGTTGTGACAAAGCCCACCACATTCAGAGTCTTGTTGTTACTGATGGGGAACGTGAGGAAATGCTTTCCAGGGGCCACGGATAGGGTCGCATAAGTCGGGTGTGGCCAGTCCTGCTCAATGTCGGCGATGGGACAGAGCCCGCGGTAGACGATCATGTCGCCGTATCGGGCGTCATCTTGCTGTTATGTCTTAGCTGCTCCGGACAGGTACTTAGATGGCTGGATGACGTACGACATAGTGTGACCGTACAACAGAGTGAATACCATCAGCGCCGATGACTAGGTTGGCGGATCTCGTCTCGCCGTTGGCGAAGGTGACCTGCACCGTATCTCCGTGGTCCTGTGCCGTGTTCAGTTCTCATTCCGCGCAGGTTGGGATTAGGGGATCAACCAGCAGCTTCTCACAGCGCATGTTTGTATGGAGCGTGGCCGCCCTGCGCCGCTGGATGGCGCGGACAAGCAAATCGAGGAACTCCGCCCGATGCATGGGTAACTGCATCTTGTTACCTGTCCGTGGCATCTCCATTGTAGCAATCTCTGCCCCAGTGTCATATCGCAGGAAAGAAAACCAGATGCCGTCTCTCTTCCCCGCGATTTCGAAAGCTTCCTTCATCAAGCCAAGCTTCTCAATGAGAGCAGCTGCATTCGGGCCAATGCCGACACCGGCGCCTATTTCGCTGTACTGGGTTGCTTGCTCGTAGATGTCGATCTCGATGGCTTGGGTTGGGCAGTGATGTTTGATGGCAAGGGCAGCGAACAGGCCGCCAAGGCCACCGCCGATGATTGCGATTCGGAACATTCTGTAAAGATGCGATGGCTATTCGGGTCTAGGTTTGAATAGTAATATTATATAGACGGCTTGGCGGCCAGAAAGAGACGTGTGGAAAGTATTCTACAGAGGACGAAGTTCATTCCCGAGTAACTCCGCTTGACTCCCCGGTTGGCGGGACTATCGTCCAACGGGGTGATTGGGATCTGGAGGGGATATATGCCCATTTTGCCGTTTGTGGCTAAATCCCTATTCCATATGGGTGCAACTAATGAAGCCGGGTTCATCCATAGGGTTTCGTTATCTGCGCACAGCCACATAACTCGCCTGAGGATCGTATAGGCAGGTAGTACAGCCTACCTCGCTCTGAGATGCAGGATCCAGAAGGTCATGTGTCAGATTAAACCGCTACAAGGTTAATACGTTCCTTAGATTACATCAATGAGAATGAATATCCATCCCGGCGGTGTATAGCTAAGGCGGAACCAGAAGACGTACGGCCCACGTTCACTGAGTTGTTCTATATGTGGTTGAGCGGTCTGGGCATTTCCAGGTACTAGGATGATCTCTCAACGACTCCGTCAGCGCTGTCCACGATAATATACAACCCACAAAATCCCCAAGCTGACCGAATAACCCGCGCCACGATCGTCCCATTTCAGGCGAGGCCAAATGCGCTCAATCTTGAGGATGATATGCTTGGGAAAGCCCCTTTCAATATACCAGATACATGTAGCTGCGAGGAAATTCAAACGCCGTGGACTTGGCTAAATGGAAGATCTGCCTCATGCATATCTCAGCGTGTCTAGATAATTAGATACAACCATTGCAATAGTTTCAGCCATCCGCGACTTGCTGCCCAGAAATCGAAGCGCCACAATGCAGCTTTCAGCTCGTGCAGTGCTGACTTGAACCGGCTCGTTGCTATAGTCCATATCGAACCATTGACGTTTTTGTAGCTCTTCCGTTTCCCTGATGTGGAGGACGGAAGCGATTGTAAAAGCTCGAATGAGAAGGACTGTCCAGGGCTCCGTCAGGACGGGGCTTCCATTGACCGCAAAGTGAAAGTCAGGTAGCTGCTTTGAACTCATGGTCTCGGGGGCCTGCGGCGTTATGACCGCTGCAAGCTCTGCCAGCTCAATCGAACTGGCTCGCCGAATTTTCGTCACCAGGCCGACGTGGAGACGCTTGGCCCTGTGGCCGTCGCAGCCAAGCCGGTTCTCGTCCACGAAATCAATCAGGTCTGCGAGTAAAAGCGAGCCTAAGTGCCAGGGGATACTGATACATGGAAACCAGCTCTTTATGCGCGGAGGGACGGATTCATAATTCTTGGTTAGGTCGCGGAAGAAAGTGCCGTGGGTGATGTCCCAGTATCGATAAACAGAGAGCGTGGTCTTGATTATTTCCTCAATGGCTGCGCCGTGCTCAAACCTCCTCAAGCTGCTTTGAAGGTATGAGACATGGCGGAACAGCAGCACTTTCACGGCCGCTGACCTGGCAACAGCGCTGGTTGCAACTTCGTACGGACAAGGCCAATGCAAAGGCGAGGGCTTCTCAGTATTATCCTGTGCATATAGGTCAAGTTTCCATCGCACATTCATCGCCGGTCCTTTGGTGTGACGCTTGGCCTCCCTCTGTGCTGCATCATGCTGACATTCCTCGTCAGGCACGACGACCGGTCGCCCGTGTATAGACGAAGAGACTGTGTCAAACATGACTGCAAGCCAGTACAAAAGACCGATAGTTTGTCGATCTTCTGCGCTCATTCCGAGAGAAACCTCAGCGCTCGGTCTGCTGCCACAATTGCGAGCGGCATGTTGAAACCCTGCTTGGTGGGCTTCGAATCGATATTTGAGCGCGTGGATCTTGCGGGCTGCTCGCTCGATGAATACAGGTGGCCCTTCTCGCTCAATAATCTCCTTGATTTCAGGTAAAAGGGAGGTGGTAACGCTTGTATACAGATTGCTGGTCGCGGACCTGATCGTTGCATCCCGGCCATGCCGGGCGCCCGGAGAAGGCTCCTGGACGAGACCGAAGATCAATTCGGCAAACACGACCTTGTAGCATTCCAGATCTGAGACATCTTGGAGCGCGCGTCTTGCCTGTTCCCAAATGGATCGCCGGAGAATTTGCTCAAACTCGTCGCCGAGCTCTTCGCCGTCGTGGTCAATTAGATTTTCACGCCTCCTCGCCTCGTGAAGCGAGTTCCAACGCCGTTTTCCCTGGGCCCATTGCGTGGAAAACGCCATGACGGCTAGATTGAGCGCTCTGGAGGACGCTTGATTCTCGTAGGCAGAGAGACGGATCAGCCCGACCGACTGAGCGGACCGGTCGAGCTGCCTGGTGCGGCGATACATTCGATTCGACCACGTAACGCCCCATTCTGGGTCTGTCGATGTTCCAAGAAGAGGAGTTTGCTGCGTGGGTGGTGGCTCGCACCTCCTTCTTTGCAGCCTGTAGGGACACGTAGCTTCCGCAAGCCAGCAGGCGAGGTTGTTCTCAAGAACATCATGATATATTTGAAGAAGACTGTCGGAGATGAGTACTCTGTTCGAGTTTTCCATCATCAGATGATCAGCAGCGAAGGTGGAAAATGACATGGCGTGGTTGTCGCGCATGTTGATGGGGACATTGCATTGCTCGTCTCCTCGCTGCAGTTCACTTTGTGAATCCGGCAACTGCGAAGATGCAGGGGACATGAAACCGGGGTAGACCGAATTTCCTTGTGTGAGATCAAGGAGGATGCTTTGCATATCGATGTTTGATGAGTCGGCACCGCAATCGGTCATTGTTGGATTCGCAGGATCATTCAACCCGCTTCTCTGCAGGGATGATGGAGACACAGTGTTGAATTGCCCCAAGCTATCTAGGCTTTCAAGTTCTTCTTGTTCCTGCGTTGCTCCACCTGGGTTGCAATCGCCGATGGAAGGAGGGTCGCCGGGCAGGACATCGCTTCCTTCTGGAGACGCCTGTAGGAGCTGCACCAACGAGTCTAGGACGGTCATATTATCCACGGTGTCGCAAGAGTTCGATTCCACATTGTTCCTCGCCTGCAGTCGTTGCCTCTTGACTTGGCGTTGTCCATCATCGAGACCTTGCACAGTGGAGGGTTGATGGCATTGTACCCAGTGCGGGTTCAGACTGCATGTCTTGTTGGTTCTGACGCAGTAAGAACAAGGAAGCAAGAGGTCGACGGCTTCACTTTTTGATTAATCCATCTGGGCTGGGTAACAGACGGACCGAAAGACTCACCAACACTGCTTCTCTGGTCGCCATTGATCAGGTAGCCGTCGCAGGCTTTCTTGGACTTTCTGCACTGCTCGCAGGAATGATTCTGGCGTCTTTTCGTCATAATCTTGTGGGTGAGAGAGCCTGGCTGCATCACGTAGGGCGTGAGTGTATGGGCGACGAAGGGGAAAGTCCAGAGCGATGAGGCTCCACATTCTCTCTCTCTTCTGGGGAGAACAGCTCGGTCTGTTCCCGTTGCGGGGGCAGCGGGGTTGATTTTGCGGGGATCAAATGACAGTCTACTCGTCTGTACGGGGTGGGGTTGCTTACTACAGACGGTTACGTATCCGGAGAAGGTCGAAGCTATCGACTAGTCTAGTAGACTAAGCCTAGTGGGATAGAAAGAACACAGAGTAACTACACGGTTGCTTGACCAAAGGCCAACATCTTAGCATTAGGGTTCACTACTACTGTGCTAGGCTCAACTCCACCCCCAACCACCGCCATTAAACTGCAAGGATCACTAAATTATGATGCTTCGGGGATGAACCCCGGCGCACAGACTCCAACTTTGAAATACCATATTTGTTTTGATCGGCTCCGATCGTCCGAACCGCGTCCTCCCGGAAGGCAAGTCGGTTCCGCTCCTCCCGTGCACAACGGCCCATCCTCCTCTCCACACTAGGATCTCTCTTTGCCAGACTTCTTCAATTGGGTTTGGCTCGGAACAAGGTGAGACAAGTCGCCCACTGGAAGCGACAGTGGGAAGTCTACCGCAGCGAGCAACAGAGAAAATAATAGATACCATCCACCGAGACAGGTGGCGAACAGAACAGCCCCTCCGCCCTAGAATGATGATCTCGGGTGTTAATCACTAGACTTAAACTGTTCATCAACAGGGTAGAAGAAGGCCTTACCACTTGAAGCTTATGCGCAAGTCTGGCGTCTTGCATTGCCGTCTGGAAATAGGCTCCGACCAGAAGACCAACGCCCAGGACGACGGTGAATAGAATCCAAACCAGGACCAAATTGGTCCGGAAGGAACAGACCAGGAAGATGAAGTTGAGAACGCCGAAAAAAACCAAAAAGAATCCTAGATATCATTCCTTTGGTCAGGATTTGGAACGAGCGAGAAACAAACGGTGGGGGCAGTTCACAAACCATAACTAGCATTGAATCCCTCCGTCGTGAGGCCTGCAGCGGGGTCGCTAGTCGAGGGAGAGTAGGCGGCATATGCGCCGTAGAATGGCTGTAATGTTGCGGCGGTAGTGAGATAGAAGGCGCCTAGACAATAAGTGATCATCGATAATTAGTGGCAGACAACATGAGTGTCAAAGGGTCAAAAACACTCACCAAAGGACATGAACACAACAGCCGAAAATGTGTTCCCAATCAGCAACTCCAATAGCCCACCAACGAGCAACAGGATGCCCCCGAAAAAGATATACGCTCCGCTATGCTGTTATGAGTCCACATGTCCTTAGGAGAAGCAGTAGATCATCCCGGGCACCACTTACATGTGGGCAGCACCATCATGACCCGCCCCTCTCCAACCCATAAGGTCGCATGATAAAGGAGTCAAGCTCATCAGAAATCCTGTGATAGCGCTGGGCTGGTATCAGTAACGGGTCACCGGGCATGGCGAGAATGAGTGCCTTACAGAGGGGTGGGATTGCCGATAATACTCCGCAGATGCCCAGCAACGGGCGTCTTGGGGTTTAGATAGAGCTTCTCAAAAGCCTCAGGCGAAAGCATGATGCTTTTGGTAGACTGGATCTTGCTAAAGTCGGGGGATGTAGCTCCCCCGTCTTCCAAGTGTTGGATTTCGTTGGCAGCGGGCGCCATTTCCTCGTCTTTGCGAGCATAAATCCTCTGCGGGGAGGTGTCTTCAGACATGGTTAACTAGGAATGGAGGTATGTATCTCGGAGAAGTTGCTATGAACCTGTTGGGAGAGAACTGGTAGGTTACTTCTAAGATTATATATCCTCATTCCAGGTGATCCCTATCCCTCTACGTATAATCCATTGCATGAATGCGGTGTAGACCTTCCCTTTCAACGACAATCCTCGACTTCCGCTCGCCCAGTGCGCATCTAGCCCTTGAAGAGAACGATTCAACGACGCGCTGATCCCCCTGTTTTACAGACCAACGCAAGCTATAGGCTGGAGCCGATGCCTTGGCGGGCGAATTGGGTTTAGAATATAGCGTCGGGTGTACGGAAAGGATTCTGGCCTCCCACAGGACCGTCGTCGCATACTAGCGACGCCACAATGCTTGTGCATCTTCGGTCGACAGGATGCATTGAATAACCCCGCAAAATCAATAATCATAAGATAGTCTACTAAGCAAGGTACAGTAATGCAACGCAAAATCTTAGCGTCGGTCCGGTGTTAGGTTAGTCCTCTTCCGTGAACGGAATGCATGCATGTCGGAGCCGCTCGCTGTATCCCATGATGCTCGCTTCTCACAAACATCGTCAGGGCTTGAGGGAGAGAACGCATTTCAAACAGTGGGTTAATACTTCTAGGTATCTGCTTGTCGGAAACGACTACCACACGGCGTAATGTGTCGGCTCCGTCGAGTGACAGAGCAGACCAGATATATATAATGTACTCTGATCGGTCGATTTCCAAATGCCTTCCTATAGCTTGATAGATTGAACCACAACACACCAATATCCAAACGATTGACTTTTGTCCACTATCACAATGGCCGAAGTACAAATCCAGAACAATGTTCCGTCGCACCTCCGCACCGTGCCGGGTTCAGTCAACATCCCACCGGCACGTCTCCCAGCGCCATCGAAAGGAGTCAAAGTCGATCCCGACCAGGTTGCGACTGATTTGGTCGATGTTTTCAACCGGGCCCTCTCCGAAGGCAACTACCACAAAGTGGCAAGCTTGTTTGGCGACAATGGCTTCTGGCGTGACCATCTCGCCCTATCCTGGCAGCTCCGAACCGTGAACGGCCATGAGGCTATCGTGAAGTTCCTGGAGAGATGCTCGGACTCTAGAGACGGCATGCGACTGCGCAAGATCTCAGTTGACAGAAGCTCTCCTGTGCGCGCCCCCAAGGTGTGCGGGCTTGATGGCGCTGGCGAGGTGCAGGGCATCCAGTTCTTTTTCCACGCAGAAACAGTCCACGGATCCGGGGTCGGAATCGCACGTCTTGCAATGCAAGGGGAAACGTGGAAGATCTTTACTTTCTTCACGGCTCTGCAGGAACTGGATGGCCATGAGGAGCTTCTTGGCCATCGGAGACCCAAGGGAGCGGAACACGGTGGTCACCCTGACCGCAAGAACTGGGCAGAGAAACGACTCGATTCGGCTGCTTATGCTGACGACCGTGAGCCCACCGTGCTTATAATCGGTATGCTTTTACCTTCGACCCGTTCAGAATCCATCGCTGACCATATTGTTCAGGTGCCGGGCAAGGTGGTTTGACCGCAGCTGCGAGACTGAAGATGCTGGGTGTGGATTCTCTCATCATCGACAAGAATGCGTCGGTTGGAGACAACTGGCGTCTGCGCTATCGTCAACTCGTCCTGCATGATCCGGTGTGGTACGACCATATGCCCTACGTGAAGTTCCCAGCACATTGGCCCATCTTCACGCCGAAGGATAAGCTGGCCGATTTTTTCGAGTGCTATGTCAAAATGCTCGAACTCAATGTTTGGAATAGCACGACTATCTCTCATTGCGAATGGAATGAGCAAAATGCCACCTGGACCGTGACGCTCTCGCAGCAAAACGCCGATGGGACCTGCCACGTCAGAACCTTTCACCCGCGCTACATTATTCAAGCCACTGGACATTCCGGCAAGATGAAGATGCCCTACATCCCGGGTATGGAAACATTTCAAGGCAAACGGTTGTGCCACTCATCACAATTCCCTGGTGCAGAGAAGAATGGCCATGGCAAGAAAGCCATCGTGGTGGGTTCCTGTAACTCGGCCCACGACATCGCACAGGATTATCAAGAAAAGGGCTACGAGATCACGATGGTCCAGAGATCCACCACCTATGTCGTTTCCTCGGCTGCTATTACGAAGATTGGCCTGAAGGGCCTCTACGAAGAGGACGGTCCGCCAGTGGAAGACGCAGATCTCCTGCTGCACGGCACCCCTACGCCGGTCATGAAAGCGCTTCAAGCCCACATCACTTCAAAAGAAGCAGAACATGATCGTGAGCTTCTGGATGGGCTTGAAAGGGCTGGATTCAGGGTCGACTACGGTCCGGATGGAGCTGGCTTGTTCCTGAAGTACTTCCAACGGGGTGGCGGTTACTATATCAATGTCGGTGCCTCGGAGATGATTGCTGATGGCAGGATCAAGGTCAAACAAGGCCAGGAGATCGTAGAGGTGCTGCCTCGGGGCTTGAGGTTTGCCGATGGTTCTGAGCTGGAAGGTGACGAGATCATCTTCGCCACGGGATACGACAACATGCGCTCGCAGACTAGTACTCTTCTGGGCAAGAAGGTCGCCGACAAGGTGTCTGATGTCTGGGGGTATAACGATGAGGGAGAAATCAGAACCATGTGGCAGGATAGTGGCCACCAAGGATTTTTCTTCCATGGGGGAAATCTAGCGACGGCGAGATACTATTCTAAAGTGTTGGCCCTCCAGATTAAAGCCCTTGAGGAAGGCATCTATCGGTATGGCGAATTCTGATCGGAGGTATTTGGCTGTATCTAGTTGGACTTTCCTGTGTTTTAGACAGCTCTTTCTCGGAATCCTTCTCCTTTTGTGCATAGTGTGGTAGAGGTTTCTCGCCTCGCCCTTTCATCCTAACTCCTGGGTTGTCCATGTCCTTCAACGCTGGTCCAGGTATCCAAATTGTTCTGTTGGTCTTGTTTGTGCCATGCCATATCCGCTTCCAGACATCATCTACTTAGTTTCGCTGCCTCTCTCTTAACACTTGTATCATATGCTACTTTCAATTATCCTCAGAAAGGCGCCTTGACTTCCCTTTTCATTTGGAAAGCCCAGATACACCGGTTCCGAGTTGGGATGCATCTCTAAGGACAGTAATACATTCACGACCGAAGGTGCGAATGGCACTTCACTGTAATTGTATCTGTATGTTTGGCTGTGAATTCCATTATGAATAGAGAAACAGGAGAAACCTTCGTGGATCTGAGGGTGTCGTCTGTGAGAAATGCATCATCAAACACAGCGGATTTTCGGGATATGCGGGCGGCGTTCTATCTAGAGGCCCGGGGAGATAGGATCCAGACCCAACTTCGAAGGCTCTGAAGCCTCACTACGGATTCCTGCTAGTGCGGTCCCGCGACACAAGGATCCAGCGGCGGGACCGCGGTGCCCAGGATCGGACGGACGGGGTATCGAAGTATCGAAATCAAGGTAAGTAGGCCGCACAGACTAGAGGTTATACGACCGATCAATATTGAAGATATAAAGCGTTGTCTTGTTTGAACATGGCGCAAACCAAATACTATGGGATCGATTGGACTATCCGCGGACTCTATTCTCACGCCATGACCTCGATAGAGAGCGAGAGGGCATCCTTAGTCCATCAACATGAAACATGTCACTGCTCGTCCCATACAACGCTCTGTCAGATTCCGAATCAAACAGAGCATTCGATCCTTTTGGAAGAGATGAGCCTTTTTGATAGCGGCCAAAGAGCATTAGGACGACGAGTATACCTTCCAGTAAAAGCCTTGGTGCTTGTTAAACAGGAAACGCCACTTAAGAAAATACTGTATCGATATTCTACATTGGCTGTCTATTCTCAATCTCCTTTCCCCGTCAAACGCCTTTATCTCTAAATTTCAAAGTCACACGCCATATCTCTGCGTCTCTATATACGCGCTTTCAGTGTCCGGCCTGAGGATCGGCGAAGCGTCTCAAGGGCGGCCGACCGCAGGCGCGCCCATAACCCCTAGGAGATAAGTGTCGAACTAGCGTTATGGGTCCTTAAATAATTTTCACGAGATGATGGGGCATGGGACAGGAGACCCGGCATTGCCCTTAAGATGATAGTTATAATTCTCTTATTACTAAAATCCCTAATATGTCTAAAAGCCCCCAGGAAATGCCCAAAGTGTGGTCAGTTTGCTGACAAGTAACTATGTCGATCATGATTAACTGACTAGCAGTTGATTAACTCACTACATATTGAGACTAACTAATCTGGTTAAGGTAGTTATTAAAACATTTGCTAAATGTACAAGGATACAAATCCACTCGGCTCTACTTAATGATCGCCTCCCGCGTCTCTCTTTCCCTTCTCCCGTCCTCCCTAAAGAACGAAAACTGCGAATTAGAAATAAGCCCCTGAATTCCCAAAAGCAATCAGATATTTGCATGAAATCTCAGGTTAGCACACAGTGGTCCTTAATCACAATCATCAGCAGAGAATTCATGCTAATAAAGCAAAGGAAATGCCATCATATAGAACGATAGCCCAAGAAGAACAAGAGCGAGACGTTACGATCTCACCAAAGACCAGAATCTCAGATGCAAATTCAGAGACGTGGGTTACAAAGCTGCTGCTCTTTCTGCCTCTACTGCTTTGCAATGGAATCAGTCTTTTCCTAATTGCGGGACCGGCCGATGGATGGACATTGAAGGCTGAGCAGTATGACTGGATCTCAGCCAACCGGGATACAACACAAATTCTCGTCCAGATCTTGGCCAGCTTTCTAGGGTTTTCCCTGGTGGCAACCTTGAGAGCCATGACCAATTTCTGGGCTCGTACTTGGCTGGCCCGAAGGCCAATGCTTCTTGACACTATCGCTTTCTTCGGCTCCGTGACAACGTCTTATATCAATTGGTCTTTACCGGGCGACAGACTCCCCATTACCGTATTGGTTGCCTTGATCTCCCTTATTCCAGCTGCCATCTGGGCTGGCGCCATTACTCCTATCAACACTGTGTTGGTTGACCAAGCACAGCTCTTCATTCCAACCGCACGATGGACAAATGCAACATCAGATCTCTGGAACAATAACAACTGGTACACTTACCAGCTACAGGGAGGTCCCAGAGTTTACAGCGACTTGGGTACCTTTTCCTACGCCTATCATACCGATCGCTTTAGTTACTTCATCAATGATGGCTCGAGTGCAACTAACACAACTGGTTTGCCTCAGAGATTCGCCAAGGCTGACAACACGAATTTCACATACGCTGGGAGATCATACGGCATGGGTGCTGCTGTCGGTTTGAATGATACCTTCACCGCGAACAAGTACATCCAAAGCTATGACTATAACGATACTGGCTATCTAACGCGATACACTTGTGGCTATGATACCACTTTTGCGGTCCAGATCGATATGTCTACTTCCTCGCCGGTCCCGGTCTACTATGTTCATCTACCCGATAATGATGGCTTTTACGTGGCAAGTCAACATGGAATCACGCCGGCCATTGCAGCTGCAAATACGCGAGATAAGGCTTTCTACATGGGTGCTTCGCCAAAGTACAGCATTCTGAATGCAACATTTTGTAATGCTACTTTTACACCAACACTCTTTACTATTCATGTGTACCTTAATGAACGCCTCATCACTGTGAAGCCGGTGGAGAAACAAACCCAGGTTGACGAGTTCACGCCTGCTCCAGAGTACATCGTCTGGAGCGGTGCTGATACAGCCGCCGCGCTCTCCATTATCGGCGCCACATCCTACACTTCTCTCATTGGCGATATGTTCCTCCGCAACATCAATCGTACCCTCTATGCTGTTGGCGGCAACGCTGAAGTGAGTCCTTTGCATGCGATGCAGGATACGGCCGAGGTGCTCTGGGATGCAGCCTATGCAGGGGCGTCTAGTGCCCAGTTGGTGATCGCGCAGGAGTATGAGAATCGAAATGTCACTGCCCAGGTATATGCATATCGGATCGGGCGGCCCCTCTACATTTATATTATCACGGCAATCAATGCGGCAGGAATGCTTCTTCTCGTTGCGGTAGCAGCGAGAACACGTTTCTGGGCGTCACTGCCGAAGTTAGACTTCACCGATACGAAAAGCATAATCATTGCCAGCTCAATCGGCGGAACCGCGATTTCTGAAGCGGTGAAAGTTGGGTACGAAAAATTGGGCGCAAAATCTGGCAAAAGATTTTGGAGCGGATCACGATCGGATCGCGTGGCTGGGAACATTATGGTGGTAATGGCAGAGAAAGATGATAGCCCTTGTATAACAACTTAGAATGAGGAAACTTATCATGGAGCCACGAGGATGTATAGTAACCATACCATTTAGTGATTCCTGAAAAACTTCCATCTAAGATCGGTGCATACCAAAACTCCGTTGTCTCTCTCGCAATTGCACGGTGCCACCACGCCTTGCCCCGTTTTCCCCTAGAGCCCCAACCACAGCCGACACTGTTCTGACTCCCCAAGGGTGGTAAGCAACGTTGCCTCAACAAGCGCAGCTGATCGGGTTGCCACAACCCCTCCCCAGCTGAAGTCACCCTCTTTCTGATAACTTGCTGCCTCACGCCTCGCTGAAGTCTGGTGGTTCAGATGACAGTCCGGTGAGCCAATGACTTTCCGTAACATATAGGGACCCGTCACTGCCCATACAAACTCCGGCCGTGCAGAACGGCAGGGTCGCGCAGTTTAAGCGCCGCTAGCCTCATTCGGCCCTCAAGGACTGTTCATCCATTATAACCGGGCTAACAAGTCTTAGCCACACTCCCTATAGACAGGAATTGACAAAAGGACGCTGTTTGAGGGTGGAAAGATCATGTTGATATCCATTAGCCAAGTTCTGGGAGACAGGATTAACGTCGCCTGTCAGGGGCTGCAGAAGGGAAGAAAGAGTGAACAATGTATCAATCTTGCATTGGGACATTATGGTAGGCCCGCATCATACATGAGGAGCCTGTCGAGAGTAACAAGGAGGAAATTCTTTGAGCGACAGCATCAAGAACGGAAAAACGCCTTCGAGTTGGTCCCGCATAGATACAGGACATGGTTGAAGTATTAGACTGGCTCTATTAAAATCGATTAGGACGATTCGGAGTAAAACGGCTTGTACTTGGTGTTTGTAACGACATAGTCTATTTCGGTGTCAGAGGGGAGAAGAGAACGTGAGACGAAGGCGGTGCAGTCGATGTTCTTCCTGACTTGCTTCTGACGCTGGGGAAAGTCAAGCCGGACTTTAACCCTATAAGACTGGATCCATCGCTTCGTGGCTATATACTGGCTGGGCGAGCCGAAAACTCATCTCTCAACCCAGCCAGCTGACTATGGGTTGTAAATGTTGATATCGCTATGAAAAAGGGCGCGGTCAGCCACATGCAAAGGATCGGGAGAGAACGACGCGAGGGGTGAACATACAAATTCTCACTGAGATTAGCTGCGCCAGCAGCGGCCGAGTCAACCCACACACTGACGCTCATCCCGTCAACGGGGAAATCCCCATATCCCCGTTTGTCAATGAGAACGGATGGTCTGCTTGGTTGTAGGATGTCCGTCCACTCCTCGTTCATATGTCCAGGCCCAACATACATCCGCTTGGTCGCCGGGCCCAAATTGCTCATGACGCAGGCGAGACCGCGATGGCGGGCGTTTCCGTACCGGACGAATCCTGAATGGTCAGCCGATCACAGCCAGCTATGTGGTCATAAATGGCCAGAGGCATACCGATACAATGAGGAGCGTCGAAATAGTCCTGTTGTTCGCCGTACGCAAAGTGCTTGCGGGCTTGTGTTAGGATGGGCAGTTTGCCCTTGCAGGCGGGAGTCATTGGGCGTTTGACGTTTGCGCGGATGCCGTATAGGTCTCCATAGAAGACACAGGGATGGCCTTCTTTGCGGAGGAGGGTCAGGGCGTAGGCTAGCGGTTTGAACCACGGCTTGACTGGGGTCTGTGAGGGTGAGCTGGGGAAAATGAGGGTGGGGAATGTATCGAGCGAGAAGACATACATCCATCATTTGTCCAGGTTGCTATGAAAATCAGCATCACGCATAAGTAGGCTGGTAGATGCTGCACTTACCGTGTCATGATTTGCGACGATCGTCTTCGTCCAGGTCAGCAGTGCACTCTGATAGAACATTGAACATATCTTACCACTGTATGCCCGGGCCTGCGCTGCACCAGTGTATCCTTGAAGACTCCCCGGAGATCCGCTCCTTTCGTTCTGGACAGACTGGAGAATCGGTTCAGCAGCGGCACATCATACGCGGACACCGTATGCTGCATCTCCTCCAGATATCGCACCACATCTTGGATGTCCCCAGACCAGTATTCCCCCATGACGAAGAGATTCGGGTTCACCCTTGTGCGGATGCGCTCAGCAAAAATCTTCTGGAAATCCGTTGACATATGTTTCGCGGCATCCAGTCGCATCCCGTCCAAAGCTAGTTCCTTGGTGATCCAGGTGCCCCAATTGATCAAATCGTCCCGCACCTCTGGGTGCCATAGATCCAGATCAGCAAACATCAGATAGTCATAATTCCCATTCTCCGTAGACACGTCGTGCGCCCAATCCTTGTTCTGGCCCAGGATGCGAAAGACGGCCTTCTCTTTACTCTGTTCATCCCAGTCCACCCCGGAAAAGTGCTCCCAGTGATACTTCATCGGGCTGTAAAGATCACCACGGCCCGCGAAGTCAAAGCCGACCCAGCCCTCGATCTCTAATGGCTTGGAGATTGTCACGTTTCGTCCTAGATGATCAGCATATTCATCCTCCCACAGCAAACCAAGGAAACCATTGACCTACTTTCCGGATTAACCCTGACGGCCTTGAAGCGCTCGGTGTGATCCGCACCAGCCTTGTGGTTGAGAACCGCGTCCCAATAGACCCCCAGTCCGAGGGCATGAGCGTCGTTAACTAACTCGTGCAGCTCCTCCCGGGTCCCCCATTTCGTACCGATAGAGCCTTTCTGATCAAACTCCCCCAAGTCATATAGATCATAGATATCATACCCGTTCCCCGACGGGTCCATCCCCTTGCATCCGGGCGGAAGCCATATGTAGTCAATTCCGATGGCCTTCAATCCGGGCAATGCGCGCCGCAGCCGCCGCCAGTGCCTCCGGTCTGCCGGGACGTGCCATTCAAACCCCTGGAAGATTAGCCTGTTATCGGGTGCGTTCCAAGAGGGTAATGTGTCCAATTGCGTTGCTGCTTCTGCAATTCCGTCATCTTAGCGAGGCTGATAACGGCGTGGCCGGTATTGGCGACGGGGTGCCAACCTTCTATCTGTTTCTGTTTCTTCACATGGCCGCCCCTTCGAGGAAGGCAGGACGACAGGAATGAGAACATTCCTTCGATCTGAGTTCGGACTATGAGGGAATAGTACTGTCCACTGGACCGAGGTGGTTTTTGATGACAACGGAGATCATGAATTCGGCCGGATGGCAATCGTCCACTGAAATACAGCGGTAATGATTCTGGATTTTGGTTACCGCTAGCCAGCGCCTCGCAACCTTCTTATTGCTACGTTTTCTTATCTGTGTGAGACCCCTGACCCGATTGTTCATTGGACCACAGTAAGATTGTTCCTGGATTATAATCAGGTGAATCAGACCATCTTGCGCGATGGTTGGGAGTACCGGCAGTTGATCCGTTGAAGGACATCCGCCGGCTCTGGAAGAAAGCTCTGAGCCCTGCCCCACTGGTCCCTGATCTCCGAGACATGCCCACTCTTCGATCTTTTCTGTTCCAGGCGAGATTCCGAGAATTGGGTCGGTGTGAGACCTGTAGGATTATGGGTCTGCGTTTTCTTTTTTTGGGCGTGCGGTAATATTTCGGTGAAACTTCTCGTACTGTCTGTGGAGAGTAAAATTCGGCTACGGTAACACTACCACCAATAGCACAATGGGGTATGGAGGGTATCGTTATTATAGGTATTAATATACAGGGTACCTGTACACAGAGGAATGGCTTTGCAGCCAGTGGAATAGAACAATCACACGCCAAAGGGAGGACGGTGTATCCATAATGTGCAAATGGCCAAGCAGCCGAGAATGTATAGAAAATGAAGAAAAAAAGAACACAGAGGGACATAGCAGAAACCCAAAGCAGGTATCTCGGAAGGGGAAAGCGAACGAAAGCAAGACAGAAAGAAGGAAAGGAAAAGGTATCTTCGTTCACCATAACACCAGGCTCGCTCCTAACGACAGTATCATAGCAAGAGCAGCACTGCCCGTCATCTTGCTTCCCCGGGATGTCGAGTCGTGCCCTGTTTTCAACTGAGAAACCGTAACATTGTCCTTGGAATATCCACACAGTCCGCTTCCGCCCATCAGCTCAGTCGGGAAGAATACCCGCGGCTCTCCCTTCTCCATGGGCACCTTGAGCTGACCGTCGTCACCCACCGTGGAGTTCACACAGTTGAGGACCTCCATCACCGCTGTTCCCGGATTATATGACACGGGGAGATACAGATCGTATGGATTTCCCTGAGCGCCTTGTGATGATAGAACCATAATCACCTGTCGGCCCTCGATGCCTTTGTAGAATGCGAGCTCACTTCCGCCCCGGTAGATAGGTCTGGTTTGCGCATAGAGGTAGTCGCTGCCCAGGGAGGTGGCATGTTTGCGGATCGCGTTGAGTTTGGCGAGCAGTTGGTATAATTCGGCTTGGGTATCATACTTGGACAACCACAGGGCTTCACGGTTTTTCGGTGTCCCAGATCCGTCCAAGTGTTGCTCTTGACCTTGATAGATCATGGGGATGCCGTCAAAGAGAATGGTGAAAGTGAGGACATTTTTGGCGAGCTGAGGGATGAGTTAGACAGCGTCCGGGGTAGAGTTACAGGCAGGGTGCATACCGCGATGTCTTTGTTCATGCTGGGAATCCGCGGCTGGTCATGGTTCTCAGAAAAAGATACAAGGGCGGTAATGTCGTGACAAGGACCCTTCATTGCTTCCACTTGGATCATCAATGACGACGTGTTGCCCTCTGTGAAGGCATCCAGCATGGAGAAGTAGATCGGGTAATTGGGCATGCTGGTAATGTATTTGTTGTGGTAGTCGCAGATGATGTCAACTTCGCGCTGGAGGACCTCTCCGGTGGTGAATACATCGACTTCGTTCACAAATCTGGCGAGAAACTCGGTATCGACATGTTTGGCGGCGTCAATGCGAAGTCCGTCGATGGAATACGTTTGGATCATTTCCTTGGCCCAGCTTATGAGACGATCCTGCACGTCCGTATGCTCTGTGAACAGGTCGGGCAATGCGACCTCCAGATCACCCGTCTGACACAGCCTGGCGTCGGTGAAGTTGTTCCAATCCGTGATCTTGCAGTAGGGATGAAAATAATCTGCGTTGTTGAACGGCGTGAACACCGAGTAGTCAATTGCCGTCGCAGGGTCCTGCCCACGCGTCATATATGCCATGTTATTAATCACGGTATCCATCATCAGGTACATCCCGCGCGAGTGGAGCGCATTACTCAAATCGAGGAGGTCTTGTTTCGTGCCGAAGCGTGTGTTCAAAGACTCCAGGTCCAGCGGCCAGTACCCATGGTAGGCTTCACCGTAGGAGACGCGGCCATCGATATTCTCGATGATGGGGGAGATCATGACCGCATCGAAGCCCATCCCCTGGATGTAGTCGAGATGATTGATCGTGCCGCGCCACGTCCCTCCGCAGTACAAACCGGCGGTGGTGTTGCACGCGGCGGTGGTCGAGCCGTCGGTCCGCGCGAACCTGTCCGTCATCGTCTGGTAGATGGATCTGGATTTCCATGACGTGAGATTGGCTGCCAATGCTGAGCCACACAGGCTCAGATAGAGGCAGGAAAGAAAAAAGGACATGACAAAGGAACGTATATGATATAAGCCCAAAAGGAAAAACACTGCCTGGCCCCGTTCGTGATGGTGGAGCGCGTCTGACACGTCACGAAAGCATATAGGTCTCTTACGATTGATAAGGTCACACTATCGCCAATGATAAACGAAGGATGATTGGGATAAGCCACAGCCTCGAGAATACAAGTAAGAGGGCAGAAAACCGTGGGATGAGACCGCTGTCCAAAAAGAGCGTGCAGGGGACGAAGCAAAGAGAATGACAGCCCGAATGGCAAAAGAGTGGCAGGCAACGGCCGGAATGAAGGACAGTAAGGAAAGAGGGAACGAATAGAGCCGGACAGATCCAAGGAAACCTACGCCGTACAGAAAAGGGGAGGGATCTGCCAGCATGTGCTGTAGCCCTCGTGATGCACAAGGGCAGGGAGAGGGAGGAGAACCTGGAGGATCCTCGCTCGGACAAAGCCGAAGAACCGTTCTTCATTGGAGACATGCTCAATCGTGGCTGGCTCAGTTCTGAACCAGTATTGGCGGAGGCAGTTGCATGACGAAACGGGGTCTCAGATGGACTATGGGGAATATACTCCGGAAGGGTAATACCAGACAAACGTCGTCCCATCGGCAAGAATCGGTTAATAATAATAATATGTGGGGATATTATTGTGCCACAGACGCCAGCCTTCTGTGGTCCAGGGTTCGTATGGATGAGGTTCTCGTATAGGCAACCTCAGCTGGGCTTGTTTTCGAGACTCACTGGGGGAAGGATTGTTCATAGGTGACAAGACGACCATACGGAGTACATCTGTGGGAAATAATAATGTTGACACACAGTACCCATATGTTAGTATAGTGTCCACCGTCGTGTGAGAAACGGACTCCCACAACTACTTAAATTGATAGAGTTCCCGTCGTACGGAGAAAAGCCATATATAGTAAGAGAGAAGTGGGTGGTAGAAAATCTCTTCCTCTGCCGTTCACTCTACTCCGTAGATGTCCCTCCACCCACTGCAGGCAGTATCAGTACATCACCTCAGCCACCAAAATCCTCCTGATTAGCGATAGGAATTTTATTGGGATTCCTCTTCCTGATGATTCACCAAATGTTGGAGAAGAATCTCTTTATCCCGTCACTTCCTGGTGGTGCTCTGTTGTTTGAGGAAATATATATCTCCTTGTCCCTGCCAGATGGTCCATTGTATCCTATGGACCTCCAGATCAAATATATATAACTCCACTAATATTCAGGTATTGTCGTGATTCTACTCTGTATAATAAACATCAACAAATAAATTTGGTATGAAGGCTCTGTCTGAACAGACTAATGTCCACAAGCATAAGAGCATAAGACTGTTGGGTTGAGCACTTCTGTTCAATTTTACCCAATTCCAGCTCCCCGGAAGTGTCGGACGATGCAATCCAAGCCTCAACTGATCCCATCCGCCAATTCTATCCACTTTTGTCTCTTTTTGTGTTTTGTTCCCTGCACCGCAAGTAACGTACTGTCACAACGAAACGTGGTGTTGACTCCGTCGGCAGGCAGTATCGGGAACACGAACAATACCGGGCTTGGCAGCACCGTCGGTGGAGATAAGGGCTTGTTTTCTGGCCTGTTGACTTGTTCTCGGGTCCATCCCGTGTCTCACAGGCCTTGGCTGGGTTCGCCCGACCCGAAAATCTCGACGACGCTGGTCCGTGGGTCTGCCGGCTTCTACATTCTTTCTAGAAATTTTTTGACAACGCTTCTGCATTCCTCGGTGGAGGGGAAGAGACCATGGAAGGGATAGGAGAATTAAGAATAACTCAGAAATCGATTGTATACACTGTCTGATCCGTACGAGACCCATGTTGCAGATATAAGGGCTAGCGTCGTGTCGGAGTGAATCAGGTACCTCAACGCCACAATCTCTGCCCTCGACGGTACAACCACTCAGCAAACGCGGGTCTTATCTAATTCTATCCAATTTTGGATTCACCGGACTCCTACCGACCACGTTGCTCGCTAAGACCATTATTATTAGCCTGAGACATCTGCTGCACTCGCCGTTTAGTGTGACTCGGAAGTTTCACGCAGCCCAACCATGTTATCCACAGCCAATCGTCCCACGAGGATTGCACCATGGGATTCTAGGTTCGCAGGCATCCTTCGTATTGCGTGAGATAACGCCAACATCACCAGAGGGCGACCCAGGAGACGCATACAAAGGTGGGATGCGTCCCCGACGAGCGTCAAGGGAACTACAGATGTTCAGGGTCGAGCCGCACTAGTTCATGGGTGTCAAAGAGGTCTTGGAACGGCGTAGTCACTGGCTCAAGCATCGACAGCTCCATCGGGCCCATTATTGGCACGCTCCACCGGCATATCCGGAGTAGACTCGATTACAATAGGGCGTTAGCGATACGACAATGTAGCCATTGCCACCGATTCTAGCTGTACGGAGTATTCCGCCTTGACACTCTAGTCTGCTCTGGGAAATTTTACTTCTCGTATCCATGCAACCAGGAAACTGCCTTATGGTAAGGTCGGTCTAGTGGATGGATGCTAAACGAAGAACCTGTCGGTTACGGAGGCTGCAACGTGAATGGCCACTGTCACATCCTTCTAGTGTCCTTGTACCCATGTCCCTAGTCGATTTCAGTGCATGTGGACCGAAGGCAAAGCAATGAAGCTGGCTCTAGTATCAGGCTGATGTTATTATTAGCAGTTATCCATATTCTGTGTGTCACTAGCACCGCGACCCGTTAGGTAGATATCCCCCAGCCCTTTATCATAAGCTGTATCGTGTCCCTGTCTGGAGTTCTAGCTATTATCTGACATTTCCTGTTCGTTCTTCGTCTTTCGTTTTTGCCTTTCGCATTCGTTTGATTCCAACTTCCCCTCGGTTACAACTGCGCTGCCGCCAGTGGCCTGACTTCGCGCACGACCTCTCATTCGTTTCCCACGTTCCGAGAAAAGTGTCTCGGAAATTCGTCTTCCAATACATGCGCGGCGAATAACAGGTCTTCTCTCGACTGCAGGTTGGGAAATCTTCGCAATCGGTCATCGTTGTGCTTGCTGAGTGATCGATCCGAGTCTGATCGACCGACGATCCCCCAGCCCATCCACAATGTGGAGGACTTCCATAGGAGTCGTCGCACTGCTCGCATCGGTGGCATCATGCTGGCCGTACGACGAATCGCTCCTCGATTACAACATCAACCAGAACAAATCCGCAACGAATCCCGCTGATTACTGGGGAGAATGGCCGGACCATCAGGGTGCCTATCACCCATCCCCAGACAACTGGCGGTTCCCATTCTATACCCTATTCATGGATCGATTTGTCAACGGTGACCCAACCAACGACAATATCAACGGAAGCCAGTTCGAACATGATCTGAACTCGAATCAAATGCGCCATGGTGGTGATGTGGCCGGACTACTCGACACCCTGGATTATCTCCAGGGAATGGGTATCAAGGTACGTAATACTACGGTGGCCGACGACAGGAAAATGCTGACAGCGACAGGGCTTGTACCTTGCCGGCACGATCTTGATGAACCAGCCATGGGGTTCTGATGGCTATTCGGCGCTCGACACCACCCTTCTCGACCAACACTTTGGAACGCTGGAAACGTGGCGCAACGCCATCACCGAGATCCACAAGCGTGGAATGTATGTTGTGCTGGATAACACCATCGCTACGTGAGTTGCTTCTACCTCCCCGAAACAGAAGAGAAAGCAGCTAATCATCAATGCAGAATGGGCGATCTCATCGGCTTCGAAGGACATCTCAACACGTCGACGCCGTTTTCTGAAAAGGAATACAAAGCTGTATGGAAGTCAGACCGTCGCTACGTCGATTTCGACATCGGAAACGAATATAATGCGACCTGCGACTATCCCCGCTTCTGGTATGAAGATGGCATGCCGGTCAACGCGTCCCTGACCTCTGGCCTTGTCGGGTGTTACAACAGCGACTTTGATCAATACGGAGATATTGAAGCCTTTGGCGTTTGGCCTGACTGGAAACGGCAGCTTGCTAAGTTCGCCTCGGTCCAGGATCGCCTTAGGGAGTGGCATCCTACTGTGCGAGAACGCTTGATCCGTCATTCGTGTATGATCATTGCCTCCTTTGATATCGATGGCTTCCGGTACGACAAGGCGACCCAGTCTACAGTCGACGCGCTGGGAGAGATGTCCAAGGCCTATCGCGAGTGCGCGCGCAAGGTCGGAAAGAAGAACTTCTTTATTGCCGGTGAGATCACTGGTGGTAATCAGTTCGGTTCCATCTACCTGGGCCGCGGTCGTCAATCCAACCAAAAAGTGGATGATATTATGGAAGCCATGAATTTGACCAGTGACTCCGACCCGCAGCATTTTCTTCGCGAGGCGGGCCATGAGGCCATTGACGGAGCCGCATTCCACTACTCAATCTATCGCAGTCTCACCCGGTTCCTAGGCATGGATGGTCAACTAGATGCTGGCTTCGACTTGCAGGTGGATTGGGTTAATGCATGGAATGAGATGCTTCAGACGAACGACCTGATCAATGCCAATACTGGAAAGTTCGACCCGAGGCATATGTATGGTGTCACCAACCAAGATGTGTTCCGCTGGCCAGCTATCCAGTATGGTGTCGAGCGGCAACTGCTTGGTACCTTTATTACTACCCTTATGCTGCCCGGTATCCCTCTTCTTCTATGGGGCGAAGAGCAAGCCTTCTACGTTTTGGATGCAACGGCGACCAACTACATCTATGGGCGACAGGCAATGTCGCCTGCAACCGCATGGAGAACCCATGGATGCTTCTCGTTGGACTCCTCCCAATACTACAAATGGCCTATTGAGGCTGGCCGCAATGGCTGCAATGACGAGACTGTGTCCTACGACCATCGCGACCCGTCTCATCCAGTCCGCAATATTCTCAAGCACATGTACCAGATGCGCGAGGACTTTCCGATGTTGAATGAAGGCTACTTGATTTCGACCCTATCCAAGAAAACCGAGTCTGTCTACTATCCCGGTTCGAATGACACAGCCACCGAGACCGGCATGTGGTCGGTGCGACGGGACATCAATCCAAATGTGCAAGATCTGGGCTCCGTTGACAAAAATCAGATGGTCTGGCTGGTGTATCAGAATGTCAATCGCACGATGAGCTATGAATTCAACTGCACCGACAATGACGACGCCCTTATCGCCCCGTTCCCGGCTGGGACGCACGTCAAGAACCTCTTCTACCCGTACGACGAGCTTAAGCTGGAGGCGAGTACCCAAAAACTCGGCTTTGGTGGATCCAAAGAGTTCAACGGCTGCTATCCAAACTTGACGATGGACCGCTATGAGTTCCGAGCCTACGTGCCTTCAAAGCTGTTCAAGAAGCCACGGCCCATGATCACGAAGTTTCAGCCGAGCGATAATGAGAATGCCGGTCACGACTCACCACTGCGTTCGACCGTGGCACCGGATGCATCCGAGACGGTGCCCCTCGAGCTGCAGTTCTCAGAAGAGATGGACTGCGACGCAGTGACTAAGGCTATTTCATTCAACTCATCGACCGAGATAGGGAAGACACCTTCGATCGACCTCAACACCGTCCATTGCTCGACTATCCCCGAACAGAAGGGCAAGCTAACCGGCCAGATCCCAGGTGTGTGGCAGTGGACCGCCAGCCTGACTGGTGTATACAACGGAGTCCATAGAATCACCGTGAACAATGCCACCAACGCGGACGGGAGCGCCTCCACGAACGCAGTGGACCACTTCCTATTCCGAATCGGGCAGATCGACAACCCCATGGTCTTCCATTCAGCCAATTACTCGAGCAGTCTTCTTCACCAGGAGGACAATGGGACATTGTTCATCCAGCACCACGCCGCTGGCGCTGATATGTATCGGTACTCTACCAACTGGGGAACGTCGTTCTCGGACTGGATCCCTTATAAGGGTGGTAATGATACAATCAATGCGCTTGAATGGTCTGGCACCAGCAAGCAAGCATGGAAAGGCCACCATGTCCGTGTTGAGTACTGGAGTCGCTGGACCGGTAGCAGCGACTATGTGCAGGAAGGAGACTATGGTTGGGACCACAATGTGCAGCGACGCTTCCCGCATGTCTTCTTCAACGGGCCGTACAACCAGTACGGGTTTGACGGCGGACTGGACAATGAGGTCGACTTGGATACCAAGGACGGGTACTGGAAGTACCACTTTACATCCGAATGGCCGGCCGTCGGTCAGCTCAACGTCTGGGGCATGAATCCAGATGGTCAACCCGACCAGAGCTGGGTGCTGGGTGACACCGACAACGATTATATCCTGGACCGACTGCCTCCATCGTCCCTCTCGGCAACGCTCATCAACATTACGGATCATCCACCTTCGCCCTACCTTTCATGGAAGTTCTACATCAGCGATGCACGGTTACACTACCAGTTGGTTCCTGTCGGACACCAAAGCGTTCAGATCGCCATGTTCGTCCTGTTCTGGATCATTCCCGTCATAACCGCGTCGGCTTGTGTCTACATCTTCATGAAGTCGTTCTACAAGGTCAAGTTCAACCAGGTCGGTGTCAGCGAAACACACTCCATGATCCCACTGGCTCTGCGGCGGAAGTTCAAGCAAATGCAGGCAGGGAAGACGGGTCCACCCAACCCGCTCATGCGTCTGGCTGAGAAGTCTGGCTTCATGCAGAGCACCACCGCCCTGGGAGCTGCTGCGGCAGGCAAGCGGCGCATGGTCTTGATTGCTACCATGGAGTACGACATCGAGGACTGGGCCATCAAGATCAAGATCGGCGGCCTCGGCGTAATGGCCCAGCTCATGGGGAAGACGCTCGGCCACCAGGACCTCATCTGGGTTGTCCCTTGTGTTGGCGGAGTTGACTACCCCGTTGATACCCCCGCGGAGCCCATGACGGTGACCATCCTGGGTAAGTCATACCAGGTGGAAGTCCAGTACCACATTCTCAACAATATTACCTACGTCCTCCTTGACGCACCCGTGTTCCGTCAGCAGACGAAGTCTGAGCCCTATCCTGCACGCATGGATGATCTTGAGAGTGCTATCTATTACTCTGCTTGGAACCAATGCATCGCAGAGACCATTCGGCGCTTCCCTATTGACTTGTACCATATTAACGATTACCACGGCTCTCTGGCACCGCTTTACCTGCTTCCTGAGACTATCCCCGCCTGTCTATCCCTGCATAACGCCGAGTTCCAGGGCTTGTGGCCTATGCGCACGCAGAAGGAAAAGGAAGAGGTTTGCTCAGTGTTCAACCTTGATCTTGAAACGGTCCGCTCCTATGTTCAATTCGGTGAAGTGTTCAACCTTCTCCACGCTGGCGCCAGTTATCTCCGCGTTCACCAACAGGGCTTCGGAGCGGTAGGTGTGTCCAAGAAGTACGGTAAGCGCTCTTACGCGCGTTATCCTATTTTCTGGGGTCTCCGCAAGGTCGGTAACTTGCCCAACCCGGATCCATCGGATGTTGGTGAATGGACCAAAGAGAGCGGCCTACCCAAGGACGAAGACATCCAGGTTAATGCTGACTTCGAAGCCGCCCGTGGTGAGCTCAAACGACAGGCGCAGGAATGGGCTGGCTTGGAGCAGAATCCTGATGCAGACCTGCTCGTGTTTGTTGGGCGTTGGTCCATGCAGAAGGGTGTGGATTTGATCGCAGATGTGATGCCCGCAGTGTTGGAAGCACGCCCCAACGTGCAACTGATTTGCGTTGGTCCTGTGATCGATCTCTATGGTCGATTCGCGGCATTGAAGCTCGATCGTATGATGAAGGTGTATCCTGGTCGGGTCTTCTCGCGCCCCGAATTCACCGCGCTGCCACCCTACATCTTCTCTGGTGCGGAATTCGCCCTGATTCCTTCGCGCGACGAACCGTTCGGTCTAGTCGCAGTCGAATTCGGCCGGAAAGGCGCCTTGGGTATCGGAGCCCGAGTCGGCGGTCTAGGACAGATGCCTGGTTGGTGGTATAATGTCGAGTCCGTCTCAACATCGCACCTGCTCGTCCAGTTCAAGCTCGCCATCGAGGCTGCCCTCAGCTCCAAACAAGAAACTCGGGCTATGATGCGTGCCAGGTCTGCGAAACAGCGGTTTCCCGTCGCCCAGTGGGTGGAGGATTTGGAGATTCTGCAGTCAACAGCCATACAGGTGCACAATAAGCAGGTCACCAAGGGCCATGGTCTCCCTATGACTCCGTCCAGTTCAATGACGCCCACCGGTGCCTTAACGCCGTCAACTCGTCCGAGCAGCCCCTTGATGATGCAGAAAATGAACCGTTCTATCCCTCACTCCCGAGACAGCAGTTACTCCAACCTCAACCACCTGGCTGCTTCCCCCATACCGCAGAAGAACATTTACAGTCGAGACCCTAGCCCCGGCGACGCGGTGAAGCCATCCGGACTGCAACGCTCACTCTCGCTCGGTGTCCGATCAGGCCCAGGTCATGTGTCTCGCCGTGGCCGGGGCCGTCGCGGACAGGACGCAGAGAATATTGCCGAGGAAGATGAGAACAGCGCAGAACACTCTGACGGCGAGGCCGGTAGCGATACGGATTCCATCCTCAGCTTCTACGGGGACGAAGAGTATACTCTCACCCCGGCTCAGATCGAGGAGAGCAGGCGGGCACAGGCTGTTCAATCACCCGGTAGTCGCGTTGTATCAACACCCCGACGCTATAGTGAAGATTCATTACATCCCCACCACTCCGTTATGCCTCCGCTCAGTCCAGCTACGCCACCCTCAGCCGACCAAACTCTTCTTCCTCCACCCAAGCCCTTTGCCGAACCAGGAAATCGACTAAGCAGTGCCTCCGTCTTGTCTCTTGACACCGTCGTCGGGAACAAGAAGGACTTCAAGCTGCAGAAGGTCGACCCCTTCTTCACTGACAGCAACGGCGAGTACTACAAAGAATTCGAGCGGCGATTGGAGGGCTTGAACGGGTCCAACTCGGAGACTCAATTCTGTATCGAGGAATATCTCATCAAGTCCGAACGGAAGTGGTTTGACAAATTCCGCGATGCGAGACTGGGCCGTATCAAATCGCCAACCCCATCGGTCTACCGCGACAAACACAATGCCTCGCCGGGAGGTTCTTTCTACGCGGATGATGCAGCGTCACGACATAGCGGACACGATTTCCATGACGACGACGACACGGATGATGAATTTTTGCTCGGCAAAGACTACGTCCCCCCGACGGGACTGAAGAAGTGGATGCAGATTAAGATCGGTGACTGGCCCATCTATACCATCTTCCTGGCTCTCGGTCAAATTGTCGCTGCCAATTCCTACCAGATTACACTGCTTACAGGTGAGGTGGGTCAGACTGCCGAGAAGTTGTATGGTATTGCCACGGTATATGCCATTACGTCGGCCTGTTGGTGGCTTGTTTTCCGGTATTTCAAGTCTGTAGTATGCCTTTCGACTCCCTGGTTCCTCTACGGCATTGCCTTCTTATTCATCGGCTCTGCCCACTGGGAAGGCGACTCCTTTACGCGAGGCTGGATCCAGAATATTGGTAGTGGATTCTACGCTGCGGCCTCCTCAAGTGGCTCGATCTTCTTCGCGTTGAACTTTGGTGATGAAGGCGGTGCGCCTGTCAAGAAATGGATCTTCCGGGCCTGTGTTATTCAGGGCATCCAGCAGGCATATATCATCGTGCTTTGGTACTGGGGTTCCACCTTGAGCAAGGCCTCGAGCGAGGGTCTCCTGGTTGCTGAGAATCAGATCTCCAACACCTGGAAGATGACGTACGTGTTCTAATTCTTACCTTTGGAGGAAAAGGATAGCTAACTTCTCACAGCGCCATTTGTTATCCCATCGCCATGCTCCTATGGGCCATTGGTCTCCTCCTGATTTTCGGTCTTCCCAACTACTATCGGCAAAGCCCGGGCAAGGTGCCTTCGTTCTACAAGTCTCTGTTCCGACGGAAAATCGTCCTTTGGAACTTCGTGGCCGTCATCTTGCAGAACTTCTTCCTCAGTGCCCCGTATGGCCGTAATTGGAGCTGTATGTCCCCTTTTCATGAAGTCCACCGTGCCCGTGTCTTTACATGTACTGACGCCCCTTTCTCCTCCAGTCCTGTGGACGTCTATCCACACACACGCATGGCAGGTCGTCATCCTCTGCATCGTCTTCTTTGGTTTTGTCTGGGTGGCCTTCCTCTACCTGGTCAGCCAATTCTCCAAACAACACAGCTGGTTCCTACCTGTCTTCGCCTGTGGCCTTGGGGCCCCTCGCTTCATCCAGATCTGGTGGGGTGTTTCTGGTATCGGGTATTTCCTTCCCTGGGTCGCTGGCGGCTATACCGGGGGAGCCCTGGTATCCCGGAGTCTCTGGCTCTGGTTGGGCGTTTTAGACACCATCCAGGGTCTTGGATTTGGAATCATCCTACTGCAAACGCTCACTCGCATGCACATGTGTTTCACCCTTATTGTCTCGCAGATCCTCGGTTCCATCGCGACGATCTGCGCCAGGGCTTTCGGACCGAATAATGTAGGCCCGGGGCCAATCTCCCCAGACGTCACGAAGGGGGCAGATGCAGTCGCCAATGCATGGTTTTGGGTCGCACTCTTCTGCCAGTTACTGGTTTGGTAAGTCATTCCTTGTCAGATGGTGCGAAGAACGCATTGGATGGAGAGACTAACTGGTGACGTAGTGCCGGGTTCTTGCTCTTCTTCCGCAAGGAACAACTCTCGAAGCCTTAGGCTGAACAAGCTGGTGTCTCCTAAGCTCAGCTTTGCATTCCTTTCATTCATTTGCTGTCATATCAATAATGTACTAATGTCCTGGATATACCTAATTCGGCTAGTCATGAAGCCCACATAGACGAAATATATATTTCTTAATATGTTGAATTTCTTATGCTCAAACCATAGGTGTCATACTGCCTCAATGTTTGAGCTCAATAACGCTGTTTATCGCGTGAAAGAATAGAAGAGATGAAGCTCAAGAATACCTTTAGGGTGGATTGGATGGATTGGGTGAGCTGTGTGTGAAGGACTGCTTAGGAAATAGCCGAGGCAGGCAACAACTTAGGAGCCTTAGGCTTCGTCATGTCCCATTCGGACAAACACTTCTCATACAAACTCTGCTTATGGGGAGAGTCAATGAAAGAGAGGTCCGCAACTTTCCAAGAGAGACTGGGCTGATGCTGCTTGACAAAGGTCCCAACCATTCAGGTACGTATTCTGGTGATGGTCGCTGAACCGCAAAGCCTGGAGGCAACCGAGGACACACCTCCCATCTTGCAGGGGGATATTAACTTGGCCCTTCGCAGGTAAAGTGCAAGTCGTGAGATCTGGAGGTGAGATCTAATGAAGTATTGAGCCTTCAGTTTCACCACTTAGATGACTCTTCCCTGGCAAATCCATCACTCGTCTCCCGCTGGTCAACTGAGCACCGAATGAGTAAGTGGAGATCCTGTCGTCGTCTTCCATGTAGAGATATGGCGTTTCCATGATTTTCTCGTAATAAGCTGCCGCGTTTGCCTCCTTTGCGAAGCGGGGAAGGAGTAGAAATCCAACCATCTCGGACCTCTGCAAGCGCAGGATTCAGCCGGCCATAAGATGGAGACGTGATGAGCCTAAAGTATGCAATGATCCTGTACTCTACACACCTACTCTTTTATCCTGTTGCTGCGCACCGCCTCTCGTGCCGAGTTTATCCCGTGGCGTCGTCCAGGTTCAGCATTGTCCACCTTCCTTCTCATTGTGCATTCTTCCCTTTCACTTGCACTTCATATTCTTAATAGATGGTATATAATGGGTCCAGGTTCTGAAGAAATATACGGATCCCACAGGGAAGCAACTTATTTAGCCGGTGCACGACGAGAAGCGTGTTTGATTGGGCCACAAGACAATATTAGTGGCTCGTATTCCTCACTTTCTCGACCTCCAAGTCGTGTGATATCGCAGCACTCGTATAGAAGGACAATTGACATTCCATCAATGACATCGGATACCGGGAGGCAAGAAAAATGTGCGACCGGTACTCAAGCCGAAGCCAGTTGCGAGTATAAAATCGAGGGAAACCCCAGCATAGCACCGAGTGGTCAAATGATATTGAATGACTTCACCCAGGGGTTTTAGTGTCCAGCTTTCCTCAAATCATGCGCCTTTCTGCTTATAGTCTTCTCCTTACAGCATTTGCTGGAATCGTCTGGAGTGCTCCCACCGATGGTGGTGAGAATGAGGTATGAAAATGCGCCCTTATTGCTTCTCTCCACGCATATGCATAGTGATCCTACCATGCTAACGATCTAATCATAGCTCATGAAACGCCAATGTGTTGGTAGGTAAAAGTTCTTCGGAGCACTACTTGTCTAACCCTACTCCACCAGATTGCGTTTCGTACTGCTGCTCAACCCATGGGGGATGCAGCTTCCTGAATTGTGCTGGGTCAACCGTACGTATGCTTCCCTGCAACTTATGAGTCGAGTACTGACGAATGGCTATAGTGCAAATGCAGCGCAGCCAGCCACTGCTATTGTGAATGTAATTGCCACTATGGATAAGGGGCGGGGATACCCGGAAGCCGGCACTCGGAATGTGCTTGGAGGGCAGAGGGACGACAGAGCTACGTCCGAAGTTATGCTCAGAGTAACTAGTAGTAGGGTGGGAATGGGAAGGCTGGCGATGTCAACTTCGTTCGTTCCAAATGGAGAAATTCGTATCGGTTAATACCTACTCCTACTTCGTATAAGCAGAATCCTTGGTCCTCAGGATAGTCCACTGACAGCAGATAGGAGCTTTTTCAAGTGTCCCCCTCAGAAACCGTGGGAGCAGTCACTATCTAGAAGAGAATTTGCGGGCAAATAGGCCCTAGTCTGAGCCAAGCGTAAGGTAGTTTTGCGTAACGTTTACGCAACCGCACAGCTGCCAGGTGCCTGTTTAGTCGCAAATCGGCGACACACCCCTCTCTTAAAACGAACACAGCTGCATTATGTGGACGTTTGTGCAACCACACAGCTGCGGGAATCTTGTCTGCCTTCCAGGCGCATTGCGCACTTGACTTTCATTGGCAAATGGGTGGAATTAGGTTCAACCAGTATTATCGCAAGCAAGGAAACATGTGGAAATTATACCCTTTGTGATATTGTGCAGGTGCAATACGATGTTTTAGTTTATAAGGCGGCGTATATACCTGAGCCACTAATGAATCGAATGCGAGGTATGCAAATAGATGGAAACGTATAAAAATACTTTGGTCCCCCGACTTTACTTCGTGAAGCTCAATTAGATTCATTCTCATTTTACCTTCGGTTTATTTACTGCTTGCAACGTACTTACTTCAACAGCCGAGTCTGTGTGATTAAATCGTACCCTTCCACCTGCCAACCAATGACTCAGGCTGCCAATGCTATGGTACTCGATAACCGTAATCCCGAGAAGACACGGAATGGTGATATTGATGGGTCAAGAGCATGGGCAAGCGAGAATCACCCGGCAAACATCAGCCCAGAGCTTCGCTCATCCTTGAACCGTGTGTTGGAGGAATTAGAAGCAGGGACTGGTCTCTTCGCCCATTCTTGCTCACTTGATTGCTTGTATGCAGAATCGGTGCATAAGAGGATTATGAAAAATGGGCTACTGTCACATCTCGGGATATTAAAAATCCCTGAAAGTCAAAGCTGGGCAGATGCAATGGAATATTGCCGTGACGTTATTCAGTAACCCCAAGATACTTCGGAGCGCGCAGTCTCCAAGTGGACCAGGTCACGTTCAGATCTTTGCCTTCATCTTATGAAAAGCTTTGGCCCTGGAACCGTAGCAGCCGCACGGAGGGGCTGCGAGGCCATTGCCCACAGCTATTATCAGGGAAATCCTCTGAGCATCGCTCATGTGGACAAAAAAGCAAATGCGATGCGATTTATCGCCCATCGGTGTCCGGGTCATGTCTTCAATCCTGCATCAAGCTTGCTTGCCACTGCATGCGATGAACAAACAGCTCTCTGCTGCTCGATCGTGACATCTGCTTGGCAGGAACCCGAAAAAGCAGTGGGCTCCGCTATGATTTCTCATGTGGCAGTTTCTGATGATTACCATGCCTTTACCACTGGAGAATACGAGACAAGGATACGCATGATCGCACTTTTCGCGGGTGTAGCTTACGAAACTGGTGGCCAGGCAGTGAACGTAATAGCCGACGGAGCTGCACTACAAGCAGTTGGAACAGGAGACGAGCTGACGGTGAATGCGGTGATGGCCTGGAGGGCTGTCGGAGGTTGCACAACGCCGTACAGCAGCTACCTGTGGGGCCAGGGGTCTCTTGAGGAAGGGCTTGTTTCACCGCAATTGATTATGGCGATGCACGACCTCTTAGATTGGAGAAGTGATACAGCTGCCCAAAACCATGAGAATGGTGTTTCTGCTGTATATGGACTTGGCTTTGAGAATGCCTTTCACACCTACCTTGAGGCGAGTTTGCGTCGAGCGAGCGCAGAGCCGCGTTCCGGGGTGCATGCAATGGCCGGTATATTATACCTGCATTTCACCTCAATCCGTTATGGCTCCTATAGCTATCGAGGAGACCATGAGGAACCTTGTGGAACGTGTGCAAGGATGCTAAGGGATGTGACTGATCGGGCAGGCCTTCGGTGGGAGCCAAAGCCTCCACCAAGCAGCTTTAGTGCGGGTGAGGAGTTTCGCCAGCTCAGTAAACGAGTGGTGGATACATTTGAGAAGCATTCACTAGCCCAGATCGGCCTAAGCTGGCTTCAATACCTCATTGTCTCTGGCGATATATGGCTGTTTGACGTCCTTTCCTCGATTTGTCCTTTGGATTCGGACGCAGACTGGGTATGAAGAAGTTACTATTTCGGTTTGCTAGTGACGTAGGGACCAGATTTTGCATAGTTTACTTGAAGAAAATACTCTATCACAGCGTATATGTAAGTGATAGGAAAACTCTAGCTGTTCAAGCGGGTTTTCGGTATCATAAGTAGAGCTTTCAGGATTCGATGAGAGCGAAACTGCGTAGGGTAAACTTCTTTAATTGGAGGGAACACTCCGCCCTCTGAAATAGCAGCACTCAATATATAAACACGATTAGCTTCATGAAACCGGGTTGGTTGAACGCCCTTATAAATGCGCGGTTCGAAAATAGAGAAATTGGTGATATGCCGAATACTGCCGAAATAATCCGTACACTCCTGAACAGGAGACGTGGGTCATCATGTGAGCCAAAAGGGACGCGTTGTTCCGCTTTAAGAATCATTACTGAACTGCGAAGTGCAAAAAGGAAGCTCAAACTCTAAGGGATCTTGTCGGCTGCATGCTTTCCGAAGATATCTGCTATTGGGATATGCCCTCGCCATTCGTAGGTGTATCTGTAACCCGGCCCGTTACGCATCTACTTATCAACTTGAATGTAGTTTAGGGATAAAGACGACAACGGAGGGCGCTCTAGCCGCCGCGGAGGAATATATGCAATACTGATACGAAGGAGACTATCAGCTGAGCCAAAGAGACAAGTGACAGGATGCTACCTAGGAAGAGATCGTTGTGTTGAATTGCAGTTCGTTGACATGGATTGGCCCGAGCAAGGAAATACATACAATACTTGGCCAAATGAACAACCTACATGAAATGCGCAACAACAAGGGATGGTGGTGGTCTATCTGCCCGATCAGTTCATGTATAGGTCGTTCTCGTCCGTCCTCAGGTGTGACTCAATGTTCTACCCCTCGCCGTTCAGCTGCTTCGTACCTGTGCCTCGCTTTCAAAGCTTCTGGCTAACCCATTCTTGGATCACATTGATCACATTGCGGAGGTTTTCGGGATCATATGTGAATATATGCCCACCCGGCACCATCTTCAGCTCCTTGTCTTGCGCGGCGACAAGGTTGTAGATATGACGAGCCTCCGGAGGGAATATCCCAGCATCCGCATCGCCCTGGATGACGAACGTTGGCAGGTGTAACTCTGATAAGTAAGGCTCGAGCCTGCACTTCGAGTCCTCGAGGCTCCACATAGATAGCCAGGTACGGAGGGTAGTGGTGCGACCAAAGAGAGGAATGCCACGATTTGCCTTCGCAGGATCTCCGAGATAGCTAGATGGAGTCGTCCGGTTGGAAGGATCAATTGTCGGGTCATTGAACCTCAAATCAGCCGTGGCACGATAGATCGGGAAAATGCGGTCCGGGATACCGACGTCATTCAGACGTCTCAGCTCGGCCTTTGCCCAATCTGTGATCCTTTGGTTGCGTTCCCTCTGAGCAGCTCGGTAGCGGCTAATGAACTCCTTCGAGTACGGAACCGTATTGGCGGGATTGTACATATCGAGAGAGGCATCGGTCTTGACAGGGTCCTTTTCGTCGACGACAGACGGATCCAACCAGTTGGTCAATCCGTCCGGACGCCCTAAATGGGCATTGAGGAAAATGAATGCGTCTGCAGCCACCCAAGACGGATTTTGCTGCGCTGTGGCCTGGTAAGCGGCTCCGAGAGAACCACCGCCTGAGTTTCCAATGAAGACAATTTTCTCTGCTCCACCAATGTCACGGAGCCACTGCATCCCAGCCGCAATGTCATCCAGCGCTTCCTCTAGGATGAAGACCTCATCATTGCCTCGAAAGCGCGTGTTGAAGCCTAGAACACCATAGCCACGCGCAGAGAGAGGGCCAGCGAGGTAGTGTTCAGTGAAGTCTGTGCTGTAATGAACCAAAAAGAAAGCAACTGGTGGCTTTGCGCCGGTGGGTGTCCAGTACATTCCCTGGCATGGGTGTGCACCGGTGAACACCCTTTTGGCTGTAGCAGATTCGATGCCGACGAAGCGTGACAACACTCCTTCAAGATGGGCGGCTTGGTGGTACGACTTGCAGTCCATAATGCCAGCCGTGTCACGGGGCAAGAATACCAAAATGAGTGTCTGGGCGCGCAGATGAGTGGTTATGAAACACCAGAGGAGTTATTTCGACATCTTGGCAAGGGCTTTGAGTATTAATACTTAGAACAACCCTTTATTGTCCCGTCAAGCCCACTAGTGACGGAGTTAAGACGGTGCCCCGATAACTCCATCCTAGTGGAGGACATCTTCTGCAGAGTTGACCCTATTGCGGCATGATACTACATTGTTGGCACGTGGTCCTCGTTCCACTTTTCGGCTCTGGGAAGATCGTCCAATATGTTACCGACCCCGGACCGAGCAACGTCAGTCTGGATAGCGACCCTTCGATGGGCGTGGCAATGATGATGCAGCCACCAGCGAGGACCGTTCTGGCAGTGTATATTTGCAGCAGACAACAGGGGCCGACCTGATGAGCTTAGTCCTCTTTGCCTCCGAACTATCCCTGTCTCGTGCTGCAGTTTGTATGTATAGCTCAGATAGGGAAAGGGTAGAGCCGGGCTGCCGGAAGCTTGGTAGCCACTTTACAGGGCTTCCAGTTGGTTGGGTGTGCTGGCGCTGCCCTCCAGATCATCACAGCAGAAGTAGGTCCAAATGAACCAGTAAAAGCGGCACTCGGATTTTGTCGCACTGTAATCTGCACCTCATCGCCTATCTCCGTCTCGGACACCGAAGTGAGCAATACAGGAAAGTGGGGAGAGGACGATCAACATCATGAAATGGCCGCGAATATGTGCTCCATAGTCTGCACCAGAAACTAAGTATTGCGGGGGCCCGCAGGCTCGGAACGTCGGGCTCTCGGGGGTTGAGGATACGCGGGGAGCCGCTTACAAATATCCGGTTCAACGGCACTGGTAGGTATGAATACCAAATGTACTTTCATAAGGTGACCTAGAATTGTCTATCCCGCTGGATATAAAATCAAACAGTCGTCCTGGTCGGAGAGACACGGGGTATCCAGTCAATCCCAGACCTCGACAATCTACAGACAATTACTTCCCTCGACTGCTGCTCAGCTTAACCAGTACGTATACAGCACCTTTCTAATTGTTAACAAGATTCGTGATATCTAACTTCTGCTGCTACCAGACATCATGCCCGTCACAAAGTTCGACTTCCCCGAAAAGTACGAATACTTGGTCGGATTTGGGGTCTATCACCAGTATGTATACCCTCTGAATCGTCGGCCCGACGACGAGACCCGTTACTGACTGAATGGACTTCAGCTCCGAGGCCCTGCCGGGTGCAAACCCAGTTGGACAAAATGCCCCTCAAGTCGCCCCCTACAAGTTGCTTATCGAACGTATCACCAACAGCTCTTTCACGACTCCGCGAGCCCTTAACTGTCAGAGCTGGATCTATCGCGAGAAGGCTGCATCTGAACGCGGACCGTTTTCCCCCTACAAGACCAAGGCTTCATCTCCGTCGGGCTTTCAGGGGCCCCGAGCCATGACTCCGAATACGTTTAAATGGGGAGACTTCGAGATGGAGTCCGGCCTTGACTGGGTTTCTGCGCAGAAACTCGTCTGCCAAGCCGGAAGTATCCCTACCAAGACCGGTCTTGGATATATGGTATATGGGGCGACGGAGAATATGCCGCCTAATACCGTCTATACGTCATCCGATGGCGAGTATCTTATCATACCCCAGGCAGGAGTGTTGGACATCCGGACTGAATTTGGAAATATGTTGGTGAGGTGAGCGCTTACTACTCGAGGGTGGCAGGCTTCTTGAGACCCTAAAATTGACTTCCTATAGACCCAACGAGATTGCTGTGATCCCTAGAGGAATCAAGTACCGAGTTGACCTCCCCGCTGGACCTGCCCGGGGCTACATCTGCGAAATCTACCAGGGTCACTACCAGTTGCCCGAGCTCGGCACCATCGGCTCTACAGGACTCGCTAATGCACGGGACTTCCAAGTCCCCAAGGCCGTGTTCGATGGCACTGTTAAGGACGGTGTTGCGACCTGTAGTCCTGCTGATTGGACTGTGATCAACAAGTACAACGGCGACCTGTTCTCTTCCGTTCAAGACCACACACCTTTTGATGTTGCTGGCTGGCATGGGACATGTTACCCATACAAATACGACCTGGGTCGCTTCTCCCCCCTTGGCAGCCTTCTTTACGACCATCCGGATCCAAGCCTTTTCACCGTCCTTACTGTGCCCTCGCGTCGTGAGCCCTTAACCGCTGTGGTAGAATTCTGCCTCATCCCTCCTCGCTGGCAGGTGATGGAAAACACATACTGGCTCCCCCCATACCACCTGAACACAATGAGCGAGTTCATGGGCTTCATCAACAAGCACCCAGATCCCAGCCAGGATCTGGTTTTCAAGCCATTCGGTGGGATGCTTACCGGGGCCATGAATCCACATGGGGCCGAAAGAAAAGAACACGAGGCGGAAACCAAAAAGGAGTTCAAGCCCACCAAGGTGGGTACAGAGCCGTTTACACCTTTCCTGCTCGAGAGTGAAGCGATGATGGGCATGTCAGAATGGGGGCTCAAGACCGCTACTCAGTATTAGGGGACGAGTGCTATCCAGTAAACGGCTGTCGTTACCCAAGCCTCGTCCCCAGGTTTTGCTCCTTTGTCTAGCTTGCTTGCAATTGTGAGCTTTCTGTGGTAGCTCTAAATCCTGAGCCAGGCAATCGTTAGCCGTAGCTAGCTTTGTTCTGCATAGTCAATACCCAAGGTGCTTGTCCGGGCTTTAGGTTGTGTATCTCCTTGCTGTGTACTTGGACTGTCTCTTTCTGTGTGCTGTTGTTTGCTCGTTGTTCATCTTCAGCTCCAATTTCCTTGCCATTTAGCCCTGATTTTATCTGCTCCTTTCGATTGGCCCGCGCCCCCTCAATCATTTGCTAGTCTTGTGATGGCTATTTTGTTGAGTCAGATCTAGGTTTCCCCAGCTTCCATTATCTCATATCCCAGGTCCAAGAGCACATCTCAATGTTCTCAACCTCGTTAATTAACTTTTCTTTGAGGTTAGGAAGGTTATCGCGGTCGTTCATTAGGGTTTGGGTACTTGGGGACATAATATGGCTGATGCTAATAAGAGCAGGAAGTCTAATTACCCTCGAAATTGTAATGGGTAGTTAATGGAACTGAATAAAGTTATATGCCTTCCAATTAGTTATTAAGGTCTTATAACAATTAAGAATATAACCGGACTGGTATAATAGATATCTGAACTACGGAACGCCAAATAAGTAATTGGAACACAACATAGCCACTTAGTTTTTCCAATAGTCACTGCAGCGGGCTTCTCTCATGGCAGTAGTTTCAAGATCAGCTTAATATTACCCTTTCTTACCAGATATTACTGGCTTTCACATAATATGTGACCTAAATACAATACTGTATCTCTATCTAATACAATCACATGACGAAGAAACTTCCGTGTTAAGCCCTGTCTTCCTGTTTTCATAAGTTTCCCCTTCTTATTGTTTCTATGATAGCACTCCTGGATTTCTGCATGAGGTCAGTTACTTTATATTAGAATACTCCAGCGAATAGTGTTTTAATTGACTGTTTCTTGTGTCATTGGCAGCAGATGGCTTGCACATAGCCCCCATCATATGCACATTAAAGCAAGATACTCTTAAATAGCAGCTTCTACCTACCATAAATAAGTGCAACCTCTAGGTGTAGGTCTGGTGGTATGTGTATGCTCTCCCCTTTAAATCTGTCCGGCATGGGAGACGGATGGAGTGCTAGGCAATCCACGTTCGGTTGTGAGGCTGGGCAAAGAATACCCGGATAGTTGCATCGGGGGTGCATCCGGCTATGACTGGAAAGGATGAGATTGACCACATTGGTCCCCTTTTAACTACTGTTGACACATACTCGCGCGCCACTAGCTCTATGTTCACGCATTTTACCAAGCCCACGGAGCTGTACATCCAAATTAGTATTTGGAGAAACCCATAAGGACTCAATCGACTATGGCCGTACAGCACTATGTCAAGCCAGTGAAACTGGCTGACTTATATAGACTATGCAAGAAGTCTCTCAGCATCTGCCTCGCCAGAAGGCACTTATTCAGGTCAAATCCGTTGATCCAGGCTATGCGGCAGCCACCTAACGGTTTCATGACACTCTGGAAAGGATTCTCAGCGTCATACCGCATGGTGATGCTGCGAACCCCACAATACCTCTCCATCTCTTCCAAGTACGCATCTGAGACAGTAGTGCTCACATGTGCATATTTTTCTTCGTCGAATAGAACCACGCTATACCCTGTTTGGAGATCTCTGCACTAACCCATCCATTCACCGGCGCTATACAGAGCGACAAGCGATGAAAGAAACCGCTCGCCATACAGGTCTGGCCATTGAGGGGAAAACCGTAGATGGACCTCAATTATCTTGTTTCCGATAGTTTCGATGTTCAGCATTCCCGTGTAAGTTTTCAAATATGTCTCGATAAAATTTGTAATAGCCTGATTCAGATCTGCTGGGGCTGACACATTCACTTCCCAGTAATCCCAGGTCAATTTTGGGCCAGGCAACCCACGGGTATGGCTTAGCCAGATGGCCTGGCCCTGTACCACAGCGATGTCCGTGCTGTAGTGCTCTCCTTGCAGGCAAGCAGACCACATATGGCCTGGGGTCAGAGAATGCAAGTAGTCCATCGGTGTAGCAATATGACGCGCATTAGCTGACATGCCGCCCAGGTTGTAGATTGGTTTACTAAAGATAGGGTACAGATTCAATGGCGGTTGCGTGCCGTGAGGGCCACTGGCGATGCCCTGTAGTTCCGCGATGGTAAGCTTGTTATACACCCAGCGGAAATCAGGGAAAATTTCGTATGCTGCGCTGTCTGTTGTGGGAATGACAGACTCCGTCGGGGGTGCAGCCCTGAAAAGGCGTCGACTTCGCTTGAGGTAGAGGAAGGGGGGCATCGTAGAAGAAATTAATGGCGAAACGAGTGGATCTGCGAGGGATTCTAACGTCGCTACGTAACAAAACTCGCACGGCACTGATCACTCGCTATATAGCTATTTTGGCTGCACGTTCCGCTTGGTGCTACGGTAGCATCGATCTTCTCGTATTAGTTGAGTGGGCAAAGCTTCCAGATTCCCCTAGTCGATAGTTTGTTACTTCATACATTTGTCTCTATATGTTATGATGTATGTATCCGATTTTGAAGTTAGACGGGAGGCTTCTTTTATGAAGGTTTATCTTTACCAATAGGCTTTGTAAACTAATGAGGTCAGCAAGTACAACAACTTGATCGGAAACGACCCTTGAATTGCAATTAGATGCGATTGATGTTTAAGGCACATACACAGGACTCCTAGTGGTTAAGGAATCACTACATGAGGACGGGTTCTATGCAACTGTTCTATAAGACGAGTGCGCCTGGGTTCCTGCCACTGATTGCTTGCTGTAGGACGAACAAGTTTTTGAAACCAGCAACTCAATTCTCGATGCAATATAGTGAACTAGACGCAAATGCTAGCGACGACTATCCGTCAATGAAATTATCCGAAGTAAACCGGTTGAAATTTCCAGCGAATTACGTGGGGAAAAATCAGCCGGATAAAGGAAGTGGAGAGCCGGGTTTTTTGAATGTCACCTAATGAAGCCTACATTCTGCTAGTTATGCTTCAAAGAAGAAAAGCCACATCTCTACTTTATACTTCCTAAGGAATGAACGCCTAAAAGAGCTGGGTATCTGTTATTACACAGAAGGGTATATAGTATTCTGGGGTGCCTGCATATGTACTTGATTTTCTAGGACGGTCGATGGCCTTCCCCTTCCGTTTTAGTGCTCACCCTTCGCTGCTTTTTGCTCACTGAGTAGATCTGAGCACGCCCCGAGCACGCCCTGAGCAGCCTGAGGCGACCACTGAGCACGGGGTGAGCGAGAGACCGAGTGCCCTGAGCGAGTAACCTCAATAAACTGCACCCCATCTAATAATCAACCCCTTGCCCGCTTCTCCACTCGCAGTCCACCCTTGCCCGCCACACTCCCCTAAAGCCCAGCACTACCATCAGGTCTCTTTCCCCAGTAGGAAAGTGCTGTGGTTATCATTCTGCACCACCATGGCAAATGCTTTGGTGGGTTTCTCCAGCGACAGACCACACAAAGCCCAGAAGTTCATGGGAGGAGCTCCCATCATCTCAAGAGTCAAGGGATCCTCAGAACGGCGAACTGCGCTAGCCAATCAAGACATCTCTGACTTTTAATTCTGAATAACTACTGGGTAGAGCGACATGGCCAATGTGTTTCTATAAACACACGTAGTGCTGAAGATCAATTTGCCAAGCAAAAGGATTAGGTTTGAATTAGGACGCGGCGTTGATTAGCTGTAGCAAACCTAGCCTGGAAGGTTTGGTCTATACAGTACGGAGGGATGTCAGATTAATTCTGATATGCGTAAATACTACAATAGGCATCATTCTCTGCTGTCCGAAGCCTTAGCTCAAGCACAGGACAATGCCAGAGCAACGTGCAGGTATAGCTGGCGTGATGGTCGACACGCAGTACGCGCAAGTAGACGTAAACCAAAGCTCGCACGGAAGTTGCTGATGTGATATCATAGTTAACCCATGCTAGTAGAAAGGAGTCGTAGATCTTAGGAAGCCCATACTGGCTCTGAGGATCCTTGCGGGTCCCCGGAGAACGCTCTTTAAAGACTCGCTGGCTGCATTCGTTGAGCAGCATCATGAAATAAAGAGACGATACGGTATTCTGAGACTATTTAGACTCACAAAGGGCCCTCTCTTTTCTAACAATCTCCGCCGGTCACCCCCAATTGAAGAGAACTCGATTACTTCCAACTCCATCATCAGTCGGACTGTCGAAGGAGCAAAGAAATTCTTGTGGAATACATTGGACAATGACTTAGGGGTTCAATGTATCCCACATGGTCGACGCTTCTGGTACCATAATTGAGGCCTTTGTTTTGGACAAGCCCTGTCTATTTGTTACTATAAGTAAGTACAATCAGTGTTGACACGTTGAGTCTTCTTTTTCCGTTGGCTTTGCTTATCATCATGGAAATCCTGACGTGAGAGGGGTACGTCTAGCATATTTGTAGCTCTGAGGTCGAGAGTTGTGTCCTAGATGTTTGAATGAAGCATGTGGAATGTTGGGTCGTCAATACACCGATTGGCGGGTGAATTCGTGGGCTGACTTGTTGCGTCTAGTGGCAATATGCCCTGTTTAGGTTTTCAATGGCGAACCCCAGTTGTACCACTTTACCAGGGCGAACTACGAGCCTCGTCGAGACCATTGGTGGCATATATGCAGGAGTCCTCTTCTTAGCCGTTCCTTTGTCCGGAGGCTACAAAATATACACGACGCTTCGGCACGTGTCGCACTGTTCCAGGAGTCCTTCTCCATAGGAGCATCTAGAGCAGTTCAGAATGCTGGCGCGCAATCCCCGGCGGAGCTAGAAGCAGAGGCTGAACATCGCTCAAAGACGGAAAGGTAAGTACCCCTTTCTTACTCCTACGGAGACGACCAATAGTGGGTCTTAACTTGGCGGATGTCGAACCCATCCCAACCGTCGGCGCTAATCTGAACTGTACAGAGCAATAGACAGAGGATATCATTGTGCAGAACATGAAGATGCCAATAGTTAATATCTCGTTCAGACTCAAGGTAGCAACGGCTGATACTGCTAATGCAGTCCTGCTAATCCCACCGAAGACGAAGCAGCGAACAGGGAGGCGCAATAAGCTGAGGACTCCCATCAATCGCGCGTGGACGATAGGTTCATGCGCGCACATCTTACGAATGCGAGGGGCCACAGAAGGCTCTTATAGTATGCGGCATATTGCTGGCCATACCGTGTGCTATCGGACTACTCTGTCGCCAATGGGGTCATACGGCCAACAGAGGCAAAGGGCCGGCGACTAGCGCCGACATGCATCTTCTGTTACTTGTATTTCGCCGAAAGGTTCAGGGTCAGGAGAGGGTTCAATTCGGGTTTACTGTACGGTCCAGAGTGCATCTAGACCAAAGTAACCCAGCGTCGATAGCCGGAAGGCTTGATCGGACGTGTAGACGTAGTGTCCAGGGTGTCCAGGTCGATCAGATTCAATGGCCCAGGCACGAAAATTGGGACCAAACGTGGGACATGCGTCTGGCCAGCAGAATTGGAAGTCAGAGGAAACCAGCAATGCAGCCACGCTGGCCCTGTATCCGTGAATTCCGAAGTCACTCTCCGGTAACTGATGGTCACCTCAATCTACAAATTGCCAGTTACACTGAGACCTCCACACTAACCTTTAGCGAACTATTGACCTGTGCGTTGATATCAACTTGGACGCGTGCCCCGATTTCTCTTGCCGAGCATATGACTTCTCTGCCAAGAATCCGAACTATCGCTGCACGTCACCCCGCCTTTCCTGTACCACCCCTCAGAAAACCCAGAGGTATGTTGTTGACGGCAAAGTATCCCCGCTGGACTGGAAGCAGACGTCCATATCCTTCCCTACTGCTGCAGGAGTGCCCTTCCTATCTGCCATTCTGTTTCTGTTGGAGATAGTCCCAATGGAGAACTTTCCTGAGGTTGGAACAAAGAAAGCCATCAGAAATCCGACAGTGTTGCTAACGAATGCAGGAAATTAAATCAGCTCTGAAATATCCCAAGTATCTGACTTTGAGGCACTCAAGGCATGTCATCGTGTCTGTCGAAAGTGGTGTCGGGTCGCTACAGGGTTCTTGTTCTGTAGAGTTGTCCGTCACAGAGAAAACTCGGAGCATTTCAGCGCGATCCTTGGGCGAGACAATCTGTCTGTATTAGGCAAAGTCTTGTCAATTGGGCGAGTAGACGATACAGGCGGCGCTCTATTGAATTTGATTCGTTCCGATCGAAGCCCGCAGCAGTTAACGGTACGACCAACGATCGCTGATGTTCACCAGGTTCGTAAACGACTCTTTACAACCTCACGTACGGGTATGGGCTCTCGAAATTCTTTAAGTCTGCCGGACCTCCAAGAAATTCGGCTCACTACCAATGGACCGCCGTATCCGCCCTTGCTCCTCTTCACTGAACTCCGGAATCTTCATGTCGACATTGAGACCATTCAATGGCCGGCGAAAGTTACATGGAAGTCACTGACCGATGGTCACGAACGATCGTTACTACGCAACATTCATACTGGATTAGACAAGACGACGGATAGGGAGTCGGCAGGTATGATTCGCCAGGTATTGTCAGTCTTTTTAGAATACTTTTGTTATATGGGCTGGAAAGATACTCCCTTGGCGTAGGGAAGCTGCGCATACTTGGTGCGCTTCGCAGCTCGAGCTAAGCTGTTCGATTGAACAGGACTGGGAAGATGAGTTCGCTATCGATGGCACGATCTTCCCGGAAGATTACACATCAAAGCGGCGGTTGTGGACAAACGATGAGTTCAAAGGAACCTTCGAATTTCCCATGTACTCGAAAGAAGCGGTCCAATCCAAAGAGATATGAACGCTCAAGTATGATGTTGCCTAACCCACGTTCCACAGCACCGCTAAATCCGTGTTTTTGCGACCAATCTGACGCCATCTAGTTTCAAGTCCTTATGTTCGCCTCAATCAGAGCTCCTAATCGCCCCTCTAGCCCGTCTCAGGATAGAACAGAAAGCTCCAAAAGGTTAGAGACAAGTGGTGAGGAAGGACCAGTAGTAATGGGAACTGTGTCCATTAGGGAGAACAGTCTAAATAGTCGCTGCAATGTATGGCACATTATAAAGAAATGGAAATTATTCGCAAGTGGCAGCTGACCTACGAACCTTACTTTCACGATGTATCCCTCTGTGGTTCTTCTCATGAGCAGTTAAGGGCTCACAAAGCCTGCTCACAAGCCTTTTGGGATGAACAGCATCGGAAAGCTCAACAGTCCGCGGCCCGTCCCGTTCTGATTCGATATGTAAGGGTGAACTGGGCACCGGGGCGGCTACGTCTATCACCGTATTCTTTGCAAGAACAGAGGTTGTCGGATTGACGTCTTGTACAAGTAGAAATGCGACGGGAAAGTATCCTGTATGTAAGAAGTACGTCGTCGCACCAGCCGTGCCTTCTGAACGCTTCTCGCAGTACGGTATACCCAGGACTAATCATACGGTTTTGGTAAGACGTTAACTTTGTGTAATACTATTACAAGAGTGTTTCTCAGGCTGTTTGAATACGCTACGCCACAGCCACCAGACCCTTCGCGTCTTTTAAGACAAATCTACACCTTGTACGAACCCGTATGTTACAGATTGACAAGATGGTGAGGACTCTTGTCAATTTACCGGACTATGTGATGCAAAACAGGAGGATACGCCGCTCTCAAGCGAATCCTGGGTGTCTGACGATGTAACTACCCATCTACAATTTGCCCTGCTTCAATGATAACCAGGCCATCTAAGTTGTATCTGACCGGCTAGGACCGGTTAGACATTGGTTATCAGTCTTGCCCGCGTTCAGCTTTCTATACCGGAGTCCCGTTCCGTGTAGGGTTTACTCTATACTCTGCTGGTTGGGGCGCCAACTACCCACTTCTCCCCACAGGTTTCCCTAATTTCTATCGGCGGACTGCCCTCACTAATGAGGTCATAGACAAGATGTACAGGCATGCAACCCAAGCAGACGAGATCGAAGACCAACTAGCAATATACGGTAGCGTTGCGTTATCATCCGTTCAAGACAGCGATAAAGTCCAATTTTGCTCCAGGAAGTTATGGTACCTACTTCCTGGATGGGTTAAACTCCGTGTGTGAGAGTCAGTCTGCCACCCATGCAGCATCAGCCACGTCAGTCACGCACCCTGCATACTCTGATAGTCGAGCATTTGATAGCTAGTAGTTCATGCACACTCCTTCTCTATTGTTTTCCATATCTAACACAAATGGTCATCCAGAGGTTTGCAGATGAATCTATTGAGTTTCATATTCTTGAACAGGTTCCATAACATACATGTTCCGTATTGTAGGACCGACTAAACTGGCCAGATGGTTCCGTCCAACGTGCTCCCAACAACGGTAACTGCGAGAGTAAGAGAATGTGGATATCTAGCAAGTTACGTTTGCATATGAGTGAACTATGCCAATGACCAGGGCAAGTAGCGGGCAAACAAGAAAGTATTACGCATAATTATCACTTGTTTTGCCGTAGTGGCTCTTGTGGACAAGCGGACCGATCGCAGGCTCTTTTGGCTTCCTTGGACCTCAACTATTCTTCTGGGGACATGAAAGATGGTTCTTTGGAACCTCAGACGGGTTCCTGGGGCCACAAGAAAACCTAAGATAGTGGCATAGCGTTCTCGTGAGCCTTGAGGCATGATCCTGGGAACCCAGCATTCTGGAAGCTGCGTGCTGGCGAATTCGCTTTCTGTTCACCAATCTGACTGGACAATGCAAAGCCTAGGAGACCTGATACACATGATCTTAGCGCCAAATTGGTCTGAGCACCGGGAGATCTGGCATATATCAGGGTCGGTCTCGCTGTTCCCTGGAACACTCACGGAAACTTCACCTGAAAAGTGTCAGTCATTTGCGACCTACGCGGATAGAACCCAGCAACAGCACACAAAATGGGCATTAAGGAGCCCAGCATATTACTTCCACCTCTAGATTTTAAATTGGCATCGGAAATTTTCTTCGGTTCTGTGCGTACAAAGTCAACGGTTTGCTCCTTCTTTTTATAGCTGTCTTTCTAATACTCTCATCGTTCAGCTTTTTATAAACAGACACCGATTATCTGGAGTTTCCGACGAGGATAAATACAGCGACGACTGGAGAGATATCAAGAGGGAGCGAAGACGAAATACTACCCCTTTGGACAGCAGAAAAAGTGAAAGCAATTATATCGCTTAGCTGCAGACTCTCCTACCAAGTATCGGGAGTGACTACATCTTCCCGATCTAAGGAGATGGTTTTAACTCTTTCCGGGCCACCGGAATTCCTTGCATCGAAGCGTTTTAAAGGGAGCCTCGACGTCCTCGGGAAGAGAGGATATTTCCTACAACGTCCAGTTCGTCACGATATCGATATCCCATATAAGAATCCTCAATGGTTAAATTCGACAAGACCGAGGGCACTCCTTTCACCGTGGGAGGAAAACGGTATTGCAGGAAGGTTATGAATGACCCTAGATATCACTCTGATTCCTCTAGGGACAAAGTGCTCCGTTCAGGGCCAGGTAGAGCGCATGGTACATCTATGATCAGCTGCACACCACTTCCCTGCCAATAAGCCGCTCTATTGATGCGGCAACAGGTCTATCTATATTGAGAGTGTGTAGTCCCTGCTTCCAAAGAAGTGAACTCACAAATCAGCTTTGTTTACATAATCTTAAATAACTATCTGGCAACTGTTTCACTCTAGCTCATACAATACAAAGATACTCGGCCAAAGTCTACGCTATACGATTTACGAACCCATATTCCTGCTTGGTTGCTCATTCCGGAGGTCCACGGTAAATAAGTATGGAAGGCAAGATCTGGAAGAGGTTCAACCACGGAATTTAGAAGTTAAAGCTGCTGGACTTGTCTGCATTTGAATATTGTAATGGATCATCCGCATTACGACAGCTCTTCAGATTGGCTGGCTCACCATTCCAAGGAACTCTCCTGGCCAATTAAATGCCTGGAATTTGGACCCGTTGTCATGGACGATCTCTCCCACGCTCTTGGCGAATTGCCTATATAACGCGGTTCCCAGCCAGAGCAACTTCTGGATATTTGGGTGGCATATCTGGATACTCCATCTCCCATCAGAACGGATCGCTCGCCCAGAAGGGCGTGTAGAAGCGATGACGCTGAAGCAAAGTCCACTGCTGCCCTTTTACTTGCATTCCTTATGTTACTTGGAATTATCATTGCCGTAAATCTCTCCACCACCTTGACCGCGCCTGGCCATCTTGGACATGATGTTAGTCGGTCGTAGCAAATCGGTCTTCGTGGTGACCTTGATTTTTCTTTGCATTTCGCTCACTACTGTTGCTTTACGATGCTATGTACGATTGAGGCTTGTCAGAAGATTTGGGTGGGATGATGCACTGATGGTGTTGGCAATGGTAGGTTCGATGCGCATCCGTTGGAATGGGAGTAGCTAACGATAGAATGGCTAGGCCTTGAACATCTGGTTCGCCACCTGCGGTCTTACGGGGTCAGTGGCAGGTATCGGGAGAAGGCTGGACGACTTTAATCGACCCCAAGAGATTGAGAACGCTCTATTGGTATGTTTCCGACTGCAACCCGAAGTATGCAAGACAAGCCCTGACTTGTATCTGCGCACTAGTGGTGGTGGCTTGGGCAGTCAGCCTATGTTTGGGTGGTGACGATCGCCAGGCTGTCTATTGCAATGCTCCTCCTTCGAATCGCTATTCGACGCCGCGACTCGGTTGTCACCTATATGGTTATGGGCCTGACGGTGGCTGTTGGGCTCCCGTTCTGGCTTGTATTGATGCTGCAATGCCAACCTGTGCGAGAGTTCTGGCAGCGGACTGGTGATGGCTATTGCATCGATACGGAATACATTCTCGACGTCGCATATCTCTACAGTGCGACCGCGTGTCTATGCGATTTTACACTCGGCCTCTATCCTATATATCTGATTAGAAATCTGCAGATAAGCGGGCGGTCGAAGTGGGCATTAGCCGGAATCCTCGGACTTGGATGTGTGTAAGTACGGCGAACCAGAGAGTTCCCCATAACTACCTCCGGCGCTCATGGTCCGTACAGTGCGAGCGCAGCCGTTGTTGTCCGCATTCCTTTCCTCCCTAATTATAAGGATACAGATTTCCTTTGTAAGTTTGCCATGTTTCTTCTATTTCTTTATATGCTTGACCATCGTTAGTAACCCAAATATAGATGCTACCAGCGGTATTGCCATTTCATCCAATATTGAAGCTGGCCTTGGTATTGCAGCTGGTAGCCTAGTGACTCTTCGTCCGCTCTGTCATAGGCTTCGCAGCCTCGATGGTATTGTGGGAAAGAATTTGCGTAAGTTAACAAGCTTAGTCCGTCTCAGTAACAACGACAGAAGCCATGGCTCTCAAGTTGCTTTAGACTCCAGCTGGCCGGGGAACTGGCGATCAGATTTTGGACCAGAAGGTGCACAGTTCGTCTCTGCTACAGTCACGACCCCGAATGCTCGAGCGAGAAGGCACGAAGAGGAAGGTCTGGAAGAAGGCGAAGTAATCAGTGACCGCATAAACGTCCAGCGAACTTTCGACATCTCTAGGTAGTGATCGTCTCGTCGTCTTCGGTGTGGAAGGGCGCGGTTCCGTATATTACAAATGATTATGTGAATCAACGTCGGATCTTGCATAGCGATGAAAAGTTGCGGACTAGTCATGTGCACGCGAATGGCGCATGTTTTTGTCAGCCTCGTCACCGTCCCTGATGTCTGTGGCACGGTTGACCAAAGGTGGCATTGAAAACAAATAGCGCTCCATAAAGTAAGCAGAGCCAAACGAGCCCTCCAATATCGACGTCAAGGCTTTTAGATTCGACTGTCACCATGGCCCTCTCTCTCACCCTTTGGGTAAAGCTCCGACTAATGGCGCCCTTGGGGAGTAGGGGAACTGACTGATAGTGATCTTATTCCGCTGAACATGAATGACAAGCTGGAGGTTGCAGCATTCCCCGTGAAAGATATGGCTGGACTGGCTGCAATATTTGAAGAGACCAACGAAGCCAGCGACAGCCAGGCTGTTAAACGCAGCACATTTGATGAACACTACTCGACCGGACCATCTACAGTTGTTGGACCCCATATACTAGCACGAGTACCGTTGGTGGCCCAAAAGCTGGAAGCACTACTCCCCGACGAACGGAAGTAGATTCTAATGGTTGCTTTTGGACATGGATGAGCTTCATCCGTTCTTGCCCGCAGGAATCGAATATTTTCGGCCGGGAAGGATTGTAGATGACCGAACTAATAGACTGGGATTTCAGCTCACCCCACACCGTAGATGAAACTCCGGGCCCTACTTCAAAAGACATCCTTGAGTCCACCATTGGGAAAGGACCGAAACAGATGGCCAGGCACGTCTAATCTCGTGTCAACTTCCACACCGACTGCTAGTATATGGTGCAATGGATGGCATTCGGCCTCTTCACCCCTCTTGGCCAGTCATCCACCTTAGTAATCATTTCACGCAACGCAACATGAGTGTCAGAGTTCGAGCACATATTGTAGCTTGGGTGTTTGGTCCCCGACCAAACATTGTGCCTTTTTGGCCAGATAACGTAGCGGTAAAACTCAAACATCCATGAACCGTCACAGGGAGGGGGAAGTTGTCCGGGCATCGTTTTATTCTTCCTGGGAACCGACAAGGCCAAGCCACTTCGACTTGCCTCCTTGAAAAGAACTCGCCGGTCTTCTACAGTATGACTTTTTCCCAAAAGGATTCGGTAATGGGCCAGATGCTGGACAGTCGCATCCCTAACGAAAGTCCACGGCTACATACCGTGGCACATTCTATCACGCACAAACAACCGTGTGTTCATTGGAAGAGGGCGGCTTAGAATAACGTTCAGAACAACCGGGGCGGGCGACGGGCATTTCTGACGGCCAGTCTCCCTAGCTCTTTTTTTACCAGCAGCATGCGTTCGCTGGGAAGGAAAGCTCAACCAAACGCGATATGTAATAAGTCAGATGAAGTAAAAATCGTGTAGATAGCATTCCAGATACCCGGGTAAACATGCCCGATCACCGTTTACCAACACGACCTCGGCCATTGCCCAGGTGAGATAGGAAGAAGTGGTCTTTCTGAAGTAAAGTAAAGAACCGACTACTCTGTAGATAGGCCGAGGCAGAGAGTAGCCTGGACCCAGATCCACCTGGGAGCACGGAGACGCCCGGACGGTCCTCGACATCCAACATCCATTTCGTCGACGGCCAGGACTCGAAATTCCCTGTGTGCTAGGGGGTTTGAGCCTTATCATAACCATGCAACTCACGATGATATTTGTAAGTCCTTTTAAGGGAAAGAAAAGGAGTGGCGCCATATCTCCGTGTCGTGACCGCATCTCAACCACACAACTGGTCGTCGCAGCGATCAGGTGGGACTGATCTAGTTTTCTGCGGTCTTGCTCGGGCAGAAAAACCTTCCTTGCAGGTCTGGTCGGGTTACCGGTGACCTTCAATTCAGAGGCTCCGCCAGACCGCTATATACCATTATCTTTACCGTCTCCTTGCCTTTAGTCAATTATTCATCCCATTCGATCTTCTACATGGACTCAGGCTTCACACAGAGAGCCGCCAGCAACAGACTGCTTGATCTTCCGGGCCCACCTGAGACAAGCAAATCACCCATGCCATTCAGCTGTCGGTTATGCGGCAGGTAATTTCCTATAAAGTCGGCGTCGTCGCGCCTATACACCATAAGCCGATTTATGTGGTTGTGATTGTCCCATTTGTATAGAATGGATCCCTTTCTTCTTTGCCTAGCGCGAGTGGACGCGAGTTGCCCGGGTATCATTCTGTTCGAACGAATCACTTCAACCCACCATGCTAGCTAGCGGGTGTTCTCTCCGCAAAGACTCGGCAACAGTTACATTGAGCCGGTCACTCCGCCGAACCGGGTATTCAACAAAACGTCTACAGTTTCATCCCGCAGTATTCTAACGCTAGTCGGAAGACGTTACATATAACCGGGCGAACGATGGTGATTTAGACGATCCCATTCCATCTTGCCCGGGCATTGCCAAAGGTTGTGGCGGTTCACCGTGATCGGTCATGTTTACCCGGTTGTCGAACGACCTACTTTCCCCATGTCATCTCATTCCTTCCATTGGCCATTGCATATCAGAACCGGCTGGGCTTTCTGCCCTAGCGCGATGGATGCTGCTGGTGGGCGAAATGATCACACTGAGGTATCACACCGGCGGTGTTGACGACCCGAAGCAGAGACATGCCCGAGCTTTGAATTGGGCGGATCCACTCGACATCTTCAAATTGAAGATGCCCGGTTATTTTCTTCCAACCCCATTCCCATCCCTCATATTTTTTATCGTTCATCCATTCGTGGCGATTTTCTCAACGAGACCACCCGGTCACCGCAGTCAGTTTACATAACATGTGAGCTGATCTGCTTTTCTTACGGTCTGCTCTCGTCCGGGCTTTCCGTCGCAGCTCTGGCAGGGGCTTTCCCCAGCAGATTTATCCGTGATCCCAAGGCGCGATTCACTATTTGTGGAGCTGTTCCGACGATACTTGGCGGAGTAAAGCCGCTGCGTTCGCATCCGATTCACTACGGTCTCCCCGTCTTTGACGCTCGCGGTTGTGGAGGCTCTGCTATTCGGTGCCGACGGATATGAGGGCGTGCCCGAACAGACGGACGGACGCCAGCCCAAGAGGCGATGCAGGTAGCTGCATTGGGTGCGACGAAGCAGGCGATGCGAGTGTGTTGTCGATGGTATTCTTGACGAGGGTGATGTCCTTTACGATCGGCTGCAAACTGTTCAGTTTTCCAAAGATCTCCTGCCCAGCTGCTTGCTCGCGAGTTTTCTTGGCCAAGGTAATCACTCTGTGGAAAAAGTCATCGAAAGATGGGGCTGGTAGTTTGGCACATTTGGTGCTGTCGAGTTCCAGCAGTGCTGTGGCCTTCGCTATGATTTGTGTGGCACACTCGCGGTGGTTTAGGGGCTGGATCCTCAGCACTGGCCAAATAGTTCCACCAAACATTGATTGTGTGTTTTGTTCGGTAGCCAGAAGCCTGGTTAACAGATTGAACTAGGTTTAAGATCAATCGTGCTTAGAAATAGCGGGAAATTTCTAGGTCTTTTTTCGTTCTGAGCTGAGGGGAGTTGGTTTTCTCTTTACCAGCACATGGGACACGGTCGGATCATCGTCGGGCCTGGGAAGTGCTTGTCCTCTATGACGCACGGGATATCCTTGCGTCGGCAGGTATCTTATCGCCGATTTTGCCGTCATTCTTGCTCCTCAATTAATCAACGCCAGAACACACCATCTGAAACTAGCGAGATTATCCTTCATGCAATAGAAAGAGGCCATTATAGCCGCCATATCTCCAGTATGAAGGAAGGTCCTTCCCACCTTCAAGGGCCTCCTTCTGTGCCGCACCACGAAGTCCACGACCACGAGACCGAAGCGACCTGTCGGCTTGACGGCCTCTCTTTGCAAGAACATCGCTGCGTTCTATCAGAGCACGGCGGGATCACTCCGCAAGCAAACGGGAACAAAGCCCCTGCACATGGCTTCTTCACTCAATATTACGGCGCTGGCCGCCGAGACCTTCAGATGCAAAGTGATATTGATATCAGGAGATGGGCCGATGAGCTACCCAGTGCAGCGCAGCGGCTAGTTGCAGCTCATGTTGCTACCAACAACTCTTAAGATCGATCGGAGTGTAGATATAAAGAATATAAAATGAATAGTTGAAGTCAATGCTGATGGGCTCCATCTCAAACCCACCTGTCTGTTATCATTATATAACGTATTCTTCGGTAACTATTGCATGCTGACAAACGAGAGCCACACTACTGCGCCGACATTTTGAGATGCGGACCCTACAGATCGTCAGAAATTGCATGTATATCCCGACTGGTTTTGCTTCTCCAATGATAAGCATGGGTATCTTTAGCATGCGGCGCAGCAGAGCCGGCATCAGCGCCTACACCAGCACCTGCACCGTCGCCAACGAGACATTTGTGTGAAGCCGCGAAATGCTCAATACGTCTCTCATTGGCTGCATCTTCTGTTTGTATGGCGCTGATATGAGAGGAACTCAGGCTGTCATACCAGGGAAACCTAAGCAACTCGTGTATTGATGTTGAGCAGAGATACTGGCATGATGGTCCATCAGATGCTTGAATGCCATGACTTCGCCGTGGCTCATTGTGTCTGGGGTCTGCAGGCTCTGGCTCTGAGTAGCCATGCCTTTGTGCGGACGATTCCGCCCGTATGCTCAAAAGCTCAGCCGCACGCAGTCCAAATCCGTCGAAAGAAACGCCATCCCTGGCAAAGTTCACAAGCTCTTGTGTCTTGCTGTCATCCTGCAGCGCTTCGAAAACCATTGCAAGCAATTCTTGGTCCTCTTGAAGAAGGGCCAACCTACGCCTCAGTATGATCCTGCGGCGCTCATCTGTTGACTGATCCAGCACGCAAGCACTTTGGCGTTTCGGACATTGTTGACATGGGATACTTCCACTGCACTGTTTAAGGGTCAGCCATCCCATCTCCAAAGCGCTGTCCCTCCAAACCAAACCTTTGTCTTCTTCGCACGGCACGCAAAACAAGCCGTCGTTACGCTCTTCCTCCTCGCTCTTTCCGTGGTGGATGAAGGGCCTTGTGACGTACGTGCCGGTGCTGTTTGACTTCGGAGGCTGGTTGCCATGGTAGGGGATTGGACGCTTGTGTTTCAACGCAGAGCTGCTGCGGACATCCCCGTAGATGTTGACCCGCTGTACGCGACACTCACCACGAACGCGTGAAGTACCTATTTGTAAACCGCCTGGTTCCCTAACCCCTCCCCCGTGCCAGTGAGTCAACATACGCTAGGACGCCAGATCGGGCATACCGGGGTAACGCGTCCCCCCAAACATTCACTTCTCCCCAGACGCGCTCCAGCGGCCAACCTTGCGCGTCACAAACCGGGTATGTCATCGCACATCTTCGTGCTACGTTGGAACCCTTAGGATGAGGCCGTCTCGCGTATGCATACTTTCTTCTACTGCCCCGGCTTCCCCTGTCCCGTTTCGCCCGCCCCTGGAGAGTCCGAAGCAATGCATGTTCTAACGGTCGAGCAAACCAGTGAGCAAAGGATGCTGTTCCAAGGGACTCACTGCTGGACAACCGGCAAGAGGCCTAACTGCAATGGACCGCGTTTGACCAGAGCTCCTTCAACCCCAGATACTTTCCCATATTGCTCATGTTAGATGTGCCGTCCCCGCTGTAATCGCTTTCTAACCAAACTGACCCTCTGAATTGACTGCCGCTACACCAGAGAAGGTCAACGATAAGGCTGGCGGCCGGACGGCGGTGGGGTCACCTCTGGTAACTCCGTGTTTGACAGGGTTCCGGAGAAATGTCCGATTCAGGTGACGCCATTGGACAATTGGTCACGGCCCACTAGATGTGTGGGTAGCTCTGGAAATGCCCTGACCTCAGCGAGTGGGTTGCGGGTGCCAACCGCCGTCATAACGGGCGGTGAGATTGGACTGTCGTCCGCGCGAAGTGTTTGTCCGAACGAGGATGACCGTTTGCAGTCGGACGTGGGCAACCGCGATGTTTATCGCCAGATCACACTCGGCACCGGCGGTCCGATATAACATAGCCCCCAGATGGCCTCCGGCCGACCCCAGCTGAGAAGTCTGGACCGTTGGTTGTTATCCTCCTCGAGAGCGCAATATGAACTGGCGAGACAGTACTTGGATATGGGCCTTGGGGAAACTAGGCGTGCACGTTCCCCTGACCTCGAGGTATGCCCGCCTCTGCGGGATCAGCCAGGCACTTGCTGACTACCAGCCCGACGTACCCTAGCGCTTCCGCCCCAGACGGCTCGACCAACCACCGAAACATCATATATGTGTCCCGGGTCGGCTCGTCCCAACCCCTGTCACGCAGACGCACCCAAGGAACCAGTCTCGTTGGCTGCACCGTCTGGCCCGTTCCGGTGCCACCGTTGCAGTGGCACGCGCTCGCGGGCCTATCATTGCCGACATTACCGCGACCTATCAACGTATCCCGCGATAGGAATCTGTTCTCGCCGTCGGACGGGCTTCGCAGACGCAAAGATGCTGAAAGAGCGGAATCCTGGGAGCAGTGACAGGATGGAGCATCTGATCGCGGAATTACCTAGCTGGGGCCAGGCGTTGGACCGGAAGTGTCTGTAGTCACGTGAGGAATCGACGTCGATTAAGTTAGCGTGAACGTAGGATAAAGTGTGCCAGGGAGACCTGCTAGCCCAACGAACTTGCACGGGAGCTTGTCAAACAAGGAACCGTTGGTAGATCGGTCATCTGGAATGACCACGGCCTTCAGCGATTCTGGAGGCGATCCATTGGACGTGGTTTCTGGATGGTCCGGTAGGGTCACCTGTTGTGTCAATGTCCAACCACTGATGGTACGGCTCAACGTCCAGATCCAGGAGCCGGAGGTCATCGCTCAGCTGGGGCTGAACGATCGCCTTGACCTTGTTGCGGATCAACTGTCGAGCACAGACTAGAGACGAGGGGACGCGTTAGAATGACATAATCGAAGGCATCAGCCTTTCCCCGGCCGCGAAGAGGGCCCATACCGCCGACCAACATACTCCCCCGACGTGCATTCAAGTATGTCTTGATCGTCTCTGCCACATCTACAGTTCCCTTCATGAATCGAATTCTCGTACCGGGTTCCTGCGAGGCCTCATTCTTGTGGTTTTGACGATAGTACAGGACAAATCGGAGGATCTATCACGGTCAGCCTATGGATCGGGGGCTATTCGGCGGTCGTGGTACCTTGAATTCTTGGTGATCGAGGTCCAGCAAATGCTGCATGTTCACCCACCGACGGTTATCTAGACCGTGTTAGTTCAGCTCACCGTTCGGGGAGACAGGATACGGTGCTGCGACGCGCGGTACTTAGGCCTTCCATCTGCCAGGCCACGATGAGCTTCCGGACCATGGCGCGGTGTTGTTCACTCGCCAGGACCAGGGTCTGGATGAGCGAAAAGACTCGCGCAATCCCAATATCCTCTATGATCAGTAGCACAATCCCGAACGGGGCCAGATTTGGCGGTCGGCTGTGCGGTCCCAGCACGAGCGCGCTGTGTGAATATTATGGAGACGCTCCGCATCATAGAGCGCCGTCGCCAGTGCCGAGGACTGCGGGCGAGCGAGCACACGTAGCGTGCGATGACCCATCGCTGTTTTCGAGGATGTCCTCCCTCTGGATCCTTGTCGTAGGCTGGGAGTGTGTACGGCTGCATCGCGTTCTGCCGCTGTCCCCACCTGGCTCCACTCCCCTTGTTCGACAGTCGATACTCTCGGGTCGTTGGGCCCCGGCGGATCTTCCCAGGACGAGACATAGAAAAGCTGCAGTTGACTAGCAGCCCGCAGGTCTGCCTATGGCAGTCAGAGGTACATATATTGGCCGCGCTCGACTTGCCACCTAGAGGAAACGGCAATGTCCACATGAAGAAGCTCATCGTGCGGGGATACGGCCACAGAAGACCAGGGGTGGCCGCAGCGTCTTCGCAGGTGCACAGCCACGGAAGCCAGACTTAGGAACATCCACAGAGCCGCTGCCGCCACCAAACACCAGAGGCCTCTTGACCGGCGCATCCAGACATGGTAGGACATGGCAGCCAGTTCGATTGTCCCCAAGGGATAGTGACATTTCGTTGCCAGCTGCGGGTATCGGCGAACCACCGCATGCAACGTCACGGGAATGATCAAGATCATCAAACATGCTGCCTATGTCTGGTTAGTAACACCACAATGAGGCCTTCAGAATCAGAGCGAATGGAGCGAATGGCTCACCAGAAATGGAACGTAATGCTGTCGTATGGCTTGCACCGGTTGGCCGTCACTCAGGATGGCAATCGCTCTGTGGAGGATGGAGTGGATGATGACCATCCGGCCGACCCATCGATGCATCCATGATACCGCCGGCCAATCAACGCCTAGGAGATGTGCCAGGAGGGTTAAACCCAAACGTTAGCACTGTCAACAGCGGAACGAGATCGGTAACAGCAAGGTTGGCGGCGCGCCGGTGCACGGTGGCTCAGGGTGATTACGGCGCACATCCCATACCAGTCGGTCTGCGATATGCGCGAAAGCCACATACTAGGGGGATATCGTTGGAGGCATCCTGCAGGTATGGAGACGTAGCTAGGGAGCGAGGGGGTATTTATGTCCCGTCAGGTGTTGTCTGGACCCTCATCTTGATGCTTGCAGCAGGATGTGGGATAGGTAAACACATGGATAGTAGCACGGGGGATTAGCCAGTCTTCATCTGCGGATCTTCACCAACATGGCTAGGTAAGTGGCAGGCAAGGAACCGAGGGCCCTGAACAATGAGGCTTGCCTACTGATCAAGAGATGTTGTCTATCTCGTTGATACAATACTTTCTGCGGTTGCTGTCCTCTGAGCTTTGTCTCTACGGTTTATTGACCGGCGGAATCCCGAGTGACGATCACATACGGTCGGCCATCATGTTGCAATATTGCGGGCTGGGACGAGTCCATTCATCATCAGAAAGGAAAAGAGATATACTGGCTACGTAATTCCAAAGAAGCATCCCAACGAAGGGCAGGCCACAGATCCCATCTGTCTGACCAAAGACGCAACAATCCGCTGGCGCCTTGCAGCGAACACCACCGGCGAACTATTACCTCGGGAGTCTTCGCTTTGTGGGCTGCCGCAGGGATCGGCTGGGTGTGACCAGAGACAAGAGCCCGTCTAACTCGCGAGACTCTCACCTCCCCTTTGTCTCACCTGATCTGACGCTTTTTGTCGACTTCTGGCCTGTTTCACCTGTTGCTTCAGCCTTGGCACCTCCGCAGTAAAATCAATATACGGTGTAGTGGTCTGGGTGTGTATCCGCTCTCCTAGCCGATGTACCAGAGTGATAGATCCGGGCGTCAACAACCCCTAGCCGCATCACAACAGCTGAATAGCTGCATAGGATTGGCCACCCGTTGTTCATGCCAGGAACGGAGACAAAGGAGAGCCGTACCCCTAGTTTGGGCCTTGATAGGTGAATAACACTCTTGCACGCACTTCCCTACACATAGCTCAGGCGAGAGAGCAATCGACCATGGACATGTCAATGCCCTAGACTGACGGCCTAGGAGCATAGAATGCAGGATTCTGGCCAGACCTGTTAATTTGGATCATATTTGTTTGCCAAGTATTAGACCATCACTGATGAGAACGTCACCGGTTGGGTCGAGTATGGAATATAATTTGGTTCAAGGTAGAGCCAATCCTTATCCCGAAGTTACGGATCCATTTTTCCGACTTCCCTTATCTACATTGTTGTACCAACTAGAGGCTGTTCACCTTGGAGACTGCTGCGGTTATGAGTACGACGTGGCATGAAAACTATTCCTTCCCGCGAGATTTTCAAGGGTCGTCGGGAGCACACCGGACCTCGCATAGAATCAAATCATTATAGCTCCGGTAGATAGTTATGGAAGGAAATAGTGCCCTGAGCTTGAAACGGCGGGACAGAACAAACGCAACGCGGTATAGCGCACCGATTTATCTTACGGCTCGTAGCCTCGCATATCAACCGAGTTATATAAACGGCAAGACACTGGCCTCTGGCTTTCTCTGTGGTTCAGCTGCGCGACAGTCTCTACAATCGTGTATACAGATTCAACCAACGATTAATTCACTTTGTCACGGTAAGGACCCAGTTATAGCCCCAAACTCATATGTACTAGACGCTTTGTCCTTAGGCCACATATGTCTGAACCAGCAGTACCTTGGCAGTTCGTCCCGTCAAGTTCGCCTGCGAAGCGGCAAGCAAACAGAGCTGCAGCGCAGAGGTGTGGGGACAAGCGAAACATCGAAGCGGAAAAGGAACGAAGGAACCAGGAGCTCAGCCAAGAGCGGGTTGAGTTGCTCAAGAAGGTTGACCGACTGGAGCAAGAGAAAGCGTGTTTGCACGCCAGGTGCCTTGATTACCGCTATCAGCGCGATTATATATCCGAGTGGAGAGAAAGATTTGAGCCTTGGGTTCCACTTCCAGAAGTTCCACGCCCGGTATTGGAAACTCTTGGCATCAGAAACGACACGACGATCTAGAGATATGAGCAAGAGTCTGATTTCCGATAGAACTGTCGACGACGACCCTCCAGCATTACCGTGGTCAGTTATAACAAATAGCTCGATGTGAAAGGAGAGATTGATAATGTCGTAAGTTCCGTCGAAAATGTTATCGAAATATGCACTAAGAAATCAAGAAACAATCAAGCAAAAGAAGAGGCAAAGTCTTGGGCAATTTTCTCAACGGGGAAAATTGGTCGTGGTACATCATACATGCGATAGAAACCCGGTCATTAGGAGATAAGGCGAACGATGGATACAGTATCTCGGGCAATTGTCTACCTGTCCATTAGCTTGAGCAGTTGCCAAGGGCGTCGAGGATAATGCTTGGTTGGATCGGGAATACCTGGGCATCTGAGGATAAATCTTCCCAGCAATCTCGTTTCTTAAAGCGCTGAACACTCAGTTCCCCTGGGCTACTTTCCTTGCGCTAATGCTTCTGACGTAGCATAAGGTCGACTTCGAAGCAGAACCGGTGCAGACGGTTCGGACAAGAGCCATTGTCCTTGAGGACAGCGGACTCCACCAAAGTCATTGAAGATGCCCAGTTATTCCCTTCCATCCCCAGCTCTCGTAAGCTTGGTCAAACAGATACACCAAGGTCCGAAACCTCCTTCCAGCCCGTACAGACGAGCTTATTTCTAGGCCTTAGTGCCAAGGCGCTACTTTGCAATGGGATTTTATCATTAGATCAGTGATGTCATGTAATTTTCACCCTGGCGTGTCATCTTGATATCTATGCGTGGAGTGGGGCCTTGCACTTGGATTTGGATACAAGCTCGTCTCTGTGGGGCGGAAGGAGGTTTCGACCCGAGGTGTACCAGAGGGCCTCCCCGCTCTTATGCTAAATCGTGTTTCTGACTTTGCCGAGATTATCCGGTCGTGTAGTTTGACGTGTAATTTTTGTTTTGGTGTCTTCTAGTTCGGAAATGACTCCAAGTTGAATCCCCATGTTCAACTTCCCCCGACGGGATTAGTGGAACCATCCGACGGGACTGGGAAATCAATCCTGGTCGAAGCCGCATCTTTTGCTGGTCATAGTTTGGGGCCAGAATGCTACGGCGGCGGGGTATGTCTACGGAGATCGGCCTACCTGGTGAAATGAAGGGCAGCCAGCTGCTCACTGATTTCCGCTTGCCAGAGCTGCAACGAAACCCCGGGCGGGAGCAGCAGATCAGCCCACGAGTGATGTAAACTGACTACGGCCACCGGGTGGTCTCGTTGAGAAAGCCATCACGAATCGGATGGACGATACACAATTATGAGAGCTGAAGACGGGAATTGGAAGAAAATGACCGGGGATCTTCAGTGTGATCGAGTGGGTCCATCCTGTTCAAAGCTCGGGCATGTGTCTACTCCGGCTCGCCAAGACCGGTTGACCGTAGGCCTTTCTGCCAGTAACATCCATTGCGCTGGGGCCGAAAGCCCAGCCAATTCGCTATCCCTGAGCAATGGGAGGTATGAGAATGTTGTGGATAGTAAATCATCTCGGATACCCGGTTAAACGGGGTTGTTCGCATGCGTGCCTCCGTTCTGCAGAACGGCAATGGCGGACAGATACGTGGGCAGCAGCTCATACGACCCTACCTTGCCCAGGCAGTTGTCAAGGGTCATGTTCAATGTGTTCAGGCCGCGTGGAATTGCCCAGGAAGAATCTCGAATCGTCTGGCCGTCCGCGCAGACACACGACCACCTGATATCCGTGGCCACGGGATACGTCCCATCCACCGAGGTGGCAACCGAACCGGCACAGCATCGTCGCAGCGCTCCCCAAGCCCGAGTATCTTTCCAGTCACGGCGCGCGTTCAATGCCTCCTCCTGTATATAACGAGTCGCAGTCTCCCAGAAGGGACGGGCCCATATGCCTCAGCCCTTGCGGAGCCGGACCGTCCGGCTGGACCACGCGCTGGCGGACCTCGCATGACTGGACGAGGTGGCGAGGGTCGCGGAGATCTGCCGGCGTCGTGTCAATACAGTATGTCTGTTTCAAGGTCGGCCCGCTGTGAAGGGATGCGAGCTGCCCCTCAACCGCACCAAGCTGGGCGGCTGGCTTCCACACCCTGCGACTTGTTCCGTTCGCAAGTTGCCTTGTCCCCGAGCGCTCTTGCTCCACCGTCAAAGTACGTTGTGTCCGACGTCCAACTTCCACAGCAGTAGCCATCGTTCCCAGCTAACAAGCAAACAGGTTCGATAGTCCATTAAAAACCACTGTTTGACTATGGATGTCCGCTGCAGCCGATTATCCAGACTTTTTGGGGCTGCGGACCGTCTCGTCCGAATTGGATCCTCGAAGTTGCCGCTCGGAGGCCGAAACTGAGCCGCTAATACCTCATCTCGTTTCTCGTTCTTGTTCTAGCGCGCGGGCGGTCGAGGAAGTGTCCAAGTGCAGAGCGCTGGATCCTCGAATCGAAGTGGCTTCCCTATTGTTCGACTGCAGATACTCGTTCCCCACCGAGCGCGCAAGCATACCGGAAGTAACATCGCTCGTGAGCATGACATCCTTTGGTCGAGGGATGATGGGTTCTGGAGTTCTTCGGACAATATATGTCCTGCATATACGGAGCTCGGGCAGTCTTTGGGTCTGAAAGATCGCCCCTCTCGTTGATGTGTTGCGATGCAGAAGCTCGACATGGCTACAAAGCCGTCGAGCTGGCCATTCTCAAGTGTTGCATAAGTTCGCTGATCCTGCTTGACAGCGGTTCCTAACAGGCGTAGGGCCCTTTATCCCTCAGGCTCAAGTTGTTCTGAGGCAATGCTCCTGCCATCCATTTCCTCCCACGGGTTCAAAATCGACATCGCCAGCCTGGGGTATATAATCAGTTTTGTGGGTTCTCATCGTAACACAGCAGCGAGTTGCCTGAGTGGCTTAGGACGACGTCCTCTGTGGTGGCTTTCGCCTGGCATATGGATGTTTACGTCACCGACCTCACCGTAATCGGCGGAAGCGGTATCAGATTCGGATTCTTGTAGGTTCGAATGTCGGTCAAGGTCAACGGGAAAAAATGTCCCCAGCCTGTATCTTGTCTTTTTCCATCCACTTACCCGGACGTTGACGAGCGTGGGTCCGGGTTGCTACCAGCCCATCGTATCTCCAGAGGTATTCTAGGGAGCACGTCGCCTCTCTTACTCTCTTCGGGGGTAGGCTGCAAAGTTTCCCTGATAGTTCTGGTTTAGTGATATCCTAGCTGGTGGTATACTTCCATGCTGTAGGTGTCCGTACGCGTTGGTATCTCCGACTGAGGCGTCGGCTGAGCTGCTAGGCCGCTTTGCTTTCTCTTGTACAGCCCGCTATCGAGCTTGGGCGGACTTGTAACTTTGGAGTAGACTTGTTGACAGCCGTAAGGATAGTATTGACTATACCCCAAGCGGCGTGATCGATGTCCTGTTCTGTATTTGGTATCTCAAGTCCGGCGTATATTTTGCCCCTGGAGGTAATATGAGGCACGGTCCATAGCGAACGAGAGTATCTCGGAGTTTGTAGGTAGTTAGGGAGAGGTCAATCGTCGGGTCCGTGCCTCCGGCCGGGAAATCGATTATTCCTACTTTATAGAGGAGGTCTAGATTGTATTTTCAAGTTAACTGGAATGTCTCGCTGCCTTTAGAGCTGGGGGCTGTCTGCCCCTCCTGTCCAGAGATCCGCACGGATAGCTGTATGACTTCCCTTAATCGGTATGAATGAGGTTACCGGAAGGCTGCGCTCATCGTGAGCTCCCTTGTATGTTGATGTTGGTCTGTTTCCCACCGAGCTCGACGAACATATCAGGGCATATGCCGGGATTCCCGTGCAGGCGCCAACTGCCCATCTTCTGGGATTGTCCGGTTCTTCGGAGAAGACCGGCCGATTCTGCCGGACCTCTTCTCTCCGGGACATTTCGTTCCTCTGAGGGAAGACCTTGCTCTTGCCGTGATTCCCTTCCGCAAAACACGCAATACACGCATGACGCCGCTGTTGTCAGGTCGGTTTTTCCCCCTATCTATTCCTTGGCGTTATGCTTCCCTGCACTGAAGTCCGATGTGACCACGGCACGGCTTGTCGGACGGTATATAGGACGAAGTTGTGGTGCACCGCGTTCAACACCAATCCCTCCGGGTAAACTTGGATCGCGTGACACTCCGTTGTAAGCTCCGCGATACGAGATGAGCTCTGCTTTCTTCCCTCCTTGGTCAGCCAACCTACTTACGGTATCATCCGCTCGGCGGCGCTTGGCTGATTGTTCATGTGGGTGAATTCTTTGCTTGTCCGTACGCCGGCTACAATCACTCAGTATGAGGGTCCAACTACCCTTGCTGATGTTCCGACCATTTGGCCCTTCCTTTGATAGCCTTCTGTGGCTGCAGTGTGTAGGCTGCTCTTCAGTTGCAATGAAAGGACTTTTCGCGCAGATTTATCTGTGAACAAAGAACGCTATTGACGATTTTGCGGAAGACTTCCGATGATATTCGGCGAAGTACGACCGCCGCGTTCGCATCGAGTTTCATGAAGGTCTCCGTGTCTGACACTTGCGGTTGTGGAGGCTCTGCTAGCCCGTGTCGAGGAATAAGAGGGCGTGTCCAAACGGACTACGTCAGCTCAAGAGACGCTGTCGGTAGCGGCATTGGGTGTGACGAGATGAGGCGATGCCAGAACATCGGTTGACGGCATTCTCGAGGAGGTGATGTCCTCTATAATCGGTTAGAGAATGATTATCTTTCCAAGGACCTCCTGTAGGGATGGTCTTAAGGTAATACCATGCAGCTGAGAAACGCATCCGGAGATGGAGCTCCAGCAGTGCTACGGCCTCGGCTACGATTTCCGGGGTACTTTAGGGGCTGGATCACAAATGCTTCCAATAGCCATGACGTCTGGTTATTGCGAGATATCCAGAAGCCTGCTAGCACATTGTATGAGGTTCAAGATCGACTGAGCTTCAAAATAATGAGTTCAAGAATCTATCCTTAGCTTGGCAAAGATATGACGGCTGTGGGCATATAGTTAACCTGGCCGCCGAAAAGTTGGTCTCTTCCAAGTTATCTGGACACCGAAATTCGGAAACAGTGGCTTTTTCTTGCACACGTGTTAGAAGTATCAAACAATACGATGTATCCTTGGGTGGGGAGCACGACATACTTTAAAGCAACTTTTTGTGTTGGCGTATGCCTCCACATCAAAGCCGCCTACCCCTTACCACGATACCTTTCGCGCCCGAACCTCACGCAATGCTGTCCTTGCAACAACTATACTCCCTCCAGTATCGCCACCAGAGACGCCACCAAGAGAAAGTGCCACGCATTGCATTTTTGTTTGGGTATTTCAACCTATCTTACCTTCACAAGCTGTTGTACTGATAATGGCGGCTGCGCTGTCTGGCGGTATAGGTATCGCCGACGGATTAAATGTCGCCGTAGTCGACCTCGACGCCATGGATGTAGCGGAGACACCCTATTCTGGCTACTATGGTGAGATCTTCAACGATTTCGCGGAAAATCAACTTCAGGAAAAGTGCAAAGACATTGTGAAAGTTATGGTACGCCCGGCTCAAGGCAGACAACCCTGTTGGAAGGAACCGACCCCGTTTCGGTGGCAAAACGAGATAGATCCTCTCTGCCCAAAACGGTATTTGTCATTCGTTGTCCTTCGTTGTCCATCATTGCCGTAATTACCGCACTTGCCGCAATTGCCGCACACCTAAATATTTTGGGCTCCTTATCTGGCAAGAAATAGATACCTCGTCCAACGTTGTCACGAATCTGGTATTTGCCCCCAGACTCACGATACATGAACTCGGAATGCTCGCTAGCCAGTGCTTCCCATGACAACCCAGCTTTCAACCCTGGAGTACTTGACCCCCTCAATCGTCCTCGCAACCACAAACCCATAGCATCATGGTCGGCGATGCCAGCTCTCAGAATCCCCTGGAAAGTCTCGAAATGATATTCTCCGAGTCAACAAAGAATGGGACTTGGCCTGGCGTGGTAGTTGCAGCAACAAACAGAAGTGGGAGTTTCCACTACGCAAACGCTTTCGGAAAAGACGAATGTACCTCGGAAGGGAGGCCATTCACCATGAGCTCTATCATGGCTCTTGCATCCATGAGCAAATTCATGACCTCTATTGCTGCTCTTCAGCTAATAGAGAAAGGACTTGTTGATCTTGAGACGGATGTGTCATCCTTGATACCAACATTGGCCCGTCAGGAGGTACTGTACGGCTGGGATGCAGCAGGTCGACCGCTTACTCAACAACGAAAGAACCCAATCACTCTCCGAAGTCTTTTAACCCACAGCAGTGGAACTGGCTACGATATGAGCAACCCCGAACTCGCCCGCTTCGCAGCTTACAAGGGACGAGAGGTCAATTCTGGTACCACAATCGACAAGCGATTTGGCTACCCACTAGTTTTCGAGCCGGACACTGCATGGGAGTACGGCACCGGAATAGACTGGGTTGGACAACTCGTCGAGCGTTTGGCCCGTCAAACGCTAGAAATCTATATGCAACGACATATTTGGGAGCCACTTGGTATTTCGAGGATGACTTTTTGGCCTTCTACCGTCAGCGGGAGAATAGCACCGGTCAAAATATCTGTTCGAGACCAAGTCTCGGGAGGGTTCTCTGGGCTAAAGCAACCCTTCCTAACCGAAGGAGTGACGGACTGTTTTGGGGGACAAGGCGTGTACGGCTCAATGGAAGACTTCCTAAAAGTGCTCCATTCTATTTTGGCTGATGATGGAAAGCTTCTCACAAGCCGGTCAGTCGATATGATGTTCCAGCCGCAGCTTCTGCTACCTAGCCGAGAAGCCCTTCTGAAACGGGTCCGCAACTCCACGCCCGAATCCTCCTTCATTGGTATATTTGATAAGTCTCTCTCATATGACTGGGGCCTGGGAGGCATGCTTGCAATGGAAAACGAACCGTCTGGGCGGAGAAGAAACACGCTGTTTTGGAGCGGCATGCCTAACTTGTTCTGGGTAAGAATCAAATCAAGCTCTGGTTTCGCACGATACTAATCTGCGTGGCAGTTTATTGATAGAGACTCTGATCTTTGCGGTGTATTGGGGACTCAATTTCTCCCGCCTGGCGACGATAGGGTGGGAAGGCTGATTGAAATTTTCGAAAAATACATTTTTAAAGCAAGATTCGAATTGTAATTTCTATGCGAAGAGCTATTGCGTAGGAATGGAAATGCTTTGATCCCCGCTTTAGGCGCTTTTCGGTGTCACGTTTTTGGAGAGCTATCGGATCTTTCTTTTTCTCATATGACTAACCTCTCCAGATACCTGACTTCAGGCGATATAGGATTCACCCTTTCTCCTAGTGAGCTCCCACATGCGGCTAGCCACCAGTCACCCACGAAACGCTCCTCACGAATCCGCGCGGGTTTCGGGGAACGGAAAGCCTAGGATGTGGGCAAGGATCCGATTGCGGCCGGCGCCCTAACCTATGGTCCGCCTTCAGATTCCTGACAAAGAAGACAGACGATGACGTACAAGCTGCTGACGAGTTTTCGTTGCCTGTCTTGGCAACGTCAGACATCATACCGTATCATTGGCTCAGCAGCTATCACTGACAATGCCGAGCCATGATACGAGTATGGAACTGTGTTCTTGAGGGCGTTGGATGGCATGGAAGCGACATGATTGAGGATAATGCGAATCATTTAGCCCACATTATCCAACTTCTCCTGCATGGATGCCAGATAGTTCATGCAAGTAAGAAGTGCCTTTCGTCAATTTATAGCTGGTCAGAGGACCTCTAAGATGTGGTGTACCTTCCGCTTTTCTACACATCCATCATTTCCCACGCTCCCTCACCATATCCGACCGAGAATAGGTATCAACATGTAATCCGAAGTCAGCGAGGCCTTCAATTACTCTGTTACGATCGCCCTGGCCCGTCTCTTGGCTCATTTTGCGTTTGCCTCCAATACTTTCGTATACGTCAATACCGATGATGTTTTTTTTTCATGATATTAATATACCGTTCAGGGGTGTCAGGTACAGTTCAGGGCACTGCCTTGCCTTCCTGGATGGAATTTTTACACTGTTCAGACCTACCAAGGGTGGGAGCAAGAAAGACTATGAAGCACAGGAGATCGTATTACATATTATCGCAGAGAATGAACCTTGAGAAGTAAGCATGCCGCTGGACACAAATCCAGACAGTACGTCAGAGTGGAAAGGGCAATTCTGGACCTGCCTTATCCCTCCATATCCACTGTCTTTCGTGCCTTTTGATCTCTTCCATGAACGACCTCGCCTAAATCGCCAACTGGCAACACAAAAGGGAAGTCAATGGACTCTAACATCTGGGCAGCAAAGATGTACCATATCGGGATACAAAGTACGACATTTGCATGCACCAGCGGCCTTGAAGCGAGAAATTAACAGGAGCTTGCAGGAACAGAGGAAAGAGTACACAGTGAATCCGAAAGCTAATCACCTACCATTTCCACTTTCGCTGCCAACATACCATACCCTAGCGTACTGAACAGACGGAGATAAGTCTGTAGTTCCAACCATGAAGGCCCTGCATTTCTCTGCGATAGGTTTGAAGACAAGGCCAGATGAAGCACGAGTGGCCATAGGAGTTTCTGGGAAACTGGTAGGGATCAGATCTTTCCAGTTTCCAGAAAGGTCACCACGCATGCGGCTCTGGAATTCAGAACCCAAGTCAGGATAGTTGTCAGAATACTTACCCAGCAGTTGGTTCCATTCTTGCACCGAGGTCTCACCACAAGCGGGTAAGTCGGCAAAAATGCACGCACATGATCGCCAATGATGAAGTGCTCATTGGCGAGAACCCATATGTGATATTCTGAGCTGCAACATCAGCAGCACCAACAGCAGAACCGCGTGCGGCAGCCTGACCAGCAACTTTGCTTCCAACACCGATGACTGTGTGGCAGTTGATGAAGGTAGGCTTGTCGGGAGAATACACGAGCCTTCTCTAGCGCCGTGGCCATGTCCTCAATATCATCAAAGCAACCGTCCTCAACCTCAATGACATCTCGGTTACAGGCACACATTGTAGCATTGATATCCTCCGTGTTTGTAAGATCCACCGAGCCGTCACAAGTAATCCGGTTGTTGTCGTAGATGATAGTCAGATTATTCAGTCTCAGGTGCCCAGCGAAGGAGATAGCCTCGAGAGCAACACCCTTCTGAAGACATGCGTCACCGACCATGCACCAAATATAATTACTAACAATGTCGAAGCCAGGTTTGTTGAAGGTTGCTGCCAGATTCTTCGTGGCCATAGCTAAACGAACAGCGTTCGCCACACCCTGCCCCAAAGGGCCTGTCGTAACTTCAATACCCTCATGTTCAATCTCAGGATGCCCTGGGCAGAGCGCATCCGCACGGTCAGAGTGGTATGACTTAGGCTGTTCTAAGGCCATAGTCCTGTATCCTGACAAATGGAATAAGCAAGTGTACTAGTCGCAGATAGCCTGAAGGAGAAGAATATTGCTAGCAGGGTGGTGTCTTTCCCCTGCCAGCGCCTCTCCAAGGAGCAGACCCTTGAATACAAGCGTGCAACCCTACAGCGCCATCGCATCCCTGCCGTGGTCATTGAGCCGTACGCTCTTAACGGTTGGGAACGCTACGCCAACGCGGGCATCTGTCTAAAACGCTTCGGTCACTCGTTGCCTGGTAAAGCCGCATACAAGTTCTTTGGCTATGAAATTCCTGCTATGGCGGTCAAGGTGCAGAGATATTCATCCGTCGCGGTTAAAACAAAATCAGGGAGAGGGGCGCATAGCGCATCACATATTTCCAGAGGGACACACTGATGGCGGCCATGCCGATGGCGCCGCTTCGGTCGATAAGTTCGTGATTCGCAAGATTGTCTTAGCCAGATGGAACTTACCCAGGATGATCACCATTGTATTGCTGGTAAAGATCGGATATGAGTATACAGAAAGTCTTCAAGACGTTGTCGTGTCACCAGTGAGCCTGCGAACAAGAAAAAGAGCAGATGCGACGCCGTTGATGATGTTGCTTCACAAGGAATACGTGTAGTCATGTTTCATCGAAATCATGTGGGCAAACATCGAGCGCGGACTGTAACTCGGATAGAGAAAAAATGATGAAAATAAGATAAAAAGGTTGATAGGAAAGAACGAGGAAAGCAAGACACATAAAAATGAAAGACTGATAGTAGCCACATGTCGTCTACATACTTTGTGGTGAACAAAGGAACTGTCGGGATACGGTGTGAAAACAAGCCTCAGGAACTCCAAGTTTCGGTAGAAGCTCTGAGTAGGAGTAGGTGAAAGCGGCAACCCCAAGCGCATCGCCTAGGTGTGCATGCATCCGAGCCAGTCACTTCCTGCAGCGCGACCATGGCATGGCCCGAAGGGATGCTGTAACCACGGATTTGAGTCCGTCGAATAACTATTGGACTAACCAACAACTACCGCGTTTAGACTAAATAGAGCTGGAAATTGCAGGGAAAGGGCGCAGCAAATTAAATACATGAAGTGTGTCGATGCTGCTTATCGTCCCCGCCTTCTCATTCATGCATTCACCTGGCTTCTCCGAAGTACAGCTCTCCTCCCTACACTGGAAATCAGACCAACGTTTCTATCACATACAACGGAAGTTTCCCTATTCAACTTCAGACATTTGACACTCACTCGGAAAACACTGTCTGCAGAATGAGTGCAACCTTCATTCAGACTAGATTTCCCAATCCGTCGCTACCGGTCACTGCGGACCATAACCTGAGGCAAGTGGAAGCTCCAGTCTCTCCGCCCAAGAAGGGAGAGGTGCTGCTCCAGGTGAAAGCTACCGATATCTATGGGTGTGCGCACGTTGCCTTGTGTCTTTCTTCCGCCTTTCGATTTTCCGCATGACGTTGTTTGGAAATAAGGAAATAACCTGAGACCAGGCCGGATATCCACTTCTGGAAAACTGGTCGAATTGGTTCCCTTGTAGTTGAAGGAGATTGCATCTGGGTCGTGAGGCTGCTGGTGTTGTTTTACAGGTCGTGGACGGCGTCGCCAACTTGAAGCTCGGTATGATACAATTGACAGAAGTCGTGGAAGAGCCGCTGTACCTGACAGATAACAGATATAGGTGATCGCGTGGCCATAGAACCCGGTGCGCTCTGTGCTAACTGCTTTCTTTGTCGCGACAGCCGGTACGATCTCTGCGAAGAAGTGCAACTCGCTGGTGTCTCCCCTTACCACGGCTCACTGCAGCGATACAAAACACATCCGGCTAAATAGTTACATAAGCTGCCAGACAACGTTTCCTACCTAAGGCGGCGCTCGTTGAGCCCTATCAGTCACCATGTATGGTGTCCGGACCGCTGTGTTGAGCCTAGGGCGTGGGGCAGTCGTTGCGGCGCTAGTCCGATTGGGCTGTTGACCCTGGCTGCCGCTCATTCGTCAGGTGCGCACCCGCTTGTCATCACTGACCTTGACGGCTATCGTTTGGCGTTCGCCAGGGAGTTCATTCCGGGTGCAATGGTCTATCAGATTAATCGGGACCTCAGTGCTGAAGGAAATGCTAAGGCAATCCGTGCATTGTTCGGAGACGACGAGTATTCCGCCCCTGCGACTGTTCTTGAGTGTACCGGTGTGGAGAACAGTATATGCACTGCTGCTTATCGGTGCAACGCGGCAGCACTGTCGTAGGTATTGGTGTAGGGAGGCCGATTATGAATAATTTGCCGTTCATGCACATTTATTTGGCAGAGATTCGGGCGAAGTTCATTGACCGGTACTGCGATACGTGGGCCTCAGCTATTCAGTGCTTGACTGGCGGTATCTTGAGGAATTTAAAAAAGTTAGTGTCTAATAATTTTCCCTTGGAAAGGGCCAGAGATGCCTGGATCTGTGTTCCGATACCAAGAATGGCAGTATCAAGCTTATAGTGGTTGACGAGGTGAATGCTGCTTTACGATCACTTTTTCTAGCTATCACGGCAGGGGCAACCAACAGAGTGAGGTTAGATACAAACCACTGTCGTACAGTCCAAGCCACAGTAAGCACCAAGTCTGCGGTCATTGAAATCTCAGTCTAGCCTTAGCAGTTGACGGTTCAGCGCCAGGCTGACCGGCTACCCATAGTGAAACCGAACCGAGGTCCGAGATGTTGGTTTGTGTTTCTATGTTGTGCTAACCCTAAAGTGATTCCAGGACCTACTGAATCGGGTTGAAGTTGTCACTGTATTGACTGAATCATCCGCTTAAGTCCCTCCTCTAAGACGTTTGGTGGGTGCGAAAAAACCAGTCGAAACCAAGCCGCTTCTTCCGCCGCATAATGCTCCCCAGCAGCGATGTAAATTTTCTCTTTTCGGAGCTTTGCAAGAATATCCTCAGCTGTGACGTCCTTTACCACGGCCCCCAAGTTAATCCAAAGGAAGAACGCGGCATTGCACTCAAGGTACGGGATTCCATGGGACCGTAGCCATTTTGTTGCAAAATCATAGCTTTCTGCCAAACGCACTCGATTAGTCGCAATATACCTTGTCACGAAGCCATCGTCTAGCAGAAGCGATGTGATGACCTGGTCTGCGAGGCTCGAGGGGAAATTGTGAAGGCTATTCGGGAAAGGTTGGTTAGCGTGTCTTCCCCGTCAGAAAAGGAGATAATCTCACGAAATGCCCTCTGCAGCCTCCAAGAGCAGTCTATTCGACTGACTAACCAAGCATCCAATCCTCAGTCCGGTTGCACCAAAATCCTAGTCAAACTGTCAGTTCCACTAGAGACGAAGGCCCAGGGGGGAAGTGGCATACTTTACTTAAACCCCATACAGTATGCACCAAACTTGGATCAATAATCCCTTCCAGCTTTATAGACATGATCGATCTAAAACCTGGGGCATCGGGACAACGAGGGTTATTCCAGACAGACAGCGCGTAGATCTCATCGGAGATAATGTGAAGTCTATTCCTCGAGCAGAATTTTAAGTATTCTTTCAAGACATCTTCAGGATAGCAACGTCCTAGGCTTCTAATTAGCAAAAACACACCGATCTCGCTCATGTAAGTCGCGAGAACAAACCAAGCGGGTTATGTGGTGAGCATAATATAAGAGCTTTGACACGTAAACCTCTATGTTTCGCTTCGGCAAGTGCCTTCTCGTACTGTTGCACTGCAGGCATGCTGAATGGATCTATTTCTCCAAACGCCACTTCAAGAAGCCGGACTCTAAAATCATCACCTTAGCCTCGCCGTAGAATCTGGGGATATTTCTTACCCTGGCCGGATACCAAATATCGTGCGAAATGCATTGAAATACGGCCGTCCGACCATGACAAAATCTCCGGAGTTCGCCAAAGCCCAAGCACAAGCTTCGAGCGCATTGCTGACGCCCGATGTGATGACAATATGGGATGGACGGATTGTAGTCTGCGGGCAAAACTGGTTGTTCATGAAGCGACAAAGGCTCTCTTTGAGGTTGTGCGAGCCGCTGAACCCGTCTCCGTAGGTCAATGCATGTGTGTTCGTTTGCAGCTGTAAGAATTAGGACAAATGGCAAAGTCCACTCGGGGAGGTCAAATATTACATGAGAATTGATGAAGCCCACCATCTCCGAGTGCATGAGTGTCTGGAGCATTATTAGATTTTGTCCGTAGTGATTAGGTTATTGCCTTACATTCTCAGCAAGACCAAGATTCACGATGCCGTCCGGGTTCGATGCTGGAGACCACAAGTCACCCAGTACAGTAAGAAAAGATGGCCTCTGTGCAGCGAGGGCTTTCCCTCGATCGGAAACGACGTCGCCCTGCATAGTGGTAGTCGAAAGTGGCTCATAAACTCAGGATGGAAGTATTTCGGAATCTCTCAGATGTGGATATAAATAGGGTTCATTATAGACATGTTCTCAGAAGGCGCACACAAAAACGGGAGAAGCGGGTATAGCGGGTAAAGCGGGTAATCCTACCAACGTAGACCAGAAATGTCATTCCGCTCAGTATCTTTACCATTCTCTGAATCTTGTGTTTCCCTCGCCCCCGGGTCTACAGCATCAGTGCCTGTGATATTTCCCTTCGAAGTCAATATCATGGTGGGGGACAAATCCGTTTCGACGTCTGTCGAGCCTGTTTTGGCACCGTTCACGCTCGCCGTGGCTAGCTTCGCGAACATGTTTTGCATTGGCACAGTCTACGCTCTTAGCATTCTCCAAGCACAGCTGCCACGTCTGTTTCGAATATCTGATGCATGGAGCTTCGCGCCTTTTGGCGTAGCATGCCTGGGTCTCTCGACTGGCGTCCTGACGAGCGCTTCAATGATCATCCGAAACGGAGCCCCATGTCACAGTCGTCAGAGGCACAACTCTCTGGGGAATTGCGGTCATTGGTGCCGGATGGTCCCTCAGCAGCCTCAAATTCGAACTCATGGTCACATGCTTCCTTTTTGGTGGAATGGGTATTGGGTGGACGTACCTGGCTGTGGTCGCATTAATTGGCCAGGGGCTTCCGACGTACGCACTTGCTCGGAGTGCGATTGGACCACTGGGGTTTTCAACTGCTGCAGCGGCGTGCTTTGTCCTAGCATCTGTGTTTGGGGTGAACACCTCTGACGCAGAAACACTAGGCCGGATGCTTGTGCTTCTAGGGACGACGTTCGCTGCCGTTGGAGGATGTTCCCAGATGGTATTATCCGGTTTTCCTAAGAACCACGCAGCAGGATCTCCTTCAAAGGCTTTGTCCAGAGACTCCGAATCATTCTTTTCCATCCTGCTCTTCTTTACCGCACTGCCTGGAATGGCATTATTCACTGGCTTGCCGCGCCTTGCCTCGTACTATATGAAGGGGGCTGACAACGGTACAACGTGGACTTGGTCATATTGCATGCCTGCTCTTGCATTTGCCGGCTTCCTTGCACCCAAGGTCTCCGCTAACCTCGGACCTAGGCTGACATTCGTTGGCGTCTTCTGCTTGCGGGGAGTGCTTCTTATGTTGCTTTCGCAGTTCGAAGGTTCTATGCTGGCATGTTGGACCACGCTGGCGATTCTTTCCGTCCACGGTACAGGGTTTAGCCTTCTTCCGGCGTTGATCAGAGCACAAACTACCAATCAGCACCTGTTCTTTGTCTGTTATGGTAGGGTCCTGGTTTCATGGGGGATTTCAGGAATTGTCGGTTGTATCTTGAACGCGACCATTCTATCTTCAGTCAATGCGATACCGATGGGGGTCCTCGCTACCGGATTATTGACATTGTCATTCGGACTTATTCTCTATGTCACCCCGAACCTTGGAACTAAACTTCTTCCCTGACCGTGTTGGTAGAGACTCTCTTCGGAGGAGATCGCCAGGTCCGACTTCTCTAGGCTTTGTCTTGGTGAGCCATGCGAGCCTTTTCTGTTCCTTTTCCTTCCATCGGAATCTGCAAAGGCTCAAAATGACCAGAGGAATTACCTCGATACTTTTCGAGACCTCTCAATTCCTGCTTCCTGTTTACTGTCCCTTTCGTGTATCCTCATATAGCCTTTGCATATAGAGAAGCGCATATGAGCTTTCGTGCTGATGGAAACGTATTGGCAGGCTTGGAAAGTAAGAATGATCACTCAGCCCAGACTCTAATTAGGACCCTATTGACCCACTGTCTATGCATTCTTTTAGCGGCTTCATAGTACAGAGACAGAGTCGGGTTCTGTCCCTTAGAAAACCAATAAAATAGTCTAAAGACACACAATAATACATAGTACAGAAGTCCATATGGCCCTTCGTGATACGCCGTATGTTGAACACGACTAAGCCTGACTATTTTTACAAGCCTGCTATCACCATCCTCTTTTCGCCGTAAAACCCCACCCTCGGTTCCTGGAAGCGTGATTGGACGAGGCTCCAAAGGAGAATGTGTTTCAAAAAAGTGGCATTATCAACCTATCGTATGTCTGTGCCCTTGTTGTGATAAGCCCATAATCATAGTACATGCCCCCAAGTCCAAAGCACCATTGGGGAAGAACTCATCCTTGATCGCATCGTCAAATGCCCCCGAATAGGTCAGGTTCTCGCAAGCTTCACAAGCTCAAATCGGTCTACACCGGATTTCTGTCGAACAGGGCATCGATCCTTTGATTCTTTAATGCACTCCGGACAGTGCCGCGGATATTGTAGCCATGCTGCAAGAGCTGGTTGGCGGTATGAGAGGAAATATATCCATTGACGTCTGTCAGTAGGGCCCATGGACCCTTAAGAGACTGCTGGATGGATGGTAGTTGCACCCATTCATTACGGTACTCTAGATGTCGGAGATGACAGAGCCTGGTAGCTATATCACACAGACTACTTCTATAGACCTACAAATATGTCACTAATAAAGACAAACGACCGCATACAGGTTAACTCTCGAATTTAGATGATGCTGCAAGAAGAAAAGGCGGGGGCTCTGATCTATGCATTCAATGGCATCTATCGAGAGGTTTCTCGCTTTTTTTCGGTTTCATTATATTTTCCATTCCTATAGCTTCTGCTGACAGGGCCTTTCGTGGCCATGAGTCAGCTCAGGAGATCCTCGATGTGGTGAAATCTATAGTGTTCGGGCTTGAAGAACAGGCGATCACAACCATCGGATTCAAGCCGGAGGAAATCCTAGTCTTTTGTCCTTACGATGAACGGGATATAATTTAGCCACAGATATCTCGGGGAGCAGTTACTTTGGGATGGGGATTGTGGAAATAAACTACAGGAGCGGATATACTGGGAATGTCACCGGTCGTGCTTATCGGCCCTGGGCTTAGATGGAAGCAGGTAAGACGAATGGTACCTAGTGAGTATGGATGCCTGACAATGCCAGTCCAGATAAGGACCATTCTCCGGCTGCATACATGAAATAAGCAGGTCATATTCGCCAAGATACACATGGCAGATCGTATGCGCACCCGGTAAGCGAAGTTGATGGACCGGCAACATGTCTTGGGATTCCAACGCGGCATGAGCGTATTCATAATGAAAGAAGCATGGGAATGCACTAGCGAAAGCCGAATTCGAGTTAGACATTATCAACAGAACACGGGCGATACGGCATATATATTACGATATATTCAAAACACGGTGACGACATCATTTCAACAAACCGCGTCAGACCTTCATACCTGTTCGGCTCAAGTCCTTAGACCTTGTATACTATCTTATAGTTGGAGATAACCCCGTCACGGTACTCTTGGAATCCCTTTCCCACAGACTCGAGTCCCTCGAAAACCTTCGGGGTATTCGGCTTGATGGCTCCCGCGGAGAGCAACTTCGGCAGTGCATCGAAAAATCCTGCCGATAGCTCGTGATCTTCCTTATGTGGCTACAAAATATTATCAATAAACGACTATAAATATCGGCACTCGAAGACGACTCACGGGCCAGTAGAAATCCCCGTATTTATGCTCCTTTAGGAACGCCGTCCAGACGAGAACATCCGTCACCTTAGTCTGCTTGGTCACATTCTCGGTGAAAGCCTTGCCCGGACGAACAGTGCACAGACTACCGCCTTGTTCGGAGATTGCCTGCGATGCGGTACTGGAAGACGAGTCGTTGCCGATCGTGTCGAAGACGTACCTCAGACCAGCGTTCGCAGCAGCCTTGATGCTCTCCACCACTCTGGCGTCGCGGTAGTCGAGAGCGACAGTGGCACCAAGGGACTTGACGAAATCGTGATGCCGCGGACTGCAGGTCGTAAGAACGTTGAGGCCGTAGTACTTGGCAATCTGGATTGCATAAAGCCCGACGCTTGCTGCGATGTGTGAGCTTACCACGCTTACGCGGCACTGCATCACATAGACTCACAGCTTCCACCCCAAATAAGGACGGTCTCTCCAGACTTCTGAGGGATGTTAAGGCAATCCTTGGAGAACAGAGCGAGCAGTGCTGTGCATGCGGCGAGGGGAACTGTTGCGGCCTGTTCGGGCGTGACGCCTTCGGGCAAAGGGAAGCAAATACGCTCATCTGCGAGGGTGTACTCGCTGTAGCCACCCAAGCCCTTAATCTCACCTGCTCGAACGACGGTCTATATGCTGAATGGAATAAGTTTGTTTCAAGATGGTGACTGACCTCCCCAGATTAGACCGGCAATCACGGTGCCAGCCTTGATCCTGCTCACTTTTTCACCCGTCAGCTCGACAGTACCAACAAAATCACACCCAAGCACCGCATCGTCGCCAAAGGCATGAGAGTCGAGGGATTGAACTAGTGGGTAACTTAGCACTCTATATTTTCGCGGCACGGAAGGGGATAAGGGGTCTGGCTCACTATCCGTTGGATTCTGAGCTACATGGGAAATCTTCACCAGTACCTGGTGTTCGCCCGGAGTCGGCACAGGAATGGTCTCTTTGGACAGCTTGCCACCCCTGGTCACGAGAGCTGTAGCGGTAGGAGGAGCCATTTTCGATGTCCTTGTGTGCTATTCTTGTCGAGGCGGAGTTGCGCAGCAGCGTGCTCTCAGCTTCCCAGAAGCTGCGGCTTTTATATGCGTCCAGAGCACCGATGTTGTCTTTATCGCTGCCTCTGAATACTGTTCACTTACGGTAAGCCGGATGGTGAGATTTGAAATCAACTCTGATATCGTCAGCAATACGTCACTCTAATGAGGTGAGCACGCAATGCGGCCAGGGGCTGCTTCGAGAACCGGGACGTCTAAGACAAGAGCTATGTGGCCTCTACTTCTGTTCGAGCAAGCAGACGCGCCCGGAATGTCTGTCTGTGATCAGGCCGCTCTATTGTCGGTCATCTGATATGCCAAAGTTCGTGGAGCTCCACTTTTGGCTCCCCTCGGTGGAGCCCAGAACGTGCATGGATCTTCCGCAGCTGCTATTAAACAGCAGGTAGCAGTCAGTTATAAGGTGCATGAACTGATGGCATCAATGCATATCTAGAGAAATGTTAACCGCTGGCTTGCGGCCCTCGAAAATGCAAGCAGAGGTTCTAAGATTTACGCCGCTCCGGTGGCCTCCTGATGCGCTCGGCTGTGGTTCCGCGGCGTATCGGTTCGTCTCGCCCAGAGGGCTTTGTGGATACTTTGTGGATATTGCAAGCGTAGTCATCAATTCTGGAAATTGGTAATGTAGTATTCTATGAGGGAATTTTATCCGATATTCTCGTCAATGCTGGTGGATGCTACACTGCCATATCGAATTGCGGGTTCTACCGAGTGGGGCCAGGCGCTTAGACTTGCTGTCGGCATCTTACTGGGATGGTGGGCTTGGCATGGATGGCTTAGTTCACTGTGGGTGCACTTGCCTCGAGCGAATTCTTGACCCACTGCATCCGATTTCAAATCAACAAACCGCCAGTATCTTCATCTCTTCTATCTTGTGCAAGCCGCGCCCTTCGATTTGTCAGGGCTGCATGAAGGCAACGATAGTGTATATGAGAATGCATCTGGTGGCGAGCAAGGAAATGATGAACTATTTCGACATCTTAAAGCTGATTGGGTTTAGACTTAGCTTTCCTGTCAGCTGAGGAGCCACTATATTATCGGGGTTTCGTGATCGAACTATGCTATCCATCTCTATCACTCACAACGCTTAGGGTAAATTAAAGCAACGCCTAAGGATGAGGAAATTCGCGCCTCATGTTCAGAGTCCCGGGTTCGCTTTCTGAAGCATTCTACGGATGGGAAGGTTGCCCACACGCACCCCACGCCTCGGCCAAGAAACATAATAAGGGACACAGAAACTTCCATATAAATCATACGTTCGGATTCGTACTATGAGAGTATTGCTCAAGCGTGTTTCTGCGCCATAAGATGTACCAGACAGTGCCCTGTCGGTAGCCAGGCGATCCTTAAAGGGTCTGCAGTTACCCTTTAGAGAACAGGGAAGCAAAAGAACTCGAGCTTACTGTTTCTGGTTTAGGGTCAACTGCGGTAAACCCGCATACGGTCGCTACATACCCATTTCTGCAAATTACAGGCCGGCGTGTCCGAACAGCTTCGCGCTAATTGACTTGGTCAACCGCCAGCCCTTCGGCAAATGCTGTGGACAATTCGCCTAACACGTGCATTCTACTGCACAGGAGACGATCTTCCGAGGACTCAGCTCTGCTCAATCACGTGGGAAAGATTGAGATATTCACCACTCAAATATCTTCTGGTAATGCGAGAAATCCCGGGTCATGCTTAGTCTCTTCTCGCTGCTATGAAGATGCCTTGAGTTTCGTGTTGGTCATATAGTGGACTCGTTTCCTTCTTGCCGGCGCGCATCGATCCGCCCAATTAGGCAGTTCTCGGCCCGTGGCGGTGGATGTTCTCCGACAGCCTGCAGGCTGCCGGGCGCCGAACCCGAAGCGTCATCTAGAGACTCGTCACCCGTGGCTTCGGGCCGGTTCCGGAGGCGTCACAAAATAAGGCATATCAACGTATCGTGAATGGAGTCATTGAACATACTTCTCTACAGACTGTCTCCCCTTAACGGATGAAGCTGCGGGCGGCTAAGTGTCATATCCGATTTTGTTACGAGACTATTGAGCGACTATCAACGATTTGGTGCAAAAACCTTTCGCAGCGCCAAACCAGCCCCGTATTTGTGTTCCTCGGGTATTATACCAACTTTTATTCAAATGACCGGACGGTCTTTTGCGGCGTGACCATACAGGCACTCTCTATGGGCCCATCTCCTTGCGCTCAGCTTATCCCTTCTCGGCGATTATCTTGGGTTCGTTATAGCTGACAGTCTTCAATGGTCGACGGCAGAGGTGACCCGCGGCCTAGTACCTGCTACAGCCTCCTTGACCGATGGGATGCCATTCTGATGGCCTTCCCAGGTACGCGAGAATCCTTCGGTCCGCCCTCGACCATTTCGGTCCCTTTCTAACCGATCCTGGAAACTTGGCGCCGGCGCCATCACGCCATCCGCATGGGCTTGAATCCTTTTGCATCGCACGAAGCCTGGGAAGCCTCATGTAGGGCAGGGCCATGCGTACCGCTTACCGCAGACTCCGCTGCGGGGGGCTTACGATGCTGGTTGCAGTATAGTCTACGAAGGCATGGTAATTCGAAGCGACGTAAGATTGTCGCGAACGAGAGCGGGACCCTCGTATCGGCGAGAGCTTTCGATCCAAGAATAAGGACATGAGATCAGGCCGACGAGCGTTATTGGTATATGGCCCCAAGAGCGGACTTGTTTCGGTCAGAGACCGTCCACAGGGGTGGCCACGCCCTTTGAAATCTATAAAGATAGGGGCTGTTTCGGCAGGCTAAACTCCCGCTGCTTCTGTTCTCGACACGTTATTCTCATTTCCGTACAGCAGTGCGATTATCGGACAAAACTGAGCGACATCAGCTGCAACCATAGAAAAGATGAGATTCTCTAGCATCCTGGGAGCTGGTTTCTTCATCTGTGCCGTCCAGGCTGCAGTATCTTCCAACGGTACTGCAGAAGCGAAGTTGGCGCAGATCAAGAAGCTGCTTAAGCCTCAGCTCTCTGAGAACGCCACCATCGTTTTCCCCAACTCCAAGGAGTGGGCTCAAGTCACTCATCGTGCTGCTGCACCCCGCGTCCACCCGGGCTACCTCGCCGTTGTCGACGTGGCTGTCGAAGACGATGTCGTGAATACGGTGAGTGGCGAGCTGGCGAAGAAGTAAAGCGCCGGTCTCTGACTGTTTTGCAGATCAAAGTCGCAAATCAGATCGGAGTCCCGTTCCTGGCCGTCACCGGCACGCACGGCTGGACGGACGACATCAGCAAGATACAGGACGGAATTCAGATCCGCATGCGCGGCCTCAACCACATTGGCCTCGGCCCCAACAATGACACCGCATATGCCGGTGGCGGCGTCATCCAATATGAAGTCGTCCAGGCTCTGTATCCGTATGGAAAGCAGGCTGGTAGTCTCCCTCGTCGTTTTCAGTTCGCTACATGGATGCGAGATAAGGACGATTAACTGACAAGCGTGTTTCCGTAGTTCACGGCCTTTGCGAGTGCGTCTCCATCCTAGGTCCTCTCTTGGGCGGTGGCCATAGCGTGCTCCAAGGTGCTCACGGTTTTTCTGCTGACAACTTGGTCTCGGCCAAGGTTGCTCTCCATGACGGCTCCGTTGTTACTGCATCTGCCACTGAAAACCAAGACCTTTTCTGGGGCCTTCGTGGTGCTGGTCATAACTTGGGTATTGTCCTGGAGTTTGAGGTCAAGGTTTTTGACATCCATGCGGATCCATGGACATTTATGACCTTCGTCTACGAGGCCGATAAGATCGAAGACTACTTCGACACCTGGAATCAACTCGAAGACACCATTGCCGACCCCGGCCTGGTTGTCCTGAACGGGTACTACCGTAACTTGCCCGAAATCAATGCTGAGAAGGTGAGCCATTAGCCTCGATTCTGTTTCCCCAGGTCCGATTTTGGGACATACATTAACCATGCCCCAGCCCGTCCTCGTCATGGAGCTCATCTACCAGGGCTACAACACCGCGGCCCCTCAGTACATTGAGGCCTACCGTGCCATCGGCCCAATTCATGAGACGACCGTTACCGATATCTACTGGAACAAGCTCTTTGATATCACCAACTTCGGGCGTAACGACAGGGTCTGCGTCCCTAGCCAGAATTGGGCCGGCTACGTCAACTCCGTCGTCCGCTGGGACCCCGCGTCGATGCGCGAAAGCTATGAGATCTTCGCTGACCTTGTCGCCATCGAAACTTACAACACCTCAACATTCATTTTTGAGTCATATGGACGCAAGGGTGTCCGCGACTTTCCCGATAATTTCAACGCTGTCCCGCCGGAGGAACGGAATAAACACAATATGTTGGCTGCCTTCCTGTTCTGGTCCGGTGATGACGAGGCTGAGCTCGCCGTTGCCCGTGATTTCGGAGAGAGGCTGCAAATTGCCAGCCGCAACGGTGAGATTGCTCACTCTTACGTCAACTACGCCATAGGCGGTGAGGAGCTTCCACAGGTCTACGGCCGCGACGTTGACCGCCTCGAGAAGCTCCAGATGATCAAGACCAAGTTTGATCCGTACAACAAGTTTGGATTCTATGCTTCCCTCGCGAGTTCTTGAGGCTATGTGCGAATGACAGCGACGGTCTAAGGGGGAATCGAACAGGGCCGGAATATAGGTCTATAGGGCCAATATTTCTTCACCATAGATGAAATTGCAAGCTCTCCGATGATCGAGCATATTTCACAGTTTCAATAACGAAGCACCAGTATTGGTCACAGCTATATGTAACTATCCTAGATTGTGGATAACGGGAAATTGCCGTTGTAATTAGATTGGACTATCTTTCTCCTGTAGGTTAGGAAGTAATATTGCCCTCCCACAGAGGAGCGATATAAATTATTTTACAATAGCTCTATACTGGTTCAATCGTTTATTCAGAAGCAAGCATTCCGTTCCAAATCTAAATACGTCTAGTGTATCCCATCACTCCAGTTAAAGAAACAAGGAAAGGGAGTGGGTATGTGATGACGCCCTTTCCGGAAACTTGAGCCTGGGTCTGGGCTTGAACCTCAACATATGGGGGACAAAAGCCGTATGAAGACGTATATATCAATAATTATAAATCCCGATATGACCAGAACTAGTCTCCTATCTCTGAGCGGGTCCAGCCGACAGCCGATTCAACCTTTTAGGTGCAGGACATCATCGTTCCTGATATACACGTCCGATTTCAGCACGACATATCGAGTCGTTTAGGCATTTTGGGTAAATTGAGAACACAGTAGTAGACAATAAAGCTTAATTCATCTGTGATATCAACAAGCTCCGTTTTTCTAAGCTTACAGCCATCTTATCCTTCCTTGCACCTGCCGAAATGGAGATACTTAAGGCAGCCTTCCCTTTTCGCCTGGGGTATCCATAAATCGGTTCCCAACACCGATCCCAGCCACCATATCCTTGTCAGGACGGACCCAAAACGCGAACTTCAAGAAGTTCAAATCTGCGATCCCAGTGTAGGTCACGGGGATATAACGTGCCCCGCGTCGAATCCACCACATAGTTGAACTGGCAGCCCACTCCGAAGAAACGAAAGCGTTATCCATTCGGGATTGAAAGGCGGCAGGGACTATATGCCGATACACAACATGCGGACAGTCATATAGGGCACGCGCGTAAGGTACGAAAGCCCGTTTCGAGTGGGCATATCGTTGCATATCTGTCACCCCAAATGTGGGATGCATCTCAACTTCGCTGCCCACATACCAGATCTCTGGCAATATTCTGCCACCACTTGCCCCACTGAGTCTTCGTTCCATGTAAAGTCGAATAAGCCGGATGGTTGAATTGCAGTTTGCTTCCATGGCATCCTGATTTTTGGTGCCGTGGGCCAAGATGAGAATATCCGCCTTGTCAAAGATTGGACCGACTTTGCTGAGATCCCTATAAGTCCAATGTGTCCCGAATTCCAAGGTATATATGTTCCGGACCCCTTCAGTCTGTAGCTGCGATAAAATGGAGGATCCAAAAGCACCCGAGCTGCCCGTAATGGCGACATTCTTGTTCCGCAATGAGTACGCAGTTCCGGCGACCCAATCAAATATCTTAACCACCGAGGCCATGAATCGATCAGGATGAACATGGTGTAGAGCGTGGTACTGAGGGCCAACAAATAGCCAATGAGGGTCTTTGGGGACCACGTGATAGATAACATGGTTTGAGTCCCTGCCGTTCATAGCGATCACAACGAACGTTCTGATAAAGTGGACAATAATGACGACTGTCAAAGTAGTGCTTTGGACTTCGGCGACGTTCGCTTTCAGAAGTTGCAGGAAGAATACTCTGCCCAGCCCAGTATACTTCCTGCAATCAGGCAGCTCATCTCAAGCGGTAATGCTATCAATGAATTTTGCAACCGATACTGTTCATTGAATTTCAGTGACCGATTATAGTAGAGATGGTGGAATTGATGGCATCGGGACAGCCACCGCAACGCCCGCCATTGAGAAGCTGACCACTGATGAAATAAAAAATGAGCGCCATGGAAAAACAAAGAGCTGCTGATATACAAGTAGACAAACATAGCGCACGAATAGATGAAATGCATGGTGGAGAGGCGCTGAAAATTTGAATCCTTCCCTGGAACCACGCTGGGCAGAATAGGGAGTCATAGATCGTTCTCTCAAGGATGTCCTATGTACTTTGAACGAAAGACAACTGCCATGGAGCGGACACTGTCCTCGTATAAGGTTACTGCACGTAGTAAAAGCATACGAGAAATGCCCCTTTCTGTCGATGAGTCTCCACGCCGGTCTTGCACTATGTTTCAGAATTACGATAATTATGCAGAAATGGAAATTTTTCGTTGATTTAGCGGATGGGAACTGTCGGCTTACCTGATGAGGTATCAAGCCATGAAGCCAAGTTCATACAGCGTCTTCCCGTTGAGCTACAGGAATAGGTCCAGCAGGCACCGTCTGTCACCACAACCCTCTGCCAGTGTTGTCAGTACAAGAAGGCTTACAACAGCTTAATTGGAGCCGCTAAACGGCGGCTACTCCTAGGGGCTAGTCCTTCGCTTACAGTTGCTACTACACCATGTAATACTGGGCGATCTGCAGAAGATCCCTGGGGATTTTGAAGGGGAAGAGGGAAGCAAATAGCGCACTAAGCTCTGAAATAGGCGGCCCCGCTCCGGCCAACTTCCCGGAACGGAAATGAGCCATTATTAGACTTTCAGCTTCAGTCGTTGCTCGGAGACTTGGAGCACTGCGAACAACGGCATACTATGACCGACCTGAGCTGGCCAAATTTGCCGCCGCCCGCGCCAGGTCTGGGGTGTTTTAGACGGGTACATTGAGCCGTGACTGGTCCATTACATCCCGTACCATTTTTGCTCGACTGATCAATCCGGAGATTCCGACGGAGATTGACTGGGACTTCCAGATATCACGGAGAGCTGGAAGGAACATAGCGGACAGTCGAGGTATCAATGGTGACGGCCCGTTCCAAACAGAAGGTGGTCTACTCTCGTTCCCAACCTTGTGCCCTCTGTGTGCTGGTGATGCTAATAGGATTTCAGGCGACAACTCAGTACTTTCGAGCAAGCTCAATTAGGCTGATAGGTTGCTCTATTTCCAGCCCTCTAAACAGCCTTTTTGTCTCCATAGCTAGCCTTATTCGAGTACAACAGACCAAATCCTGCAATTAGGCTGCATTCTAAGTTCACGTGGGAGACCCTCGCGGCCGCCGTCGGCCGCCATTCACATTTGGTGGTATCCCGTGACAAGCTTCATTCGTCTAGGCATCACGACAGGAGGTCATCAGAGTTCGAAAGAAGAGCCTTGAGATTTGTAGTATGATTCACCGCCTCATGAAAAGGCAAAGAAAAGGATGACTAGGAACAGGACGGCACCTGCATAATATCGCTATATATATACCTGCCTATCGCCCCTAGTGGTGCATTCCTCTACTTAAGAATTATAAGGTACCCTGTATCGATTTTCAGCAAATAACACCATGCTTTTCTCCATCACTTTCGGGGCATTTCTTTTGCCTACCCTGACCTTATCTTGTGGAGTATTATTTCCCCATGTCAGGAACGTGGAACTTGATACCACCGCTCCAAATGTGAAACGCCGTAAGTCCATCCTTTACTGCTCGATGCAATAGTAGACATTAATTCAACGATCAGAGAACCTCACTCTTCTTCCGACGGAAGGTAGCGGAGTCCACTGGACAGTATCTCAAAACCTTCGTCAAATGCAGCTCTCAGACGACGCCTTCATCTCTCGGGATCTCGCGAAATTTAACCACTCACCCAACGTGACGGTCTTTTACCCCATGGGAGTTCAGATGAACTTGTCCGAGCATCTTCAAGACATGCGGCTGACGTTCTCGACATTCTCGGACGCTGCACCACATAACCATAATTATAAGGTCGAATTTGGAGAGGGCGACTGGACTGTAGTCCTTGCAAGAGCTAAAGGCACCAATGATGGACCTCTTCTTGGACCGACCGGCAATTTGCTACCACCGACGGAGAAGGTTGTGACATACGATTTGATGACAATTTCTCGATGGAGCGGGGGCCTCATGATGGAGGAGTACCTCTGGACCGATAACGTTCTGCTGTACCGTGCACTCGGGTTCTTGCCGAGTCCTCCCCCCGAAAACGTGCCTGATATTGAACTCAACCCCTACACTTCGCCGGTCTCAACCCTGCCAGACGTTGACGAATCTCCCACGAACAAAGTGAAGATGGCTGAATCGGATGGTGCGCTCAATTTTGGCACGTTAAACGCGAAGGATTTGCATCTGGCTGAGAATGTCACGGTTTACGGCCTGACCGACGAGCCACTCAGTCTCAAGAGCTATCTGACTTGGCTGGAGCATACAAGGATTGCGTTCCCGGACCTCCATGTGCAAAATCGGCCGTACAGACAGATTATCGCTCAGGGAGACTGGACCGCTACCATCAGCGTGCTGAGTGGCACCAATACAGGCCCCTGGGCCTTGCCACAGTATCTGACACCGTCCCCTGTTGCAGCGACAGGAAAGCAATTCAGTGTCCTGCACTATACCATCTGCAGATGGCAAGACGGCCAGATTGTTGAGATGAGACTCAACTTGGATCTGTTTGGTATCCTAAACCAGATTGGCCTCGGTGACTTGATATAATTGTTTCCCAAGCTGTTTTTTCGGCTGGTTGCTGGGTCAAGGTAGTGTACGATTCCGGGTATGGGGTCGTTCTACGAATACATGTTGAACAGTCGTCGCTATCTCAATTTATCCGCCGCCGTCTAATAGACTTGTCTTGATTCTGGGTATATTTGTACTCTTGCATCTTCTGCACGTATTCATCGGCTTGGAGAATATAGACGGTCGCTTATCCATTCACTGAACATTCAGGCTTGAACGAATCAACAAAGCCTTGAGCTTCGCAGGCAATCTGTGCTGCGAAAAGCACGACTATGTCAAAAAGCACAAGACCTCAGGGGCTGCGAATAGATACATTCTTGTTCTATCAGAGGGTTACAGACACACGGTATATCTGCTCAAGGATGGTGCGGTTGTTTAACATGTCTCAGAGAAGGCTATAGGAATTTAATAGTGCATAGTACGCACGTCGTCAATGTATGACAGATACTAATTCATCTCCATGCACCTTGAGCGGCAACCGCCTCAAGCCTTCAACAAATCGTGAGGGCGAAGGCTGATTTCGTTCTGTAGATTTCAGCCCTGTACGGGTTAATTTCCATATCGGAAGCTGACCGGTTAACTGCGTCGACGGTCGATTATCAAGTCCTTACAGAGTTTGCTGATACATAAAATACACGCCGGGGGCTATTGATCAATCGTCATTCGCTGAGCAATCTGTACATGATGACTTCTCGTGCCTACCGGAATCCCCAGAGGTTCCGCAACTCCGAGGCCCGGTCTGAGGTTTTCCAGCCTGTCTCACACTCGATTCTTGCCAATTGCTTTAGAAGCGCGATCTTCTCAGAGGCATACTTTTCGGATATATCCGCGGCCACTGGAGGAACCGGGCGGCCCCAAGGGGCCTCTAGGTGAGAGCCAACCCACGTGGACTGGTTACGTCCGGTTGTATCTTGGAAAGAGCTCACGTGATTTTCCGACAACGCCGTGCCAGCAATATAGAGAGGTTGTAACTGATTGACCCAGTTAGGACTGTACTCCGAACCTGGTCAGCTCTCTCCGCAAACCGCAACAGTGAGATACATACTGTGAAATATTGGAAACAGAAATCCCGCCGAGTTCACGAGCATGCCAGAGAGGATCCTGCCATTTGAATTGGGTCATTAGCTGTCAGATGCTTTCAGGACACACATGGAGAAGCATGGCCCGTTCTCGATCTCAATGGGCCAGATAGTCAGATTTGCTTACCATTACAGAGACTGGCGCGTCGACTCTTCTCCTGAGGCAGCCAGATTGAAGGAGCAGAATAGAGCCAGCGTGATAAAACGTATTACCGCATACTGTCCCAACGATTGGTTAATGGTAGTATCGGAGCAAATAGTTGGAACAACATACTGGAAGATGAACGGGAAAATACCACTGTTGGAAAAGGATTCGAACCTGTCGTTTCCCTAAGTAGGGGACAAACTTCTTTGGGGCGCAGGCGCCACCACTCTTGAAGTTCGTCCCAGAGCTTTCCAACGGAAGAATAGTATACAAGATTACTGTCCATATGGCAAAGCTGGGCGTCCGCTAGGAGATTCACGATCCGAGCAAAGATGAGAATTGCCAAGTTGCAATAATCGTCAAGCGTGCCATTGGCGGCTACCAGCGGGATGGAGCTATTATCGACCCACGAGTCAGTAGGGATGAGAAGCCGCTTGCCACTAATGAAGGCAGCCCAGACATCTATTGCAAAAGAATACAGAATCAGACAGGCGCCTTTGAAATAGGGTTCGGCTGAGACTTCATCTTAGCTACATACCGATTCGAGCGAAGGCCCAAAAGCAGGACTTTACAATGCCGCTACATGAACCGTTCCATTTTCGAGAATGCAAGAGACTGGCGCAGCCCTACCGTACATCCCACAGGGTGAGTTGATAAAATATAGCATGGAGACAACGGATACAGACCTTCAGGTGACGCCGCCACTCCCACACACATGACGCCATCATCTCGTAGACGCAAAGAAGAGTGCAAGTCGCCAACACGGTTGCGCTTGCTTCATCCGGATCTTGACGGAGTAAGAGCTGAATCGTATATTGGTAAAGCTCGAGTGTCAGTGACCTTGGCTGGTCCTGGACGGCATCACGCTGTCGCGATGCTAATGCGACAGCTGATGCGAGGAACGATTTCGAAGCCAGCATCTGGTGGACACTGCTCAGTGTGAAATGCCTCTCCGAATCAGTGGTTTCACACCAAGTCCCAGTCTCATAGAGATATAACGAGAACAAATGGGCACTTTCCTCACTAGTTATGGGCATCGATGGCTCCGGTAACCATGATGCATTCCGAGACGCAGCCAGTCCCAAAGAAAACGGCAGCGCATATGAACTAGGACTGTCTACCAACTGCCGCAGCTGTACTGGATCATCTTGTTGCAGCCTGTTCTCACCGATATCACTTATACCACCTGATTGGGCAGGGGACAGCAAACTTTCAATGGTGACCTCGTTAACAAGTGGTCTGCCGGCATTTGCGTTCGCCCGGACAGGGTCATGTGAGGCGAAACTGAGCGTAGGTTGAATATCTTCCGCCCGGGAAATACCCGTACATGTCTCATTAGGCGACGGCGACTCGTCGCGTAGGACTTCAGAGCCACGCGGAGAAAAATCCTCACAAGGCTCCCGGTAATACCTGACTACCTCCGCAGTATCATCTATTATCTAAACACTCCCTGGTCAGCATCATTCTCTCAACTGTATGAGGGCAATCAGGGCCATATAGGAGGTGTTCCAGAAGTTTGGTGTGCCAACAATAGCGACGGTACACCAGACGGATGGACCATGGGCATTCCGTCTCTTTACACAAAGGGGTCGAAAGAGTGAGGGCCACTTACAATGGGCGCGGAAGGCTCCAGCGATGACCTCTGGTTATCACTCTGTATATCAGTTCCAGGATCTTGCCGCCCCTTCTCGATTGCTAGAAGGGCTGCCCTCTCAGGAGTTGACAACCGGAGGCTACGGGAGGGATGAAAAGAGGCCTTCAGGCCCCACTGACAGATGTAGCCACGTGCTTCACAGCGTTGACACTGCGGCCGCCTTTCATCACCTAAATGGACTATATTAGCCAAAGCACTGCTCCTTCGTGACTGCTGGGAACCCAAAGGCGTCATCACACATTTCCTGCGACGGCTGCGACATGGCAGACTGTGGGTGCAGTCAGCTCACCGTGACCGACTTGAACTCGAAAGGCATGTTACCATCCAGACCGCGTCCTAGTCCTCGTCGAGTGCATTTGCCGATTCTCATCTGACATGCAGGGTACAGTAGGGTCGGAGAGACAAAAGAATTGATGATAATGATGCAGGTGGTGCAGGAAAGGAACTAACGTGGGTGAGCGGCTGGAGTTGCCATCTTGAACCCCAGCATGACATAATCGACTCTGTGGGGCCCCAGGCGGTTCCCTCCACTGCCGAAAACCGATCTTGCATTGGACGACTCGTAGGATCAGCTGTTTTGGGCAGTTGAGACCCCTCGGAAGGTGCAAGCGCAGGCACAGAGAGCATTATGGGGGCTTGGCCAAGAAGAGAATTGGATGCTTCTAGCGGCAGTAGAGAGCGATAGCACGGAAAACAATAGCGTGGAGTTGGCGAAAGATGGACAACAATGACCACATGCGACAGAAACTGTATATATTGTCCTCTATTTGCACCTGCTTGTCTGGAAGTTTCCCTTGGAGTCGCAAACATCACAGTCGCCATCAGCGTTCTCATGAGATTGGAGAGAATACCATAACGTCCATTGCAACAAAGCCATTCCTGCAAAATGAACTCGTCCAAGGAAGTTATCATCATCGGCGGGGGGGTATCTGGCCTCGGCATGGCGGTGCAGTTGAAACGCCTACTTGGCCATGACAACTTCACCATCTACGAGAAATCCGATAATATAGGAGGAACATGGTGGCACAATAGATATCCCGGCTGTGCTTGTGATATTCCGAGCCACTTCTACTCTTTCAGTTTTGCGTTGAAGCCCGACTGGACTACAATGTACCCCGGTCGTGATGAACTACATGCTTGTAAGTTGACAACCATTCGTCCCAACAATCTCCCAATATACAGGCGGTTGACCGGAACTTGGCAGATTTCGTATCTGTTGCTGAAAAATACGATATTATCCCTCACTGCCGGTTCAATGCCATGTGTCTCGGTTTAGTGTGGGATACCGCGCGCTCTCTGTGGGTGTGCACTTTCCAAGACACCAGTAGTGGAGAGATATACAAGAGGGAGGCTCCAGTGGTAGTCAGTGCTGTTGGCACGCTGGATCGTCCCTTCATCCCTACTATCGAGGGCTCTGACACTTTCGAAGGCAAAACTTTCCACAGTGCACGTTGGGATGACACATTGAAAGCCTCCGGGAAGCACATCGTCGTCCTAGGCAATGGCGCATCGGCCACTCAGTTTGTGCCAGAGTTGGTGAAGGAAGTCGGTCCAAAAGGAAGCGTCACCCAGTTTGTTCGAAGTGCCCATTGGTGGACAAAAAGGGTAGGGTAGCTGTCGCTTTCTGTGGTGTTCTTGCGCTAAATCTTCGAGTAGGGAAACCCGAAGTACTCAGAAGCCTTCAAAATGCTGATGAAGCACGTGCCGTTTGCAGCACGCGTCTACCGACTTCTTCTGGCATGGGAGCTTGAGAGCGTGTTCTTCTCTTTCCGCATGGATGCAAACGGTAGCCGCATGCGTCAGAGGATTCGAGACGCCACGTACGCCTATATCGAAAGTGAGGCTCCGCCGGAGTATCGTGAAATTCTAAAGCCCAACTACGAGCCTGGCTGCAAGCGTCGAGTCAACACCGCTACCTACCTCTCTTCGCTTCATTCGCCACAGATGTGTTTGACCAAGGATCGGGTGGTAAAGATCGGTCGGGACCACGTGATTACCGAAACAGGTGGCCGATATCCTGCGGATGCAATTATTTACGCTACCGGCTTCCTCACTCAGGAGTGGCTTCATCCTATCAAAGTGAAAGGAATAGGAGGTAGGGACTTGCATCACGTGTGGGATGCTTTGGGTGGTGCCGAGGCCTACAAGGGAACTGTGGTCACCGGTTTCCCGAATTTTTTCATCCTCTACGGTCCGAATGCAGCTACTGGTCAGCATTCTGTGATCTTCCATTCAGAATGCCAAATCAACTATTCCTGCCGACTCCTGCGCAAGGTGTTAGGCGGGTCAGCAGAGTCTATCATGGTGAAACCGTTGGCTCAGGAGCGGGACCTCGCTTGGGTCCATAGGAAGCTCCAGGGGCTTGTTTTCAACAGTGGCTGCCAGAGCTGGTGGATGGACCCCCTCACGAAGAAGAACACATTCATCTACCCAGATCCTATGTACTTGTACTGGGCTCGTACCATCATCCCTCGCTGGTCGGACTTTGAAATTCGAAGGAGCCAGACGGGGTATTCTTTCGCCATAGTCGCTGTTAGTATTGCGGTGTCCTTGAGTGCGCTGACCTGGTCTTTAGCCTCACTTCCGCATGGGGCTAGGTGGACTACGGGATTGAGCTGGTTCGCTAGCGGAAAGTGGTTGACGGCCTATTTGTGAGCGAATGGTGAGGGCAGAGCTTCTTCTGGTGTGTACTGTACGCCGTGAAAGGCTTCATTATCACTTTCATACGCCATCGCACACGGATTCCGCATTGTTCCCAGGCCTGGTCTGGTGGAGAGGCCTCGTGTACAAGTAACTTTCTATGAGAATACGAGCACGGCTGTATCGGACGTTTACTTCTTGCAAACGTACTGCAATCTACCTAAGTTCCGCTATCAAAGAGTCTGGTCTCGACCGAGTAGTTCTAACACTATAATCGTGAACGTACCAGGGTCCGGATGACGATCCTCACTATCATGTCGAAAGCGGAATGTTGGCGGCGGGGCGCTGCCCTCATCTTCGTTTGAGACTGTGTACACTCCTTGATCCGCCGACAACCGCAGCACGCCAATAGGGCAGGTAGTTGAGGGGAAGTCGAAATTTCTCCATGGTAACCTCCCTACATCTGCTTTGTAGATCTTTATTTGGCTGTGAAGCAGTACTCTGCTCTGAGCCGTGATATGTCGCTACGTCACCAGCGGGCGGCAGCGGGTATTTGTGCGCAGTATGGACAGGCCGGGAGTATTGTTGGGTGGGGGAGGAGGGGGTTAGTGGCGATATTCAACATGCCAATCGCAAGGTACATGCTCTATCCGCTTTACAAGCTTCTCGCGCAATATCCCGGTCTAGACCAACTATCAGAGGGGAGGGGAGTGAAACCTAATTACATAGCCCCAAGGCCAATCCCCAAGCGCTTTGGGCGGCTTGCCCGGGACAAAAACTGTCCGACCTTTTACTCATAGACATCTCAGCTCCCCGCCCAACTCGTGGATTCACGGCCGGTTATCCCTTCGGCTTAGTGCTAGCGCATGGGGTTCGACACATCTATGACGCTGCACTGCTATCTCCATGGATCGTCTTCTTTCCGCTATGTCCAAGACTCGGGCCTGCGTGCCTGTGCACAATGTAAACTGAGCAAAAAAAGTGCGACAAAGCTACTCCTGGCTGTAGCCGCTGCGCAAAGTATGAGGTGACATAATACCCAGTGAAGTCCGCACTAACAATTACATCTCACAGGCTCTCACTGGACTGCTCATACGATGAGCCGGCCGATTCCCATCCGCTGAGCATTGGGATGAAGCTGGATGAAATCATTTACCGCCCGGACAGAATAGAGACCAGCACCAGCGCCGCAAATCCCCAGTTCCCGACGACCGGCTTAGGTCATAGCACTCGTCTCGTGAGGGAAGGCCCTCAGCCGATGGACTTGCTTTCCCCGTCATCAATCCTATCAGTCCTCAGGGTCGAGCTGATGAAAGTCATAGAGGCCCACCAGATATCAGTCGACCGACTGTTCTATTACTATGTCGAAAACGTGCACTGTTGGCTCCCAATGACTTCCCACGTGCGGCTGGTCCAACGGCTTCAGACTTCTAGCATCCCTACGTTGCCTAGCATCCTGTGTCTCTTGACATCATCGATACTGCTTCTCTCCGATACATCAGAGGGAGACACAGAAAGGCACAATCACTTATACTCCTGTACAAAAGGAGTCTTTTCCTTGATCGTCGCTGCAGGTGAACAGTCGCTAGAGTTCGTGCAGGCCGGTATATTGGTATCTCTGTATGGACATCTCCGTGGTTTCTCCAATAGTGCCTACTTGACCATCGGATCCACGCTGAGAGTTGCTCATCTGCTTGGATTGGGCCGGATTCAACGAGACGATACCGTTAAGTTGGAGAGGGTCTTCATTTGGTTGGGTGCTGAGGTGGTAGATAGGTAAGAATGTAGCGCTTCAAGCTTATTGGAACGAACGAGTGACCACGTTACTAAGCTGTTTCTACCTTAGATATATTAAAGCTGATTTCGCTTCGTCAGGGGACGTTGAGGTTGAATATTTGGATACTGCTGACTTGCTGCAGGCTCACCTCGAATGGCGCAGTCAGACCTCCAGGAAGGATCTGGGTATCGATGGCCAGGATACTTTGACAAATAACCTATATAACGCATTCTACCACGAAGCAGAGGCTGCGAGCAGACTTCATCAAGTATCGTCTTTCGTTAAACACAACCATGGAAAGGAACTTGTATGCTACGAGCGCGCTGTGGAACTTGATCGCGATATCACAGCCTTGTTTCTGGGGATAAAAAGTCAGGAGAAAGTTAATCTCGAGACTAAATGTGCCGGAGGCCTCACAACATGCCTCAGGTAGGTAACCCCTTGGGCGTTCCCAGTTGGCAAGTAGTATTCCCTGACTAATCGACACCCGCGTGGCTTGCGGGTTCAGTGCATTACTACTTCTTCATTTATTTTGTCTTCGAAATAGCCTCGGCGCCTGCCAAAGTCCATTCGTCGATATATCGATTGCCAATCTGCAACAGATGATCGAGTATGCAGCATCCTTGTCAAAAGCGGTATGCGAGGCTGGTTCACAGGACGCGCTAAACGCGACCTCCCGGCCTCCCAGCTTCATAATTATGCTCTTCAATGCTGAACTTGCCCGCAAATTCCTTGTCCAATCGGGGCATATCAACCAATCGAACTTCAGCCAGGATGTGTTTCTACAGCCACTTAAGAAGTTGAATTACAGATCAGGTCTTGCTAGTAAGCACTTTCAAGGGATTAGGCCTTGACGTTTTGCTAAGGTGCAAATATGGAAAATACTTCCTGGAATTGCAGGGCCAAGAAGACCGCCAAAAGTGAAGTACTTGGGTATACGGCGTAAATACCGTGCCATTGGCAGTTTACAGACTCAGTCTGCACATTGCAGGGTCTGCTGAGAAGGGAAAGAAGGACAAAAGGTTTCCATCTGTGGCGAGGGTGGTGGACTGGGTGCCAGTGCCGCAAAGACCATGGTTTGTCACGATTAGTAACTGAGAAGTAGATCTATCGCTTTCCAGCTGAGGGACAGGAACAACTTCTACTTGCCCGGGATTGTCTGCGTTAGAGAAGGAATACGCTCGTTGTATCACGGTTCATGTCTCGTTTACGTCTCTGATTGACTCTAACAATGTAGCTGAACTGGTATTATTCTGTGATTGTGACTCTTCGCGCATACTGACGTGGCGCTGGACCTCAAAATGGCCCGACTTTGGTTCCAACGGTCAGAACATCGAACCTGAACCAGAGGTTCTCAGGTGCCGACTTCTGGAACCTGAATCGGATCGTCGTTCTATCCGGTTCGAGTCAGGTTCAACTGACAGACCCTGAATTGCTTAATTTTGCGAAGATTTCCTGTTTTAGCTGTAGAAAAGTCCGAGTTACTATGCGTAACATACGAGCTGTCACGCATTTTTATCTGCTTATACTCACACCACATACCAACATTACAGGGCGATAACTTAAAGCGTTATAGTACTTAGATATGATATATCCTGGGTATATGTAGTACGTATTACGTGCCAAGTATTGGTAGATTTAGAGTAGTAGTGGTCGGTCGCATCACCCGATATTGATGTTGAAGATATAATTATATGTTTTGCCAACAGTAGCATCACCATACTTGCTCCCAAAACTAATACAAGTTTGCTACGCCTACAAAAGGTAACATGCACAAATTTTGGCGTTTTATGTCTGCACTATTTGCAGAACCCAAGGCTCGAGTCGGACCTGACAGATTCGACTCCAAGGATCCTCGAAATCGGACCGCGACTCCAGTATCATGGAATATGAATCTGAGTCTTGGCGGCACCGAATCGGGTCGAACCCGACGAGTCGCCACTCCCCCAGGACAGCTATGGTATTCCCGAATGTACACTATTTTCAAACTACTTGGACGTAAGAGTTCCATGGATCTGTGAGGTGCACATGTTAACCTGTCTAGTATCCCGCCCACGCAATACCATATTCCCAGGCCGACGAAATAGCAGACGCAACGTTTATTCGCGATGTCACATACTCGCCCCCATGTAATGTTTGATAACCCATCCGTATGCACTCTTCTGACATCCTGCAGATAAGCCTCGCGAGATTGAAGGCGCGCCTTGTCACGTGCACCTGACTGGCAGGTATTTTTCAGGAGGGAAAGCTCCTCCGGGATGCAGCGGTGGTGGAAAGTGCGTTGAGAAGCTGAGACAGGCCATCGGCCATGATTATGCTTACGTGTCGAAATTGCACAAGCCTTGACTGAGTTTGACCTATAGAGCGATTGGTGTATGACTGGCGCTTCAATGCTGATTTCAGAAAATTGACGCTATCTTCCCCATGACATGGTTCGAAATTGTTCCAAAACTCTTAGAGAACAGCTGTTGCATTTGTAGCCTCGAGCCCAAGCCGCCTTTAGACGATATCCAAAGCGGCAAACCGCGTCGTTCGTTGGCCAGACACTTGGGCGACTTTGTTCTCAATCAGTCTGTGATCTGCTGAATATGTTGCAATTGAGCCGACACCAGCCAGTGGCCAAAGGTAGTAATAGGCGAACACATGTCGAACGTTTAAATGTCTGATAACGGTTAAGCCACGTTCAAACAACCGACCCAGCAAACTGACAGCAATCTCCGCTGGAAGTAAGAGGATTGCTGAAACAAAGAGCATCCGGATATCTAGCTGTCCTGGTATCGTTTTCCGCTGCTCCAGGATGGCCACGGTGAATTATTTCTTCCCACGGACCAAAATCATTCCTTAGTTTGGGCCACATGGTGTACTCAACTACTTTCCTGGTAAATGACGCCCCTGCGAGCAGGTTAGCGTCGAATATTAGGAAATAGATCTGGTAAGATATGTTGAGAATTGGTTGCGTAGATTGAGAAGATTCAAGATGGACATTCTCTGGGTGGAAAAGGTCAGAAAAGTATCGACTTAGACCCAACATCTTCAGGAAGCTGGAAAGGCGGTCAAGTGACGGATCAAACAGCGTTATCAGACTGGCATGGTAAAGAAAGGACTCACCGCAGACTCTATCAAAGGCCATCCCCGCCCGCGGACGATGCAGAGATCGAGGAGTGCGGAAACTTAGCAGTGTTCCGGAGGCTAAGACATGAGGCCCGTATTTGGCATGGAGTCATAACGAGCATCCTCATACAATGGATCATCAGACTGGGTTGGCAATGGTTGAGGCAAGAACGTGCAAATGTACTTCGAAGACACATAACAAACTGTCGTAGCAAGGAGCCAATTCTCACTACCTAGGTATCCACCCTGAGCAATGCCCTCTCCGAGACACTTGATCGTAAGTAGGTAGCTCTCGGTAGCCAACCTGACATTATCACGTGGTTGTCCCTCTGCCTTCACAGCAGCGATCGCAATGATGGCGCCCATGAGCGGAGGGCTTGTGAAAGCAAGACCAAGCATATATTTTTGATCTGCGTATTGGGAGAGTGAGGTTCGACGGACTAGCTGCAGCGGCAGAACACAGTCCGCAAAATACTGGTAAAGGCGCAGCTGCTCTCTTTGCTGACAAGGCGATGGCATTGCCAGCGTTGACAGGGACAGACATATTTCGCCGGATCCTATTGACAGTCCCTGAACTAACTGATCATACTTCTGTGGACTGGCTTCAACTGCAGCTCTTCTTTGCCGCACTCCGAAAGTTTTGGTATAGGTGCGTCTGTCCACAGACTGTCCTTCTCTTAGTCACGTGCAATTGAGAAGATTTCGTACACAACCGCTACAGTAAGGCCTCTTCTCGTCGCAAGTCTTTCGGCGCCGATGACCCGAAGGAAGGGGGAGTCAGACGGACTCAGTGCTCGGAAAAATGGACTGTGCTTGAAGTCACACTCACTGCAGCCGCTTCTAGACCGTAGTCTTACACGGGATGATACGAAGCGCTTATTCCAGTTTGCGTTATTCGGCCACGCTCTGACAGCTCAAAGCACACTGAAGGCCAAGAAGATGGGTGAGGCGATTTTACAGAAGGGTGGTCTATCAGGGAGCCAGATCTGATATGCCTGGCATCAACTGCGGGGGTTTTTCTGCCGGGCGTCCGCCGGAAATCCTATTGTTGGGGCCGTCGATCGCCTCACCCAACCGGCTCTGTAAGCGGAACGCTCAGCAGCTGTCGCTGAGGAAAAGTGGTCACGCACCATCAATCAATCTCTAGCCACCTGCAATTGCTTCGCTTGACGAGCTTGCCTGGGGACAGTATCATCATTCTACAACCTCTGGTAATCCATCTGGTCTCCGGGCTACCGCGTGGACCTTGATGGTCTATGTACCATGATGAATTCTACGCCTCGACCTTCTGTGCACCCGGGCCGGCCGCCCTGCGAGCATGCTTCCAGGCCCACCGGCAACTGAGCAGCCTCAGCCGGGGCCTGGTTGCGAAACTGAGGGTTGTTGGGACGAGCTGCTCTCCTAAGGCATTCGGCTACGATTGCCAACATTTCGTCGCTTGGGCAGAGGGTTGACAATTCAGGTGAAAGTTCTTTCCGAACATGCTGATTCTGCACGCGCACTATTGGTCGATTCGTTACGAAGCGCCTGCAAACAGCAACCAGCTAACAACAAGGTCACGGTGTCGTCAGCGAGCCGCTGGCAATGGAAAGGGGGACTGTGTTGGCGGTTAGATTAGCGTGGCGGAAGCCGTACATTGTGGGGTCACCCAAGGCGCTTACAATTGCCGTCCGCTGAAAGCAATTCCAAGCGCCGGTGCCTTATGAGATCGGTACGACTACTTAACCGCACTTCTGCAAGGTTCATCTTCCAGGTTTCGACGGACGTTGCATTCACAGTACTCAAAGATATCGTTCAGCAGCGTCTATGATGGGCTTGAAGTCACCAGTTCCTCTTGAGGACCTCAAATTCAACGTTCCTGTGGCGTATACGCCGTACGTGGACCGGGAACTGCTCGAAGTGACCAAGCAAAAACTGGCCTTAGCTCGGTATCCCGAAGAGCAGACAGACTTTGGAGAGAAAGACTGGTCCCAGGGAGCGAAGGTGTCCCGCGTGAAACAGTTGGCGGATTTTTGGAAAGACCAGTACGATTGGGAGGCGGAAGAGGTGCGTTGAAATATCTCATCGTAGCGAGCTATCGCTGATCCGAAGCCTCAGCGGCGTCTGAACGAAATCTTTAGACATTTCCTCGTCAAGGTCAATGTCCCTGGCTACGGCCCGTTGGTGCTGCACTTCACCCACAACCAGTCTGCCAGACCGAATGCTATACCATTGCTCTTCTCCCACGGCTGGCCCGGTTCTTTTGTGGAGGCGATCCGGGTGGTGCATCCTTTGACTGAGCCCGAGGATGCCAAAGATCCAGCCTTCCACCTCGTTGCCCCGTCAATACCTGGTTTCGGTTTTTCACCCGCGCCCTCGAAATCCGGCGTCGGTCCGAATGTGGTCGCGCGCGCGTACAAGATCCTTATGACCGACGTTTTGGGATACCCCAAGTTTGTGACCCAGGGCGGCGATTTCGGCTCTTTCATTACACGAGGCATTGCCATTCAGTATCCCGCACTTGTGCGCGCGCAACACCTGAATATGTTCCCGGTGGCTCCTCCAACTCTGTGGTCCGCACCGTGCGCGTACTTGCGCTGGTGCCTGTCGGCGCTGACATACTCAGAGTTCGAGCACGAGGCATTGCGTGTGCGCCGGAACTTTGAGCAAGATCAGAGTGGCTATCTCGAGGAGCAGAGAACCCGGCCGCAGACGCTTGGGTTCGCGCTAGGAGACTCACCGCTCGGGCTCCTTGCGTGGTTTGTTGAGAAGTTCCATGACTGGGGCGACGTGCATGAGGCATTCAGCGATACCGATATTGTTACGCTGGTGATGATGCATTGGATTCAAGGCGCGACGCCTGGCCTGAGGTTTTACAGAGAGGCTTTCGGTCGCGGAAAACGCGAGGCGGAGAAGACCTTTGAGACTTATGTGTCGGTGCCATGTGGTGTCAGTATGTACGTGAAGGAACAATTGCATGTGAGTCATACAACCCTGCCTTGTTGCGTGTGTGCACGAGCGTACTAACATAGTAAAGTGCCCTCGTGACTGGGCAAGCAGAGTTGCCAACATTCACTACTGGCGGGAGTATGAACGAGGGGGGCACTTCTCGTCACTGGAGAGACCAGATTTGTTTGTAAACGATCTACGCTGTTTCTTCTCCTCTCCTGCGGTCATGGAATCATACACTCGGCATTAAAGGCTACGTGGCCTTGTATGTTACTACAGCAGCCCCCTAGAAGTGAAAATTGTCCGCGTATCCTACGGCAGCATAATATATCTTCAATTCTCATCCAAACTCGCAGACCATCCTAAGACGAGCTTCTCGGTCGAACTTGATATGAAGCATGTACACTATATATTTCTCTGCCGCAAGAGGACCCTGTCGTCTTTTGACCGTCGTCCGTTGGCAAAACCAAATCAAGGTAGTCAAAATCATTCTTGTGCGCTTTATATCGACGCACCAAAGATCCCTTACATGCCAAACAACGTCCACCCCGAAAACATGTATAGGGGTTCGGGACAAGGCAATGTGGCAGTAAACACTTGGACCGCTACCTGGTGAACGTGAACCGGAAGACCATCAAGTGCTCGTTATATTCTAGCATGTTGTTGCACAGTCCCCGACGCTTCTGCTGAACCGGTGCCGCGAAGATCCTACTACGGCCGGTATTGTTAACGGATCGGAGGTATGGCTGCCTCAATTGACATGTAGGTTCACCTGAGCCTTCTCGCTGGAGCTGATTGTCTCTCCCAGGCCCCTCGGATTTGATCGCATCCTTCGGAAGAGTCGTTTAAAGCCCGATCGCCCTACAATCTTCCACCCATACGCTTTCGGGATCTCTGTTCTGATCACAAGTTGGGAAATATGCCTACTGTGTCATTGGGTCCGACGGCCAACGCCTACTAGCTAGTTCGAGCTTGATGGGTCAATGCAAAAATCGAGGCATGTATCATATAATACCTTCACTTGCTGACGCTAGCGCATCTGCCCCGACAAGATAACCCTTCTAAGTTATGCGAAAGAAAATTGAGGCCGTGAGTAGCTGTAGCCGTGAGTAGCTGTAGCCGTGAATGCTGGACATTTAAGACTCGTATTGACTTGAAAGTACTTAGTACGCATTTACAGCTTTAAAACGTATCATGCTACAAAGCAACAGCACTCAAGGTTAACAAGCCCAATTCTTCTCTGATCGGTATCACAGCCAAGGAAACCCCTCTTTCGCTTCCTGGAGAACATCCACGTGCTCCTGCTTTCAGCTGGAGCAATTTTCTTTTCTTGCTTCATGGACACCTTTCTCCTCTGAGGAATGGGGTGAGGGGCTTATCGGACTGCCACTGCCTTGAAGGACATCGATACGTCCATGTAGCTTCAATTCCGCAGCGATCTGCTGCGCGTTTTTCACCGGATTCCCGCTGCGAGAAAAGATGTAATCAACATCTTCAAGTCGCAAGTTGCTTGTTTCGGGATAAAAGAAATAAAAGGCGGGAACGAACAGCGCATTTGTAACCATGAAAATCAGATATGCCTTCCAGTGTAGGCGGTTGATGATGACGGGTGTAATCATGACGACCGTGAAATTCCATAACCAGTTCGAACTGATACCGATCGCGGTACCGCGAGTGCGGGCGGCCAGAGGCAATATCTCTGGAACATAGACCCAGGGCACACAGTTCACGCTCATGCCGAAAATTAGCATGTAGAGAAAGAAGAACGTCACAGCAGCGGAGGAGTAAGAGTGTCCGTTGGATGTTTTAGCTTGTGACAACAGAGCCGAGATCATCATCATGCACAGGCTAAGTCCCGCACAACCTGCTATCATCGTCTTCCGCCGACCCATGCGGTCGAGGAAAAATGAAGGCACGATCGAGCCGAACATGAACATCATGTTGATGCAGCCACCCAGGATTTGGGCAAGTCTTGCCGACAGGCCAACATTTTGAACAAGCATGGCTATTGGAAAGATAAATTAGTTATGATAACGCCGTCAGAAATCGTGGGAGAAAGTTCGACTTACAAGGGGCATAATAGACCACCAGATTGATGCCGCCGGCCTGGTTCATAAATTGTACCCACCAAGCCAGAAGCACACGATGTCGGGTCTTGACGGGGTCATTCTGGAAGACACTTAACAGGCTGCGGGACGTATCCTCGCCCGACTCCAGCTGAATGGCACCGAGAATAGCGTCTCGCTCGGCGAGGATGTATTCGTCCGTAGGCTCCTTGTCGTACACTCTGCAGAGGACCTCCATCGCCTCCGAAGACTTGCCGTGCTTATAGAGCCAGCGTGGAGACTCCGGGAGTCCCAGCACAAGGACAGCGACCACGAGCGCGAAGATCATCTGAAATGCAATTGGAAGCCTCCAGGCAACTGAACCGCCCACAAAGGACATGCCAAAGTCGAACCAATAGGCCACGACGATGCCGACGCCGACGAAAAGGACCTCCGCGGAGACTAGACGGCCTCGCTTATGTTGGTCACAAAGCTCAGCCTGGTACCTATTGCGGGATAGCCGGTCAGCAAACGGGGAATATGTGGACAGAACGCCGTAGAAGACGGAGGCCGCCGAGGGGCCGGGTGGAGGAAGACAAGAACTGACATAGGCACTGTTGACGTCTTGATGCCGGTCCCGAAGCCCGTGACCAGTCGACCGACAATCAGATAAGGTACGGTGAAGGCTGTCGTCTGTAACGCCGCCCCTACTAGTACAAATGCCATGGCGATCCATATCGTCCGACGTCGCCCAAGCTTTTCACCAACCGCATAGTTCACTGAAGTCGTCAATACGTGGACAGCAAGGTAGTCAACCATAGAAGAGGGGGTGACGAACAGATACAGCCAGCGAAGCAACCTAAATTGTAGCAACTGACGATGATGCCCGTTTCGGAATCCGATGGATGGTTAAACTGCTCCAACCAGTCTTTATTCTCAAGGATGCCGCCGAAAACACCTTGATCATAGCCGAAGAGAACAAATGCAATTAAGCAACAGACTGTCAGACTTGTTTGTAGTGGTTTCCCTTTCCCAAGGAAGGAGCGCATGTTGTGAATATAGCTCTGGCGGTACGCAAATAATCGAGTGGCGAAATAGAAAAATCAAGTTCTGCCTTTGGGTAGAGGTAAGCGGCAACAAAACAGACTGGCAACAAAACCGGGGCAGTTCATAAAGGGTGCGCACATGGAGCTATATATGATGGTGACTACAGGTAGCATGAAACTAATCCGGGGTAGTCGGGGGGGTGCGGGGGTGCATATGCCTGCTTTCCCCAGAATCATCCATGTTTGGGAGGGAGCTGGATTAGCTTCCAGGACGATAGCGGAAAACTCTAAAAGAGCGGGTAGGCGGGTCCAATTGCCGCCTGGTGACCCAATGCCTGAGTGGGTCGCGCTTCTATTTCACTTTTTTGGCCGCGCTGCGAGAACGGTGCTTCGACTTGCAAGTTAAAAGATCCCAGAGATCTATGTCTATATTATGGGGTATACTTGGGAGTATACCTAGGGCACAGGCACCTGGGAAGATACTGGGAGACAATGAAATAAGGCAAGATGAGTTCAATTCCATTCACTCTGGCTTTATCCACACAATGACCGCTGTACTCCGTAGTCGGCACAGCCTTGGATAAAGACAGTTCCAGAGGACTGTGCCCGCCAAAAATGCCGGACTCGGACTCGTATGCAGTCGTCAGCCGTCCCCTCAGGGGTGGACTTTCCCATCAATAACCAACTGCGAGTGATAACTACTGGACTAGTTAGTTGTTGGCAAGTTGTTAGCCCAGATTACTCCGGGATCTAATCCCCTTCTGATTGGGGAGAAGGGAGAAAGGGAGGTAGGGGTAACAACGACATTTTATGGCATTCACACTTTCATCTACATTGAAACCGCTACGTATTCTCTTTGTCTAACAAGGGGGAGGACGGTATGTGAATAGAGCCCTGCAAACATAAGTATGCCCACAATCCCTTCTATTCTCCTTATCTTCCACCACATCCCATATTGCTCCTTGACTACCCCACAGACCCGTTCTGATCTGCTCTGATGCATACCAGAGCAAACCACGCGTCGAACTCATTGTCATGCTTGGAGTGAGACGTTATCCCCGGTGATCAGTGATAGGTACGACACCGACACCATGGCCTATCTACCACAGGACTGCCAGGTCCGATTGTTTTTGTTAGGCTCCGCCCTATAGCGCTTGCAGAATGCGTCGAGGGCTATCTATTAGTAGTTAGAGGACGGCAATTAGGAAGTTAATTAATGGTTGGTCGTCAGAAACATGTCTTAAGCGGCTATTTGGTAGATAAGTGACACACCCAAGAGCCTGGCTGGCGGGTTATGTATTCTCTTTCGGTTTATATAAGTTGGGACCACTGGCCTGATTAAAATCATGCTAACTTGTGTATATAACCTAACTACGTTAGAGCTAAGGTCCTATACTGAAGACCCTTACTAGTAGATAGGAATGCCACACCTTAACGTTGTCTGGTGAGAAACTATTATAATGCTTAGTACGGTGACTACTCGCGGCAAACGGATAGATAAGTATATCTACCCACGTAATCGCGAGTCTATTAGTGGCTAATTTCGTAGCTGGTCAACGCTTGTTGTAGAAATAGGCGCTTCGGAGTTTTTGGTAAAGCTTCAGCGAGATGCTACTTTATAGTTTTAGGATACTTCAGGGGACACTAAGATCGTTCTTATTTCTTCTTATCTTAATTAAAAGAGCCACAAAGGAGGTTAGGATTGAGAAGTGGTAGCTTGCTTTTTTATGTCTTCGACAAGGGATGAGGCAAGTAATCGCTCAGCTGCGCTAGCAGCCTAACCTAATATCGCCGCTTGTCTAACAGCGGGTAGGCAGCCAAATTGTTTTCTCTATTCAGGAAATTATTATAACGCCTGCAGCGATAACTAGAGGGCTACTTATAATTTTCTTCTATGCACTGGCTGATTGCTAACCTACGGAGCTGGGGGGAATATAGTAATTAACAACTAGTGCTTGCGTGAAATTACTCGGCTTATTTAACGCTTAGATTTTTGCTTTTTGATAACTGGATCGTGTAGGCTATGCGCTAGGTCTATGGTGGGACCAGAGAATGGGGATGGCTACCTCTAACTGTATACCGACAGCGTTGCACAGCGTTCCACAACGTAAGCCTAAGTCACCTATTGCCTATGTTTATCCAGAAAGAGATATGTTGCTTGAATATTATTCTTATCCGACCGGTTAAGTTCAGGCAAAGTAGTACTGCACCAACATGTCGCACACCATCCCAGTCGAAGCGCCCTCTATTTTTACTCGTTTCGTAGATCGTGCCTAGATCAGCCTTGAGCAGCCATCCCCAACATAAAATACGGAGATTCCCCGTCGGGTATATTAGTCTAATATGAAAATATAGCCACCCTAGAAAGCGCAAGTGTAGCCACCGATTGCCATGTATAAACCCCATAATTCCGGCATACATCGATGGCGCATATACCGCTGTCAATTGCTGCCAGAATCCGTTATGCCGGTGTGGCAGCAGGTTACTGTACCGTCACCGCGGACAATGGATCAATACTCTGGCGCCCGCCTCTTCTTAGTATTCAGGTGTGTCAAGTCTGGGCCACCTCCCATTCACAGACAGTATCTTGTAGAGCCTTGCCACCAATCTTTCTTATTGTATTCTATCTGGGTATTATATTATCTATCACTATATGGTGGCGTCTACATTATCTATAACAGTAACCTTGATACTCCTCTAGGACCGGTTACTATATAAGTAAAACACATCCATAGCCTTTTCTAGCAGGAACGTGTGTAAGACTAATTTCTTTAAATTTAGAATGCCTTCGCTGAGGCACGTAATCGTTAGGGGCTAGATATTACAATAGCGGTTAATAAACCGCAGATCGATCTATATAATTAGCATCTACAAGTACCGCTCTATAGAAAAATCGCCTACCTCTGCTATTAAAATATATATAAAAGACAAGTTGTTCATAACCTCTTTGCCGACCCTAATTACGATAATATTTCCACCTCGCCGCGCCGTAAAGTATGCTGTTACCACACTGCTTTTTACTCTAGTATACTCTAGTACTGTCTCCGGCGCAACGTACTCTCTAGTTTTAAATAGTATATAGATAGCCCGTGCGTTCCCCTCCGTATTTAGTATCCAGTTAACCTAGTACGTAATACAGCGGGGGATGAACTTCTTGGCAAAGACTAGGTGTTCGGGGTTAAGATCTGTTACTATAATAGGATGCGTACTAAACGCGCGCGCCGCCGCTAGAATAATTAATCTAATAGGACTAGCGCCGCAGACTACAGCGCCGCAGCTAAGTTATAGCTAGGCGACCTGCATGCCGCGTATAACGACAAACAGCGGCTTAAGAAGGGCGCTTTCAACGAAGCTAATATTGTCGGGGAATCTATACTAGTCAGCATCTATTACGAAATATATTTATCTATCCTTTGTAGCAACTTACTTATAGAGCTACTTGGCCGGGTGTACTATGTAGCGCTGTATGATGCCTGCGTATGGATATACCCTGGCGAACTGTACGTTCTTATAGAGATTATAGCGTCCGTCGTTGTAAAGGAAGTAGTATTTGTATAGCACACCTAGCTTTATCGCTACCCGGTCCCCGGGCTTTAGATATAATACATCAGCGCCGATCTATAGCACTATATCTACTGTCTTATGGCTAATAATATAGTTATCCTCGAAGATGAGCTCGCCGATGCGCCCAGTCTTCTAGAAGTGTAGGTCGGATCTGTAGATACCTATGGCTTTGATATATAGTAGTATTTTGCTGTGTTTAGCGGCGTACATAGAAGCGTCAACGGCTTTTAGCTTATAGTCTGCGGTTACTTATAAAGAGGGATTGGGGAGAGGTGTTTTAATAAGAGAGCCGGTAGTTTTTAAGGGTAGCGCTGGTATAGGCTGCTCTAGTACAGAGAGAGCTATAAGAACAGTAATATAGAAATTACGAAGAATTAGAAAGAAGTTATGGTATAATGTAGAGACGGTAGTGTTGGGACTCCTTCGCGGCGATTATTTATTTTTTTATAGTAGGAGATATATAGGGTAACGATAGTAGAGAAGAAGTTATTAAAAAGGGAACTAGAGCCACGTACAGCGGAGTTACAGCTAAAATTGCTGTTTTTTTTATTTCTTTTATAGATCTATCGTGGTCGCTCTAGTCGAGACATTTTTTATTATAGTAGGAGATGCTTTACTCTGCCTAATCTAGTGATGCTAGGCCCTTATAGGATCGCAAGGCATATAAGAACTATATTATTTTTTCTCCCTCCCCTGCTCGGAAGTTCTTTCTCCTATTTTTTTCTGTATTATATTTCTGTTATGGCTTAGGGTGCGGTAAACTGTTTTAACAGGATTAAGTCTGCCCTGCTGCTAGTGCAGCAGCTCTTTAAAGACTATGACCTGGTGCTGCAGACCTTTCGGATACTTATTACTAATCTGTGCTAGCAGTTTAGCGATAGTTACTCTGGATAGGTTTCTTTTGTTTATTAACGGACTTATCGCTGATTTATCTAGTGGTGCTATTAGTATAGCTGCTATCAGCGTCGCGCTCTGGCGCTATATTATATATTATGCGCTGTATACTTCTGACTACTTTAACCGCGATCGCTTTGTCCTCTCTAACAGCTATACCTATCTGTTCTAGTATATATTCCTATATCTAACTAGCTATAGGGCTATAACCTTCGACTAACTTAAATTCTATTACTTCGACCGCGTCGATGCTCTGTGTTCTAGCTACCCGGAGATCGAGCACGAGGATATTAAAGTTACCACCGGCTTACTTAGCTAGAGTATCGCTAATACTGTTAGACTTGCTATAGCGACTAAGAATCTGTAGGCTAAGTTTAATTAGCCCGGCTACGACGTTATCTCTAATTATATATGGTGTATGATCGGAGATATATATCTATAAGAAGGTGTAGGTTTAGAAGCTATCTCCTTCGCTGGATATCTTAAGCTAAATAACCTAACAGTTATCTATAATAATAACTAGATTATCTGCGATGGTTCTGTTGATTTAATTAATACTGATAATATTAACGCGAAAATGTGCGCCTACAGCTGGGATGTTATTAATATTAAGAACGGTTGCTATAATATTAAAGGTCTTATTAAGGCCTTTAAGACGGCCCGCGCCGCCACCAACAAGCCGACCTTTATTAACATCTGTACTATTATCGATCTAGAGAGTAATGTAGCCAGTTAGGCTGCCGTCTATAGAGCGGTTTTTGGCGTTACTAACATCGCGTATATAAAGAAAAAGAACGGGTTTAATCTAGATAAGTATTTTATTATTAGCGAAACCGTGCGCTAGTTCTTTACAGACCTCCCCGCGCGCGGCGAGGCCTTTATATAGAAATAGAACGAGCTTGTTAAAAACTACACCGCGTAGTACTCTGAGCTAAACGCGTAGTTCTAGCGGCGCGTACGTAGTAAACTGCTGTCTAACTAGAAGAATCTAATTCCGACAAGTTTCCTGGATAAGCTTACTGCGACGCGTACGTTATTAAAGTTTATTTTTAACCTGCTAGCTAAGAATATTAACTTATTTATAGTTAGTACCGCCGACCTGTCGCCGTCAGTTAATATAATCTAGCCGGGCAAGGTTAATTTTCAGCATGTACGTCCCTTCTCTTTTATTTATATAAACTATCTTAGATACTAATAGGCTTATAGCTAGACCTCCGTACGACCTGCAGTATTAACAGTAACTATACCGGCTGCTATATCTACTTTAGTGTCCGCGAACACGCTATAGCTGTTATATTAAATAGCCTCGCCGCCTACGCCCCTAACATATTCATCCTCGTAACTTTCTTTTTTTTTATATTCTATCTGTACGCCGTGCCTGCTGTACGTATAAGCGCGCTCTAATATCTGTAGATTATTTACGCGGCGATGTACGACTTAATCGGTATAGACGAGGATGGCCTAATATATTAGCCTATTAAGCTAGCCGCGCTGTACCGTGTTATACTAAACCTATTATATATCCGGTTGGGTAATAGCAAGAAGACGGTAGGCGCGTGGATTACTGTGCTGGAGGCTAAGCGCTCGTTAAGTATTATTTTAATATCGCGGTATGCACTGCCGTAGCTAAAGCAGACTTAGCGGGAGGGTGTCGCCCGAGGTGCGTATATGCTTAAAGAGACAGAGAATGCGGACGTTACGCTGATTAGTATTAGAGCAGAGCTATTATTTACGCTGGAGATAGTAGCGTAGCTAAAGAAGTAGGACGTTGTAGCGCGGGTAGTCAGCTTTTTCTACTAGCGGTTATTTGAGCAGCAGTCTCTCGAGTATAAGCAGCAGGTATTACAGTACTACTAGGAAATTTCTACTGTCGTGGTTGAGCTGTATGCGTCGAACGGGTGAGAGCGGTACGCCGATGCGAGTATTAATATCCGGCGATTTGGCTACTTACTGCCGGGTAAGGCGGCGTATAAGTTCTTTAGATACGAGATTAGGGCGATGGCGGACAAGGTGGTGCGGTATCTGCGATGTCTGAGAGAAGATAAGCTGCTGCGGGGGGAGTTTGTGGATCTGCAGTAATGGTTTGTGACGATAAAGATGCATGAATGGATGGCATAGATACTCGAAAGCTCCTCTGCGGCCAAGCTGAGTAGACGCAACCCCAACCACCCACGCTCCTCCAACTTCCACAGATGCCCCAACCAAACCCGCAAGATCTCGAACACGTGGGAACTGGATGGCAATGTCCTTTGATACGGAGATAGGCGGCTGGCAGAAGCGACAGAGAAGCGGCAGCAAAGCTAGCATGCTGTATGTTGATACAGTGCAGGCATTAGTTGGCTAGTAGGGGAAAAGATATCTTCTATGCTGGACTTATAAAAGCCATGTGCATGCGAGGGCTGTTCAGAAGTCGGGTCAGCCTTGCGGTTTGACTTACGGCAGCAGCACTCCTGGTCGTGCTTTCTCCCGTGTCTCCTCTTCCACTCTGGTCTCTCGGTGAACGGTGATGGTATTTTGCCTGTCTTCAGCTCTCTCCTTTCCGTTCTTGACAAGTCCGTCAGCTGCTCCCCGAACATACGTAGCATGCCCTAGTCATAAAGATTCTACCAAGGTTCGTGTACGAAAATTACTTTTCCGACCAGGCAAGTAGAACCTTAGTCCGCGGAGGCCAGGAGAATGACGTGTATTCTGCGAGGGTGAAGAATCATCTGAACAGACCGCAGCAACATGGCATGGCAACTCACACAGATGCAGAGGTGAATACTCGGTCATTACTGGGTTAGAGGACACGGTCTGGCCAACATGGTAAATCGTGTTCCGCTGCGGGAGTGACAAAGATGGTCCCAGTGACCGATGCATCGCAAAAGCCATGCCAAAGACCGCCAAGGCAGGCTCATGCTTTTACGGCCCGGCAACGAGAGCTCTGCAACTCTAACCGCGGTTGTAGACCCGATGCCTTGCTGTTAAGGTAAACGCACTGCTTCCTGCTTTGCCACATCTACAATTGGTTTGGCACCCACTGCGCACCAGATCTTAAGGTTTACTCTGCGCTTACGATTGCCAACCCGAGTCAAAGGCTGTCTTGCTTGTTGCTGCCAGTCAAGCTTTTTTTTTTAGCTAGCTCCGTTCCCCAGATTGTATCCTCGTAATGTACACACTCACTGCCACCATTTGGATCAAATATGCGACATGGCTGCGTTTCCCCATACAAAGGATGATGTCCTCCGGATGAGGCTGCGATCTGGCCAGGTCGTCCAAAATATATGATTCTTTATTCCATGCTATCGATCGCCTACGCGCAGCAATGTCTATTGACGATATTGGGAACAGACTTGGCTCTGAACTCTCGCTCGCGGAGAGCTACGCCGTCACATCATTCTTCTCCATCGCGCTCTATAACGTGGTCGAACTGACACTCATCCTTTTCGTGCGCTTCAGACGCCGTGGCGGTCTCTACTTCTGGAGCTTCTTCATCGCAACATGGGGTATTGCGCTTTACTCCATAGGGTTCATTCTTAAAGACTTCAACCTCGCAAATTCTATCTCGTATGTCTACGCTTCGCTCATGTTCCTCGGATGGTCCTCGATGGTCACCGGCCAGTCAATGGTCCTACACTCTCGTCTTCATCTAATCGTGCAAAATCATCTCACACTCCGCTTGATACTTTGCATGATTATCGTCAATGCGGTCATACTCCATATTCCGGCTGGAGTCCTCTGCTATCTAGCCAACTCTCCCGTCTTTCCCCGCTTTGTCGTGCCATTTGCGGTGTACGAAAGAGTCCACGTGTCGGTCTTTTTTGTTCAAGAATCGGTCATCTCGGCCCTCTACCTATATGAGACGTGCAAACTGCTTCGTTCCGAATTGGTCATTGGAGATATGCACAGGGGAGCTTGCCGGAGGCTCTTGCTACATTTGATATACATGAGCGCTATTGTGATGTTGCTCGATATTGGCATCTTACTGCTTGAGTACACGGGCAGATATACGTCGCAAACTGCAACCAAGGGTTTCGTATACAGTGTGAAGTTGAAGCTGGAGTTTAGCGTTCTTAACCGGTTGGTTGAGTTCGTACAAAGGTCGAGCCATTTAAGTCCGGACTTGACTGGTCCTCGGGACGGCTGGAACATCAGAGGCGAATGGCAACGCAGTGGTGGGCACCTTCACCCCCGAATGTGCTGTTCCTGGTTTAGGTATGCCAGCCAAGCACAGCACGAGCATGGTTTTTCTATTGGGGGATACGTTATGCGGGCCATGCACATCACACTGAAGTCGTCTATTGCTGGAGAACCTACCGAGCCGGGATCAGTCGCAGCGGCCCCTGGATTGACTGTTCATCATACAGTTAATGGGGCAGCCAATGGTTGACATCTCGGGCTCCAAGGGAAACAGGCTACCGTCCGCCTGTCATGCTCGCGGGGCGCAACCCATGGCCACCACCTGAACTTCGAAGTGCCTAGTCTTTCGAGTCTTGGCAACAAAGGCAGATTTACATGGCAACTTGCAAAAGATGGAGAACTGTGACCGGCTCCCGCTCTTGCAGAATCGTCCATTTCCAAGACTGCATTCCTCTTAGGAACCACAATCTCGGCTCTTGGCCAGATCCAGCCCGATTTGAAACAAAGCCGAGGCCCTCGACAAATATTATGGCTCTCACGATCGCTTAGAGATAAGTAATATTTAAGTAATATTTCAGGACAACGTCCTTCACATGAGAGAAATCGAAATCTAATCTTGTCTGTACTGTACTGTATGCACGTGGGCCAAAGGTTCTGAACGAACAAGGCTCGACCTGGTGCTGAGCTGTTGCACGAGAGATCCTGCTTGCATCTTGCAAACTGAGTCCCACTCAGGCCAAAATACACACCGCAAGAGATAGATTGACCAGGCAATGGGTGGACTGCGAACGTACTGTAGCTTCTTTACATGCTACAGAAGAGGTTCCACCATTGTTTGCGAATTATAATAGATTCGTAATCTAGGTGAGAATGCTTTGGAGAGGGCATTTATTTTTTTCTTTTTGCATACTACTCATCGTAGTCCGGGAGAGTTCGTTTGTGGAAGGAAAGGACGTGTCACCAGTAGACTAAATGTGGAAGACGGAGATGAAGGAAAATGATGATCGAGAAGCCAGCCGGGACGGTACAGATCGAACGCAATTAACTGCCGCCCAACATGTCTAAGTAAAAAAAAATATGTACTACAAAGTCGCTCGGCTTGAACGTATCACACTGGTGTTGCCGTTGTTCCCCTCGTTTCTAGGATGGCTATCGTAACATCAAACTGAATGAGAAGGAAAAAGAAAAGGAAGGAAAAACAAGAAGTTGAATGACAGTGAATAGGAAGGGGGAGTACGACATCCGGCTCTACACAATTGGCGGGCAACGTTCAACTGTGTCATAACTCGGGAAATTGTTCAATTCGTTCCGTCCAGTCAACGCTCCTACCCGCGACAAGACCTCTTAGAGCCACAGACTTCTTTACTCAGCTACAACTCTCATCGATAAAGGCCGGTTTTCTTCAGAGGGCATTGAAGATCTCTGCACCATCCAGGAGCGCTATAGCTCAGTCGCCCAAGGACATTCCGAGTGCTACGATGGTACAATATCATAGAGGACATAATTCAAGTCCTCGTATACCAGAAAGTACGGGACTTGATGGTCTTTCGCGGGATATAAAACAACAGCGACGACAGAATAAAGTGATATATGTGTCTTCAAATTATGCCGGGCACGTGATATGAAGCGAACCTCGTGCAGCTGTGCTTATAGGATAACTCTAATGAGACGCCAGGGCTCGACTCAAGAAATAATGGCCCACCCCTGTCCGCTTGTCAATTAAGCGGTTTCTAGAAGATATTAAATGAATCATAGAAAGGGAGTTGTACCGTAAAATGTTCAAAGGCCTAGCAGCTCAGAGCAAGTTCCAAAGGGTCATCTAGATAATATGTCATGATCCACCAATGAGCACTATGCGGAGCATCTCTGTCGTGACAAAGGACAGCAGGTGAAGGTAGATATTGTGATGCCTACTTTACTGAGATGGGTTGCAATCCGGCCTCTACGATTGGAGATAGTGTTGTTGAGGAAGCGGAGACACCGAAACCTAGTGGCGCAGAACTAACCGTTCATACTTAGACTCTCAAGAGGTCACCCGAACGAAGCTCCAACCACCTCGTCTGGCCCCCAGTAATCTGCTGTAGGTGGTAGCATCATCCTGTTGACACTGCAAAAGTCGTGACTACCGTACTTTCGGCAGTTGCCTAAAGCTGGAACTTTGCCACTCGGGAAAGAGGGCCGCGAGACCAAGCAGATTGTAATATATAAAGAAACACAGGTCTGGTTTGGAACGGGGATCAAGAATAATTCTTGGCTTAGTTACACAGAAGCATTCTCATACTTCAAGGAAGAGAATGATACGTAAACGTATCCGATCATGACGAACGCTTGGCAATGCCCGGGCAAGATGGAATGGGATCGCCGAAATCTCCATCGTTGGCCTGGTTATATGACCCGTCTTCTGACTAGGAGAGACGGATATTGGCGGGAATGGAACTGGAGACTTTGGTTGACTACCCGGTTCGGCGGCGAGACAATTCGATGTAATTGTTGCTGATTCTTTGCAGGGAAATAACCCGCTAGCTAGCACATAGTGGGCTGAAGTGAATCGTTCGAACAAAATCATACCCGGGCAATTCGCGTCCACTCGCGCCAGCCAAAACCCCCCACCACCCCCCCAGAAAAGGATCCATTCTAAATTGCCTGCCAGATAACGCACAGCAGAATCGGATGGGTGATTTACCGGTCATAGGCGGGGTTAGAAGACTCAAACCGAATAATTGATTGTCGGCAAGGAGACGGGGGTTGAAAGCCGTCGGTGACTGACCAGAGCTGCGAGGAAAATGACCGGGAGACGGCGGTGTACTGCGATGCGATGACCGGTTATGTTGTCGAAACACGGGTCACGACACCGAGATAGAGATATGTATGGAGCATAACGCTTGGCAGCACGAAGGTTGCGTCTCCACAAGATACGTAATTCTCGACATTAAACCGCCAACAGCGGGAATGAGGGGAGAGTGAGAAGGATTAGCGCTGTTCAAGTGTTCTAGTGCCATATATCTTAGACTGTAAGCGGTTATTGCGGAGGAGAATGATGGTGTTTTAGTTGCGGTGCACTCGGGTATTGCGGAGGATCCATCGTTCCAAATAAGGACCCCCGTAGTGTCGTGGCCCTGCCGCGTGCGTATCCTTCGGTTTCAGCAATATTGAACACCAATGCAATCAAAGAGGCCTGCTTGGCAGATGGCCCACTTTGGTAGCATCCTGATCCAGTCTCCGCAAATATAGTACATATATCCACCCCTCGTCAGCACCGGGTTTGACAGGAGAAACACGTCGTGACGGTGCCTAACGAACCGAGAAAAATGAAAATCTCCAGTTTCCTTCTCCTGTCTCATGTTATTGTTGGAGGGTGCGCTTGAACATTCCAAGCTTTACCGACCTTGTGGTTTTTGGCGACAGCTGGTCGGATCTGGGGCGGCTGGAATACATTATTACACATAATGGACGCCTGCCTCCAGTTGGATGGACACCTGACGAGGTATTAACTGCCGAATGAAAGAAAAAAAGATGGTTCCTTGATTGCTTATGGTTTGTCACAGGGTGTCATTGCTGCGGATGGTGGGCGCCCCTGGCCCTCGTATGTGGGACAGTATGCTGGAGCCAGAGTGCACAACTACGCCGTTTCAGGAGCAGTGTGTTCGCGTAACATTACGCCTGAAACCATCCCAGCGACAGAGCAGCTATTCCCAGATGTCGACTCGGTCGAGATTCCCAGCTTTTTTATGGATACCAATTATACTCTTCCAGATGGAACTAGGTTCATAGATCTTTCCCCGGAGTCTACTGTCTTCGCTATCATGATCGGAGGGAATGATATTGGAGCCCATGCGTTTCTGACTGACTCTCAACCCCCCGGCAAGCCCCTTCCGGATTATATTGATTGTGTCTTTGAGCAGATTGACCGTCTATACAGAGGCGGCGCTCGTTACTTCCTTCTCAACAAGCTTGGGGCCATGTACCTTGCTCCCCAATACGCAATGCCAGAGGCTGGAGGTGTCGCAGCATCCCAGTATTGGCCAAACAAATATAGCAATGGCACAGCCGCCTCTCAACGGATGTTGCAGCATGTTGCTACTGTCAATGCTATATATGATCTTAGAACGCTCCTAGAGGTGATGTACCAGAAGAAATACCCTGGTGCGTCCTTTGCCTTGGTGGACCTTGGACGCCTAGTGGGTTGTTCCGCCTGACCTTATTACGTGCTACACCTTACATCCTTGGAACAGATGAGGGAAATCTATTATAACCCCTCGAAATATTTCAACGGCACGGCACCATTGAATGTGACGGGATACCTCAATCACTGTGCATTGAACGGGACATGCTGCGTTCGAATCGACAACAATAATCCCGACGCGTTCATGTGGTACGACGAATTGCATCCTTCTGAGCAAACGTGGCGTGTGATAGCCAAATGTTTTGTCAAAGTCATCAAAGGAAACAGCCAGTGGGCGCAATATTTCTCAGTTAAGGGTTGTCGGTATGCCTTACTTTTGGAAGAGCATTGGAAACACATACGGACGCAGGCGGCGCTAAAAGACGCCTGGTATAATCAAGTTATAGCACCACGGTCCTGCATATGGATTTCTCTATTTCCCAGTTTTCACGTTCTGGTGTCAAGCTCTCCACAATTCTATATTGCTCAATACACTCCTTTCCTCTCGTCGCTTCTTTGCCTGCTTCCGCTCGGTTAAGAGACATGAGGACTTTTACTAGGGCATCGCCATGTTATTAGAGCGAGTTTCGTATCAAGGGGTAAGACGCCGGTTCCTTGGTGCACGGTAGTCGCAGCCGGAAATGATATTAGTACACTGTCATACCCTGGGATCCGTCTGAGCTGCGCAACGTGCTAGTGTAGTAATTCAAGCACGAGGGTGACAGAATCCACTAGTCCAAAGGGACAACGATACTTATCCTGGGAGCGACGGCTCCTAAGAATAATTTCGAGATTCTAAGAAACTAATATAGTAATCCTAAGGTTCGAAGCAGCAAAGATAAAAGGAAGGGGATATATATATATATCAATTTATAATAGAATCGAGACAGATCGTACCAGCAGTAGCAGCGATATAGCTGTGAATAACAGTTATATTAAACGCGAGGAACTGAACAAGAACTATCAAAATATATAGTAATAAATACCCTTATATCCCTTTGATCTGTAGGCGTGCTATACCGATAGTATACACGATGGTAGATTGTGGTATACGGTGGTGGACGGTTCTACCATCAGGACGACTTTCCGTATACCACTGATCCTGATGGGTGGTTGTGTGGTCCTAGTAAATCAAGTATGTAGAGGTACGTATATAAGAAAAAGCGTCAAGATCCAGTTCCGAGAGATTGCATATATCTATCTAGTCCTTTCCCCTGGCACCCGACCTCTCTATAGCTTGGACTGATGCTGCCCGCACAGTATTTTGAGGGCACCTTCACGCAGAGATCTGACAATATCCCCTGCAGGCATTACTTCTGTGATCAATCCAACCCCGGTGTCAGCATACGTAGTAAGTTTTCCATTGGGTCCGTATCCCTCGTCACCCCGATTCAGTTCCTCACGATACAGCTCACGATTTTTGACGTCACTGAGGCCACGGAGGTGATGAAGAAATGTCTTGTTTATGAGACCTCGGCCGTCGTAGCCCTCAGGCCATCCATGAATGTCGCGAACTTTATCGTATACCTTTGTTCGAACCGTGGTTCTGCCTCCGTCCGAGGCTTCTAGAATTGCCTTTCGATAGCCATAAGCGACCATAGATTCGGGACTAGCGAGAAAACGTGTTCCAAGAGCACACCCTTGAGCACCAAGGGCCATAGCTGCGGCAACCCCTCGACTATCACTGATTCCACCAGCCGCTAGAATATTGGCCCGCGTCAGAGGATACGGACGAAGCTCCTGAAGTTTGTCGTTGATCTCTGGTACAAGGGAAACAATGCTGGCTCCTCGGCTCAGGGAATGCCCACCGGCATCCAGTCCCTGGACCACGATGATGTCGGGGTCGATGGCGTTCACTACCTCGACCGCATCGGATACGCAGCCGACTTGCACCCAAATCTTGGTCCTCGATGCGTAGCCTCTCTGATCTTGGTGGCCCAGGGAACAAGGTCCTGGAAGCCCTTCGGTGGAGCAAAGAGCCAAACAGCAGCGGGGCAATATCTGGAAAAACAGGGGAGAGCTTTTTCCAGGGACGCACTCCAGGTTATAAATCCCACGCCGACACGCAAAATCTTTGGGAACCCTTTGCCACTCTTTATCGGAGTGTCCCGTAGCCCTTTCTGGAGTAGGTCGTCAGCTTCCTCCAGTAGATCCTCGAGGTGGTCGCTATGATATCCTGCTCCAATAAACCCTATACCTCCCGCCCGGGAAACAGCCACGGCGAGGTTAGGCATGGCGACTTTGGCCATGGGCGCCGACACTATGAGTGGAGACGCGGTCCAGGGGTAGTTGGCTCTCATTTTATCCTGTAAGGCGTCGACAAAGTCCATGTTGAGTATTTGAGTATGATGGGAGGGGAACTTCGATTTTGGAGAGGAAAGTCGGCCAGCCCCCATTGAAGATGGAAGTAGAAGCAATACTAGATAAGTAGACGAGGGTTGATAATAAAGCGAGTCTGGGGCCTCGCAAATGATTACGTTTAGGAGCACAATATCCGAATATGTGCTGGCAAATTTTCATTCTGGGAGAGTCTTCCCCGCGTATCAGTCCCCGCCGGTGCCCCGGATTTCCTAACAAAGTTGGTGTCCACCCCTCTCCGCAATAGCCGGTCCATTACCGAACTGAGAGTCATCTGACGAGCCGACTGAGGCAGGACCGAAGTTGTGGCCTTGTTAAGATAGGGCCAAAGAGAGAATAGGGAGACGGGCCAACCGTAGTTGACGAAAGAACCCGCAATACCGGCAATACCCACAGTACTCACAATACCTGTAATACCCGCAATACTGGCCTAACGACAGACGACGAAGCTCACGGCTCTAACTTGCCAGATCCTTTCAGCACTATCTAGCACTGTGTTATCACGCTGCGCACTCTCTCCACATCATCACTTTGAAGCACAGGTTTCATCGGTGCTCTCCGACGCTTCAATATCTCGTAGACATCTCGCTCCGTCGAAATGACCGCTAGTACCGCCGGACCGCCTCAACAGGTGCCTTCAGTTCGCATGCCGCACGACCCCATCAGTGCTCCTACCAACACTCCCAACTTCACAGATAATGAATTTTTGCCCTCCAAGGCTACCAAATGGATCCCCGTCTGCGATCTCGCAACAAACAATCTTGTCACGCGCGTCCCACAGTCTACCTCCCGAGGAGCTCTCTGCAGCAGTTGTCCCCGCGAAGAAAGCGTTGCCGGCATGGCGGGCAACCACTATTGCCCCCCGACAGCAAATATTGTTTCGCTTCACGCATCTCATCAAAGACAGCTGGGACCGCCTAGCCGCATCAATCACTTTGGAACAAGGGAAGACATTCAAGGACGCCCGGGGAGACGTCCTCCGTGGGCCCACCCTCCAGCCCATCGAGTTAGCCAACCTATTTCGCGCCATGCCCAATATCCTTTACATCCGTCCTGGAGACAGCGAGGAAACAGCCAGTGCCTGGATTGTGGCTATTCAAGCTAAGCGTACTCCTTCGATCATTTCGACCTCCCGACACACAGTGTTCCTGAAATGAAGGGACTGACTCGTCGTGACGGCGTTGCCCTTGGAGCCTACGTACTCCAGGACAGTGACAATGCTGATGTCACCCTGACCGGCGTGGGCGCAGAGCTCAGCTTCGCTCTACAAGTCGCAGATAGCCTGAAGGAGAGGAATATTGCTAGCAGGGTGGTGTCTTTCCCCTGCCAGCGCCTCTTTGAGGAGCAGACCCTTGAATACAAGCGTGCAACCCTACGAGCCGTACGCTCCTAATAGTTGGGAACGCTACGCCGACGCGGGCATCTGTCTATAATGCTTCGGTCACTTATTGCCTAGTAAAGCCTCATACAAGTTCTTTAAGTATGAAATTCCTGCTATGGCGGTCAAGGTGCAGAGATATTTATCCGAGATAAAGGAGGATGGTCTGCTACGTCATAGGTGTGTGGAGCTATAAGCCTGCTTAATTTTTGTCCCTTTGCAGTTCTACGGTATACACTAGTTCGGTTTCCGATTGCGATCGGGTGGTTCACTCCCTCGACTAGATTTGGGACCGTTGCGCCATCCAGTATCATATGAGTGTGGTACTCGGGATATTTGATAGAGCTCGATCAGTATATTATATGGATCTATCAGACACCTTAGCAGCGAAGTGAAGAGTAGAGATCTCGGTACACACTTGGAAGGATATCAGCTAGCCGTCTGCTTAAAGGGAGATAGACTGCGCATTTGATGTCGAAAAGGAGCGAGAAACGTAATCCGCAGTCTGGCCACCATTTTCGCATTTTGGCTGGAGCTGGAAAAAAAAATACGTATGACCGCGTGCCAACTCTCTCATAGGCGAACTTCATGGGAGCCCTTGCACAACGGGTTTTATGTATGAATTGATGGAAGGCAGCTCTGCGGCCAAACATGTCCACGATACTGCCGATCTTCTACTATTGCAACCTGGGTCGATGGAGATTTAATCTATCATCAAGAACTGGGTGTATAAGTTATATTGGACAACGTGGTGACTCGAAGACCAAACGGACTTATTTGATCACATAACCAATTCCCGTATTTCCAGAGTGGTGTTTTCCCCGGTGCTTCCACTTGCCCAAGTCACCAATCTGCGCACACCCTATCGGGAAGATGTTGCAAAATATGACTTTCACCTAGACAAACGCAAGGCAACGGGGAATTCCTCGGCTCGTTTGCTATCTGTGTTGAGACACATGGACGAGCAATACAAGGTGGAACACTTGGTACACATATTGTGAATATCACTCCCGCAGAGGTCCAAGTATAAGTAGCCCTCCCCCACCAACCACCTCCTTAACAGTTTCTACACTTCAACCATAGTTCTCTTGTCATATCTGGTCTCATCTCGTTTGCTACAGGCTTCGGTCGTCTCATGTCCTGTCGCTGCTGTTTCCTGCCTGAATATATTTAGATTCCCACGGACACCGACAATGGCTCTAGGTAATAGATACCTGACGAAAGGGCAGATTCTAACCCTCTGACATACAAATTGTAGGCAAACATTTCATAAATGATATCGATGCACCCGTTGATAGGGCATTGCGTGCTCAGCTAGCTCGTGATCCTGCCTTGCGGTTACTCGAATCAGAGAAGGGTACGGAGTCGAGTGTACTTCTCATAAACTCATAATGTAAACTAGAGTTGCCAGTTGTCTTCCGTCAGCAAGCACCAGAATCACAGAAAGTCATCCTGCTCTCTGGAGGTGGGTCGGGCCATGAACCTGCGCACGCTGGCTACCTCGGTGAAGGTATGTTGGATATCTGCGTAGCAGGGAATATTTTTGCCTCGCCGTCGGCGAAGCAGATTCTTAGCGGTTTAAGCGCACTCGATACTCCTCAAGGGTTGGCTTCATGTCTTCATGTTCCTCAGCTTTTCGAGACTGGCAGTCACTAACTGAACGTAGAGCCCTTGTCATTGTGAAAAACTACACGGGAGACCGACTCAACTTCGGGCTCGCTGTCGAGAAGGCCAAGGCTGATGGGCGCGCGGTAAATGTGGTGGTTGTTGGTGATGATGTCTCTATTGAGCACCCTGGCCTCGTTGGGCGACGTGGGCTGGCTGGTGTTGTGTTTGTCCATAAGGTTGCCGGCGGTGCTGCTGCTAAGGGGTGAGTGTCCTCTGCCCCCAAGGTAGACGTTCTAACAGTTGAGGTAGAGCAAATCTCGCTCAAGTGACTCACCTAGCTCAGACCGCGGCCGATTCTTTAATCACTGTTGGGGTCAGTCTTGATCGTTGCAGCGTCCCTCAGCGCGCAAACCAAGAGCCCCTGCCTTTCAGGGAACTAGAGTATGGGATGGGAATCCACAATGAGCCCGGCGTTCAACGCAGCACGATCCAAACCCTCAAGGAAACCGTTTCAATTGTCATCCGGATGCTCACAAGGCCGAGCTCACAGCGCTGGTATCCTCAGCAGCGCCAGGAAATGGCTCTCATGGTGAACAGTCTTGGAGGCCTGAGTGTTTTGGAATTAAACGTGATTGCAGACGAGCTCACTAGCCAACTTCGCCATGAGAACTTCAGTATCAAGCGTATCGTCTGCGGAACCTTCGTGTCCTCTTTGGATGGACCTGGTTTTTCAGCTACTCTACTGGGCCTGAACGAAGAGATTGACGAGCTTTTGGGTGCTCCCACAACCGCTCCGGCCTGGCCCTCCTGTTCCAAGGCTTATTTAGACGGCCTCGAAGGCCGGATGGTCAAGCCTATTGCAGTGGTTGGGGATGCAAGCTCGGCAGACCCACTTTACACAGTTTCGGGGCTTGTCGTTGATAAGGTCATCACCGCCGTTGGTCAGTCCATCACTAAGACAGAGCCTCTCATTACCCGATATGATACCATTGCCGGCGACGGAGATTGTGGTGAGACACTTCTGAACGGTGTAAATGGTAAGTGGCCCTCATTATCTTTTCACTGTCTCATTCAGGTCATTCTAAATGTCGATCTAGCTATCATTCATGGACTCAAATACTCCCCTGGAGATATCCTCGATCTCTCCTTGGTCCTCCGACGTATCGCATCCATCGTCGAACAGAGCATGGGCGGCACCTCAGGCGCGATCTACGCCATCTTCTTCAATGCTGTCTCCAATGCGATCTCGACTAGGAATTTTGCTATCTCATTCGCTGATAGGCTGGCATATGCCATATCCCAAGCTCTCCAAGATGGCCTTGTAGAGTTGTACAGATACACACCCGCTCGGCAAGGCCATCGCACACTGATGGATGCGTTGATCCCTTTCGTTGCAACATTTGCAGCAGAACAGGATCTGGATAAGGCGTGTGCTGCAGCTGTAGCCGGTGCGGAGAGTACACGCAGTTTGACTCCGACATTGGGGAGGGCCAGCTATGTAAGCAGGAATCATTTCGTTGCAGAGGGTGGTCTCCCGGACCCCGGCGCCATAGGGGTTGCGAGTATCGTGAATGGTATAAAGGACGGACTGTCCCAGAATTAGTTACAGACTAGATACATTGCTCTGACCAGAGGGGAGGCAGTGTTTGTTGGCTACTCTGCGCGGAATCTATGGTACCACCGTGGTAATAGAGTTTTATCCGCGTCAATACGCCCGTAACATTGATTGCACAGCCATTCTAGACATTTCTAGCCGATAATCGCGACTGGGCGGTGTAGTCTCGTCTCCTAGCATACCCAAAGTGGCGCACAGGGCTGGGCAGGCTGGAAATAAGATGTAGCAGCCATCGAGAAGGTCCTAGGTCCCAGCCACGGTAAGACGCAGCAGGTTGCGGAGAGATTAAATTTGTTAAGTATTTTGAATTGAATTATTGTGCCTTGCCTATGATGTACATAGCACATAAGTTGTTATGGTCTGGTGGATCCTCACCGTAGTACTTGGTTTATCTATCCATTGGAGGTAAACCGTTTACCATGTAGATGGTCTCCAGAAAAGTCTCACATGCTAATCTGCCCATATCCAACTACTAGCAATGATGGCTAAAGGGAGTTCTGGCGCCGACTTAATATTGCTGAATAAGCTGAATAAAGGTCGCAGTTGTGTACAGTAACAAGAAGTATATCAGATCCGTATCGTGCAAGATACAAGGCAACGAGGGATCCCAAATTGTGGGAACTGCGATGGCCCTTGTGGCTGCATGGACTTCTACACATTTCGTACTCTTAGTGTATTACAGAGCTCAGAACTATAATATACAAGGCACCTCTTACTGCGCCGCGTCTAAGGAAGGCCGCCCGCTCGATAAATGGTCTACGCTAAAGCCCTTGAGGTGGCGGAGGAAAATAGTGTCAAGATGAACTGGTCAAGCCGATTTCAAGAAAGGCTTTATCCCCCGTCCCGTAGCAAGATGTTTTTTTATGTTTTACACGGCTCTCTGACACTGACATTTTCTTGGGAAGCTCTATCAAGGTGGCTACTGACTAGCGACGGCAGAGTATGGCTACCTGATTCAAAACATCAACACGATCAGAATGGGACCCGTTTTGATCATGTCCTCCTCCTATCCAATACAGTCCCTCGCGGTCTCGATAGTCATAGTCGTCCCAACGATATACCATAAGCCCCGTTGTCGAGTAGTTCATCGCATAGTAAGTCGTCCACGAAATGATTGTCTTCCCACTCGTCGAAAAAAGCGTGCCATTCCTTGCTAGAATCTTCCTTCCATGGCCCAAAAACTTTGTCACTTGCCTGGCCATTGTATTCGGGTGTCTGGGATAGCCGAATGCGATCGTTCGTTGCCGTTTGCACTTTGGTTCTCCACGTCGGAGTCATTTTCTCTCGTAGGTATTGTATAAGCCAAGGAGTTGGGAGACATCCGCCGCACAGTAATCTCTGATGTCTGGTGTCATAGGGCGCTTGTTGAAGACCTCGTAACTCCCACCCTTGCCAGGATCAAAACTCTTGGTAACCTCATCCTTGCGTCTCTTCCATTCTGCCTTTCTGAGATCCGAGATAGGACTGTCCCTTTCGATACACTTCGCTAATCCCGCAACATATTTGTTTGGCCCACTTCTTGTGGCGAGCTCCATCAACTGCAAGTCTTGTATTCCGTCAAGCCGAATATTGTAGTGGCTGAATAAGGCGTCCGAATCATTACGAACATCAAACAAAACTTTTTTGATGCTCGGAGATTCCAAATTAGCGCGCAAGGAAGTATGTTTGTCGGGCTGAGGATTAGAGAAAGCGGCTTTTCCTAGCTTATAGACATCAACAAGGTATATGGTCTTTTTATGCACCGCGTAGAGAGATAAAATGGAGATAGAGCCGTTGCGACCCAGATTAACCCCTTCTAAATCAAGGAAAAGGGGAGGTGACGAGCTAGGAATCAGGCTGAGGTCTTCAAGCAGCTCGCGTAGAGTGGCTGAGGAGTCCACCAACTCGACCTTAGGCGCAGCAGGATCCGAGTGCATCGTAAGGATAATGAATACCTGTTAGTCTGGAACAGTCAGTTACTGGCCGGTGGGATGTAGCTATTTATGATCAAAGCAATCAATCAGCTAGCATCTACCACCGCCGTCTGATAGCCAGGAGGGGGTTTCAGCGAACTGCTGCCTCTGTAAGGTGTCGACGTTGCTTCTGTAGCATGCTGCAAGGGTCAGTACACCGCTATTCTCGCTCCCCTGATATGCAAACGAATGGCCATTCCACTTTGATCGCTACTCGCCCTTTCTAAAGTATTGCTAACTTCGCCGTCCGAAACTCACCAACCAACCCCTTCCCCGATTGATTCTCGAATAATTAAAGTACAATGCAAGGAAATGCCCTTACCATCACGTCATGATGGGACAGATAAGCGGCATGCGGCAAGTTGGTTCTCACTTATAACATGAGTTAACGTTGTGGCAAGCTATGTTTCCAGTAATTGAATAGCGGGAATGCAGTCAGGCCAATTCATGCCGAGTTCTCCAGTGATTGTGGTCGATGTTGCTTACGGCTCCGAGGCAAACGAAGAAAAATATTATTCCCCAAGAGCTCGGAACTTTTCTACCCATGGTCCTCGAGTCTACGGACTGGGAGTATTGCTGTGTCAGCGGCAGGATAATCATCTTGCCCCCCACCCGTCAGAAATACCCTTGACAACCCCTTTGAAAGGACTTTGCAGACGGCGACACGGGGCAGGCTAAGGCGTGGCGATTGTCGATTCGTGTGGACTGAATCCTTGTATCAAGCATAACTCGCTTTTGACTCCTGGACATCACGTAGATAAGCAAGGGCCCTGGGCATCCCTAGCCTACCATGACATGACAGCCAATGAATGTAGGGACATAGTGGCCTGTTCGCAATCCATGACAGCGCAGGCGTTATGTTGCGATGCTGAGATTGGTGGGTGGGAACCACCCGCTGATGGAGCATTTCCTGCCGGGGAAGTAATTTCAGGGAGGGGTAAGCGATCTGGCAGCAAACAGAAGCCACTCCTTGCGTGGTTATATCAGGCGGGGTTCGAAAACCACGGTCAGAACTCGGCGCGCCCAAGTCTGTAGCTGTCATCTCAATTAAGTCTGAAGTATTTGCAGGATATATCCTCCACTCAATGGCCACAGGCCCCAATCTCATCATTGTCTGTGCGGAGAATATTGCTCTATCCCACCTACTTCGCAGTACCCCGGCACCCCCGTCGCGCAATGAGGCTGAATTTCTGTCGGCGCTTAAAAGACGCTCTACACTGCCTTTCGACACGGAGCGCAAACTGGTCGGCACACTAGCTTTCGTTGCATATAGGAAAGACGATGTTGAACATATCCCAGCTTTATGTCTAGAAGAGGATACTGTATCAGGCTGCTTGAAGGTGATATTTGCTGTGAATAAAGTGAGCTATAATGATGGAGAGGATGCGATTTGTCGTATCCAGCAGGGACTAGAGCATATATTCGCAATCCTTGCGACCGTTTCTGGTAAGTGACAAGGGTTTATTGAAGGAGTATCCTCACAATATCAGAGTCGAGTCGCTATGAAGACATGGGGAACCAAATCATTACCGCTGTTGTTTCCATGTGCTCGTCCCGCATACTGTCTCGGTTGCGACTGGGCGTTTCTGCGAGAAACACAACGAAACGCCCCTTTAAGGACACCCTTCGAGAAGCTCTGCTAGCTGTGAAGATCGTTGGGCAGAATCTAAGAAACAAGACACTGTTGGAGACTGTACGCAGCTTTACCATGAGAGCGAGAGAAGCTGAGAAGCTTCTTGACTCGTGGTCCCAATATCAGGTTGACACACGTTTAGTAGGAGTTGTGGAAGGCATTTATCGACTGCAGCAGGTCGGGGGACTCGCTGATTTGATTCACATGATTCCAAATAAGGATATGGACCCCTCCTCAAGGCGGAGTTTGTTGAATATTGTGAACAAGATCGCCAGGTATTGGGAGGTCGCGAGGTTCCTATACCGTACGGCGAAGAAATTTCCGTCGGCTCGAGCAATGAGAACAGCCCCTGTTCGCCTTCCCAAAGAGTCGTTTTCTATCCCTGTTCCCAATGAATATGCTCCTGATTTGCGGGCAAAGATCGCCGAAACTGCTCCGAGAGGCAGTCAACAGAAGCTCCTCGAAGAAATTTGCGCAATATTGAAGATCAGTCAGCAAGACGCTATCAACAAGTACGCTTCCCAGGTCATGCGAACCTTGAAAACTGCAAAAGTCCATGCAGAGATTCAGCTAATTGCCTACTGCGAATTACAAAGTCCCAGAATATTACCGCGAGTGATCTGCTCGAGCAAGGATGCCTGTTTTCTCTGCAACTTGTGTCTCCAGGTGTACCAAAAAACATACACACCTGGCTCTCACGGAAGACTATATCCAGGTTGGAGGCTCCCTTTGCTACCCCAACTAGCCGAGTTGGAGCAAAGGCTTTGCAACGCTCTAGAGGAGCATTGGCAAGAAACGTGTGGATCACTTCTGTCCACTCGCCGGGGGTCCATCTACCCAGATCCGAACGAGAGTACCTTGTTTACGCTTCCATTATCTAGGACAACAACAAGGGCTTCAGTGATATCAGGGCCTTCTGGTCGTGTCGCGGTGTCACCGGGATCAACACAAGTAAGCATGCACGCTGGGACGAGCGAACCACATACAGAGAAGACGAATACGTCATCGAACACACCAACTCCATCGCACCACCGCGCAAAGTCGTTAGAGACGGAGTTGTATCGTTGCACCTTGACTCGAAGTTCGAGGGAGTATGGATTACTAGCCCCAGGAGAGTCCTCAGGAACGTACAAAGCTGGCTCCTCGGCCCCCCTGCAAATACAGATCGAGCATGCCACGGGTTCGAATAATCTCAGATATTATCTGGAGTGGTTGAGCAACGACGAAGCAGCGGAAGTTCGAGGGAAGACCTCCGCACCGCAGGTGATCGACACAGAGCATCTCGAAAGCATGGTCACCTTCTACGAGCAGAACTTATTGTACCTTATTGCAAAAGACACTGTGTTGAAGGTTAGTTGGACTAGTGAGACGAAGGTCGCTGCTTTTAGCAGGCGATGAAAGAGATATCAGAGTGCGGGATTATAATTACAGCCCTATGGATATGGCGTGTCGCTCAATCTGGCCGTGGATTTCCTGCTCCAGGCACCGCAGTCTTCGTGCTTCATCTGCGGCAGAATCCGAGTTGAACCCGTTCCAGACCTCAAAGCAAAGATCCTCCCAGTAAAGCTCCCACAGTATTTCCATTTCGGACGTCAAGGCATTGGTCAGCTCTGCATGGGTAATCCGATGCTCGGTGAAGATGCTGTCTGCAAGCCACAAATCAAAAAGGGCTTCGTCGATACCCCGTGATATCCAGTAAATGTGTTCGAGGTCGATGTCGACGGGTTCAGCTTCGCTCCTTTTCCATATCACGTTCTGTCTGTCGTTGTCGACAAAGATACCTGTGGGACAATCCGTCAAAAAACTATGTGCGATTTCTTCCACAGGAGCTCTAGCACCAAAGCACCGCGCCATCCGACCTAGTTCTCTTCCAACCGAATATCCGTCCGCCGGAGGTTCCACAATCATATTGATCATCAAGTCTCGGAATTCTCGAAGGCTGGGCAAGCGATCGTCTTGGAGAAAGGCATCCAGATCCAGCCCGCGGTTCGAAAGTGTCTCGACCGAAACCACGTGCTCCACATATTGGTGTTCGATTTCCCATTCAAATATGTACTCGTGCATGAATTTGTCTCCATCATCAGGATGATACCCCAGCTGAAGGGCAAGGTCTCTAGCATGATGGCAGGGTAACGTGCCGTCTTCCCCCACTGGGACCGAGATAATTGCGATCCAAATGCTATCTTGTCGGTCGTCCGAGTGGTAGTATTTCATAAAAGCGCGATGAAGGGCTTCGATGGGGCGGTCAGTGGCGGAGACCAGGGCCGTGGGTTTCTTCTGGTAAAAGATGCTATGTTGCCGAAAATTGGATAGAAGCTCCGATTTTGAGAGTGGGGTACCAGTATGGTTCAAACCGCATATCAACGCTCCTGCGCTGCTCTTCGAGAAACAGCGACATAAGTTCTTCCGAGAGGGCCTGTAAGTCATATCTGCAAGGGAAGTGTTACAGGACGATGTAGAGCACAAAGACAAAAGTGAGTATCTGCCGGAACTGTCAACGCAAGCTCCTTGGTCTATGTCTCTGACCCTAGGGCAGTTCTTAACAACGCGAAGGGGGAGTCTGACAGGTAAGGCGTTCTGGCGTGAAACGTCGGATGTTGCGCGGGTCTGTTGGAGGAAACAGCACATGTGGACCATTCCGCTAACCGGAACAAGACTACTTCGCACGGTCTATCAACAGGCTGAACCATATACAAGTATACATATTTACTAAAGAAAGTTTACTCCGTTATCCAAGAAAATTTATTCTCTAAGTTACCGTGCTAGATAAAGCTGAAGCCTTCCAATAAGCAAATATAAGAAAGACGATCGAAGTTATTGAACTACCAGATTTAGGGGAGGAAGGTAGCTAGATAACCGTCAAGCGATGGAGACATATACACATCTCTCCCCTGTTCAGGAGGCGGAGTACATCTTTTCGCCTTACGATTTTAGGAATCCTTCAGAGCTTAAAGTAGAGGATCACGAATGTTGCGAGAGACACTATGAAGATGCAGAGATTGTTTGGTTAATTGTATTATATATATCTACCACAGCATATAGCAGGATACAGGACCGCGCTGGTAGATACAGCCTCTGTGTGTGTGTGTATGTGTATTCATACGCTGACCCCTCACCGACATCGGCGATATGCAGGACCTCCCTCCCCTATCTCACTATATATTTCTTATATACATTGAACGATTACTTTCCTGACGAACTTGGAGCCTCGATCGAGGCCTGTGTTGGCCTAGTCCCCTACGGTTCTGTTTTGCGGCCCCCGTGGCGCGTGACTTCGAAATCCCTGAGACGCTTCTGCGAAGTCCAGTACAGCCCCGAGTGTGCTGCTGTCTTGTTCAGCATCTTGTACCTTCCCTTTCTTACCTTGTTGTCCTCCAAGCATGCTCGAAATGTTGCTGAATGCGCCTCCAATCTTCCTCCGTAATTCGATAGATACAGCCTTTCTCGAAATCGGCTTGACCAACAAACATTTATTTATCAGATCTGGAACCCACTGCCAAATCATTAGCGTATTATTTCTATTGGGGTGCCCGCGTAGAACACGGGGCCGGTGCCGGCTGCATGACCCGCCATTAACCGGTTCAGACGTGAGATGGGTCGAGCAGCAGCCACAGCGACTAGGGCAGGAGTCCATGTCGGGACGTGGTAGATGCAGTGTGACAAAGTCCAAGACGACGTAGTCCATGAAAGTAATGGGGTTGAAAACAATGGTACCAGCGACTGTTCTGACAGGGGCGATGGCTGGAATACTTTTTCTCCGTGCCTCTCTACACGCGCGGTGGGAGGACTATGGGCTAACGTGACGCAACACTTTGCCCGGAAAACGGGCTTAGGCAGAACTCTCATCCACACTCGTGTATGACCTTCCGTCATGGTCCGAGCCGTCCAATTTTCGGAGGAATGGGCTACGAGCATTACACCGGGTATTGCCAGCCAGAGTCAAACTATAGCTGAAAAATGTTACCATACCAAAGTTACTACGCCTATCTATAGCTGGAAGGCGGAATGTCTTCCTTACAATTTCTCCAATAGCACCTGTTTGCAAAGACTCCATATTATCGCCCACAAGGCTACTGCGCTGTTAAGTATGTATGAGCTATCATACCGTGATACCATCTAATCGAAGTGGCAGTCACAAGAGCAATGTGTATGTCCCATCCAAGCACTGTCTGTGGAGGCATCTTTGCATTTTGTGTGTTGTTGTCCTGGTCCATACATACCAAATTGGCCGCTGTGGTGTCAAGACCGAGAAGGAGCAGAGATAGCGGTGCAAGCAGCACCGAACGGATACATAACTAGGGATTTTTTTTTTCAGGCTACTTCGCCCGGTTCTGCATCATTCTGGTGGTTGAGCCTCAATGCCAACGTCTGAGGTCAGAAATAAAGAAAAGCATGTATCGACGCAATACAGCTCCGAGATCGTTCCGTGTGCTGCTGGAAGATATATGTACTGTCACAATTTGGTGACCCGGACTCCTTTCACTTCCCCTGATTCTCGATATAACGCTGTCCCGTTCAACTTTCATGTGTTGGCGTATGAAGCTGCGGGAAGGGAGCAAAGAGAGAGCATGGGCTTCTGTTTAGTATTTAAACTCCAAATATAACCTAAGGGGGCGGTCAAAGGGGAATCCTACATACTATGCAAGGAAAATCGTAGGCATTGGCATTGAGTGCCACTAACACATGTATTTTGACGATCGCCAAAGACACGACCGCCCTTGCATCCTAAGACGCCGATGAGAACATCCAATATGCGTTATTGTCCTGCATATTAAACGGTCGACATTAATACGAAGAGCGGCGTATAATAATGATAGCGTTAAAGAATTATAAATCAAGTTCATGGGCGCAAATTGGGCACACAATGCTCTATTTCATCCTCGAAGGCAGCGTACGTTTCTGCCATTGGAACATCCCAGTGATATAGATATGAAACCACAACACCAACCCATATGCGATCGAGAATCAGCTTTTCAGAACGCTAGCAAATATCCACGTGTCTTCCGTCGATTAACATTGATGGTGTGTCAGCCAGTTCCTCCCACGCTGCGGGAAGAAACGATAACAAATAGCTTGACACTATTATGGTCTGGCTTCGCCGCGTTACTCATCGAAAGACCAGTCGAGCGAGCTGAGCAGCCGGGCAAGAATGAGTTGGCTTAGTCATCGCTGGCTCCCATAAATGTTGAACGAACATACATAGCCGTCGTAGAGGGACTCGAGATTTTCCGACACTACTGTACCAGTCCGGACTTAAAATAGAATTCGGGCTAGCGAGTTTCTGTGTTTAGGCATTATACCAACCTCTCACAAATACCCCCCGTATGAGCGTCGTTGAACATTGACGGCGTTTCCGATATGCGGTCAATGACAGCACCGTACGATGCACGATACCTTCCAAACTTGGCATAGCTCATTTGCTTGGGTTATTGGAAGGACAGTGAGCAGGTGAGCATTCGATTACTCCGGATAGACATCGAATGTAAGGGGACGATGCCCGGGCAAATCTCATGCATGATACGAGACCATCGTCGGGCATGACGAGATGTGCAGTCACGTTTGATGAGGACTCACCAGGAGTGGCGAAAATTAGTACAACATACCCACTATAGCTGCTCCTGTCTTAGGAAGAGATGTACTGTAGAGATCTGTCGATATTTCGTAACTAACCTCAGGCTGAGCTTGTAGGTGAGAATGAGGTACAGGTGGGCTTCGGATGGCTAGAACTGGATAGCCGAATACCCGAGCTAAGCAACGATGTGCTGCATTCCGCTATTCATAGTAGGAATGAATGGCTACAGTCAAGATATATTGGGCCAAATCATATCAACTCATGGACACAGACAGTCTTGCTACGGAGATGAATCCAAAGCTATTCGTTTTAAGCCTCAGCCTGTTTCCAGACATAGTCGAGCGCGGCTTCCTGAACATAGTAAGACATCAGGCCCTTTAAGTGTACGGTGTCTAAGGATTCCCAAGACAGGCGTGACTTGTCAGCAGAACCAGTATCTCGGCGTTCGAAGACGTGAGATTATATACCCGATCGAGTTTCTTCAGAACAACCCCTTCGTCCGTGAATTTGAGCATGGTTGTTTCGTTGTTGCTGCCTGGACGGCTTCAGCTATATACCTATGTCATGAAGTACGCTACATACGTTAAGCACCATCCAAGTTACTAACACGATCAAAGCGTCCCGAGCCAGTTACCATAGCCTCGCAAGAAATAGGAAGAATAGCCCTTGAGGGTACCAAGGTGTGCTGGACCAGAGTCTTCAAAGCGGATGTCAAGACGACCCAAGGCATCACTGTACGCCTTCAGAGGCCTGGATAGCGAAATGAGGAGGTTGGTAAGCACCAGGCTTAGGCGACTGAAAGGAGATTGGAGGGCCAACGTCGATTGATAATGCAAGACTAAGCTAGAATACTCTTTGCCGGACATCTCGGAGACTGAAATCTGTATTCAAGTTCGTTAGGACGAAAAACTATGGTTATAATTGGACCCATCGGACGTGTTATAATCTATCTCTGCCATTTAGATGTGGGTGTTATTTTCATTAACCGGTGAGGTAGCCTAGCCTTGGAGGTACACCGAAACGATTGGAAGGATGAAATATGCTAGGGAAGATGGAATGTATACTCCTGCACGTTGTCGGTTATGTATTTGGGCAACTTTTGCACAATTCATGCCCGGTCGTTAGTTGACGTGCTAAGACCCTGCTGCGCAAGACGGTGGGCCCCGGGTTTTGCCTCTATTGGCTTGACAATGAAATGGCTAGAGTCGTCTCGTCCAGTGGTCAACACCAAGGTTACTGAGGCCTTATTACAGTAGTCCATGTCCCGTACAACGAATGGCAATTTCGAACCTCAAGTTACTTCTTTGCGAGGCCATTATTTGACGCCGTCAGCCAAAATGAGAGTCTGTTCGGCCACTATGGTGCTGTTAAGCGCGGCGTCGTGGTGTCCTATCAGCGACTCTAAATGTGTAGGTTATCCGCAGAGCAGACCGAGTGTCCTATTAACCAAAGCAGTGCACGGCACTCTATAATACTGCCGAACTCTCGTCTCGCCTCCTTCTCCCTTCTTCGAGTGAATATTTAGCATCTGCGCACTCCCATTATGCGACCAATGCACCGCTGTATCCGTCTTGCATCTTGAGGCCTCAGTCAGCCCGTCAAGTCGCACAAGCCGTCTCCGTCCTCAGCCAGGTGGACGATGGATCTCAGCGCTGCCAATTTGCTGTACGCAGCGGCGGCCATACTCCTTGGGCCGGCGCAGCTAGCAGCCAAGGGGGTGGTCATGATTGATCTGTCCATGATGAACTCCACCGTGTTCAATGCTCAGAGCGCGATAGCATCAATTGAAGCGGGCGCAAGGTGGTCTTCAGTTTATCACACCCTAAAACAATACGGAGTTGCCGTGACCGGAGGCCGAGCAGATTCTGTGGGCGTGGGAGGGTTAGTTATAGGTGGTACGCATAATCTTCCCAGCAATGTATGAAGCGGTGCTGATGAGCACTAGGTGGATTGTCCTTCTTCACGGCTCAGCATGGTTTCGTCTGTGATAATGTGCAGAGTTTCGAGGTATGAAGCCCATGGCAACCTCATCTACAATCGCTAACTCCTGAAGAGGTGGTCCTAGCTAATGGGACTCTTGTTGTTGCGAATAGTACCACACATAGCCGTCTCTTTCGAGCGCTGAAAGGAGGATCCAATAACTTCGGGATAGTTACGAAGATCGATATGACCACCTTCCCACAGGGAGATCTCTGGGGCGGCATCGTCCGTCACCACATTTCCTCCATACCCCTGCAGATCAGTGCTCTGGTAAACTTCACTAACCGACTCGTTGACGATCCGCTTGCCTCTGTTGTCGGTATATGGCAGTATTCGTCGGATATAGAAAGGCTGGAAGCAGCTACTGGAATCCAGTATGCGCAGCCAGTTGAAGAACCACCGATTTTCCATGAAACCGGCCGCATTGGTGAATCGAATACGACTCGCGTTGCTGACATACAAGATCTCATGATGGAGACGGCTCCACCGTCAGGACGAAGGGTGTTGCTGCTGACCTTGACTTTCAAAAATGATGCACGCGTTGTGCATAAAATATTGGAAGAGCAAGGGGAGGTGATAGAAAACGCAAAGGCACACGTCAGGGGGGATTCATGGAACGTCGTTAGCTTTCTGCAGCCATTTCCTGCATTCTTTGGCAATCTCAGCACTAAAAACTTGGGGAACGTTCTTGGCCTAGAAAACATGGGCAATAATCATCTTTGTAAGTCGGCGGAGCAAATATCTTTGGTTTGGCCGAACTAACCAGCACAGTATATCTGCTGTTCGTTTCATGGGGCAGCAAACGGGACGATAGCCTATTCCACGAACAGGGCCACAGGCTTATCGAGCGTATTAGAGGCTTCTCTCATGAAATCGGTGCAGAAAATGATTTTATATACTTGAATTATGCAGGAAAGGCCCAAAATCCATTACGAAGCTACGGCGAGCACAACCTGCGCGAGATACTGAGAGTGGCAAATGAGTACGACCCGGACGGTGTCTTCCAAATCCAAGCTCCTGGCGGCTTCAAGGCACACATGGCCTGAGACTTGGCATACGTCTTTCCCTCTTTCATCTGTGGATATTTACGTTGCACAAGTAATCAACCAATGACCAAAAATCGAGACAAACATCTTTTTCGTGTCAGAATCAACACGTCCGCATTTCAAAAAGCTGCAACTAAAATGCCTTCGTTGTGCTAGATATGCGTTCGTCGCATATACGATGCAAATCTAGTAGGAGAGACTAACCGAACAGAACATGTGGAGTTGAACATTGTCACTGTTCATGATCCGTTCACACTCCACATTATTATAGCACAATACCCAGGTCCGGTGTCTCCACAGCAATGATTTGGTAGACCTTGACCGAAATCCCTTCGTGATGAAGGCTATTTGGTCCTCCTCGGATATACCGTCACAGCACTCTCCGCATAGAGTGTATATATGAATTCGACGCTTCCTCGGTAAGAATCGAGAGACAAGAACCTCTAGGGTAGTGCCAGGGCCATATGGTACAAATGAACAGGTCCATTTTCTGGAGACGCATCGGCCACAGTCGAGACACTCCCAAGAGATAGAACCTGTCATGCTGAAGCGAGTCAATACATATTCTCATTCAAGTTGGCCAGTATAGTAGAGGCCGCAACGTACTTCGTGGTTCCCTTGTAAGACGATTCAACCGCTGGAGACAGGGGATTCAGTGAAAGAAGGCTTGGGTCGTATGGAGTCACAAGGTCTTTGGGAGAGTTCAGGTTAAAATAGTTAAGGGCTACACGACTGACAGAATACCTGTATACTGCTGTGAAATAGCAGAGCCCTATGAACATTGAGCGATACCTGGTGGCTTGAGCGAATATAAAGTGATGGGCTGATATATATTACGCTACATCCCCTATCTGCTCATTTAATGGCTATGGGATTATAAGCTGGCCATCTATCGGTGAACTGGAGCTGCTCACCGCTCTATCCTGGGCATAAAGTATTTTTGGGGGGGAAGGAGCTGTCCTGCGTATCGGGCATCCAGGGAGTGAGATGCATATTCGATAACAGACCGCAGATAAATTTAGACTGGGGGGATCCTAATATTCACGACTATGCAGTGCGGATTGCGGGCTGGTCAGTTGCTGCGGCTGTCCCAGCGCGGAAGCGTGTCGATGTGAAAACGTGAACGAACCGACTTGACTAAAACTGGGAAGCGTATGCCAATGGTGGGGACGATAGTTTTTCGTGTTTACAATAGTTTGCTGGGGATCGTAAACTGCACGCCCGCTACTCCGTGGTCCTAGTTGAGCAGAGCTATTGGAAAAACCCGGGCAAGAGCAAAATAGAAGCAGGCAGGCTTGACACTCGATTATAATGCCCCGCTTACCTCATCTTCAGGAACATAGGCACAAGATGGAAGATGGGGACACCACGATTCCTGTTCGGCTAAGGATATGTAGTTGGAGATGCGAGAGTATCAACCGGACATCTTCAATAATCTCGCGTCGCTTTCATTTTCCTGCCGTCTATAAGTACGGTCGTCTCTCTTATTGGCAGAATTTTTCTACTCATAAGTTCCAACTACAATAACCAGGAAATCGATAGAACAGGGGCGTATCGCGAGAATAGCCACCACAACATATACCTGTTTGATTATTATCGACGACCACGACCATAGCATTGTACAGACAAGAACAGGCATCAGGAAAGCATCAAACTCGAGTAGACGGTAAAAGTACCCATTGTCAGCTCAGTATTAGTTGCCTTCGACTGCAAGCATAGATTTTGAGCGATGCAATATTATGCCACCGGTGTTAGTTTGAAGGAATATGACTCCAGTGAAGCGAGAGCTAGTTAATGGTCTAGAGCGCGATGGGAATTGTTACTGGACGCTTTTCCTCGGAGAAGTTATACAACTGGCCGACGCCCTCTGCTAAGAGTGGACAGAGGTGGATCGGCGGGGAAAGTGGAATGACGGCCAGGCCATTCCGGCTCATGTAGAGTTCCATGCACAAAATTCCAGCTTGGACGTCCCTATCCGTAAAGGGGAAGGCTGATCGCAAATCATGGGCTCCACCACCCGAGATATTTCTCATCCATAGACGCCTTCGCTGTTTCCCTACAACGCGTCCACATCCCCGGTCTTTTTCGGAGAACACTATACTGAGTATCTTCTATATACAGTAGCAGTAATCCAGATACGCCCGCATTCCAGAAGGATAGACAAAGGATGCACCGTTTAGATGGCATGAGACACTGGGGCTAAGTCAAAGTGCAACTCCAGCTTGCCCGAACAATTGCCAATGTCACGGCTATTTAGTAATCCGACCAGTCTACCAGGGTATTTGGAACGATTTAATGTACTATCCACACGATATAATTTGAGTACTGGATATCGTGTTCGGCTGGGTGCGACAGATGCTGCCAGTAGAAAAGGGCCGCACTGAAGTAGAACCCAGTTCGGTGACCAGAGCAGAGAACACCCGTTTTTGAAGTTATTAGACAAGATGGCTGGATATTTTCTCTCTAACATCTAAGTATTCATCCCAATGACCTATTGCCACGACGCTGCCTTCTCCTTGTCCTTCTCCTTGTGGGAGGGTTTTGAATGAGCATGTTGAAGCATTCACGCCATTGTCCGGACAATAATCATGTCTGTTCTTCCATATCGGTCTCATATATTCCAAAGATATAGCCAGAATACGGGGTATGTACATTATTGCGGTTCATTTGTGCTCGCCTTTTTCCCTATCATTCTTGATTTCACCACATGGACAGTTCCTCCTAGGCATACATACCGTGTCATCACCTACAAATGCCCCTAACCTTCGGTCAATTTCCTTCACTCGGGGTGTCACGGCAGAGCCGCTAATGATAGGTTGCTGCATCTTCTGCCACCCTTAACCATCAGAGAACCCAATCGGTAAATGTAGAAATAGCCTCACGAAGCAGGGGGAGGCCCATTAAGAAAAGGAGACATTGCCCGGCTTGATATAACCTATACTGACTCAATCGAGTAGAGCTCAATACTATATACATGGCCTTCTGGAAGAGCCAAATGTCAGTGGTCAGTGCGACGAATACTACAGAATAAAAAAAGAACCCGGTAACTTGCTGGTAAACCCTCACATTTTTCAGGTAGGGCCGCGTCCTTTGGGCCCGTACTTCGCATATGCCACAGATCAAGGACATCAACCGATGGCCATCAGGTCTAATGCCACACAGATCACACCAAACCTACCTGTCATCTCCATGCTTTCCTGACAATTCTGTTAATATTGATCTTGTCTCAAATAAAGCATGGGCCGGTATCTCTTTACCGTATGTTACGGTAGTTCTCCAGTTCCGATGACTGGGGTGCGAGCACATTAGGCTTTGTGGATCATAGTTAACTACTTGCGGCTCCGTGAACTCTTAAAGCCGAACTATGCTCCTCAAGCAGCAACGTTACCAATGGTCCACCTTGCTGCAGCTGTCTCGCCGCCCGACTATCTGTCAATACATCATCAGCTACAATCCTTGTACCTATCTTGTATCCATGTCTTTTTCCGATCTTCCGCCCGAAATTGTGCTCCAGATGGCCTCTACTCTTGACAGTGTAGGGGACATATGTTCCCTGATGAGCGTGAACAAGGGCCTTTACCGACTGTTGAAAACGTATCTATATCAGTACAGCGTGGACCACGAGAACAGCGCGGGGCTTATCCGAGCAGCGGGGAAGGGGAGTTTATCTGCAATATGTTGTTTTCTCAGCCTACCGCGAGTGAACGTGCATGTCCGAAACGATGCTGGACAGACGATACTCCACCTCGCAGCGCAGCAACGTGACGGATTCTACATTATGATGATCCTTTTGCGGTATAATGGCATGGATGTTAATGCAACTGACTCCATGGGACGGACCCCGTTGTCTTATGCAGCATCGAACGATGACTGTCGTCCGCTTAGCATCCTGCTGCGGCGCGACGATATTGATGTTAATATGACCGATGCTCGAGGCAGAACACCGTTTTCCTATGCGGTCGATAGGGGACATAAAGAGGCAGTACAGAAGCTTCTCGACGACACACGGCTAGATCCTAATCGAACTTCCGACGATCTCTCGCCCTTGGCGATTGCAGCAGGTAGCGGTTCGATGGAGGTACTGGAAATGCTCTTAAGTGACCAGCGCGTGGCTCTCAACAACCAAATACACGGGTCTATAGATCCATTAATCTGGGCATTATTCCTAAAACATGAGCGAGGCAGTCTTCGACTTCTATGTGCACCTAACCTCAACGTCAACTGCTGTTGGCATACTATAAGTGCACTGATGTGGGGTATCTTATTAAGGCAAACGGCAGTTGCGGTTCGAATTCTGGAAAAGGATCAACTTGATGTGAATCACCAAGATAATGCTGGCCGCACGGCATTAATGCTCGCTATACAAATGGAGAACGACGAAGTATCCATGACCTTGCTGGATAGAAAAGATATTGACCTCACCCTTGAGGACGAGAGGGGAGAGAGCGCAGTGGACTATGCACTGAAGTCAGGTAACTCAAAGATGTTGGGAGAGATCAGAACACGGTTATGAATTAAGGTCTCTTGAATGTGGCCAGGAGTCCACTATGTACTCTACTTTATGCTCCGGTAGCTGCCTGAGGCTTCATATGCAAACTAGCGATCTATATCTCTATTGTCGCTCGCCACCTTCTCTTACCTCAACTAGACGGGAACGGAGAGCCTTTGTGTCATATTTTGGAGAAGAGGCGATTGTTTGATGGAGCGCAGTGGCCCGAATCCTAAACGAAAAGACATTTCCATAGGGCATGCTCCAATATTTTCACGCTCCATGGTTTACCCCTCAGTCAGTGCTCCCCATAGTTGTTCATGTCGGCTGCTGGTGAGGATAGAGTTTATTCACAGCCTGATTTATCTCTTTATTGAATCGCTGCTGTTCCTGCATACTGGATTCCAAGACCCTGCCAGCAACTGTCAATCCCTAACGTTCCAAAATTCACGGCAAGGAGTTAACTATGGGCATACCCGATCCTCTCTTTAAGCCTGTCAAATTCTTAGCTTCATTCTCCCCTGATCGCAGGCCCTACGCCGCTTTACTTACTCTTCTAAAAGACGACGGATGTCTAAGCTATCGATCTCCATACTGTCCGAATCATCATCCGAACCTTCGGCGGCTTCTCCATGTCTCCGCTGGTTGCCTTCCTCGACCGAGAAGTCCCAATCATCGCGAACTTCTCTGATATTGTCGTCTTGGATATGTTCGGAAACCCAAAAATCATCTCGTCGACAGGTGGTGTCAGGCGTGACACCTATCAGTCTAGAACGGAGCGCTTCAAGGCGACTCGGTTGAGATAGTTGCACATTGTGGTCGCGACAATCTGCATTGGGAGTCATTTGTGGGTTTGGGGAATGTGGAAATAATAAAGGAACGGTTTATGAAAATGCTAAGGGGGAGCTCCCAATATATAGTCCAGTGTCATCGAATAACCACTGTACCAGCGGCCTCTCCTGCAAGCAGCAGTGTGAGCCTTTTTCAGTACCCTCAAAAATGAAGTCGGGAGAATAAAACGGTCAACCTGGTTTTCCGGGGTAAGAGGTATATTGGCTAGCGGCCAAACAACAGTTGAGTAGGTAACATGCTTGATCACGATGATAACCCTAGCTTCGTTTCCCGTTCTACATAAAATGAGCCTATCTACTTCCGTACCCTGCCAAGTCAGAAGTGAACATAGGAGGTTGAGTAGAGTTACAATACCGCATCGGAGGAGGGCGATGGAGTATGGTGTAGCTGCGGGAGATTTGAAGCGTTGGTGCATTCTAAAATGTTGAGATTGAGATAGCAATGACGATGCTGTCTGTGTTCTCTAAACAGTCCCACCACTTAGGCTTCATCTTGCACCTAAATATAGTAGGGCCCGGACCTCCCCCTAGGTCCGCATACTAAAAGGCTTCCGGCACTAAGCCTATTTTAGGGGAGGTCCGGTAGATAATAGGACCTCCCTAAAACTCTATAGTTTTTAGATCTTTTTTAATACTAAAAATTGCTAGATATTTCTAATTATCTAAATTTTATTATATAAAAATTTAACGCGATTTTATCTAGTAGTTTTAGAGATATAGAAAGGTCTAATTTCTTAAGGTAAGTTTTGTTAGGATACGCTAAGACTAAGGGAACAGATAGCTTATTCCTATTTAGGTCGACCCTAGGCCCTAGATAGGCTAGTCCCAATTAGGTAAGTTGCTGTCTGAGGTTTCTAGTAATCTAGATAGGTAGGTAGGTAGGGCCCTAGGTAGGTAGGCAGATAGATAGGCAGGTAGGTAGGCAGGTAGATAGACAGATAGGTAGGCAGGTAGGTAGGCAGGTAGATAGGCAGATAGGTAGGCAGATAGATAGGCAGGTAGATAGACAGATAGGTAAGCAGGTAAATAGGCAGATAGGTAGATAGGCTACTAGATAGGCTACTAGGTAGATAGGTAGACTTTTTAGTTTTCTCTTACTTTTTAGTAGGATTTCTATAGTAAAGTAAGCTCTAGATAAGATATATATATTAAGTAGGTAGGGCAGCAGATTAATAGAGCTCCTATCTAGATAGATAGACTTTTTAATTATCTCTTACCTTTTAGTAGGATTCCTATAGTAAAGTAAACTCTAGATAAAATATATATATTTAATAGATAGAGTAATAGATAGATAGAGATCTAGATAGACACCCTAGATAGTTAGACTTTTAGTTATCTCTTACCTTTTAGTAGGATTTCTATAGTAAAGTAAGCTCTAGATAAAATATATATATTAAGTAGGTAGAGCAGCAGGTTAATAGAGCTTCTATCTAGATAGATAGGCCTTTTAGTTATCTCTCACCTTTTAGTAGGATTCCTATAGTAAAGTAAGCTCTAGATAAAATATATATATAGTAGATAGATAGGCAGATAGGTAGAGCCTTTATCTAGATAAATAGATCCTTTAATTATCTCTTACTTTTTAATAGAATTTCTATAGTAAAGTAAGCTCTAAGTAAGAAATATATATTTAATAAATAAAATAGTAGATAGGGTAAGAGTTAGGGGCCTAAATAAATAAGCTTTTTACTTATCTCTTACTTTTTAGTAAAATTCCTATAGTAAAATAACCTCTAGGTAAGATATATATATTTAATAGATAAAATAGTAGATAGGTAGAGATCTAGGTAGACGCCCTAAATAGATAGACTTTTAGTTAACTCTCACTTTTTAATAGAATTCCTATAGCAAAATAAAATTTCAATAAGAAAAAGAATAGAATCTATCTATCTAAATACTAAATAATTCAAAAATCACCTAAATAACATAAATCATCTCTATATCTAGAACCCCCCATTACATCTCTAGCATTTTTTCAATTCGCCCTAGAGGTTCAAGCTCATTAAAACCCTACAGAGTACTAGGACATATTTTTATAAAATACCCTAGGTGTTCGATTAAAATACCAAATAAAAATTAAATAAAAAATAAAAAAATACAGACCTCCTAATTCTTTTCCTCTTTTAAAAATTTGCATATTTTAGTCGGTAAAAAACAACTAAAACAGCAGAAATCCCTAGAAAAGTTCAATTTTACACAGATTTTTTCAAATTTTTTTAGAAAATACCTTTTATTCGGGTATTGCTGACTACTATACTCTAGATAGTCATTTTTTAATATTTCTAATATAATTAGAATTCTTTAGACCCTAGGGTTTAATAGATTACTTACCATAGCACCGAATATAACAGGCAAAACACCGCTAGTTCCACCAGAGCTCTAAAACTTCTAGCAAGGCCGTATAAACTCTACTAACATTCTAATAGTAATAACTAGTTGCTTAGGCTACCTACTGATAGACTAGAGCGCGCTTTTCGTATAAATTATAGGGTATCTAGGTTAAGTTATAGGATTCAATAGCCTAGCCATTAAAAATACGGAGAATCGACCGTCTACAACATAGGGTTTTATTTAGATAGTCCCGAAATAAAGCTCTTTCCCTAAAATCCTGTTCTCTAGGGTTTTAATCACTAGGGCGAACTAAGCAGATCAAAAACCTTAATTTGCCTAGAGTTCGACTAGCTCTACCAGATTCCTACAGAAAATCGGTTAATCCATAAGCCCCTTACAGATAAATAACTAGGTTAATACTAAGGAAGTCGTAGCCAGCCCCAATCGCCCTAGTAACTAATAAAATTAGCCGTTTATTCTACAGAAATGTTTGAAACTTACTATTTTTCGTGTCTTTATTAAGGTCCGTATAAAAATACGCAGTTATTTAGTTATATTTCTAATACAGATTATTTACTAATTTCTTGCTCATATAGAAAACTAGGGTTTACAACAGATGCCCTACCCCAGAGGCCCCGGGGGACCGGACGTGCGGCGGGTCTAGGGTTCGCGGATTTTGTAGGGCGCTAGGGTTTGGGGTGGTCGGAGGGCGGATTTCGACTTGCCATCCGGTGCATATAGGCTTCCCGATCCATCAGCGCGCTGCAACTTCGCCCGTTTGCTGCGCGGCCATTCGTTTCCCCTCTATTCCATTTTGACCGCAATCGCCCTTGCGGTGCCGATCCCCCACGTATTAGACAAGCCGCTTCCGATCGTCCCGTGTTACTCGCAGGGGATCTTATGCCGCCGCGATCCCACGATGTGCCGCTATCTCGTGGCCAACATGAAGTCGATGCGGAAGCACTGGCAGACCGTCCACCAGTGGTCCCAGTACCCCGAGCGGGGGCGCGGCCCCCAGTCGCAGCAGGCCGCGCGGACGGCAGAGCTGCAGCGGTCATACGAGACCGTGTCGTACTAGCAGCTGTTCCCGTCGCGCGCGGGCTCGCACTACATCCACATCCGGTTCCCACACGGCCGGGCGCCGCCGCACCCCCGGCCCAGCCAGGCCTAGCAGGCGATCGACGCGGTGGTGCAGGCGTGGGAGCAGGCCGAGGCCGCGCGCACGGCGGCCCCTGTCGAGGCCACGCAGCTCCACGACGCGAACCCGTGGCTGCGCATGACGCGGTGGACGGAGTATCTCCAGGACATCCCGCCGGCCGGCCTGATCCATAATGCTCTAAAGGAGGGAGGGCTCCCTCCGACTTCTCTAGATGCCTATTGGCCCAGTCCAGCCCCACCTGCTGAGCTCCACGCACTATATCCCTAAATTGCCACACGTGCCTACGCGACGCGTTTATTAATCTAAATAAAAATACTGCGATGTAGGTTTTGTCGACTATATCTATTGCTAACTACCTTTTCGCGTGTCGTACTTTAATCTAACAGCATAGAGTATTTGAGTATTTTTACTACCTCCCTGAATATAAAATACTGATATACCGGCCTTACGGTCGTGCTATTCTAGCTGTGTATCTTTAGAGTTATCTTTAAGGCTATTACAAAGAATAGCTAGGCCTTAACTCCGCTACGGTAATATCCTAGCTTAAGCAACAGCTCTAAGAATATAAATTAGCCGATCTCTCTTAGAAGCAGGTTCTAATCCCACCCCCCTCTATCTCTGCTTTTCTAGATCTATCGATAGAGCAAGGGCTCTAATATAGGCTATGTCGGTTTGTAACGCGCTCCGAGAATTAGATATAAAAATATATCCGGATCTATTAGCCGGCACTGCAGAGATAAGGCCGACTACGAAAGTCCGCCAGCTCTCTTATTTTAACATAACAACAGCCGCGCCCAGATCTTTAGAATAATATTTATTGCCAGCGCTTCTTCATCTCGGGCCCCTAAAGCTAGTATTTTTAGGTAACGCCGTCTTTCCGCCCGACAGCAAGCTCCCATACCAATCTGATTTGTAATCAGGTCTACGAGCAGATCCAACAATTAGAGCAGCAAGAGAAACAGCAGAATCAGACTATTACAGCAGAGAGCTACCGGCCTGTTTTGTATTATCTCCAGCCCGCAACTGAGGAGCGTTATCGACGGATCTGGAAGCGTCTTCTCTGCTTTATCTACCATACTACGCAGCCCTAAGAGTCGATTCGATTAGATCACCGCCTAACCGGATTCCATAGGGATATCTCTTTCAGATAAAGCAAATAAGTCAGCAGTTATATGAACCTACTGTTCTAAACCCCTCATGTCCTTCGGATTCTTTGATCCACTATTTGAAATCCGATCTTCAGGTTGAATCTAAGCTCTCTTACTTCAGACGTGAGTAGAAACAATCAATTTTTTCCTTAATCACTAGTGCCCCCAACATTGAGTTACGTATGTTGAATGCTGACCACTAGCTATGTGCTTCTTGTTTCTGGTGTGCTATCAAATCCTGCCTAGCGTATAAACCCTAAAACCCCCGAGAGAAAAAATTTAAGTTGCGGACGCAGGTGGAGGAAGACAGAGAAATATGGAGGATAGCGGTTGGCGGAAAAACGAAACGGATAATATACGCGGAAGGCATCCCTACTAGAAGCCTATACGCGTCAGAAGCGCATCGCGATCCACAAAGGGCACTCACCAACGATCCACGGAAAATTATTGTCCGGCTCGGCTGCTTTCTTGTACAGACTGCGCCCCTGCGCAGCAGGAAATATGCTTGCCATCTAGATGCTAGGTGGAACTCTTACAGGAGGATGAAACGTTTTCAGGCGGCCGAGTATCCCAGTTCAGCTTCAAGCGACGCCCCCACGGCAGGAATGGCAGCGTGCTCTCGCGCCCGCTGTAAAGCCACCTCTAAATTGGATTCTCCATGTAATAATTCCACACAACCGAGACGATTATCTGTTTGAAGATAAGACTTGCCGTCCTGGATATACCAAGCTAAATGGTTGTTAAAACTTTGCTTCAGTAGAAGGGGAAGTAGTCCTTGTGCATGGCCTCCGACCAGGCAAACGAAATGGAATTTATGGTGTTCCATTATCATAGGTGCCACCCGGTCGACTGCGAATAGGCCGTGACCTTTGAGCTGCCTCGCTATTTGATTCAGGACCCCTTCCGGCAAGTTCGGCTTGCTCCCGAGGGTGTCCATAGAAGCCGTTTTGACGTCTAGATCTTGATCCTCGAGCAGCGCAGCTATCTGGTTGAGTATTACTTCTGGCAAGTTCGAACGGCTGCTCAGGGCGTCAGTGGCAGCCCTTCTGATATCCGAATCTTGATCCCCAAGCCGTGCAGCTATCTGGTTAAGTCTTACGTCCGGCAAGTTTGACTGGCGCTCTAAAGCCTCAATGGCTGCCCTCCTAACAACCCAATCTGGATTATCGAGTAGAGAAGCTATCTGGTTAAGTGTTACTTCCGGCAAGTTCGACTGGCTGCTCAGGACTTTAAGAGCAGCCACTTTGTCTTCCCAATTTTGATGCTCGAGCCGTGGCACTATCTAGTTGATGCTCCCCTGCGGCAAGTTTACTCGGCTTAACAGGGCGTAACGAGCAACATTTCTCACCACATGATCTTGGTCCTTCAAGGCGCGCAGCTATCTGGTTGAGGGTCACTTCCTCCAAGCTCGATGGGCTCGACAGGACGTCAATGGCTGCCATCCTGACGCCCGGATATTCATCCTCGAGTCGAACCGTTATCTGCTTGAGTGTCTCTTCCCGTAAATTCGACTGGCCATCTAGGGCGTAAATAGCAGTCTTTTTAATCACCGGATCCTGGTTGTCAAGTCGCGCCATTATCGCTTTAAGTGTATCACCGGGTAACTGATTTCTCGAGCTTCCGAATAAGTGCAGTACAGATCCTGGCAATTTATCTGAGATATTATCTTGAAGCTACCCGGTTACTTTTTTTGTAATTTTAAGTGGAATTTTGTGTCGTAATTCCATCGACCGAAGAGTAATTATCCTAACTTTATCCTTCTTTTCCTGTAGGATGTTAAATATAGCCTGCTCAGGGAACTCGTTCTCGCTTACCAGGGTATTTTTGCATAGCCAGAATAGATACTACTCCCTAAGTTTCTCACATTAAAATACTAACTACCTTAATATATGGACTTCAAGATCTCTTTAAAGCCGAAATTCGTAGCGAACCTTGCTTAAATAGTGTATGACAAGCCGCTGATATGTAGGGCCTAGGAGATTAAGCAGCTTCTTATTAACTATTTTAAAGAAGTAGGGTATCTCTTCGTCTCCTTTAACGTCGTTAAGTAGGCCAGTAATAAAGCGCTATAAAATATCGTAGCGAGTGTGATATTTATGCCGCCTAAGAAACTTAACAAGGTTGGTCTACTTATTTTCTCCACTGCTAAGCATTAAACATATGAATAGTTCTTGATTTTTCTACTGCCGCATAAAATACCGTGCCACAAAATACTTTTAGAATATAATATATAGAAAATAGTAGTTCCGATTACGGCTCTTTAACTAAAGGCTCGAAGTTTATATAAACAAGAGCTAGTTAAATATTTTATTAATAAAGAGATCCGGCTGGGGCGGTTTGAATTATTCAAAAATAATATCGCAATACTTTAGTTTAAAGGCTATTACATTGTTAAATATTCTAGTAAAGGCGAGAACTTTAAGAAGTTAGGTTTTAGTTTAGATAGAGCTTCTAATCTCCCTATAATAAGCGACCTGTATTTAAGCCTAAGTCTATTTCTCTAGTTTTACAGCATTCTTCTTCTATAAACATTGCTTAATAGCTTAGTAAATAGCAGTTATAGTCGGCGGTATAGTCTTACTATTAAAATTATCCTAGATATAACAGAGAGCGCCTAGAATAATCAGGATCTATATAAGGCCCTAAATTAATTAATACTTTTAGAGAAATGGCCGAACTTTATCAGCTTTTTCCGAATTAGCCTTATCTATCTCTAGAAAAGTAAGAATATTTTTAATGTAGTTCTTTACTTAATCTAGGTAAAAACTAATAGCTTTTAATTTAAGGTCGAAAGTTCGTTAGAGCTAATATAGATATAATCCCCGTAGATGAGATATAATAATTATATTAGATAAGTTTAACAGAGACTAGAGAAGAAGAAATACTTTGCTTCTTTTATCTAATTCTTCTGAAACTTTATCTAGGCTATTAAGAACAAAGAGCGTCCTTCTATATTTAGTATTATCTAATATAATCTATAATATATAAACTAAATTCTTCCCTTTCAAGGTTTAAGAGAGATATTATTAGAAAAACAGATCTTTAAAAGTTATATTCTTGCTTAGGCTTCTTTATTAGATCTTGTAATAGTATCTAAAGTACACAGTTAAATAAGTCTTTCTATATACTTTAATAGATAAAGTCGTAGACAATTTTTTTATATAAGATTATTTTCCTAACTCCGGCGCGACTTTAAATTAGAATCCTTCTTAATTTTATTGTAGAATATCTTAGCCGTTTATATTTCTTAAATATTATCTGTAAGTTAATCTAGATACCCTTGTCTAGTATTTTAATTTTTAGTTAAGCAGCGAGTGAGAACAGAGAAGACTACTATGTATTTCCTTCCTGTATACAACTCTATTTTATCAGGCTACTTTACTATAGCAAGATTAATATAGCACTGCTCTATCGACAAAGACTTACCTAAAAGTTATTTAATCTCAAGTCTGTTTGTAGTATAATAATTATAATATATATAATTATCCGCTTTTTTAAGCGGAGACGCCTTATATATCTTGTCAATAAAAATTTAGATCTTTTTAGTAATAGTAATATAACCCGAATCGTCGGGTCTATTAAAATTATTTATCTAAATATAAGGTCCGCTTAAGGGGAATAGATTCCGGGACTATGTCGAGACGCGCAGAGCTGCTATTAACTAGCTAGAAAGATATCAACCAATTGCCTTATAGCTTAAAATAGGAAGCTTAGGATAAGAACCGATTTATCCGAGAATTATCTCGACGACTTACTAACTTTGGCTTTTTTAGAAAGTCGGCAGCTAATTGCGATAGAAACAGAGCCTTTCGTAATAGGTTGCTTTTTTTAGTCTTATAGAAGATTGCTAGCAGTGCCTAATCCCGCTGACGAAAAATCTGCGTGAAATCTCCCACAGAATCCTGAAGAGTTAATGCTGTCACGCTGTTAAGCAGGCCGGTTACTGCTCTGTCTGCGAGCCTAGCATAGCCTTTCAGAAAAGGGACTGCTGCCCTAGCTATATCGTTAAATATAGTCTTTCTAAACAGTGTAACTAGAAAAACTACGCCCTCTATTACTCTTTAGAAAGAAGCATATTTATTTCTAAGCTAAGCGACGATTACTAGGGCTTAACTTAGTATAATACTACCTAGGCACGAGATAATAAACAGTAGAGATTAATATTTCTCCGTCTAGATTAAGAGTGAATATCTAGGAGTAAACACCTAGTAAGCTCTGTAATTATTATCTTAATTATACTTTGTTTGTTAAAAAGACTTGCTAGCTAGTCGTAATAGAGAATCTAAGCCTGTTTAGCCTTGTTAGGAAGTATATCCGGATACGCTAGCTAGTTTATACCGTGCTTATTAGTGCTACTAGTTCGCTATATCTAAATATCCGGCGACTCTGTGTCAAGGCTATAGATAGTAATAATATCAACGTCCGTTTCGGGCTTGTTTTTAGGAGAAGGATAAGCCTGGTAAAGACGGACATCCTGCTGCTGCCGGGTACTTTATTTTCTAACAAATATGTATAATTTTTTTCTTTTAATTTTAGCTATAAAGCAAGCGAACTAGAGTAAAGCAAATATAAAAGAGAGAAATTTACATATTTAAATAAATAATAAGATACTCTTAGTTAGAAGTTACAGGCATAAGAGTTGATATTATTATAATATTAAGAGTTGCAACTTCATTAATCCGCATGAGAAAACATGTTAGAGCAGATACTTTTTACCTTATAAAACAGAAAAAGCTTCCACCATTTTACTGAGGGTACCTGTCTTAATACTACATAGATATGTTATATTATAGACTAAAATTACTCCTCCTGAATGACATTGACATTCACATACAGCAAGTACTCTAATAAACAATGCTTGCCTAGAATGTCATACAGCTGCTTGCGAGTACTAAACTTTGATTAATTTCACATCATTTTAAGATATTGGGAATATGGACTTAATTGTACAGATAACTTTTAAACGTATCAATTTGAGCAAGCTGTGGAATCAGCAGTGATCCCTTTTCAAAAGCCAGCTATTACCTGATACGATCCACAGTAGACCGTCGTATAAGCACTAGTCGACGCAATTTCCGTCTCCACATAGAACAACCGCCCGGTAATATACTTCCGCAATTGTCAGGCACATGATACGTCTCCAAACTTGTGAAAATCCGCTTTGCCTCCCACATTCATTGTACAAATCCCTTTTGAACACATCATCAATTCTTTCTCTCAGGGTCTCTGTCAACCTGTCCTGTGCGCCGAAATTCCGATAACCAAAATCATGTCGTCTGCAGCTCGGCTCAAAATTAAATCCTGCTGGCATATCTGGAGCCATGGTACAGTCATCGGACGACCAGTCAAAACAAGGGGGTTCTCTGGCCTCGCGAGCCGCACTAAAAGCCTCAATATCAGTTTTGAAGATGAGTTCGTCGGTTGTGGCGGCAGTGCATTCATTTTGCCGTTTCAAATCTGAGGATGCCAGCAAAGCATGGGTATTTGTGAAGAGTGTCAGGACAATCCATATAGAGAACCTCATGCCGAACTTGTTCTACTGCTTCGGTTAGTTCACGCAGAATAAAATACGCGGAGGGGCTTAACAGTAAATACTTATCTGCACCTTGAGTGAGACGTTAATGTTGTATCAAGCAGATGTGAGCACTGGCTAGTGCTACTAGAAAGTATCAAGGTGCTTTAAGTACTAACACCCATAGGGTAACCAAGCATAATTAAAGTATGATCTCGGTGATGATATCAATACTAAACCTAGACTAATTTAAAATGATAACGTAGTCTTCTGCGTGTGAACAGCCAGTGAAATCAATTGCAGATATAGTCTAACTTAAAATCCGTATGACAGCCAGTTTACCTACCGCACTGATGTTGGGTTCCAGTATTAACTTGCAGGTGTGGGTATCCTATACGAAACAGAAAAATGTTAGGCTACATATTCAGAAATAACTACTAAGCTGGAAGTCTTCTTGACAGCCAAATTACAATTAGATTGTTGTACTCCCAAGTTGCCACAGACAGTAGCCTTTCTGTAACAAGAGATTTTACCACATGTTGTGGGACAAATAAAGGAGTATAGGTTCAACTTCGTCGTTGTTTATCTAATAATTCCTGTGATTAAGTGCGCGAGGATTGACTATTCGCTTTATATAATGCACTCAGATTGCTAAAGCTTAGGAGAATGCCACTATGATATTGTTAGCTAGTTTTAAGGTGTTAATGGATATATCGCTCAAAGTTCTAGCCCAACAACACAGGAGCCTAAAAGGGTGGAAACAAAAAATTCCTCCGTAGATTTAAAATTTAAAGCCCACTTAGCCCAGGAGAAACTTGTTAGGATTAGTGATATAGCTTAGCTAGAGGTTGGTAGCTATTATCTTGTGGCTGAATTCTAGGTCGTTCTGCTGTTAAGGGATTTCTGCAAACGGCCAAAGCTCAGTAACACCATGAGAGTTAAAAAAAATTGAATGTTACCCACTGTACAGATATAATGAGACGGCCAAAGTTAAATCTAAATTCTGTTTCCAGTACGCAGCAACTGTGCTTAAATTACCAGACCGTTCTAGATTCTGAAGTAATCCCTAGTGGGTATGTTTAATCTTCGGTCTAGGCCTAAGGGAAATCTAATATAAAGATCGCCTATTCCTAACTTTAACCAAGTTTTATTAGGCTCTTTTGTATTATATTCACTTCCATGCCACGCCTCTTCAAAATACACCTCTTTCTTTAGTCAACAACCGCTACATATATCTGGCCCATTACAGTATCATATAGTACAATTAAAACTCCAGAATGGCCGCAGCACCGCGTGTTCTCGTTGTATCCGGCGCCCTCAGCGGTGTTGACGACGAATTTTTCGGTGCTCACGAAAGAATGCATCGGCCTGTTTACGCTAGAGTAGTTCTATCAGAGGAAGAGGTTCCCCAAACTTTCTTTACATGGTCTGAAGGCTGGGGCGGGGAATGCCGCCTGGAAGTCATTATTACCGCCCAGCTTAACAAAAACCGGCATATTCTTGTTACTGTCAACGGAAAGTTCTATGAGGGTACGAGCGAAGCAACTACAGACTTAGCAGATGAACGAACTCAGTCTGCGCTTGTACCAAAGGGCGGCCTTCCTATCCCATTCTCGCTACAGCTTTTTAACCGAGAGCCTTTCGGAGGGGATACAGCGACTATATCAGTAACCTTTGTTAATGTTGTGGAGGAGTGAAATTCTTTCCACTTGGTCTCTTAATTGGTTTGGTAATCAGTTCTTTCTAGTTGGCGTGGCAGGGCCACAGTGGGAGAATGATCGCTTTCCTTTTTGTACTAGTCTGTTTCTTTAGTTAAGGCCTAAATTGTGTATCTAAAATGCGGATTACATTTTTTTAAATTTTATAAATTGTAGTATAGTATACATTATTTACCTAGAACCCGCAAAGCCACACTGGTTAACTTCTAACCCCCTAACTAGGTTATATGCATGTAGGAGAGTAGTGCAGGACGCACGAGGATCTGCCTAATGTAACTATGACTACTCCAAGGTGGAGAAAGGAGTAACAGCGGACAAATCACAAGTTGCCTTTCTACACTTAAAGACTCAAGGCGTGCAAGCAAGGGTTAGAAGAACCTACATGAACGCTCGTACTGTAGTATAGAAGTAGCTCGCAAGTCCTTCTAACCTCGCCAGCTGCTCTTAGTAGCGCTAGAGCAAAAGAGCCGCCGAACAGTCTCAAATTTTTTCCAATAGCGGAATGTTTCCCTAGTTGAGCCTAGCGCTTCCCTGAGCAATATGAACAGTCACGCTAACCTCTTCTAGTCTAGTAAAGCCTCAAGCTGAAGCCTTGCGTGGAAGAAATCATGTATTTACACCATAGTGGTAGGCTGTATATCGCTTAGCGAGGGGTCAGCGTAAAATACTTCTGTAGGAGGTATTAACGATGGAATTGATATAGATTTGTAAGCCATCTGGCGCTGTCTATTCCATACTGAAACCAAGACTGCGAGACCTGGAAAGGCTACTTCATGTTAGGCTAACGCCTTTGCTATGATCTAGTATCAGCTTTAGATACCATGATTATGAAGTGGAATGGAAAGTAGCGCCGGAAAAATGCCCGTGCCAGCTTGGGAATATCCAAAAATCTCTGATTGAGAAACGGCAATATGTTACACTTTCAATGGGGAGCCGCATAATCTACACTCAACTCGGCTTCACTCGGTCGAAGGCGGGTGGGAACAGTGTCAAGAGAGAAAATGACCATATAGACAAATGAGTTGCCTATGGCACTTTTGAGCTAGTGGTATTTCATGTTTTATGGTGTTTGACCTCTAATGTGTTTCTGGGTTATGTTTCTTTTAACTATATGAATTTAGGGCGGCAGCCGACCGGATTCGTTTTACAGTCCCGATTGGCTGTGTTGAATGGAATTTACCGCCATTTATAAAACCATGGCTTTTCTTTAACAAAATACGCCAAAGCGATGTTTCAGGAGGAGCGTTTGCCATATAAGGAGGTTTGATATTGCAGCGGGTGATACCATATTATCCTTCGCCGACTTGATTTGAGAGTGTTGGATATCCTTTTATGCTATGGAAAGATATATTTGTTAGCAGGTTTTATATCCAATTCGTATATCCCGTGATCATGTTATCCTCGGTAGAAGCCATAAGAACGAGTAGATTATCTTCACAGGATGTCAAGAAGACCTAATGAAAACTAATATTGTCACTGCAGGTTGATCAAAGGGGATCCCTGTTATTCAAGATCAATATTTGACTAAGGACTTCCGCCGTTCAAACCAACCATAGAGTATAAATTTAGCTACCAGCGACTCATGTGCTTAAAGAATTGCCGCTTTGCACGCCTCTCCCCGACTAAACTATTGTTTGCTTTAACGTAATCTACTCCCTAGTAGATGCGGCACTGTACATACAATGCCTTACGGTCCGGCTAGTTTGTACGGAGTGCCAAGATCAGAATTGGGTATGATGGATATAATTTCAGGGCAGGGTTACAGTGTTACTAATTGATCGGGGGGAGTCTCTCTCCTATTCTGCTAAGTATCTAATTACTGGCGTACAGTATGTCAGTGTCTAGTGTCCCGACCAAAACCGGATCCCTAAGATACAGCGTGCTGAGTGTGAGGCTGTCTTTCAGCAGTTATTTAAGCTTGTCTTATACTACTAGCTGTTAGTATCCTGCATTAGCTTGTATTACATATATATTCGGTTCATTAACAGCCGCCTATCGCTTCTGTCACATCCTGACTAGGCATGGCAGGCTGTAAATGATATAGCTCAGGCATAGAAGGTGGCGGAATAGGTGCAGACTAACAAGCTAATACAACGCGATTCTATTTAAGATGCGAAGCTCTGGCTTCATGAAAATAGACCCTCCCCCAAAGTAGGCTTAGCGCCGGGAGCCCGTTACTATGGGTCCCTCCCCCTCCGCCCCGTTACCACTATACTTGGGGCGGTTTGGAGGATGTTCCATATAGTTGATGGCTAAATCGGGCTAGCGGCGGTCGGAGTTTGTATGGACAGTAACTCGTCACTTCCGGACTTTTAGATGTAGGGCTTGTTTGATCAGTCGATAAGCTTTTCGAACATCTTCTACTGCATAGGTGAAGTTGGGCTCAATCAAACGCTCGACTAATCAAACACGATTCCCCACCTGCCGTGATAGATGTACTAGTTTAAGAGGGGCCCACGTATGTCAACCATAGGAAGCTCACGTTGGATTATGCACGCCAACGACCGTTCGACCGAAGGCTTCAGCAAATCGATCGATGTTATCTTGAAGCCAAACCTTCCTATCCGAATATTTATTGGTTAGGTATCTCTCCACTGCATGGTCCTGTATTATATTCGTAGGTGGGGGAGTGGTGATTAACGTCAATATATCGAACTTACTCAGCAACAACCCCATTAATAAACAACCAGTACTCAGCCTTACGAGCTGAAGGAGATATAACTGTTCGGGTAAATAAAAGCTTTTGCCTACCGTTCAGGTAGCTGCAGATTATAAAATTTACTAGTATAACTCCCACGAGATAGACAGCAAATGTTATAATCGGCAACATAAAACAAAACAGAAGGGAGGTTATGAACCCAATAAGTTCTATGTGAATGAACAGTAATACGGTTCTCCCCGATGCTCCTGAGCTCCCTCGGCCATTCGGCCGCAATGGCCACAGCGGAAGGAGAATCCCAGGTATATACCGAATGCAGCGAAGAACGAGGAGGAAATCATCCAACAGAAGGCTTATTAAAGAAGCGGTATTGGGAAGTGGCAAATTCTCACCACTACCAATCTGAGGCGGCCGGAACTGGAGGGACATGATGTTAGAAGTGTAGTTAGTTACGTAACGAGCTTAACAATTGTAGTGGGGTGTGCGTCCCGGATAGTGGACAGTATAAGTTGTTCGACAAGGTTCTTACTTGTGCAATGAAACAGGCAAATATACTCCAGATCAGTGATATAAAGTCTTGGTGCGAGGAAGCCTGCAGCTACTTTCGCGTTCATTTTATCTGAACGTGAGTTGCGGAAGGGCATATCAGGAATTAAATCGCCTAGTTCTCCCATCAGTGTCTGTATGCGCGGGATACGTGAGTACCAGAAAACGCGGAGATCTAGACCTGTCCAGCAGAAATAGCACCAAAAATATATCCAATCTGGATTCACGGAAGCTTACCACTTGTTGCTGAACCTAAAGCATAACCTTAACTTTGCGAATATGCTAGTCGCTGGCACCGTATCCTTTGGATTACTCTCCACAAATGCGGCTGATCTTGGACCATTCAATCACAAAACCTGGTTGATTTTTGTTAACAAATAAATCTGATATGATCACGATTACAATCGTAACCAAGTTTCAACCACGCAGCTGCCCTAGTTTCTTGTAAAATACAAGTGGGCATAATGCAACTAGTCCTCATCTTTATTTCATCAGTATTATTTCAGTCCCAATGTCTTTACTAGGAAGTGACGTACACACTAAATGTCAGCTGATTAGCGCCAACACACTGAAACCATCTGTGATGCCACTGATTCTTAACCCGACCGCCTATTAAATTATATAAGAGCCCCAGTAACATTTGAAAGTATTCAATTCCTTAGTACTATAATGATTTCGCGTGTTGCGTGTTAGATATTATATACGTAGGACTACTTAGCTTAGTAAGGAGCTTGTTGACTTTCCTGTCCGAACAGCACAGGGAAGTTAGCAAGGTTTCTTTGTTTAACAACTACAGCTATATTTAAGGCTATATTTTAAATTATGGTCCTTGCCCAGGCTTGAATGCATTAGCAAATTATAGGTATCTGTATGTAATAGCCATTCTGTTATACTAATTATTGCTAACTAAGTCTAAAAAGATTTTGTGATGGCTAAAAGCTTATTATTCCATAAGTTGACCACGCTTTAAGGACCGTTCTCTATATAGATACTATTCTCGTGTTAGCTTTAACTCGTAGTCTCTGTCTGCTCTGTTAAAAGGATAGCACCTTTAATCTTTGGGACCTACGAAGGCATAATGTAGTCGAGTATAATATATTATTTACTCGACTGGACTTCCGCTAAGGTAACAATTATATCTTTTAGCCTGCTATATTTAAAGCACTCCTTAATAATGCTGACGGTGGTTTTATTATAATTAAATCGCTAGCTAAGATATATATCCGACGTTAGAAGGAGAGTGGGGCAGTAGGATTGTCTAAGCTACCATTTAATCTATAGTTTATTAACCTTCTTTAAACTGTCTTCTTCTTAAATACTGTATAAACAGGGAGGAAGTTATCCAGAGAGACTATGACTACCTTCTACACCGAAGAAAGATTTCTAGAGGAGATTTTGAAGAACAGGACGCCTTGTACGCTGTTTGGTTTGGTTAGAAGCGCATTGATTCTGTTGTTCTATATTGTATTTCACGCCTAGGGCCACAAAGTACGCTTATGTACCCTAAGTCCGTTGAAATATGACATCCATTTCAGTGCCATCTTTAAGTTGTCCCAGTTGGGTTGTATCTGCCTGTCATTTTTTACCTTATCAAGACCCTATGGCTGAAACTTTGACTCCCTATTCTGTGTACTTGAATAGCAATCTATAAGCTGACAGCGGTTGGTTACTTTGGCATTAGGTTAATTTCATAAATAAAGACGCGCAGAATAGTGTGACTATTAGCTAGATAGTTACAGTATCGTATTGAGTGAACAAGGAGGCTCAGCTAGTAGTTCGGCCGCGAAATCTCGCCGTAGAATACATCTTTGCGCTTATCTGCCCATGTGCTGCGATTCCAAGCTATATGCCGAACAGGGCCTTGAAGTAGTCATTGAGGAATAGGTCCTTAGTGTCCAGCTGCTTTCGTATCTGAAGAAAGCGCCGGATACTCTCTGGGTCGTGGACTTTTGTCAGGTTGCTGATGGCACCACCACGCGTCTTATTGATATGTGGTACGCCGCCATGAAGCAACGCAATTTCATTGAAAGCTAACCGAAATGCCTTCCAGGTGGGATCTGCTGGGTCAGGATACTCAGGGTCAACTGCGATCATATTTCCGTTTCGCGATCGAGACAGAAAAGATGATTGATCTTGCTTGAGAAAGTAGACGGCAACGGGCATGAGCAACGTAAAGTTCTGCTCCCTTCGGAAACGGTCGCTCAGCTGCAGAAACGCGCGGATCATATCACACCACTTTTCCTCCGGGAAAACCCAATCATAGAATTCAAAATCGGGGTCCTCTTCCTCATAGGTTACCGCACGATCACAAGGATCTATGGTGTAGGTACAGTCGCGAATTCTCTTCAGCGGCAAGTCAATCAGCACTTTGTTGAGCGGTGCTGCCACAGCCGCTGGGAGCTGTAGAGCCGTTAAGGCCTTTACCAAAGGAAGAAAGAAATCCCCGAACAGAGCAATGATATTTTTGTTTTCAACTTGGGTCCCGGAGGAATCAGAATTGGGGTTTGCTGAGTCGATGAACTTGCGACGCTGGAAGAGCACCTTACCAGAGGTCGGGAACAGCATCCCGAACACCTGGTCATATCCTGCCTTCAGGGCTTGGAGTTCTTCTCTAAAGTTGCCAAGGAATTCGTCAATCTCCGAAACCTGGAAGCTCATGTGGAGTGGCTGGCTCTTGAAGATCCGCAGGGTGACCTCGCAGACGATCCCAAGCATGCCGAAATGGGAGCGAACAGCAGGCAGATACTCTGAATTCTGTGATTCTGATATTTCTAGAATATCGCCGGTTGGTGTGACCAGCTTCACACCCAGGACAAATGATGAGAATTGCGCAGATTGATTCATCGAGGTATCATTGGCATGTGTACCACTGATGGCACCAATATGAAAATTGCCCCACTCAAGGATAACGGGGGGTCGGAGGCCAGACATCTTCAACTGTGCACATAGCTCGCGGAGACTAACACCTCCCTCAACAGTAACTGTGAGCTGCTCATGATTGACTGATAGTATGCGAGCCATCTTTTTTAATGAGATAACAATTCCAGTGCCAATCGTGCATTCAGTTGTTGAATGCATGGCACCAACAACTGTGACTTTTAGACCATTTTCAAATGCTTCCTGGACAATGTGCTGAACTTCAGAAATCTGTGTTGGTTCCTTGTAGCGATTATCGGGTATAGTATACCGAATCTCGTCGTTCCAATTGGTCAAGGTAGGCATAGCTGCAACTTCTGCGAAAACAGTTTCCTTCCAATTCTGTAATAGCGGAAACTCAAGTTCACGGAAAACTCTGACCAGGCTTCTGAGACTATGCGAGGGAATAAAATTCTTTGATGGGGAGCTCGATGATGGCAAGGCAATAAGGGCGTGTGGTGTGATTTATGCCCATATACCTTTTAAGCATACGTCATCGAAAGCCCCAGGCGACAATTGATGGTGACGTGAGTATGAATTATTTCAGGTTCTTGAATGTCTAGAATCCTCACAGACTCTAGTTCTAGAACATGTGATGGAGTGTGCCATACTATATACGTTCACAGAAACATCTGATGCTACATTGTATGAGAAGCTGAGACCATAAGGTTTATTATAGCCATGGTTGGCATATGCAAGCCTGAGAAGTAGAAATCATTTTACTATGTTACTGTGGAAAACCAGTGATTGTATTCCATATATAAGGTGAGCTATTAAACTTTACATATAAGTTAGTCTAGATTTACTCATAGAATGTAAAGGAGCTACCTGCCTGGGTGGATGGCCTGTTCGCTAGGTGATAATTGGGAACGAGATAGTATAGTTGGTAGTTGAGATAGTGTAGAATGTAGATGTGAGAAACTTGTTCTGGGCTGCAAAAGATTAAGCACTGAGGCAAAAGACCTGTTATGATTGACCCTTAGGTCAACCATGTCCGGCCTCCACATATATATCATTGAGGCCGACTGGATGCCTCCGCCTTAGATCGCTTAGATGACGAGACTAACCCTTATTTCAAAGTGGCAGATGACTTACAAGAGGGCGTCCTTCATAGGCCTTACAGGAAGGCTATGGTTACAATGCGTTGGTAAGAGATCATAGAGGGAGGGAGATCATGCAACCAGGCCAAGCTTAATCCCTTCCTTCCCATCCCATATCCATCGTGCCTAGTGGCCCTGGTCCGCAGGAGGTATAACTTTATGCTGGGGATGATTTTTAGCAAATGTTACTGAGGTATTATGAAATAGCTAGGTAATAGGAAAATGTTCAGCGGCACCTGGCACTCTAACCAAACTCAACACTGCACTATCCGTGCCAAGCGCCTCCCCCTACACACCGGGTAGGAGTGGGAGGCGCTTGGCACAGATAGTGGATACTGTTGCTACTAGAATACGAATGATGAGAATCATGAGATAAAGAAATAGCCCGGCATTATGATGCGCACATATAATGATGTCTATTACGGATTAGGGCCAAAAAAAGCACTTAATCAGGATCATATGATGATAGGCCTATAAGTTCAGAGGATTAAGAGCTTATGTTATTACCTCAATAGAACCATGGCTTGTTATCCTAGCTAGGTGAAAGCGGAAATATGGTATAGAGTCTTCTAACTTTAATTTGGACAGTAGTCCTGTTTAAATTGCAGAACTTTAAATTTTTCGGGGGAATGCTCGTCCGTTAATTATTGTTTAAGTGAGAGCGATATTGGACAGCTGAATAGACAGTCTGGAAAATTTGCTGGAACACTTATGAAGTGGGGACTATTTCTCGTGACATGATTACCAGTTGATGATCTCATTATATTGGCGATATCCTTGAGTTTTGCCAATTTACCGTGGTATGTATAGTTAACTGGCTCGCACACTTCTGGGTCTAGATCAATACATACAGAGGAATTTAAATTTTAATAACCTTTGTCCAAATACCACTGAGAAAAGAGCAGCCAAATAGAGCCCCATGGGAAAACCCAGGAGATGTTATTTAGGTTGTTGCTCGTCTTCCCTACTACTGATAATCCCGGGACCAGATCTGCTCTTCTAGTCTTACCTGTGGCTGACTTTTCCCAATAATTTTATGTAAAGCCCTCCATACTCTGAAGCAATGGAGCCACCCAATTTCCAGCCAACTTTCCTCGAGCGCTTCTTTATCAAGATTTTCCACTTCATCAATAGATACGTGCCGTGGCACAGACTCCCAGGCTTTCTTGGCGCGCTCAACCTCGACTTCCTGCGCATCGAGCTGCGTGCTTACAACCTCCATGATGGGTATTCGTCCGGCGACGCGCAGGGAAACACAGTTAATCATCCATTGGAGGATGAGCGGTTCATCAGTGCAAGGAACTCGGATGGCAAGTTTAACTCTGTTGAACTACCACTTATGGGTTGCGCAGGCATGCGCTTTGGACGGAATTTTCCGAGAGAATACACCAAAATGCCAAACAAGGATGAGCTTTGGACCCCGAATCCTAGGGTGGTCAGTGAGCGGTTCATGGCAAGGAAGTCCAGAGGGTTTATTCCAGCAACAAGCCTCAACTTGCTTGCTGCTGCGTGGATCCAGTTCCAGATACATGACTGGTTTCAACATGAAAGCGTGCGTATTGAAGTTTTTAGTTCTGATGCTGTTGTAGTTTGTGCTTTAGTACTGCGAATTATGCTGATAATTTTCGCAACCAGAGCGAGGAAATCCATGATATTCCACTTCCATCAGGAGATACATGGCCCTATGGTCGCATGATTCTTCAACGAACGAAGCCTGATGAGACACTAGACGAATCTGACATTCAGTGCCCAGGCTACAAGAATCAAAACACAGCGTGGTGGGACGGCTCGCAAATCTATGGCTCAAGCGAAACGATCACCCAGAGTCTGCGCACCAAACACAAGGATGGGAAGTTGTCGCTGTCTAGAAGTGGCACGGTGACATTCCTTCCCCGTGATAACGCTGGGAATCCACAGACAGGGTTCAACAATAACTGGTGGACTGGTATGGAAATGCTACATACACTTTTCGCGATGGAGCATAATGCCATCTGCGACATGCTGCGCACCGCATATCCTGACTGGACTAGGTAAGCTGACACAGAATTTTGAGACAAACGAAAGGTCTTGACAGAAAACAGTGATCAAATCTTCGACAAGGCTCGCCTTGCCAACTGTGCGCTGATGGCCAAGATACATACTGTTGAATGGACCCCCGCTATATTAGCTCATCCAGCTCTTGAGATTGGCATGAATGCGAACTGGTGGGGGATTGCTGGGGAGACCCTAACGAAGATGGTGGGCCGAATCTCGAAGACTAGTGAGACAATTAGCGGTATTCCTGGCTCCGGTGTTAACCACTTTGGCATTCCATATTCTCTAACGGAAGAATTTGTCTCCGTCTACAGAATGCATCCGCTAATTCCCGGTAAGCATCAATGGTGCTCCTGGTTGACATATTCCCAAGACATATTTGCTGACTATTGGGCCAGATGAGATCGCTTTTTTCAGTGCTGCAGACGGCCGGCACAAGTCAACTATCCCCGTCGTGGACACGATTTTCAGCGGGGCTCAGAGGCCCTTTCACCAGGGTATTTCATTTGCTGACAGCTTTTACTCATTCGGCATTAATTACCCAGGGGCCATTACCAATAATAACTACCCTGAGTTTATGTGCAACCTATCCACGCCAGACGGCCAGCATCGGGACCTGGGTACTGTTGATATTTTGCGTGATCGCGAGCGTGGTGTGCCCCGCTACAATCAGTTCCGACGACTCCTGCGCATGTCAGTTCCAAAAACCTTCGAGGAGCTGACGGGTAATAACAAGGAGCTCGCTCAAGAGCTGCGTGACGTGTATGGAGACATAGAGCTAGTTGATACACTCGTGGGGTCACACAGTGAGCCAGTTCCTGAAGGCTTTGGTTTCAGTGACACGGCGTTCCGCATATTTATTCTCATGGCTAGCAGGCGGTTGAACAGCGACCGCTTTATTGCAGGACAATGGGACACAAATACATACACTGAAGAGGGGTTTCACTGGGTACAGAATACTGGCATGAAGGATGTGCTGTTGCGGCATTTCCCAGAGCTGAAAGGCCATCTGAGAAACAGCAAAAATGTATTTGCACCGTGGGAGAGGTTACCTGAGTCTGCAGCATACAAGGGATAGAAACTAATCCCCCAAGAAAGAGACAGTGTTAACCTGCAATCATGCTTTCTGAAAAGTTGGTGCCGATTATATGACCAGGCTAACGAGCATTTCTTTTCGTCTTTCTCATTACTCTCAGCCCCAAACTTTTTTGTACTTTATAGTGACGTCTACGCTTTTATATCATTTAGGTTGTTAACATTTAAATCTGGAGTTCCTTCTGCAAAGTCTTTATTGTTCATTTAGTAGTTAGTAGATGCTTACCCTACATATAAAAATCCGGAACCGACAGTTACTGCCCATACATCTTCCGGCTGCGCAGAAGGGGAAAGTCGCGCACTTTACCCACTGCTAGCCTTATCCCGCCATCACCTGAATGGACCAACCTCCGAACCGCCCTGGTATTGCTTCCATCTCTTCCCATACCATGTACAGACCGTATTATTCCCCATACTTCCCGTCACCTATTACTTCCTAATTTTCGTATACTCGGCCAGGATATCATAATCTTAGCTGCGTACCTCCAAATTCAAAGTAAAACTCCCATTTATCTTTGTTTCTGGTGATCCTCTTGCTATATCTTGAACGGTTCCTTCTCGGATACGAGACACGCTACGACTGAGACAATTGGCTGGTTCCTTAAAACATTCTATTGTATTCTATTATTCCTATTCTGTTCTATCTCTTGTTTCATCTCTGATTACGATGATTAATTGTCAGATTCTAGAAGACACTAGGTCACAGAAGCTGCAACATAAACATGGCTTTTCAACCCCCAATTCAACATCAGAATTGACCAGAGTTGCAGATATCTGTAGTTTAGTGGTCAAGCTGTTTAACTCACTTTTCCTTCTATTTGTTATGGGATGGATCTTCCTATCTAAGCGTGCAGTATGAACAAGAAGGATCAGCTAAGGAACAGGAAATCAGACAGCGGCCAAGTGAACAAAGGGGGAATGAGGCTGTATGCGGTGGCAGAAACGGCCTATAGCCCACCCCGGCTGAGGGTTGCAGCGAGGTCCCGCCGACCCCCAGCCTATGGTTAGTACAAGGCCTATAGAACCCGTAACAGATATTTGTATATTACACTGAATATTAGATCTTATTTTATACAATTTTAATTTTTCTTTTAATGTTTTTACTATAGTAAGTTTTTTCTTAGATTTGGTAAAGCTAGATCTATTTTTATTTCTTTTAGATATCTTAGTAATAACTATTATCTAACACACTGGTTTTATTCAATTTTGATTGATTTTGTAATATTTAGAAATATAGATTACCCATTAAATTAAACAAAACTATTAACTTAGTTTACTTGTTATATCAATAATCCAGTGTACTTCTCATTACACAGCAGCGTGCATCTTCTTATTGCGAGGATGGGTTGAACATGGTTACTTGGTGGCTCTGCCCGGCGAGGCCGCCCTCAACTAGCTAATAGGCATGGATATCATGGGTCTCTAACACTTCGGAGCAGAACTAGGGTTGTATTTAACAGCATGCCACCTCTGCTGGGCGGTAATAAATAAGGCAAGGCAAGGCAAGTAGATAGCAATGCAGGCCAGTGTACTTAAAAGCGATACTGAACTTTTGCATAGGTATCATAATATCTTTATAGCCGCGTACTGCAGGGGCAGCCGAATCGCACCAATGGCAATTTGGTTAAGATAGGCCTTGGTGACACTCTAAGCCTGTTATTTTGGAAATAGTGCAGTTTTCGTGTGTATATATATATGGATATCTAGAGTTGTGCAAGCATGCATATCGTCCCTGACACGAAAGGTCAGGGTAAATAATACCAAGCAAGCAAACAAGCTGTAGCCCTCTGTGACTACCAGAATTCACGTTCAGCCTGCCCGGTCCAGCTCAATACCTCTTCCTGGAGAGAATTTGCATCCATATCATCTGCCCATTGGCCTACTATCTATTCTGCGTAGTCGGCCACAAATGCCAAATGCTTTTGTAAGCCAATCTTGAACCTCACGCATATCAACCAGTCCAGAGTTGGTAAGGAAGAGAATGTCTTGGCGACAAGATTGATTTAGCTACTTCCAGTATCAAATAGTGATTTTGGTGACATCCCATAACAGATCTTCTTGTAGAATACACATTCCCAAAAGAAAACGACACTCTCTCTGTGGCAGACAGCAAGCACGGTTATTGAATGCACTTCAAGAAGGGGTGACGTAAGCTCCAACAGAAGAGATTGTGGCCCAGCGTCCGTGTTCATCTGGCCCACTAGGTATGGTGATAAGCAATGAAATTGTAACTCCTTGGTCAATCGGCGGAGACCCTGCGACGCCAAATCCCACCGTAGTCTCCTTATCGTTCGAAAGGTTGAAATCACTTTTATCGAGAGCATTGTTATGCCCCATATAGACTTGGATGGCATCAAATATCGTTTTCCAGCCGGTGGCATAAGCGACCTCGACTCTTTTGAGTTTCAGTATTTTCCATCGAGTTGAGATGGAACCATTACTGGGACATTTACCCAACCTTGAGTGTTTTGCTGGTAACAGTCGCTCTTATGTGCACACCCCATTCTGGATGAGTAATAGCCAGGTAGTACTATCCGCACGGAGGACTGCCGCATTTCTATGGGTCTTGAAAGTGTAAACAGCCATTGTTTCTAACTAGGAACTCCGATATTTAAATAACTAAGGTACAGGTATCGAAGAGTATACTAGCGACATAGGTATCGCTATGTCATCTAGCTTGAGTCTAACCCCAAAAGTGATGCGTGTTAGTATTACATCACAAAAAACTGCAAATGACAGGACGTGCATTATTTCGTCATCCACAAACTGAGCATGGGAGACCAGTTTTCTCCCAAAAGTCAGACGGACAACACAGATATTAGATCTTCGAGTAATTTTTCTTCCCAATGCCCTGTTTCCATGATGACGATTTACACTCTCTTTGAATATACTTTGCTATTTCTACTAGCTATTTAAATACTTCGCGCAAAAGACAGTGTGTCTAGGCATGAAATGATATCGTGGTACTATATGAGGTATATAGTATGTAGCATGACCAGAGTTTGCCGCGAAATTCACGTTTGATATGTGAGAACGAGCGTCTTCTGTTGCTGGTAGTCCGGTCTACTTGCGGGTGAAATACGTTAATTGGTAAAATGATGGGGTCTAGCTATTAACATGAATCCAATCAAAACCATAATACATGCCCAGTGAAGCCACAAGATGTAAATCATTGAAACGGCCAGAATGTATCAAAGTAGCTAAGCTACACAGCGTTTTACGTGGCGGCAGTGATATCCGGAAATGGGTGATTGGTATGGACCGGCCAGACCCATTATTAGCTTTGAAAATTAGCTTTCTTCGAGGTACGTCGACGTTCCATTAAGGTTTGAAACTCTCCCCATACTTTACCACCCGACAATGCCCGCTGGAAATGTGTTCTTGCTGCATGCAGCTTGGACTGGCTGGAACTAGATCCCTTCTGAACAACTTTGTACCACCAAGTGTCACATAGAGTGGAGACTATTGCAGAGTCCGGTGCTTGCATACACCTCTTCCAATAACAGGTAGCCGTGTAGTAACAGTGGATGGTTGTTCCAACGGAATCGGCCCGGGTATGGAGATTACCCCCACATATGCAGCTGCCATCAAAACCTTAACTTTGCAGGGCACATATCTCATAGATACAACGAATTGATCTAGATTTTTGGCATTATTACGTTTTCCCAATGCAGGTTTGAATTTCATTCTTAAGAGTTGATTTCGGTGTTAGTCTCGCATCCATATAGGTTTAAGCCTTGCATTTTGTGACACAAGCATCAGCTTATGGCTCACGATTATGGACAGAAGTTTACGTCAGAATATATTTAAGAATAAGGCAATTGTTCCCCATAGGATGAATTAATTTGTTAATCAATGACATCTATGCTACGCTACGCAACGTATGCAGTGTTAGTAGCGGGTAAAGTGCGCGACCCTCCCCTTCTGCGCGGCCGGAGGTTGTATGAGCAGTGATGGCCACTTCCAGACTCCAATATGAAGGGACTAGGGCTTGCCCGGTATATAGACATCATAGCTTTACCAAGGTGGGTAGCTTCTGGTAGATCACACTTTATCGTCACCACGGGCTAAAGTCCCACCTGATCTTTAACTGTCCATCATTCATATGGAAGTAATATGTAAAGGCTCTCCTATACTTGCTTTCGTAAAACAGAGCAATCTAGAATGGTCGATCGGAAATTAACATAATTGTATTATTATTATGATCAACGAATGAACCTTCTGCATACTGATTGCTGAAGTCACTGATCCGCATAAGATACCGAACTTGGGTCAGCTTGACGAACGTCCCATGAAACCCACGCGCCGCCTACGCGCTCTCCGTCCCCAATCCATAGAAATGTTTCAGAGATCCGGCTTTAGATGAGAGATATTCTCATGATGACATAGATATTGCCGGATGAACCGGATCTCAAAGCGGGTTATGAAATAAACGAGCGAGGCCTTATCTGCCCTTTAAAGTCGGCCCAACGTTCGGCGGTGGATACAGATTATGATACTTTCGTGGATTATACAATAGGTCCGCTGGCTGACCACACCGAGTAATCTGAAGTCTTCCGTCCACGGTATTAGCATCATCACCGCTTCTTGAAATGGCACGACTCCCCTTCGCCTTGTTCCATCTCTTTATCATCGTCCAAGTTTCCCTTGCCTTTCCTTGGTCCAAAGCTGGGTCTATGATTCGCAACAGTGGGGCTTGCAGTTATAAAGAGCGTCTATCCTGTTCAACCCCCTGGGCCAAAGGCGGATGTCAGTCACGTCTCTCAGTGCCTCATCCACCTACAAACCGAAATTTGCAAGAAAGTCAACGCCCACTCATTGATACCCCCTTCCTTGGCCGTGTCACCACTTCCTCGATCAGATGTAACATCTCTTCTGATGACGACGGCCACGTTGAGGAGTCCGTCTCCGTGACGGAGCACAGTGATATAACAGACCACTACATCACATTCCGGACATACCAATCCGCGCGTAACGACCACGGCTTATTTACTCAGGAGGCGTTATATGACCACATCCACTTCTTCAACGCCTCATTCATGATATCTAGTGACGGCATGCAGAAGGCGCTAATAAGTTGGGGTCGTGTGGTTGAAGGAGCTTCACAAGCGAGCTATATCATTAATAGGAGCGGCCTCGTTACTGGCTCTATTGATGACCGCACATTTACGCCATTCACTGCCGAAAATGCTAGTAAAGCCACATTCTCCGACGGCAAACCTCTTCCAATCCTGCGTCTCTCAGAAAGTGTTAACAAGACGATGTATGACGTGGCCCCACGCATTAACTCTGCGTTGAAGTTCTGTAGCCCCACGGCCTCTACAATGGCACCCAGTTCCGGAGAAGTGTAAGCCAAACTGATCCTCGGTTTTGTCTTTCTACTAGCTGATCATCCTAGACAAATCTGGGACGAGCAGAGTTGTTCCGCTTGTTTGAGTGATGCCTCCATAGCATTTGGAGTACTCACAGTAGGGTGTGCGGGCGGGTTAGTCTGGTGGAACCCGCCCGCTTATCTGGCCTGTCAAGCTGCTGCTGTTGCCACGTTATTCGGCATGAGAGCAAATTGCTATAGTCATGGATGGTGCCCCTGAGTAAGTTAAACGCATACAACACATGTGGTCCCTTGGAATCCAAGTTGTGGAGGCCTAATTGGGTTTAATTTGGTGCCTTCATGTCTCGTGTTGCATTGTGCATTTGCCCATACAAATTGCCAGGAAGGGAGTTGTTAGCAAATGCAGACTTCTATCGTTCGATTGGTTGAGATATATCTATTTCTTCGTTGGATCCGACAATATATTGCAAAAGTGTTTGCACCCCAGTACTTAGGGCTCCTGAATCTACCCTCATTCAATATCTCTTTTGTTTACTACTGGTGTAACTTATGGAATACCTTTAAGTTTCTAATTATTTCCTGGCAGCAGCTAAATGGGCAGTCACGGTCACTTCGCGTCTCCCGTGTTATAATAGGAAACCTTTAGGTTTATGCTTATATTAGTAAGTGCGCGGCGGAATCCGTATGGGCAACTGTAATAAACGGTGGGATCCCGCTCAGGGCTGACGAATGTATTAACTATCTAGAGCAGGTTAGATAGGGGAGTTATTAACGTTTTTTTCACTAGCGGGTGAGTCAACGCCATCGAGTAAGTCCAGTCCCCCAATTCCTGCCTACGGGCTAAATACTAGAGCCTTTAACAGCCAAACAATTACGTTTCTAACTAAGACCTAATTACTAAGGGGTTTAGGACATCTAGCTCCCCGAACATAATAATTAGAACACTGCGGTGGCGCTCGTACGCGCGGCCCAACTGCAGAAACGCTAGATATATAGGGATAGTATCCTAAGCTTCTTCAACTTTATTTTCGTGTTGGAATCGCTCTGCGCCATTCCGAAGGGATAAGCTGTCTTCTATAGATTGTTATCTAGTCGATTTCTTTAGGGCTTAGGGTTTTGTCTGCGTATTTCTTCCTTTGTAAAAACAAACTCATTAAGCTTCAATCCATGACCTTTAAACATTTTATGTATTCGCCCTTCTAGTAAAAGTATAGGGCTGTAGCTGCGTTAAGCAGTTTCTTTGCTGCAGATACTTGCTTCTCTAGCTGCCTGATTGTATAGGGTGTTATAGGCTGAATTAGTTGACCAACTGCCTGGTGATGTAAGCACCTTTAGTTGGACCTCTAGTTTGCTCAGTACTGTCCCCGGGTTAAATAGTACTAGGCCGGTGCCTGCGAAGCTATACCGAATAGGCTTTGCTGTAAAAGCAAGATCGCAAGCATCTGTAAATATACCTAGCAAGTTAAACTCTATAATGTAATTAATTTCTCGGTTTCTTCTTTACTTTACTAGATTACTGTACGCGACTTTCAGACCTCGAAAACAAACAGCCTCTATCTAAAGGCTGGAGCTTACTGGAAGAATGCGCAGGCATCTAGATAGGAATTATATTTTTACTATAGAATTAATCGAATTAAGGCGAAAGATGTCTGCTATAGCCGACCATAATAAGAAGGCGATATTTCCCAGTTATACGGCGAGTTTTGTTGAAACATTGTCTGTAATAAATTACTACCAGAGGGGACGAGCATACTATAGATGTGAGTCATAGCTTTGTAAGAAGGGCTGAAAGCTAGAGCTGCTTGCGGACGTTGCGGAACACAGCTCTGTGTGCATTTCTAAATGTAGGGTGGGATTGCATCCTAACAAAGTAGTCTAGAACCCCATGCATTTGTCTAGACTGAGGTCGAATATGAGTCAGGGTTACACTCACCTGAAACACCCTTGAATAGAGGTATAAGTATGGAATATGATGAAGAGCTAATTTTTTCTTTAATAATCGTAAAAGATTATAGACTACCGCGTATGATTATTATAGTTAGGCTTTTAGGCTTTGTCAAGGTCTAGCCCCTATGGTGCTATTTATGATCCGTCATATATCAGTTCTAGACTGTATGAAAAGTTGGATATTGCTTCCAGATCCAAAAATTACATTCCAATCAATAAACAGCAATACTTGTAAATTTGAAAGGCAATGAAGAATTCGTATTACGTCAACAGTATGTAATGAGTAGATTAACTACCGCTGGTAAGCCAAATTCCAAACGCGCCATAACTCAATATCAACTTAAAGAAATCTTACGAACCATGTATATAAATTGGTTGGTGTCTTAGGAATTGGGCTCACAACTACAGTTGTACTTCAATTTTTAACACCCAACACGATTAAAAGCAGGAAGAGCACTTAGGGCACTGCCTTGAACCCACCAACCATGAGCGATGACACTATCATTGCCCACACCGAAGAGATGGTAGAGGAGGCTAACGTCATCGGTCTCATCACTAGCTACAATTCTCTCCTTGAGCAACGCCAAGACAAGAATGTCTTGAGATTTGTAACTGAAAAAGTTTTTATCCAAAACCTCGAGCACCATTTTCGCAATATGACGGCGGCGAGTATGACGGACAAGGAGGAGGCGGCCATTGAGGCAGATCTGGGCACGCATGTCGCTATATATCTCTTCTACACTGGGTCCAACCAGTGCAACAACTGCGAACGTGCGCTAAACGCATATGACTTTTACTTTTCGGGCAAAAAAGTGCACGGCAAGGCCTTCAAATCAATCATCATTGATGCGCCGCATAAACTTCAGCTGCGCGGCTTCAACTCGAAGGCAACCGTGGTATGCTCCAACTGTCAATCGCGCAATGTGTTTCTTCCAATTGTTGAAGATCCAGGGGGCGGGGACGGAGGCTACCACTACATTGTGGGTTCATACTGCTACGCGTAGAGGAACTGCCTCTGTGCGATGGAGCAATATCAATACTCCATCTAAGGGGCGACTCTAATAGGTGTTGAAGGAGTCACTTTTAGATCCACAGCTTCCGTGGTCTGGTGGTGAAGCTGCAGAATTCAACATCTGCAGTATATCTTATCTCTAGGCTTCGAACAAGTCGAGTCATTTTTGTTAATCCATTTTTGAATGTGTGTTAGGTTGGGCCATAGATACTGTAAAACAGAATGTTATGCAGTGATTGTCTCTCCATTTTCCTCATGGAAAATATAGTATTACGCCGTATCTAGTTGAGGCCTTCCAAGTAACTTCAACAATAAGGCCATTAGCTTCTAACAAACCCGGTGGTTGGTCACCGTTTCGCCCAAGAGTCAGGTTTGGATGTGGCTAATGGCTGTCGTAGTGGGTGCTATGAACCAATGGTGTTACTGTCGTTGCTTCATGGTCAAGGGAAAGTTGCTGCGTACTGATTCGGACACTTTTTTTTTTCCAGCTCCAACTAGAAGCTGCATGGCTCTCTCGGTTCCCAGGTTGGAGGTGCTGGCCGCTACCACAGCCCATAATCTCATCGACAGTGCCATTTTGAGTTCCCATGTCCTCTGACAGACTGCAGAATGTTACGGCACCCTTGTCAGTCAATTACGTGAGGGCGGCCACGCCAGGCAGAACCATTGGGCAACGACAACCAACCGAACCCCGCAACAAAGAGATGTCCGCGACTTGCCCGCTGCTCAGCTCGCGGCTCAGTGATCAATCAAGGCCTGAGCGCTAAACCCGATCGAGCAAGCCACAAGGAAATCAAGTATATGTACGTCTCCTCGTCCTCTACTCTCATTATTCTGATTTCTATCCCTTCCAACCCCCTCCCTTATCAAACCACGCGTAGTCATCTTATCGCGATCGGTTAGACATACATAGTTGATCCTTTGGGTACGTACGTCTTAATATAACATTTACTAGTTCCAAACGTCACAAGATCGCGAGATAGTCACAGGCAGTTTCATACCAGTCCCACTGCTTTTAATGGCGCCCCAGAGGGTCTGGCCAGTGCTTTGAAGGTCGAGATTGTACCGACAACCTCCGTGAAACGCAAGTCAGAGAGAAAGTCGGGAGCAGGTGTTACATACAGCTACTGTTACCCATAATGCGCTGATCGACTTCAAAGCAGTGGATGCAAGCGATTTGAACCTCAAATCCCTGGAACGTGACTGCGAGCTGATGAAGGAAGCTCTAGGGTGCTATCCTGTAGAGATTAAACAGGCGCTGATGTTATTCTGCAGTGGCCAGGCTACCATGCAAAAAAT